CAAGATGGGCGGTGGTTGAGGGGTCATCATCGGTGGTGATGGAAATCGAGGAGGCTCTCGTTGATGGAAAATTTTATATAAGTGTTGGTTATTTCTCGTCGTTTTCGACTTCCTCTCCCTATCGCTCAAGCGGATCAACCCCGCTATCTCAAGTCCTCCCATAGACCCAACCTGCAGCGGCTTTACCTCTTCACCTTTTTATCTATTCATCCTTTTCACAAGTCTAACGTTATGGCTGCTGCGATACTTGCATTGATGGCCCTCATCTTCCGCCACGTCTCGGCCTCGGACGTCGGTGCGTTTGAGCATAGGACCAATGGTTACTGCAGGCAGCTAGACATTCCGGTAACTGCCACGGCAGAGAGCGCCATTTATAATATCCCGAGGGTGGACAGCGACATTGACGCCATCGCCTGGGCAATTTACACGGATACCTGGTCCACCGTGGGAGGTTCCGACCGCATCATCAAGAACACTACCACCTCCGGGACTTTCAACATCCATGCCCAGCTGTGCATCCCCAAGCGCGATGGGGATAAGAAGAAGGGCATCTTGCAGCTCGCCACCCACGGCGTGCACTACGACTCGAGATACTGGGACCCCGAGCTCGACCGCGACAACCTCTCCTATGTCGAAGCGGCGCTCAAGGCTGGGTATTCCATTCTCACCTACGACCGCCTGGGAGTAGGTAAATCCGACATTCCCGATGCCTACACCGTGGTCCAGGCACCCCTCGAACTTGAGCTTCTTCATCAACTGACCCTTCTGGCGCGCGACGGCATCATCTATGGTCTCGCGAGCAAGGGACAACCGCGAGGCTCGCCCTTCGGCAAACTTTCCAAACCAAGCAAGATCGTACACGTCGGCCACAGCTGGGGCTCGGTCCTCACTTCGGCTTTTATCGCCAAGTACGGCCCTCTGACCGACGGCGCCATCATCACGGGCTACTACCTCGGACCTCTCCTCGGAAAAGCCGGAATGGCGGCATGGAACGCCGAAGCACCCGCTTCGAGCACGCCTTCCTTCGACCGCCCCAGCGGCTACGTCGTCTGCAAGAAGAGCGGGATCCAGACTATTTTCTTTGCCGGAGATACCGAGACCGCCTTCACCGAAGAGATGCTCGAATACGGCAATGCCCTCAAGCAGCCCGCCCCCATCGGAGAGTTCGCCTCAGCCTACCAGATCCTCGGTCTGCCCGGTCCCGAGATGAGAGCCCCGGTCCAGTACTTTCTTCCCGAGTTTGACTTTTACGTCTGCGGCGGAGATTGTAAAGGCATCGTGAACAAGACGCTGTTGGAGCAGACCTACCCTCACGCCCCTGTGATCGATATCAAGATCCAGCCCAACACTGGACACGCCTTCACTCTTCACAACAATGCCAGCGCCGGCTATCAGGTCAATTTTGACTTTTTGGAAAGCAACGGGCTGTAATATATAACTAGATACCCCGCTACGGTCCTACTACGGTCCTACTAGTGCATATTACGCTTACTATTATTATTTCCTCCCTTACTCTAGCATTAGAGTTTTTACTTTTGAAGACTTTTCTTTCCTTTACCTATATTTTTTTTATTCTTATTTTACTTAGGCTGGGCTGAGGGAGGTTATTATCTAAACTATATATCACCTAGCTTTAGTTTCTACAATACTAGAATTCTTATATTATTATTAGAACCGATGACCGGTCTTAGTAGTGCGCTTACATGTTCTAGGACGCCGTCCTCGGGCTACATTTGTCTCTTACCTATATATAAAGAGCCGTCGACTACCTCCTTACTCTACAGTGGGCAGAAGAGACAATATAAGTCTCTCCGAAGTTAACCGGTCGCCGGCCCGCGCTTCGTTGCGAACAGCATTCAAGAAAGAACAGTCGGCCTTAAATATTCAAAGCCATATGTAGGCTCACTTCTTCATCGCGATTTAAAAATAAAAGAAGAAGCAGAGAGGCGATAAGTAAACTGTCTATAGATCGATATTTAAAGCAAGACATACTACAAAATAAAATTATTTCTGGAGTCTGTCCCAAATCCTGCAACTAACTAACATTGAGATATCTCCATTTCCTAACCTCCCACTTTCGACCGGATAATTAGGTGTCTCGGGATCTCGTTTATTTTCTGCGAAGAAATAAATTCCACCGTGCTCCCATTCACGCTTGTCTGGGAGGTAGACCCGCGTGGAGAGTTCTAAGCGTTCGTTTACAAAGATTTCAAGCACGCTCGTGTCGAAAAATGCTCGGATGTTGAGGCTTTCCTCCGTTTCTGCGGCGCTGTAGCCACGCCTATTCTCAGAGGCACTATCGGAACTGCCAATTAACGTAAAAAGAGTGAAAGGAGCAGCCTCGGGAGCATGGCTTATGGGTGCTTGGATATGCGGTCTCTCAATAATAAACGTCTCGCTCGTTGAGTCCCAGTAGACGAGGGTTTTAATATGAAGATCTGTAATATGAAAAAGAGAAGCCGGGTTAGAACGTTTCCTAACGCGCGGAAATGCCAACCAAAAAAAAAAAAAAAAAAAAAAAAAAAAAAAAGTGTCACAAAGATATGGACGAAATATATATAACGTACCGGAAGTGTGGTAAATGATGAAGCCTGCACGGCGAGCGCTCTTACTCACGGTAATCGTAGCTTCCGCTTCCCAGCATTGTGTATACAGAGGCACAAAGGGTTTTCGGAAACGGATATCTTCGCCTGCCTCGTTCAACCCAGGTAATGGGACACCGGAGATGTCTGTCCTTCGGGCCTTTTCCCGAAGGCGTTGCAATCGTGGATCAGGTATAATACCCAGCGTGCGGACAGTATATGTGCCATTATCATCCGGCGTAAGTTCAAGAGAGGTGATCTCCTCTAAATGTCTAGTAGATCGGGCTTTCTTAACGCCGTGGATAGTGATTAGTTTAAGGACTCGGGGAAGTGAGATTAGGCCGCTCCATCCTTGCAGGTGACGGATATCGTCTGGGAGATCTTCCTCGGTGATCCAGCCAAAAATAACGTGTTGGTTCACAACTGGGTCCCAAAAGGAATTCGCAGCATAGAAGAGTCCGTTATCAAAAATACCGCCGAATGAGTAGTCCATCAACGCAGACGAGGAACGTGTTGGCTTTGGGTTGTCGCGGGATTTCAATCCTATCCACAGCTGTGATCGTTGAATGCGTGAGTCTCTTGCAAGTGTCGTCTGGTTCTTCTCATGCCTTGGCAAACAACCTTCTGCCCCCATAATGATGAAGTCCCGTAATGTACCCTCATCATCTTTCAGAGTTACGTAGTTGGGAACCTCCCAGTTGACACCAAAGTCTCCTGACCAACGAGAAGGGCAGAAATTCAACCCTACGTCAAGCAAAGGTCCGAGGTACCTCCATTCGGCAAGGTTGTCTTTCTTGAGAGAGTAGACAAAGACAGTCGGCGTTCTGTCAACAAGGCCACCCGAAATGAAGCCACTGCGAACGTTATCGTGGCGAGCCTCTGCCAGTGCGGATGGAGACGCCGAGATAAAGGGGTCTCTCCAGCCAGTGACGCTGAGGCCTGCAGGTGGTCCGGGGAGGATAGGATTGGACGGCAATCGATTCCACGTCTGGCCTTGGTCTCGAGAAATAGCAATGCTTAATGACTCGGAACCTGAAGTGTAGGGTATGCTGTAGTGGATTGGAAGTTGGTTAACAGAAGTGTAGATATACGTAAGCGTCCCGTTTCTCTCGCCGTTAATATCGGTGGCCTGGAAACATCCAGTAAATACTCCCCGAAAATCATAGTGGGCGGATGGTACTAGGCATGGTTGTGGGGAAGTCTCCCATACAACAAGATCACGGGAAATGGAATGACCCCAAGCTATGTCACCCCAATCGTTCCCATTGGGATTCCACTGGAAGGCCAGATGATATGTTTCAGTTGTCGGGTCGTAGCCAGGTCCGCAGGGGTCATTGAGCCATCCGTGAGGCGCAAGTAGATGGAAGGACGGCCGCCATCGCGTAAAGTCAGAAGAATGTTTCAGACTCTTTGGAATTTCTTCAGCGTTCTCGCTGCAATCCAGACCGCCTGTCGCACCTTTTAAGGGAACAAGCCGCGCAAGTGGGCTGATTGCTTGTGATGCCGCAAGAGTGGACATAATGGCGGGGACACCTCGGAATGAGTACGATGGAAAGGAAAAACAGAATGGAAAAACAAAGGCGGCGGAAAAAGGGGGGATTGATATAGAGTTGAGTTGTTATTTACACAACTCTCTCCAGTTTTGGGCCTATCCTCTGAGGTATGAAGATCATGGAGAGGAGTTCCGTCTTGAAGAAAATGAGCGCGGGGACTTGGAAGTGTAGGAGGGGAAGAGGTCTGAGAGGATGACATGTAGCAAGATGAAAGTTATCACTCCTTTCGGCAATAAGTAATACGTTCCTATATGGCCTCGGTACTAATATCTCTCGGCTTTGCATTAATATATATTTCAGCTATATGTATTGTCTCATAATAGTTCTGCAGATTCGCCGTCCGAGATCGTAACACGACCCGAGCTAACCACGCACGCTCGGCCGACATTGTGCACAGGTGACAGCAGTGCCCGGACAAACCATTGGAGTTTCTTTTTCTCCGGGGATTCTCCAGGACAAGTCTTTCCACAATTAGAAAGTTGCTCCGACGATTCTCCAAGAGAACTTTAATTTCTCCGATAATTCTCACAGTTTGGGAGCCGACTTGCTCTTTTCGGGAAACATCATCAGACTCGTGAGCTCGATCCATACTCCAGGTTTTTCCCGAAACCTGGGGTACCCGTGTCTGCTGTCTGGGGAGTGTCTGGGGAAATAGGAATGAGCTGTTTACACGACAGACGATCATTTCGCTTTCTATAAAGATGCCGCGTGCGGCGCCTCTGTCCGAGAGATGATATCCCACTATTTCTTTTCATCCATCACCCAGTCACAGCAATCCTGGATTCTTGACTATCATTACCTATCCCTTGTCTGAAAGCAAACTGAAAGCCTCTTTATACATCGATTGGTCGTCCTTATTTCTAAAATGCCACCCCAAGACATTTCCGAGAAGGGAGACACAGGTCTGGGGAATGGGACGCCTGTTCACGTTCACCACGCTGAAGGAAAGGAACTCTCACCCGAAGTAATTATTCCCGACAAGGGCGCCGTCAACGTCCTGCTCATCTTGGCCTGCGTTGCTTTCGGATCCGCGTCATTCCTATTCGGCTATGATGACAAAGTCATCTCTCCAGTGGCAGCACTGACAGCTTTTGTGAGAACAATTCAAATCAACCCAAAGATATGATTTCAATCATTGGCTAACAATGACGGAAGGTCGATACGTTTCAAGGCCGAAACCCCACGACGGGAGCAATGGTTCTTACGGCCCGGAATCAGAACCTAGTCTTCTCTGTGCCCCTTGTAGGATCAATCATTGGTGGTTTGTCTGCCTCGCCTCTCAACAATCATTTCGGCCGGAAACTGCCGCTGCTTGGCGCCTATATCTTTTCGCTGGGAGGCGGCTTTCTTCAGGTGTTTGCCCCTAATTTGGCTTCCTTCGTGATCGGACGCTTCTGGACCGCTGCCGTCGTCGGCCTTGCCAACGCTACCGCACCTTTGTATTTGTCGGAAGTCGTACCGCCGAGCATGCGAGGTCGGAGTGTAACATCGATCAATATTCTATCTCTGCTTTCCGGTGTCATATCGACCGTCATTGTCAATAGCACCCACACACTCGATGGCAAAAGGCAGTACATGATTCCTCTGGCAGTACAGTGTGCACTGCCTGTTCTATTGTTTGTTCTCACGATCGGCCTCCCTGAGAGCCCCCAGTGGCTTGTGAGCAAAGGACGGATGGATGAAGCCAGGCGCAACCTGAGGAGACTGCGCGGATTCAGTGACTGGCAAGTTGATGACGAGCTTCGGGTGATGAAGCTGTGCGAGGAAAATGAACGATCTCTCACTGCCAACGTTCGGTTCTGGGAAATCTTTGATCGAGAGAATCTGAAACGCACTCTCACGGCGGGGGCATTTTACTCTCTCAATCAGATTTCAGGTATCATCCTCTCGACAACCTATACGACGGTCTTCCTCATCGAACTGGGCATCGGAGATGCGTTCACCTTCACTGTCATTGCTTCATGCTGTACTATGGCTGGTACCATGGTCGCGCCCCTCGTCATCGATCGTGCTGGCAGGCGTCCGACGGCGTTTGTCGGAATGTCCCTGCTCTTTATAATCGACATGATCGCCGGAGGACTTGCATTTAACGCCAAAAACGACAAGGTTGCCCTCACTATAGCGGCACTTGGGTTTATCTTCAACTTTTTCTGGGGAGCTTGCTTCTACTCACTCTCTGCCTTGATGCCGTCGGAAATCGCTACGCCTAAACTACGGAACCACACCATGGCATACACGATTGCGTGCGCCCAGACCACTGCCGTCATCACCACGTTCGCCGTTCCCCAGCTGACGAGTGCCGATGCGGCCGGCCTAGGAGCGAAGACATATCTCGTTTTCGGTGGATGCATGGCATGTGTTATGGTCTTTGTGTATTTCTTCATGCCGGAAACCCGAGGCCGTACCTTTGCTGAGATCGATGAGATGTACGATGCTAAGATTCCTATGCGCAAGTGGCGCAAGTACGAAACTACGACGGAGGCGAAGCAAACGACGCTCGTTACTCCCGAGCAGCTATTGTCCCGATCCTAGATAGATAAATAGTCTCAATGATGGCACTTGGCCAAGAATCTTAAACAGCCATTATTCTACAAATATACTACCTATTCGGACAGCCCTTCTCAGATATTTTCAGCTATTTTGAGGGAGATAACATTGAAGTGCGGTTAGAAGAGCGGCAAAGATGTCATCATAATCGTCGCCGCGGGTATCTGTTCCTCCTCATTGTCATGATTGCCCCAACAAACCCAAGAACGCCAATTGTTTTTTATATTCTTCGAGGTAATGATGGTTCCCTCCTCGTAGAACTTGTAACAAGCTCAAGTACTGTTGTGCTAGAATCTGTCTTGACGAATTTTCCGTTGCCGAACTGCCTTCCATTTCGCTGGGTGGAGTTGTAATGGCGCTAATGGCAATGTCGTACAACTTTTCGATCTACAAATCATCAGCATTCGAGTAAACAATTCGTCGGCTACCGTTCTGTTTTTTTTTTTTTTTTTTTTTTTTTTTTTGATATACAATACTTACAATTCCTATTCCGTGAGCTTCCATGGCGCTGATTCGTACAGATCTGCACACGTCTAGGGTGGCTTCAGCAATGGAAAATGCATAGTCAAAGGAAAGCTCCTTGGTTTCCGAGTCCGCTTTCAAGAGGCCATGGCTCAAGCATAGATGCCACAGACGATTCTGTACCCACTTCTGGGTGATTAGAACATCTGCACATTGCGTTTCAGCCAGAAAGGTGCCAAGGTTTCTTGTTGCTTGTGCCGAATGCGAATCGAAACGGGAATGATCTGGGTCAAACCAGTCGTTGCTCTTGTATCGACTCGGGTCACTGACATGAGCAAGACTTCTGTGTATATCCAAGGCCTTCGCTTCGTCGAATCCTCTGCACTGGGACGTGCCAACCTTGCATCGTCCATTCCAGCAGTCGACAATCTCTTCGTCGACAGCATCAAAGATTTCCATGAGGAGTGCCAATCCCATCATCCCGGCGGCGTCTTTCTCGTTGTGGACTATAATGCCTGACACGAGGCTATGGGTCGCGCTGTGAATAAATCCGTCCGTCGGCCGCATGACAAACCCAGGTTTCCCCGTCAGCATAATTGAATGGCGACGTTGGAGCGCGTAAGCCCTATGTTGGTCAAGGATCCGTCAGCAACATTGAGATTTAGGAGAGTCGCGCATTTCCATTTGGTTCATGGTTACATACCTCTCAGTGACAGACAGGACGAGATAAGTCCGCAACCACTGTCCCTTTTCTTCGCTTGACAGACGATTGTATGAATTGGGATCATTCAGTCCTAACATGAGGGCCAGGTCAATCGCCTCGCGTAGACGTAACCGTGCCGCATTATGCTGGTTGGTTCCAAACAGACATCCGAAAAGGAAGAAGCTCGTCAAGACAGCTTCTAGGGTTGGTTGTTCCCCAAAATCAGAGGAGCTTCGCATCTTGGTCGACTCATTCATCATAAATCTTGCCTGATCTGCTCTGGATGATGCTGTGGGCCGTTCGCTGATTTCGATAGGTTGTGTGAGGGAAAATGCGCCGACCGCTAGAAGCATGGCTCCGAACTGAGAGTTTCTCCGGTGTTCCTGGGATAGGATTCTTATGAAGATGGACGACCGATTAAGCACCGGCAATGTAGGGTGTAACCGATCGAAATATACATCGATCCACGGAATAAGGCTGCTTTCATTGATATAAGATGGCCAAAGGGATTCGGAACGGCCACTAGATTGTCGTAAGGGAATGCCGGACATTGGGTTATCTGTTTGTATATTTAAAGATGCGTCGCAAGCGTCAACATCGACGATGGGGGGTAGTGCCGTTTTGACATGTATGCTGTTTCCTGAGAGGCCGAAGAAGGATGTCTGTGTGTTGAGACTATCCGGCAACCAGTACTCTAAATCACGACCCTCCCCCCAAGGAGATGAATTGTCCATGGTCGCCGAAACGGGGATTGCAGCAGCATACCCGCCACTTACGCTAGTTTGGTCGAGATGGCTAACTTGTTGTTCTATTAACTGCACGTTCGGATAGTTCGGACTCGCCGAGTTCGATAGAGATATAGAGGGAGACGAGCTCAACCCAGAACGTATATTATGATCGCTAGGCTGTGTCTGGGGCAGAGCGGCGTTGATTACAGAACGTTCGTTTTGGGCGAGCATTTGCTGCTGACGGATCTGTGTGACTCGGCTTTGGAGGAATGTTAAGAGAGGCTCTCCCCTGAGGTTGAAATGTAGGCTGACTTACTGTCCAGCCGGACCACGCTTCTTCTGTGGCTTGAGGAACGTGCACTCAAATCCCATAGAAACACAGCTTGCGCATGGTTGAGAGGGGCTACACTATTATTCCCACCACATGAGTGTCCCATTCAGGCTATGTGAGATACCGATCGGTCATACCATGGTTTTGCGCAGTCGACACTGGTCGCAGGCTTGAGTGTTAAGTTTACGAGGGGTTTTTCGTGGTTCCATGATGGCGAGACGACTAGTTACTTAATTGGATAGTCTGAAAGATGCATAAATTAGTATATGGTTTGGGATTGGTTTGTTAGGCGTGCTCGCGTCGACGATCGATCAGATAAAAGATTCGAACTTGAACGCGGAACCTTGCCTGATGTGCAACGTCAGAAATGCGGGGCGACACGTGACTACTCAGCTGGGCTTTTTTGTCAATTTGATGTGAGGAGCATCTCACGTGAATTAAAAGCAATAACCAGGACTGTCGCAAGCTAAGTTGTAGATTACGATTGGAAACAAGCAATGTCCGCCAGGCTGCAAAACGGACTTATCGGTACGTTGTTAATAGTAGGCTAACTACACCTTGGATACGAATCCACTCCACTGCGCAAGAGCCTTTTCTTCTACTGATGATAGATTCTTCTGGGCCTCCGATTTCGATGTAGAACTTCCGAGGCATCCTTTCAAGGACAGACTGGCCGTTCTCAACGGCATTAATTGCCCCTACATTTCGTTCATTGCGTAAAGGCAAAAGAGGCCAAAGAATTGAAAATGAGAATTTTTATATAAAAGCCTGTCGAGAACCCGCCAGGATATCGCGAATGAAATACTTGTTCTCGGGAGAAAGCAGGCTGTTTGGGGGTAAATTCCTACTCTGTAGAGCTCTCTCTTTGACATTATTCTCCGAATCATCCTGTAAGAGTCAAATGCCACGATATGACGTTGCCTAGTTTCACTCAGCCATCAAGTTAGAGTAGACGGTCCTTTCCAGCTGATCCCATAGACGATTCGCCACAGCATCGGGATAGGGCAGCAGGAACACCATTTGAGCCGCTCCAATTCCGATCGTGGGGTCGATCCACTAAAATAGAATCATGTAGTCAGTATATCGCCTTACCCCTTTCTGCCCTTGGATGAGAAGCAATGACCCCTACCCAACGAGAGTTGCAATACCCGCTCCACGACATGCTCCCCTTGCTCCTCTTTCCAGGACAATCGTCATCGTTGAGGATCCCGCCAATGCCGTGGCTAATGCGCAGCTGCCTCGGAAACTCGGGCTTGAACCCGTCGTGGAACTCTGTCGCCACTTGGTTTAGCATCTCATCCTGCTGCTCGTTGAGCTGCGGCGTGAACATGAGGTCCATCGTTTCCTTCTTTAGTAGCTCCCCACCAAGAAACCCTTGGATAAACCTGCCGTAGTCTCTGAGAGTCGTAAACAGACCACTCCCGCCGCTCTCAATCTCGTGTTCGATGGGGTAAGGCGCCGGACCCCCCTGGAGCGTCCCGTCATCCTGCCGGTATGTCATCTGGACTCTCCGATCGGTGACATGCTGAAGTTGTTCGGGCCACCATGTGGAGTCTTTCATACCTAAAGGATCGAAAATGTGAGCCTGTACGTAGACGCTCAACCGATCGCCTGTGATCTTCTCGAGGGCTTGGCAGGCCCAGTCGATCGCCGTACCGTAGTACCAGCCTTCTCCGGGCGGGAACTTAGTTGGAGTGGTGAAGCCTTCGAGGGACCAGTCATTACAGGTTGCGGTGCGGCCCACGGCTTTGGACCACTTCACGAGGTCGGGGTCGCCGATGTCGTAGCCGAGTCCGACGGTGTGGGTTAGTAAGTTCCTCAACAGCCAGTTAGCCCAGGTTTGTCCGTATCTTCAAGGTAATCTGAACCTGTTGCGGAAGATTGTCCATGTGCCTAAGATATAACTCACCAAAGTGTGATTGGGTTCACGTTGTCCTCAAGGATCGGTTTGTCTCCGTCAAATCCTTTCAGAATTTGCATGGTGGCTAACTCGGGCACCAGTTCTCTCATGTCATCCTCTAGCTTCAGACGGCCCTGCTCCACGAGCTGCATAACAGCTGTGATTGTCACGAGTTTCGTTAAAGACGCCACACTGGCGAAGGAATCAAGAGTCCAGTCAGGAGAGGACGTCTCCAAGCCGATTCTCCCGGCAGAGCCCGAGTATAGAACGCCTAGAGTGTGTAGAGTGTGTCAGCAGTCGCAACCTTGTAAAACTGGACGGGATGTGTAAACTTGCCGTCTTTGTTCACCACGACAAAAGATGCGCCTATAAGTTTCCCCTTTGTCTCGCTATCTGTCGCAACATGGTTGCGAAGAATCGAGTCCAACTTCTCCGTTGCCATGTTGACGTCACACGGAGTAGAAAAACCGGCCCACAACAATTGATGGTGTAATGAATCAGAAAAGAAGCACAGGCACCCACTAACAACTCTGGTAGTTTCACTTTCATAGACTTGGATGAGCGGAAAGCAGCCTTTAAATAAAGTGACAGGGGTGGGGGAACTTTTGGAGAGTGACCGCAGCAAATATCATGCAGTAAGCGTACATAAGCCGGAAGATCAAAGACTGGCAGCTTCTATTCGGGAAACTGCAGCCCATCTGACTGAGGAAATAAGACTACCTCCCGAAAAATGGAAAGGTTACATAAGACGCACTCAAACTTAAATCATCTTTTTTCAGGCTCGACGAGATCTCCGTGCTGGTCTGCGTGAGGACGCACCTTAGATCAATTGCTCTTAAGTTGGGCGCAAATTATATTTCCCACGTGCTGTTGCCCGCGCATCTGTGTAGCCGACCAGCTGAGCCGTCACGACCTTCCCCCCCCGCCCCCCGCCGACCGCTCCCTTGATCGATACGACTGCCAGGAATCGATCTGTTGCAGTCAGGGCTAATAGCTAGGAATTGGGGTGACTTTTTTCTTCCTTGCGCTGCTTTACATAAAGACTCGAGAATCCAGGACCAACCATCTTTTTCCTAGAGTCTGCTGACACTTATGTTTTCGCCAGTAAGAACCGAAGAGAATGCGGAGCAGGACCCAGACGTTCCAGTGCCCCGCTTAACTTGTTCCGCCCAGAATATCATGATTTCCTTCATTCGCCCTCTTGTAACACTTGACTAGTGGTGCGTCCATAGTCGTGGGTCGCAGCGAACTGGGCTGGCTCGTCGTGCGTCCGGGGTCACGGCCGGTTTTGGAAATAGAGAAGTGACTCAAGTGAGGAATGCATCTATGAAACGCCACCTTCACAATGCGCATTTGAGAGCGATAAGATCGAAGGAATGTGCTGGCAACTTAGGCCTCGACGAAAACGTAAGCAACATCGCCGAATAGGTGTTTAATTACTACCGAACAAATACCTAGAAGCAATGATATTTCCCGATTTCATTTTTGCTGAGGAATGCAGTCCCAAGTACCTCGTCAGGCCAATCTTGAGTCGGATCTTGACCGAGCAAGCTGGGCCAACATGCTCGGATCTTTCAGCTCCTTACGTGGGAGGCTTGAAATATTGTATGTCTGTATCGTGAAGCTCTCCATTCAACTCAGCTGCCTTTCACATACTCCTCATCTTTCAGTTGCCCAAATCCGCACCTTCACCACTGTGACACTCAAGCTTGGGTTATGGTATAGCAGCAGTTTCATGGCATCTCATATTTCTCATATTCCGCAATGTGCGAAAGGGTGTTTAGAGACAGCGGTGAAGAGTAGCGGCTGTATCGATCTTGAGGGTACAAACTGCTTCTGTACCACCGAGAATCAAGCCACGCTTTCCACCAGTTCCGCCCTGCTCGGTTGCCTCACAACCAAATGCAGCGCAAACGACGTAACGAGTGAGTTCCAGTACCTCACCAGACGGTTCTTCGCATGTCGTGATAATTTCCCGCAATCGTAAAATCTTAAACTAACAGAAATTGCACTGCCATTAAAAAAGAGGAGATAATTAGAATCAATTTCTGAGCTTTACAAGAAATCCGAGACCAAAACAAATACGCCCAAACCTTCCAAACCGACCCCTGCCCCGAACTCAGTCACTACCAAATCAACATCTCACATGAAATCCAAGTTCGAACCCAAGATTTCTGGGGGTGCCAGTGGAATTGCTGCTGGTGTGGTCGTCGGTATTGTTTTGGCTCTGGCCGTCGTCTTCTTCATCCTCTATCGTCGTCACAAGGCAAAACAAACGGCGACTCAAGCGGATGCTGAACCAGAAAGCAGTCCCAAGTCAGGAGTGGAACATGCGAATGTAAAGGACGTTGCTGGACTCGGCTCCTCTCCACAGTCGACGCCGCCACAGACTGACCATAGGCCAAGCAATCAAGCTGCCGAAACTGGTGCGCCGCCTCTCGGCCTTGAACATTTGGCATCCGTTCCAAGGTCGCCAGGAGATGAACGGAGCCCTCACGCCCCCACGGGTCAAAAGGAACCAGAATCGGGCACCCAGGAAGGAAAGGTATCCCGATTGTGATGTTAATCCGCGTCCGCGCTATGAGGGTTATGTGTTACTATTAGGGTTGATTGAGGCATTTGTTTTTCTTACCGTCCGCAGACAGCGCGTCGAAAATATGCCATTTACCACGGCACCCAGTGGTGTAGAAATGGTAGAAAACTTGCGAGGAAAGAAGATACGGGAGTAGATTTCCGTTTTACAGACGCGGGAAGTAGTGTCTGGAAGGCATAATAAAAGAAGGGAGAAAGAATGGCATGTTTATACGACCCGCAATTCTGAGCTCTAGAGTATCATTTGCGTTCCCCTACATCTCCACCTTCCATCGAGTGTAACGGACGGCCGTGATGTTCGGTGATTAAATGAGCGTTTTGACTAGATTCCGTTGCATCATTCTTTTTTTTCCCCTCTTGAGCACGGGCACAACTATACCGATCTTACTCAGATTAGTTCTTAGCTAAAGCGGTACGGTGGTTCAGAGACGTCATGTTGGATGGGGGTGTTATCTTTCACGCTCTTACTCCAAGATTGTATCTTCGCCTTGCAATCACCAAGATGGCGAACCTCGACCACCTGGACCGTTGCATTCCCGGCGTTCCAAAACAGGCACCCCAGGACAAATGCCTCTTTTCGTTTATGATGATGGAGAGTCCCCGTCTGGCACAACTTGCAAAAGCTCCTTGATCTCATCAAACACACTCAGCAACTGCTGCTTCACTTCGGCCCCGGTCCACTGACTTCTGCTCTCATCGCCAATTATTCCCTCACCGGCGGCGGCAAAGGTATCCGTCCCTTGAAAGACCAATTGTGGACGCGTGTCTGCCACCCGAAGCTTCATTCCGGTTAGGACAGTCTTAACCTGCTCGGACGCCTGCTTGCCACCCTGGATCCCGTAGCTAACCACGGCAGCTGGACGGCCAGTCCATTCGTTGTACAAGTAATCGATGGCATTTTTGGTAGCTGCGCTCACGCCGAAATTGTATTCGGGGATGACGAAAATGTAAGCGTCGTAGCTGGCGATGGCGGCGCTCCAAGCAATACTGTGCGCATGGGAGAACTGCGCTTTGGCGGGCACTGAGGCCGGGATAACAGTCTCGTCGTACAGGGGGAGATTGAAATCTGCGAGGTCGAGGATTTCGAGGTCCAGCGAAGCCACAGTGGCTGCAGGTTCAATGGCTTCCTTCACCAAGGCGGCAACAGAGGGACCGACGCGAGGCGTACGTACAGAGGTAATGATGATTGCGATTCTCTTATTCGCCATGTTCGGTCGTATTCTAGGCAATATGACAAGGTGTAATAATATAGTTCAGAGCCTTAGTATAGCGGTGGAGGATTAGCTCCTTGATCTCTCTTCTGGGTAGGCAGGCAGCCGGGCTATATATTTCCAATCTGTCTAGTTGGACGGCAGTGCTTCTCTCATGGGGATATTTCCTTACGCCCACTTCCCTACCTTGTCTAGACATTTATAATCATCGGATTTCCTTTTCCCCTCACCAACAATGTTGAAAATACAACACCCAATAAGCTTTCGTCTCGACCGCTGAGTGGGCGGACCTCCGCCGTGACGATCTCTACCGGGCCAGTTATCCGCCACGAGTGACGAAGTCAGATTGGTAAGGCGACGGGAATGGTTCACAGGGCTCTTGCCAACTTCGATAGTAGAACAACGCCAGTGATGTCGTGATCACCACAGACTCGCTTGCTACGAGAAAGAATCAGGGTATGTTCCACAACCCGGTGGAAACCGAGTAATACGAGTCCCTGGTCCGGTATAGCCGGACATAATATAGCTCGGATAGCTTTGTTATAGACAAGGGGGTTACGTTCACCTTGCCCGAGCAAATACCTTCCTCTCTCAAGAGTCAAGACAGGGCTTAGCGGCATCTGCTCGCTAACCCATGGTGACCGAGATTATCCCCTTAGCCCTAACCCCATGGCATGACCATTCTCGGCATTCGCGGCGCCCCCAGTATTTCCCCCGCCCAGTCTATTTCGAGGGGATAAACAACGGACGTTAAGAGCTGATATGTATAACCCGGGAAATATGGATGTTATTCCGTTTGCCGATATTGCTATCGAAAATCTAAGTGGGCGCCATGGAAACAATGGGAGATTGCCTCTTACCCATCTCGAGGGGCAGGAAAAAAAAAAAAAAAAAAAAAAAAAAAAAAGGGGGGGGGGGGGAACTCTCATCTGCAGGTCGATTTATTTACATAGCGACTATCCTTAGTGTCTAAAATTAGCCTTTGGCCCTCCGGTTCAGCGAGTTTCTTGGAAGTACTACATGAAGAGAAATATAAGTTACTGTCCCAGCCATAACTTGATATTATGATGCCTTGGCTCAAAAAGAATAAAGTTCCCTATAGGCTGTGGCTAGAATGGTCTACTCAACTTTGTGAGCCCCGGAGTCCTTTACAGGATCTTCCGGGTAAACATCGTACTTAAACCGCGACCCCGGATGGTCAGACCGTAATCCAGCCTGGCCCTTCCCGTAGACCTTCTCACGAGCGGTAACTTCTTCTCCCACCGCTGGGAGCTCTGGATACAAACCTCTCCTCCTCAGTTCCGGAATCAAGAGATCCACAACATCCTCAAACGTCCCCGGTGTCGTCACGTATCCAATATTGAACCCGTCCAAGTCACCTTCGTTAATCCACTTCTCCATTTCGTCCGCCACCGTCTGGGGACTCCCCACAGCCACGGGACCTAGCCCACCGATAGCAGCTCGCTCTGCTATCACCCGAGGAGTCCACTTAGGCACGTATTCGCTCGTCGTGGTGAAGGCGTCGAGGATGCTGCGGACCTTGTTCGCCTCGAGGGAATCGGCCGCGGTAACTTCTTGGTCGATGGGGATCTTGGACAGGTCGATTCCCGTCCAGCCGCTAACCAAGACGAGGCCGCCGATAACGGACGCGTACTTTTTTAACTCTTCGTACTTTTCCCGCGCCTCCTCATCGGTTTTGCCAAGAATGGGCGTAAATGTGGCAAAGAACTTGATGGATTGAGGATCCCTCCCCAATTCTGCCGCCTTCTCACGAATGGCCTGCACCTTGGGCTTCAACAGCTTAGGGGAGTGCGATGACACAAAGATTCCCTCAGCATGGCTCGCCGCAAATGCGGAGCCCGCAGAAGAGGTTCCAGCCTGGAACAGAAACGGTGTTCTCTGGGGAGACGGATCGATGATGTGGCGTGTATCTAGGTCAAAGTACTTTCCGTGGTGATGAATGGTTCGGATCTTATCGGGATCCGCATAACTGTCATTCTCTGGATCGGGGGAAACAGCATCATCTGCCCAGGATCCTTCCCAAAGCCTACATATTGGGGGCAAGAAAAAAAAAGGGGTGGAAGTCAGTCATCGCCCATGGAGCAGGATTTGGATAGTGTCCGAGTTGGTTTGAACATACTTGTATAGCACCTCAAGATACTCGTTTGCTTGTTCGTATCTCTCGTCATGGGGAATCGGGTTATCAAGTCCAATGGCCTTGAAAGCAGCCTTTTTCCAAGACGTCACGATGTTCCAACCAACTCGACCTCCAGTTAAGTGGTCAAGGGTTGACAACCTCTTAGCAAGTAGGAACGGCGGTTCGAATGAAGTTGAGGCCGTGATGGCGAAAGTCAAATTCTTGGTGACTGCTGCCATGGCACTGATGGGCTGTTGGACCGCATTAGTACTTCTCTTCATGGACATTGGAAAAAAATTGAAAAGGTAATTCATACAATAGTAGGATCCGTAACAGGCCATTGGGCAGCCCGTCGTATGCAGTTGTCTAGACTTCCTTCGTAGGTGTCATAACCACCGTATGTGTCTGCAAGGAACAAAGCATTGATACCACCTCGCTCCAACAGCTTAGCGAGGTCTATCCAGTATTGAAGCTTTCGCTTCGTTGCAGATTTGTCTGTTGGGTTCTGATAATTCTGTCAGCCTTGATGCTTCTTCCTTCCGTTAAACCATTTGTGTGGTAGAAATCGCTCACCTTCCATTGCCCTGGCGACAGATGCCCAACTGTAGACATGTCAAATGCATTGAGGAATATCTGCTTCTTTCTCCGGGATAGGGATGTGCCATTGCCGGCATCACCAGTTGGCGCGTTGACGCCGGGGGTAGCCATTGGTTCAAATTCCTAGTGTTTGAGACTACTGACAATATCGATATCTACTATTATTCGAATCGCAACAGATTCCAGCAGACTCTATGAGAGATATGCATACTTTTGTATTGGTTCAATATGCCCCTGCGTGCGTTGTGGCATAGGAACTATAATCACGGCATTGGGGAAGACGGCGTTGCCCACTGTTGCCCATCCTGTCGTTATCCAGGAGATTTCTAATCTCCTCTATCCGTCGTTCGATTACTCGCAGCGCTCCGCTCTTGCGAAGAATGTGCCGGCCATCATTCCAGCAAACGGTGCCATTGACCAATTACGGGTGCCTTGGCGTGATCGGGGATATTGATGGTGTAATGTTCGTTCGCTACGACAGCCACCCATCAGTGTGGCACGCTTTTGTGGTCATCGGCCCGGCATTCGGCACTTGGCAATGGACATTGATCCCGAACCAAAGTCGGGGCCTTATCAACCGTCATCTCCTTGTACTCTGTACGTAAAATTCCGAACATCACAGGGGTAGTTCTGTTGCCCTGACCAGCAAAACGCCAGCTTTGTCGGAGATATCAAGCACCCCACGAAGTGGCGCAATGACAAGGGTGTCACGGTGCAATCGACGCCACCCCACGCCTCTGATCCACTCCACCACACCCAGGCCGGGCCAAACGCACACACACGGCGCGCAGAACAGTAACGATAATGCAAGCCTTTAGATTAAGAAAAAAATAAATAAATAAAAAAAATAAAAAGGGACGGGCTCGATTGAGTTAGGGGCCGTCAATTATTAATCGACCCTGCAGACGCAGTTGAGCTGAAATTGGACCTAAGTGAACGTCAATGATGGTACACAGACCGCCAAGGGCTGTTTGCAAGAAGAGTTTACTGATCTGCACAGCTCCCGCAGACAATTAAAGGGTCCATTAAAATGATTATTATTCGAGTTGTTAACGGGTTCCCGATGGCGACTTCAGCTGTCGTTAATGCACAGGTTACAGCCCTTGACGAGTATACCAGCTTTTTCGTGGCTCAGGAACATGAGTTGGAGGAAGATGGGTTTCTTCAAGCGGAGACATAATATTTATAACAAGGTTTACAATCTCTAGGAGTACCCAAATGGGGAATAAAAATGGTGAGCGAGTTAGATGTGACTGTGCCTTAGGCTCCCTCCGTTCCTTGCCCCTGAGATTGGCAAATAGATACTGATTCAACGCCTCACTCGCTCGAGTCGTCGGCTTTGCCCTGCCGTTTCGCCGCAGGACTAAATCCAGTCTCGCCGCCGTCCGCCTTGGGTTCAACCTCTTCATCAATAAAACCGGTGGGATTGTCAACTCCGGGACTGCAGAAAAATACCGTAGTCAGTATCAATACGCTTATGCTACATAGGGGGGGTTTCATCCCTGAGAAAAGACTTACTCCCGTTTCTTGAGGTACAAACGAAGGGCGTGGGTGGCAACGATGAGTAATATAGCACAAGCAAGTGCGAAGGGGAATCCCTTACGGAACCGAGGGGCCTCAACTGTGCGGAAGACGAGCAAAGGAGTCCATGCGGTGCTGGATTGAGCAATGGCGTTGATGAGAACAAGTGTAAACGACCTTTCGGCTGGTGAAGATCTAAGTTGTGTGTTGACCCATCCGTGGAACACACTGGACATGGCGTATGAGGAGTAGATTGTTGCATACGCAAACCAGAGTGCAGATTCAGGCACGTTCCAGATGGTGAGGATAATGAGACCGATGATGTTCCAGGTATGTGACAAGGTGATTGCCCAAGCCGGCCCGAGAACCAAGTCTGAGGCGAAGCAAATGAAAAGAGTGTAGAAAATTCCGAGTGCGGGAGCGATCGTACCCAATTCGTTGATACGAGCTTGGGAATATCGACCAAGACTCTTAATCCACAAGAGGAACGTGCCAGTGCTGGTGTGAACTCCAGCATTCCAGAACAAGACGTCAACCAAAATGATGGCCCAGAACTGAGGTCGAAGCAGCAGCTTTTTCAAGTTGGGGAATTTGAACTTTCCATGAGATGTGTGGCCAGCACGCTTCAACCTCGCAGCTGCCCGGTCTACATCTTCCTGCTTCAGGGTCAGGCGGTTGGGATGCTCGGGAGTTCCAGGAATAACAAAGTATCCCAGGATACCGATGGGAATAGTGATGATTGAACAAATAATGTACATCCACCTCCAGCCAGCAAGGCCGTTGACACCATCTAGCCTGGCAGATGCGCCGGCTTGGATGAGACCCGAAGTAAGCGTTCCTAGAGAGAGACCGACGTAGAAAATGCCTCCACGTCGAGCGATTTCATCACCCCGATACCAGGATCCTATTAGGGTTAGAAAACAGTGCTCTCTCTCCCTCTCCCTCCCTACGCCATCCAGATTAGATAGCTTACCGAAAACATAGTGCATTGCGGGGAAGAATGCAGCCTGGTGATTGATGTGTTAGAAACAATGACAGCTCTCAACGTTGTCATGTCATACGAGAGGTAATACTACTTACTTCGAACCACCCGACGAGGAATCGATAGGCTGCCAGCTCAGCATAGCTATGAACCCTGTATTGCAGCAGGGTGAAAACACCCCACAGAACATCCAAGGCGGGGATGGTCCATTGCATGGGAATATAGGTGAACAGGAACATGAAAGGGATCTGTCCCGTCACCGCGCCAATAATGTAGAACGTTTGGAGATGAACCAGCTCATTGCCCTTGAAGCCAAGGTCCTCCTTGAGACCGGCGACATAAGCATTATCTGACAAAGATCAGTCAATGGCTTACATTACATTCGGAACAATAAATAGGGCCGCCAAATAAGCTTTCAAGGTGTCTTCGGCAGGATGAGACAACTCACTGAGGTTAGACTGATCAAGGTACTTTACCCAATACGAGAGGACGGCATATGGTACGATCAACAAGTCTAGCTTGTTGATCAACCTGCGATCTTCGGGGCTATCCGCATCGGAGTACCATTGGAGCTTGTACCACTTCTTTTGTGGTCGGGTTTGGGTGGCCATGATGATGGTGGACGTGCGGGAGGACGTGCAGGCGTGCAGACGACTTCTCCGTTCGGCTCAAAAGCTCTAAGATAAGCTTCGAAATGGCATAAATCGTGAGACTAGATTTCTTTACCACAGACGCGGGAAGGCACGATGATTTTAATAGCTGCGTCGAGGAGTCTGGGAAGACAACGCTGTTACCGAGTTTGGCTCCTATCACATATTACCCTGGTCCTGGTCCACTCCCACCATCCACGGTAGTGTACGACGGATGTAGATGGTGTTGTAGACTACAGGGATCCATTTCGAGCAAATCAAACGGTGCCATGATGAATCTACCTAACCTTGCATATTTTTTTTTCTACTAGTCGGAGGATTTGTCTTCCTGGGAGGTTTAGATTTCATCTCCAAACTCCAAGATAAGATGGCATCATAGCTAGGACGGTTGATGTGACAAAACACCTAGATGCATGTCCCAGGAGATTTAAGAATCATGCTAGCTTCAACGACATTTCGAGCGACCCACTGCAGGTTGGGGGTACTAAATTCCTGTCCTCAACTTGGCGGTTCCGCAATTCGTAGATTCTTGGGCTTGGGGAGGGGGAAGGGGACTCAGGACCCGCGGTGGTACGGAACACTTGGGCTCTTGGGTTGCATGTAAGCCCGGAGGAAACACGGCGTTGGACGGAGCGAGCTTCCCAAGAAGTGGGGGTGATGGCGTGCTCGTTTCTCACGACCGACGACCCACAGTCCCTGCTTCAATTGGAGCAGGCCTCTCCAAGTCGTTATCGACTACTTCGTCTGGGTAGATTTTACGCGTTCTTTTTTTCTTTTTCTTTTGCGGTTGCCGGAGATGATGGCGTGAACTGGGGTCGCAGCACGGCATGCGGGCATCACTGGGATCTAGCCGTGGTGTAGCCGTCCCAATGGATCCGATGCGCGATTGGGCCTTCTCAAGCCGAGGATCTTAAGAGAAGTATTACCTGGATGTGGATTACTATTTCACCATCCATCTAGGCCCGCTGTAATACTTGTTAGATATATTCGGTACAGCTGACCAGCCCGAGGGGTTATTGTCCTGGTTAACATCCTTAATCCGGATCTGGAACCAATATCTGCACTCTCCTCTCTCACAAACACTCCCTGATTCTTCCCAAGACCCGAGGTGTAGCATAGGCTGCATAGCACAGACGGATTAGTACCGTTCTCCCTTGCCATCTCACCCTCCTCTGCCCTCGTCGTGAACCGGAGCCGCCAAGTCGAAAAATCAAATCAAATCAAATCAAAATGGGGCACGCCCAAACACCCACGCCGACCCCTGTCCTCAATGGATTGACAGATCAGATAGGCCAGGGTCTCGGGTCTAATGTCCAGGAAGCCGTCACCAGTAATGGCCAGGGTGTCACTGTCCCCATCCCTGAAGGGGCCCCTAGCATCCTCAAGCCCCAGGCCAACCAGTCCGTTTATGAGAATCCTCCGTTTGAACTTGTGGATCGTTATGCCGATGAACCAAGGGAATTGAGGGTCGCTGTGGTGGGCGCTGGCCTTTCTGGTGTCCTGGCTGGGATTTTGATTCCTCCCAAGGTTCCCAACGTCAAGCTTACAATCTTTGAAAAAAATGCTGGTGTGGTGAGTTTATTATCATTCTCATTCCAAAACCCGCAATTTAACCTACATGATGGCTGCCAAGATTGAAAGAAATCGATCGACTGACTAATTCAATGACTTTTTTTTTTTTACCTCATTAAAGGGTGGAACGTGGTTTGAAAACATCTATCCCGGGGTTCGCTGCGATGTGCCAGCTCATGTCTACCAGTCAACCTTTGCGCCAAACACCCAGTGGACAGAGGAGTTTGCGCAAGGTCCTGAAATCCAGGCATACTGGGAAGGCCTTGCCAGGAAGTTTGATGTCTACAAGTACCTGCAGCTTTCACAAAAGGTCGAGAAGGAAGAGTGGGATCCGGTGCAGTCCGAATGGAATGTCACCGTGAGAGATCTCAAGACCGATACTGTTCGGGTCGAGACGGTGGATTTTGTTCTCAACGCGATCGGCCGTTTCAACAGCTGGCGGCTTCCAGATTACCCCGGCCTCTCTGACTACAAAGGCCTGCTTCGACATACTTCGAACTGGGATCCCAACTTCGACATCAAGGGGAAGCGTGTCGCGGTGATTGGCAATGGCGCGAGTGGAATCCAAGTCGTCGCAAACATACAAAAGGTCGTTGGGCATCTCGATCACTACGCGAGGAATAAGACCTGGATTGCTGCGTCCTTTGCAGGTCATGAGACATCTACCACGCCAATCGTCATCGACGAGGAGCTCAGAGAGTCTTTCAAACAAGACCCAGAAAAGTACATCGCGTACCGCAAGGAGAAGGAATCGATTTATTACAGGGGCTTCAAGGACTGGTTCAAGGGCTCGGAAAAGAACGAGGAAACGAGGGGAAATTTGATCAAGCTGATAAACGGCCGGCTGGGAGCAAAGCCCGACCTCATTGACCAGTTGATTCCCGATTTCTCTCCCCATTGCAGAAGATTGACTCCCGGACCGGGGTATCTCGAGGCCATCACCGCCGAGAACACCGACTACATCCAGACGCCAATTAAGCGGTTCACGGAAACCGGCATCGAGACCGAAGACGGGGTCCACCGTGAAGTTGATGCCATCTACTGTGCGACGGGAGCCAACGGCGACTTGGCTCCTCCTTTCCCAGTCATCGCGAACGGCGAGAATCTGGCAGAGGTTTGGAAACCGGGTGGCAAATACGGCTTCCCCTACACTTACCTGGGCGCTGCCACTCCTGGTTTCCCTAATCTCCTCTTCATCCACGGTCCCAACGGATCTGGCAGGTCCGGAACTGTGCCGCATAGCGTGGAAACCCAAATCACCTACTTTGCCAAAATTCTGAGGAAGGTGGGCCGAGAGGGCATCAAGGCCATCGAGCCACTCAAGGAAGCTGCCGACGACTTTGTTCAGTATTCGGATGCCTTCTTCGCTAAGACGGTTCTCTCGGAAAATTGCAGTTCGTGGTATAACGGTGGTCGACCTGGTGCGCGGATCCACGGTCTCTGGCCCGGAAGTGCCTCGCTTGTCACTCTTCTACAACGAGAGCCACGATGGGAGGACTGGAAATACGATTATATTCACGATAGCGGGAACCGCTTTGTCTGGTACTTTGGCAATGGTGGCACAAGGAAGGAAAGTGACCCCGAGGCCGACGTTACGCCGTATCTTGTGAATCCCGACAAGATAGACCTGCGGGATGTCCATGAGAGCTGGTGGCTCATTCCGTAGATGTCTCTGTCTTTACACAAGCGACTCCCCAATTCTAATGGAAAATGAATTTGATACGAATACGCGGACCTGCCATAGGTAAATGTCTTAACGGTTGTCACACCGATTTGTACGTTCTGGGTGGTAGGGCCCAGCTCAATGAGTATCGTTTTTGGTTTGATTAATTTTCGCTACCGTTTGTGCTGTTCCCGATGGTCTTAATCGTCGTGAAGTGCTTAAGTCGTAGACCCTCAAATTCCGATGAATGGTTCGTATGGATCAAGCCATCATAAGGGGTAGACTTGAAGCATTAGTATTCCTACCTACTAAACTCTTGCGAAGCGCAATACCGAGGGTAGAGATTGTAGCTCGGGCGCCCAGCCAGCTGCCAGCTTCTTTCTTTTCCTTGCGTCCTAATTCCGCGGACGTTCCATAGCCGACTCTTTCTAGGTGTGGGAAGAATGATACTTCCCGATATGGATGCCCAACTGCCCCCGACCAAGAGCCCTGAGAAACGCCTTTCTTGCCCCAACATAAGTCAGGTTTCTCCCTTTTTTTTCCTCCTCATCGTATTATCTCCGAAGAAGGGGCGAGAAAGGCTCACATTCCTGGAAAGTGCGCAAATGGCGTCCTTTAAAAGTGCTGGTAGCACAGCGATCGAGCACGAAGGGGTTAAGTATGAGGGGAGACGACTGATACCTGAAGTTGGAACAAAAGCAGAGGGCAACAAGGGCCAACCTGGGGTAGGAAACAAGGCGAACCCTTAAGCGAAACATTCTTAGCCCCATTAGCTTTTAAGGTTTGTTGCGCCCAGCTTTCTCCTCCTTGCCCAGTATCAAATCATGATTGTGTTACGCAGGATGCAAGGGGAATGGTGTTGTGTCGCGAGTTCCAACCCTTCGAACGTATGGTGGATGCTGTTCCACAAACACCATGCCACCACGACCAGAAGATATTTCTTTCGCATTCCTACTATGTCGCAGATTTACGTCTAGACACCTGGTGTGTTGGGCAGGCTTTGAGGGTTTCATGTTGGCTCTGATTGGAGTCCTTCGAGCGGGCTCTGGGATCGAGATGAATCCCAATGCCAACGCGGGACGGGTAAACTATTCACGGGGCCAAACTACAGTAGTGGAGCAAAACTGGATCCCAGTCGAAGGCAATGCTCGGAGGTAGAGTAACACCCATAAACTGATACAGCATACATCGAGACGACGGGCCCCTGTCTCCAGGCTAAAGCGTTGTGGCTTTCTCTTCTGTCACATTATCGGGTTTCTTGATTCTTCAAAGCTCAGTCTGCTACATTCCTACCATTCTCTACCTAATGTTAGAGACTGAAACTGGTGAGGAATCCATATTTGACGAAGAGAACAATGAAGTGAAAAACCGCGAAAGTCAACTCCGCCGAGGTTGCCTCAATCAACTCTCTTCCCAAGAAATGTGTGTACATATAAATATCTTCGAATCCCCAGATAATCATGTTGCTTCTTCCCCCCATCTGTCCTCACATATCCAACATCCCAATCCAAGACAACTCTTCCTTTTGAAATTAATCGAAATCTCAAAAAAAGAAGAGGAGGGAAGAAGCTAAAGATGCATGTTGCTTTCCTTTACGCCATTGGCACTCTTGCGCTCTCTGGCAAAATGAGTGTGAGTCTGGATTTCCTCTTTCCCTGGGGCTCCTCGGCCGCGGATCCAACGCATCATCTATCGATCAACCCCATATGTCTTGTATAGTATCTGGGCCCTTTACTAACCCGTCGTGGCATCTTACAGGTTATGGCTGCACCTAGAACCGCTAATGTCACAGACGGTGCCCCTAGCGTCACTGCTGCGACAAGCCTGGCCTCAGCAACCTCAGTGCCGAATGCCTATGTCGATCCGTTCTTCCAGAATTTCACCATGGTCCCTAACTCGTACACGGGTGCCTTCGGACCCAACGGCGAGACGCTGACTTTCAACGGAACCATCCAGGAGGTTATGCGGCAGGTCCGTGAAATCAACCCCGGATATGATTGGGACGGCACCGGAGGCAATGGCGCCGCTTTTAAGTTCAAAAAACCCGAGTGGAGGGACCGACATGTCTCGAAGAAAGACTGCGTGGGCCCCGACCCCAGAGGCGTTCGCCAAAGATACATCCAAGATGGCATCAAATACCTCGTCAATAGGAAGGACATGGCTATGGTCGACAAAACCGCCTGCACGCGGGTCAGCTGCTCCTGGGATGCTGCTATCTTCATTTGCTACGAGCCACCTACCTCGTCGTCGTCCGCCACTTATACCAACAGCTGGGACTACGTTGCCGCTTACGCCCAGGGCATCATTTCCGAGTGGTGTCCAAAGTGGTACTCCCCAGATACGCGGTCTGCCTTTGCTGTCCGCGGCAGAGTTTGGGCTCCTGATGGCCTTATCGTGAGTGTTCAGTACGATGATTGTTAAGCGGCCAAGGCACTGAAGCCACCCGCTTTCCTTTTTCTCCTTGGTCCGCTTTCGCTTCTTTCTTTTCTTCCGTTTCACTGTCGGCTCCTTTCTTATATTATCACGGATCATCGTGATTCGAGCTCGATGCACCTGCAGCTTTAAGGGCGTTGTAGTCGTTCAATTCTATGGAGGATGATAGTTTGTTGTTAGCAGGCTAACGCCAGGCCTGTCGGCGTCAGCTAGTTTAAAAAAAAAAACTTATCCATCGCTTCGCTGGAACTTGAAACCTTGAGTAGCTGCTTCATTTATCATAACCTTAACGCAGGACATGGGGGTGTTTGCGACTCTGCTGGAACACACTACCATCAGCTAGATAAGTGGTTCGACATTGCTAGCCGTGACTCTTGCCGATGGGCCGTCTGGTGTGTTGGATTCAGCCAAAAACTTTCCAACAGACTACATGCTCTTGGGCGTTGTGGCTAAGGACCCTCTCTCTCCGTCAGCGGGCACGGCACCCTGGCATAACTGTTCAAAGATAGGCTGGCTGGGGATGGCATTGCCTAATCTATCCAAGTTCAGTTCACTAAGCAATTAATCGGATATTAGACAGTAGACGGATCGCGAGGTTCAGAATAAGACTATGGGCCTAATTTATCACATCATAGTAAATGCTAATAACCGGATTGATGTCATAGCCAAACCTACCTCGGATGCTTATATATATATATATCTAAAAGAAGGATCAATTGATATCTGCTGTCGGTTTCTTATCAGTTCATACCATTAATATTCTCCGTCATTAAAATTTCAATGAGTTGACGATGCGACCACTACAATATCTCCATCTGGATCCCTCAGCAAGGCAGCCCCTCCTAAAGCCCGACAAGGGAAGGAAGCCGGCACTTAACTACTTCCCAGTGAAGACGAGTCATTCTTCGGCAATCTCGGCGGGCGGCGAGAACGGAAGGGTCCTATTCATAGGCACCGCAACAACCGTCATCGAATGGCAAGGGCTCCGCATTCTAACCGACCCAAACTTCCTGCGCGAAGGTGACCGCGTCCATCTCGGACCTGGTATCACTGCTGAGAGACTCACGAATCCAGCTCTTGACTTGGATGAGATGCCACCCGTCGATGTAATCCTTCTCACGCATTATCATGCCGATCATTTTGACCCGCTTATGGAAGATGCCCTTAACAGAGACTTTCCGGTTGTTACGACACCTCATGCGAAGACTCACTTGGTTTCCGGAAGAGCCGGGAAAGATCCATTTCGAAATGTGACAGAGCTGGATTTCTTCGAGAGCTTGATTCTCCTAGCGCCGAGGATGGACCACAAGAGGCGCCCGGTTGTAAAAGTGACGGCGATGCCAGGGAAACATGTCCCTCCAGGCCCACTCTCGGTCGCGAACAAAATCATTCGTGCCGTGCCCCCAACAAACGGATGGATGGTGGAACTGGGATATTCAGATGATATTCCGTCACCGGTGACTGGAGAGATTGTCACGGGGTACCGGATATACATATCTGGAGACACCCTCTTTGTTGACGACCTGAAAGAGATTCCGAGATGGCTGCACCGGAAACGGGTCGACTTGATGTTGATTCATCTCGGAGGTGCCGCAATCCCCAGGCCTTCTGTACCTCTCGTCACGATCACCATGGACGCCAAAGACGGCGTACAACTAATGAGGCTTGTGGATCCCGACACGACCATTCCGATACAGTACGACGATTATAACCATTTCCTGTCTTCTCTTGAAGACTTCAAGGCGGAAGTGGAGAAACAGAAAATGTCACAGCAGGTGATATGTCTTGATCGAGGGGATGAGTACAAGTTCAAAGTCAACGATGCATCTCAAGAGGAATTGGAACATATTCGACACAAGTCTAGGGATCGGCAATTCATCAGTTGAGAAAGAGAAAGGACGCCACATGTCGCTTGCCACAAAGCCGCCCAAGGCCGGTAGAGAGGTCGATAACCTTGAAAGGATTGGGAATGCAGTCATACCTAGGACCAGGTCAGGCGACTTCCCCGGCTTGACTGTGGGATCCGATATTCCTTTCTCTTCTTCTTTCCCTAGTCATAACGAGGGCAGAGAGAGACCTAGCATGCACGTCTTCGTCAAAAGTGAGAGCAATCCCAACTTTAGCTTTGTGCGAAGTACTGCTACTTCGTAGTAAAAATCCGTATGACAAGCCCTGCAAGATCTCTAGTACGAAGCAGCCAATATAACCAATATGCCGTTTCTCATGATACTGCCCAATGCCAAGTTGTGGCCCCACGTCGCCTCATTAATGCGACCGAATTCTCCAACCTGTCCGGTTTTCTCTGCCCAAGGTTCCAGTGCCCAATCAAGGGTCCAGACTAGGACTCGATTATCCCATTCTCCGTTACATTTGGAGCGATAATTGACGCATCAACTAGCCCAAACAGGAAACCTATAACAGTGGTCCCACATGCCATCTTCAAACAGATTTAATAATCTCCCAAGGTTTCGGCAGTCGTCAGGAGCGCGAAAAAAGGAAAGGCTATTTAGGCGCCACTTACCCGGAGAGCATCAATTTCATCATTACAGAGTACTCTGGGAAGTCCGTACGTAGCGTATTTGGCATGAGCCGCAAGTACACCAAGGTAGCCGATCTCCTTTGTTCTCTGGTTTCCCACTCAAGAACAGGTTTCTCGCACTCTGTGAACGGGATAATAGCGGGCCAGCTTATCCAGCCCCCTTTTCCACGTGCCATAAGCCCGACGCAATTCACAGGGCAGACTTTCAGTTCAGAGATGAGGGAACATCTTATTATCCGTCGTTACCTTGCATGGCTGGCATGATAAAATCCCAAAGCGGTCGAGACCGAAGCTTGGATGTGGAGAAATGCAACACCACTTGGCTGGGGTATGCGGGGGTAACGGCGAATAGCAAGCAAGAAAACCCTGAACGGTTGGAGAATTACGCCGAAAACATTTCGGTTTGGCACCCTCATGATTGGAGAGAGAGGTGTCCCAGACAAGGATCGTCAGGCTCTGTGTTGACAGACTAGCCCAAGCTTGGAAGCTAACCCCGAAGTAGTAGACGACGGTACTCCTCTTTTCCACGAGCAAAATGGGGAGCTGCCAAGTCAGCATTTGGAGACATGCCTCGGAATTTCCGGCCCACACTCCCACGCTGTTCGAAGCTGGGTGAACGGAGAAATGGAGCTGCCAGACTATTAAACATAACTCTTGTGTACACAGGTATACCTGACTCTGAGGGCATCTCTTTCGGGTTTTCCGGTCACGTTATCACCATTCAAACCTGGGGAAATAAGGGAGCTAATGCGCTGCATCCTTGCGTCACATCGCGCCGCATCGGCAGATCTCTTCTACCACCTCGTAGGCGAAGAGACAAGAACAGAAAAGCTGGGGGGAAGGTACGATAAAACGCGGGGAGCTCCACGACCATCCCTTCCTGCGGTACGAAGCAGATCGCCTACCAGCACCTCATCTGCGGTCTACCTTCCTCATAAGGACCTCCCACGTGTTATCCGCGTTCCGAACCCACGGGCCCGGCGATAAGCAGATAAAGTTTCCCCTACTCCAAGTCGACCCTTAAACGCAACCAAGAACCGCCTCACCTATCATATTCCTGCTCGCTGCCTCTAACCACGTGTTTCTGTCATGACGTCCAGCGAGAAGGATAGACCTGAAGACCTGCAGGTTGAACAAAAGGTCGCATCAGCGGGCTTTAGAACAGAAAAAGCTGTGGGTGGTAATCTCCATGCCGTGGCCGGTCGCGGTAATGTGGCCACTGATGAGTAAGTGTCTAGTGACATCTTTCTATGATTGATACATGGGCATTTTTGCTACAGACTGCGTATTGACGACCTACAGACATGGTAACCCTCTTGTTGAGTTCGACCCAGTTGCCGTGAAGAAGCTCCGGTGGAAGCTCGATCTCTACACCGTCCCCACCGTCGCTTTTCTCTACCTCTTCTGCTTTATTGACCGGGCCAATATCGGTAGGGAAATCCCTTCCTTTCTCCTGGGCAATGGCAGGCAGCCTCTTGCCCAGTGAGGGTCTCTCGAGAATCGAGATACCCTTTCCTATCCTGGGTCAAGCATAATCTGACTGTCGTGTCACGTATAGGCAACGCCCGTATTGCCGGCCTGGAAAAGGACCTCGGACTCAAGGGCTTCGACTATAACGTCGTTCTGTCCGTTTTCTACGTCTCCTACATCATCTTCGAGATCCCCGCCAGCATCTGCTGCAAGTGGATGGGTCCCGGCTGGTTCCTTCCGCTCACCTCCCTTCTCTTCGGTGTCGCATCGATTGCCACCGCCTTCGTCCACAGCCGAGCCGCCATCTGCGGTGTCCGGTTTCTCCTCGGCATATTTGAAGCTGGCATGCTACCGGGAATCGCATATTACCTTTCGAGATGGTATCAACGTGCTGAACTCACCTTCCGCCTGTCGCTCTACATGGTCATGGCACCCCTCGCGGGTGCCTTCGGTGGGCTGCTAGCATCTGCGATCCTGACAATGGATCACTTTGGCTCTCTCCACGAATGGCGAATGATTTTTGCTTTGGAAGGCATTATTACTGTTGGGCTATCCCTCATCGCCTTCATCACGTTGACTGACCGTCCCGAAACGGCACGTTGGCTCACGGAGGAAGAGAAGGAACTGTGTATCGCACGTGTCAAGTCCGAGCGTATTGGTGCCACGGAAGTCATCGACGGAATCGATCGTACGAAGCTGTGGCGCGGCATGACGAACCCGGTCACCCTTGAGATTGCCGTCATCTTCCTGTTCAATAATATCACCGTTCAGGGCCTCGCTTTCTTCCTGCCTACGATTGTTAGGAGCATCTACCCCGAGTTCACTGTTGTGCAGCAGCAGCTTTACAGCGTACCTCCCTATGCCGTGGGAGCATTCTTCGTCTTGGCGTACCCTGCGCTGAGCTGGTATCTTGACCGGAGGCAAATATTGATCGCACTCTCCTCGCCTAGTAAGAAACTATCTACCTGGTCCTGGCATGCTGTTATATTTGTTCTTGCTTTCTGACGTCTTGTAGTGGTTATGGCTGGGTACATCATGTTCCTTGCGTCCAAGGTCAATGTAGTTCGCTACGCCGCAACGTTCTTGATTGCCAGCTCAACCATGACGCTGGGACCCATGTCGAATGCGCAGATCAGCGCCAACGTTGTCAGCGACACAGCGAGGAGCAGCGCCATCGGTCTCAACGTAAGTGCTCCTTCTGCCTCTATCCGTTTCCTATTTCGAACTTGTTCACGCTAACACGTCGGGGCAAAGGTTATGATGGGCAACATTGGTGGTCTTGTCTCGACATGGAGCTACATCGTTTGGGATGCTCCCGATTTCCACATCGGCAACGGGCTCAATCTTGCGGCGGCAAGTGTGATTCTCATCGTTGCCACCGCAGCTTGGTTCTGGATGAAGTGGGATAATAAGAAGCGGGATGGAAGGAACGTCGAGGAAGAGCTGGCCGGTATGAGTCCGCGGGAGATCGCAGATCTCGACTGGAAACACCCCGGTTTCCGATGGCGCACATAATAATAATGCGACTTGATGGCCGTTGCAGAGGTATTTGTATAGGATTGACAAGGAGCGTTGCTTATTTATTGCCATCATTATCGAACTCTAAGTTGTAGCACCAATACGGCATGCATGCCAACATCACTCTGTTTCAGGACCTGTGGAGACTGTGTTGTAACCCAGAACAATGATCGTCCAGCGATGAATCACTCTTTACATGGCGTTTTGTGCAGTGGCTTTTTGATCTATGCCTAGGACTCAAACTTACTGCATGTGCGTGACCTAGCGCTGAAGGCCGGTGACAGTTTTCCCTATTACCGGACGGCGGCTGATTGGTGTGCCAGCCCCGAACCAACCGTTTCTTAATATCACCGAGATTCGATTTCGTAAACAAGACGCTTAATTTCTCATGGTAACCAGCATGTGTATTTGTTCTATGTAATGTAATCCAAAGCAAGAAAGCTCTGGATAAACGGAAATATATACAGGGGAAATTGAGTTTCATCACGGCATGATGCTCTCACTCATATAGTAACCGTATGAACCCCTGAAGCTCGAAAGCCGGACTTCCACCCATCTCCAGCTACTTCGTAGGATCATCTCGTTATCTCTTAAGCAATACCGTTGTAGGCAATAAGGTTAGGGCTTCTATACTTGCGGCGCGTGACGCCAGCGGTGCCGAGAGCCTTGATACGGGAAGTAAGTGCACCAGGGCTGTTGATGTTCTCGCGGACGGCAAGGTAGAGAGCAAGACCGGCGACGTGGGGGCATGCCATCGAGGTTCCGGTAAGAGCGGCAGTGGAGCTAGTGGAGCCAATGTAGGCGGAGACGACACCAGTGCCAGGGGCCAGGATATCGACGGCGGGGCCGTAGTTGGAGTAGGAGTCCTCGATCCAGTTGTAGTTGACGGCACCGACAGTGATAACTTCGGGGGCAGAGGCAGGAGAACCGTAGGCGGCCGGGGTGTTCTCGTTGCCAGAAGCGACGACGGTGAGGATACCATAGTTGAAGGCGGAACGGACAGCAGAGTTGAAAGCGGCAGAGTAGGGACCGCCTAGTGATCAGCCCAGTTAGCGAGAGACGGTTACGCCCGAAATGCTGTTTTACACAGTTGAATGTATCGAGGACTTACCAAGTGACATGTTGATAACAGCGCGTCTCTGGCGACCCTTGCTAAGGATGTCGTTGACAGCCCACTGGAAACCATTGAGGATAACCGAAGTAGATGATTCGCGATCACGGAAAACCTTGACGTCAATAATGTTGGCCGACTTCGCAACACCGAAAGTCCTTCCAGCAATAGTTCCCGCAACGTGGGTGCCGTGACCGAGGGTATCGTCAAAGGCGCCACCAGCAGCGTTGTATCCGTGGACTGCACGACCTCCAAACTCGACGTGCCTAACATTGACGCCACTGTCTATGACGTAGGCATAGCTGCCGCTGCCAGCGCTCGAGTCGAAGCGGTAGGTGGTAGATCCGCGGTTCCTATTGGAGATGGCGCCGAGGCCCCAGGGGGCGCCGGACTGGGCCATGGTAGCAGAGAGGGTATAGGTTTGGTCCAGTTCAACCTCAGCAACCTATTTCAGTGTTGGTCAGTCTCTGAAGTTGGGGCGGCGTAGAAAATATTGTGTGGTGGCCTACGTCGGGGTTCTTCTTGATCTCCTCAAGTGTGGCCTCGTCAAACTGGCCAGTATAACCACGGAACTTGTCGCCAATTTCGTATGTGGTTTCAACCCCAGTCAGATCACGGCGTCCCAAGCTACGCTTATGGACATCGTTGACCCAGCCGAGGTGAGATTCCGCTCCTTTTGCGGTGACGCCATCCTTCAAGATAACGATGTACTTGCCCTCGGTTTTGACGGCAGGCTCCCGGGGCTCGATAGTTCCTGCAACGATAGGTCCAGCCACAGCGAAGGGGACAAGGTTGAGCAAGAAAGCTAGCTTTCTGAATGAAACCATTTTGAAAAGATGAGTTACCAGACTGCTTATGAAGGGAGAAGTTCAATGAGATGAAGGTTGTTGATGATTGTGAGTGGTGGTGTCGACTTGAGAGAAAGAAGCGAGGAAATCGTCTTAATATATACGGCCTTTCCCATAGGAAGATTCGTATTTTCTTGCGTCAGAGGGCGAGATACGGGTCAGTCACGATATTGTCAGTGCTTTCACATTATTCAGGATTAAGGACCATCGCCGACGGAACGATTGCAGCCCTTGGCTTCCCATCCTCGTCTTGGCGCATATTACAGTCACTCTCGCATTTGACACACTGCCTCGAGGGCCCAGCGAACTTTTGTCGCGTGCCTTGAGGACTATCGTGGAAAACACCATGATTCTCCACCGGGCGGTGGGGTTTGGGCTCTTCACCACCCCACGAAGAAAAAAAAAAGGAAACGTGCGGAGCTTGGTTTTCTTCGTTATGGAAAAGCATGTGAGATCTAGTGTCTGCTTGTAGAGGCCTCCCTAACAAGCATACTCCTTGTCAGAACAGGCAGGATGCAACGCTAGCCTCGGGACTGAATACCACCAAGTTCAGCTAACTTCCCGATGCGGCTCAGGTGCCGGAGTGTTGTATCCGCCTATGTTCAGTTTGGGCCTCCGCGTTGCCCACCGTTTCCCCTTTCCCCCACGACCTAGAGCATTTCGATATTTGCGCAGGTTCTTCTGTGATGTCCAACAATTAACGACTAAGTGGGCTACCCCTGCGTTGTCCCCGCTCTTTCAGTCTGAAACGGCCATCCCAACGTTGAAGACGATGGGACCGCCAGTTGCAGCCCAGCCCTGGAGTCTCGGGGTCTGGCCATTGCGTCACCAAGTTGCAGGATTCTGAGCAAGGGCCATCCGCCTATCCAGAGTGGCGGAGACCTTGCTTACCCCACTCTTCCAGGTCACGTACGACGTTATGAGAGTTATGAAAAGAAGAGGATCTGCGCATTGAAGAGTAAAATGAGAGGGCCTCTTTTGAAACGCATAAAGCCCGCCTTACTTCTCAGGGAAGCTGGTTTATATAATCGCAAACAAAGTGGGATATTCAGAACGCTCGGTTTATATTCTGGAACTTGGCAGGGCGATGGAAAACGTCTCGACGAGCCAATGTTGCCGTCTTGGCGCGAAAATGTGGCTCCTTTCAGCCGGCGAAAGTTGGGTAGATGCGAGATCACGCAACACCATGGGATGATCGCAAATTCATGTCGGCACTAGGAATCTAAAGACTATTAAGGGAGGTGGTCATGCGATGGAGTTAAAGAAACTTGCTGTGTTGGCGGGGTATTCGTCGATGCTCAGAGATGGGATCACACCGGAATAGCTCTTATAGCCGCGGCTCTATCACCCCTCGGCGGTAGGGGAGCCGAAGGCACCGAACAAATTCCGATAGAGACCTCGAACTCGATGTTGCGGAAGGGGTTACTGGCAGCTAGGTCAGAGAATATGGTGATGCGAACGGAGCTGACGACGTCCGTATTGAGATCAGCCAAGAACCAGCTAGATGGTATTAATAGTGTATATGCTGCTACAAATATGGCAATAGCAATGGCCGGAGTAACATTTTCGCCACACAGAAATAAACCTGGTCCCTAGCATGTTTCTACATAGCTTCATGTATTCTTCGCTGGGGCATAAAGCAGAGACCTGTGGAAACGCGGAACCACAAAGGCGAATGATGGCCGTTCAGGAGCAAGCAATAATATCGGCCGAGTCCTCAAGGGTCCTACGTACCCCCACAGTATCCGATGTGGGTTGGTGGAGACGATCATGAGGATAGGAGGTTTCGAAGTAGTATTTCGTAGCTTGAACCGTACTCGACATTCGGCTGGTCTTCTCTTCCTCCAAATTTTTTTTTCCCGTTCTCTTATTTCTTTCTTCCTTTTCTTATTTTGCCCTTGGTTGGCAGGATTGGAGACTAAATCGTTACATGCATCAGAGTGTACTCTGAGCAGTTCAAATCTTCACAACAGCCTTTCCAAAGTTCTTCCCTTGCAACATTCCAATAAACCCTTCCGGAGCGTTGTCGATACCCTCCGTAACATAGAGCTTGGCCTTAACGCTTCCATCTGCGAGCCACTTTTGCATCTTCTCCTGATGTTCGTTGAAGTAGGCTGGTCCAAAGTGCGGCCTACCTACGAGGAAGCCTTCCATCAGAATCTGCTTGGTGACGATCTGGAACAGGCCCTTGACACCCTGGCGCTTCTCTAGTGGCGTGTTATATTCAGAAATCTAAGTTGGTTAGCATCCCTGAATATTTCCCCTTCGCTACGATCAACTCACCATTCCGCAAGCGCATATGCGACCGTCGGTATTCATGGCGGTAAGTGCAGCCTCAAGATGCTCTCCTCCCACATTCTCAAAGTAAATGTCAATGCCCTCCGGCGCGAGGCGGTTAAGCGCCTCAAGAGGCTTCTCCTTTTTGTAGTTGAATCCCCCATCGAAGCCGAGCTCGTTGATGATAAAGTCCAATTTCTCATCGGAGCCGACGGAGCCTATAACCCTTAGGCCTTCCTTCTTCGACACTTGCCCCACAACTTGCCCAACTGCACCGGCGGCGGAGCTGACGAAAATGGTTTCACCCTTCTTCGGCTTTCCAATTCGGTACAAGCCGGACCAGGCAGTCAGCCCTGGCATACCGAGAGCACCGAGGAAAAGTCCGAGGTCGAGGCTGTGAGGGTTATTAATCTTGCGAACCTTGGCCTCTTCGGGATTATTGACCACGGCGTATTCAGCAATGGGCTGGTAGGCGATGACGAGGTCACCTTCATTGAAGGAGGGTGCATCACTCTTCAGCACCTTGCACACGGTGCTATTGACGATGGGGCCGTTGATCTCAAACGCGGGGGAGTAAGACTTTATATGTGGATCTCGCATTTTGCCACGGAGATATGGATCGAAGGAGGCGTAGAGAACCTTGAGAACGAGTCCACCCTTGGGTGCGGGATCATCCAAGTTGATGGGGCGGTCCTCTATCACCAGGTGCTCCCCAGGAACAGGAACACCGGTCGGGACCTTTTTGAACACCAGGGTCTTATTAGACACCATTTTGGGCGAAAAGGATGAAAAACACTATCTAGAGAGGTGAAGCTTCGAAGGTGTCAAAACGGCGGTCAGGGCAGGGGCGGGAAGAGGGAAATCGAGCGATTATATGGGTAGAAAACAGAGGACCGGAGCTCTTGCCCGATGACGTCGGAGTCTCTGTTTTGTGCCGAGGCGATTTTAAAGACTTAAGGTTTATATTACTAATTCACTGTGATGCCATCATGCAATTGATGCCGGCGCACCACACCAAGACTAGTTGAGTCGTACGAGAGATTGCCGATGCTTCATCGGAAATTCTTCAATCTCGGCCTTCCGAAACAGATCTTACTAGTTGGTAGCTATTATTTCTACTTGCATTTGTAACAGTGTCTAAAATGGTTGTGGTGATGCAGTCGTCCTCATCCTCAACAATGCGCCACACTTTACCACACACTTTACCAATGCCAGACTGAAAACTAGCTCCCACACCTCGCCGCTCTGGACTCAGAAGACCCGGAGCACTTTGTGGCTTGGCCGCATTGTTTGGCTTGGTCCGGGTTCACCTGGGTGACTCGATGTGGCTGTGGTCCGTCCATCCCGCCATGTTTGATTGGGTGATGTCTCTGATGGAATCTTGGAAGTTGGGCGGTGCACCCACAGAGGATATTGTTGACCAGGCTGGAGCTGACTCTTTTCAACTCCCGAAACCCCCCTCTCCAATTTTCTTTTTTTCTTCCTTTTCATGAATCTTCGCCTCGAGTTACAGCCTGCCCTCCTCTTCCCACAAACCGCCACGTTGCTCTTACTCCTGTTGACGCCATCGCTCGGTTGTCTGAATACCGAGAAACGGAACCTCTCGTTACAAGCCACGCTGCTTAAAACCAACCCCAAAAGACTCATTTCGAAGTATATCCTCTCTGAGCTGGCAAAGAGGCATCTTGGGCCCATCACACTGACCTCCCCCGCATCAGAGAGCACGAAATCTTAATACCTACTACATTCCGCGAATCTCACAGGACGATCGAGACATCTTCTTCCATCTTTGACCGATTAAAAGGTGGTTTCGGTTTCGATTGACAACATCGCCTTTAAAAAGTATTCGGGGCGTTGGTCGCCCCTCCACCTTCCCTTCAAGCCGAACACATCCCTGACAGGCAATCAAATCCACGACTCGTTACCTACTTCCCAGTGGGGTTGACACGAACTTAATGGAGCCTTCACCGGGCCACGACGATGGATCACCTAACCACCAAGCCCGCCAGGATGAGAATAGGATCCCACGAGGCCATCGAGGGAGGGAACAGACGCAAAAGAGAACTCTTCATACCGATGGTGGGGAAGATGATGGTCATAACCGTGAATCAAATAAGCGACGTCCATGGACACCCCCAAGATTCGCTTGTCCCTTTTACAAGCTGGACCCAGTCCGTTATCGCAGTTGTTTATTTAGGCACACGTTTGCAGGGACAAATTACGTGAAACAGCACCTGCTCCGGGTCCACGCACCTCATTACTGTCCTACTTGTGGTGAGGTATTCAAGCGGGAGGAGCTCTGGAGCGAACATATACGGAATGGATCGTGCGAGCCCCGTGAATTCACACTTGATATAATGACAGACTTACAAAAGCAGGGGCTGTACAGCCTGTCGCGTGGCGGAGGCGAAGTGGAGCGTTGGTATAGATTATGGGATCATCTATTCCCAGAAATCTCTCGCCCAGAATCGCCATATCTGGAAGACGTCTCACTGGAGATTATGAGATTCCATCTAGAGCAATGGCTGGAAAACCATTCCCACGAAACCCACAACTCAAGCCCCCTAGATTTAAGCGGCGTGTCCCAAGAGATGCAGAGAAGAATTGTCGAACAGATTCTGCGGAGCACTTACCAGGATATAGACGCTCTGGATGTTATTAATACGGACACCATCAGGACTACCTTCGATCGTGCCCAGACGCAGAGTACTCCGCCTATCACTAGTTCTGTCACTCCACCTCCACAAGAGACTACTGTCATGGTAGACCCCACCTTCGGGGATGAAATGCGATCTTCGAACACCCCTGGGGATCGGGACCCTTCTGGCCAGTTCTGGGACTTCCAATTGCCCCTAAGTGTGCCCTACCCGGGTGCTGAAGTATACAGGACCAACTCCCATGTCAACGAACCATTGATCGGCGGCTTGGAACGCGGTTTGGCCGAACCGGTAGATATTCCTAGTTACCTGAACAAAGAGGATGCGACCCAACAACCAGAATCAGCAGGCACGGCGCAGCCATCCATGCCACGCCCTAGCGGTAAGGTCCAACATGCGGAATATGTTGAGACCCCAGATCGTCCCTTTCCCCCCAGTACCATTGGCAGCCTCGGCAAGGAACGTCTTGCTCAACAGGGAGGTAGCTCGAGCCACGATTCCGGATATGCAAGTCTACAACCTTCTGAAGCAGCGGCAAAGATTCTCGACGAGACTGCTAGCGTCTATTCCATTGATTCTACCCCCACCGAACGGCGAAGCAGATATGTAGCAACTTTCGCGAGTCGCTTAGCCGAAGACATTCGACAAATACCATCGTTTTCTCAAATATCGGAGGAATCTCTCAGACATTTTCCAGAGTGGGTCAGATCTTTTACCATGAAGCTTCATGGCGAATCGTCTAGCATGATTGAGAAAGAGGCTTCGGTCTTCCTCCGGAAATACAGAAGGTAAATATTTTGCCATTTGATATTTATTCTTTTATCCTTGTCCATTCAATACGGCTTACCTGACCACTCCTCTTGCAGGGATATTATACAAGAGCTCCGCTGCCTCCCGCTAGGCGAGCCCTCGGAGTGCGGTCTCGATTACCAGGAGGAGGAGGAGATGACTTATAGAGCAGCCTTCCTTCCGAAATCAGTACTTGATAGCTGGCTGCGAAGCCTTCAGGCTGCAGAAGATCCAGAGGCGGCGAGTATTATTGCCGAGGCTGAAGAGGACATGCAGCTTCCGAATCTCGCAGAGTACGAAGAGTTTATCGCAGGATCCCAAGCATATAAATGGCTTCTAGCTAAAATTAGGTGTTATTCCCTCCTCGAAATTCATGGCAAGAATCGGCTGTTAGATATCGGAGATTCTATCCGTGCACAACTCCTAGCACACTCAGCATTCCGCGAAGTCAGCCGACGAACTACGCCTGCCAAGGTAGAAGTCGTTTTCCACCTGGAATGGAATTTACTTCAGTTTATATTAGAGCAAGAGCATTCAAAACCAGCAGCAAAAGTCCTGGACCACATCATTTGCCTCACCGGAACTTGGAAACAGGCCCAAGCAATGACTGTCCAAGAGTATATGGACCAAACGTGGCCTTCAACTAGCCAACCACTTCGGTCATTGCTGAAGAAATCCTGTGCGTTGGCCGGGATAGGCCCCTACAGCTGTGTGTCTAACGTCTCCCCTTACTAACGGAAAAGCAACTCCGTTCAATACTAACCACAAAATAGGTTCTTTGCCAAATGGTGAGGAGCTGAGGTTTACCCAATTTCCGACATCTTGCAGCTTGGTGGTCAGAGGACAAGTTGACTTCGCCGCTGAAATCGGTGAGCAGTTGGGATGGCTTGCATCCTCCTTGCGCTCATCTCCTGTTTCAAATGGCCTGCTCGCCTGCTTTCCAGAAATCTCGGACTTCCAGATCCATGACGAGAATTACAGGCCTAACGGTACTGTACATGCGTCTTGTCGAATCGATTGCCAGATGGATCTTGCTCAGGAGATCTCTTCCTCTTCTCCGGGGTTCTGCTGGGCGAACTTGTTCAGGAACCCGCTCTTGGTGACAGGCTATCCCATTCGCAGTCGATGTACCTCTGACACTGGGCTGGAGCTGTCACTTCGGGTATTAGCGCAATTAGTCGATTCTCGTCAGCTGACGAGTATTGGAGAGAGGATAGTTCTTAAGGGGTTCAGCAGCCTCCTCGTCGTGACAGCCGTAGTAGCGGATGCCGTTCTATGGCACCTGGTCTTCAACTCAACGGGGGAAAGGATCTCGTACTGCGACCCCAGACTCGAGTCGACCAACTACAAGATAGCGGAAGAATTCACACTACGACATCTAGAGACCCAGCGCCATGTTGTCGGTTGGTGTAGCCATGTCAGAGAATTATCAGGTAAGCGGGCTCCTTCGCCTCCGCCGCAAAGCGTACTAAACCGCCGATCTCTTAATAGGCCGTCCTGAAGCAAACCTAGCCATCCATGTCTGCAATCTGCAGCCGCCACCAAAATACATAGTTATTGAACGAGCCTACCTTGAAGGGGGTGCTCAGGTAGTCGGCGGACTCACTGCTAGCATAGGAAAGAGAGACAAGCCCGTCCACTTATCACGAGGATCGAGTTTCGTAGGATCTTTGGATTGGATCACCGATAAACCTATTGTGTTATACGATGTGGACGACCGAAGAGCTTGGCTGGTCGACGGCGCCTCTGCTCTCTTGCACTTGGTGAGAGCGTCAATCGATCGGGACAGGGAACGGCCGGCATATCGTGCTAGCTGGAGGTTCAACGGAACACTGGAGGAGGGGCAATCTCCGGCTGAGGTGCTCGGAAATCCGAAGAACCTCAACCTCCCACTTTTCCTTGACCAGGAAAAACAAACTGACACGGGTATCATGAAAATATTTTATCGATTTCAAGACAGAGTGGAGGAGATACTGCATAGTCTGGAGGCAGTCATCGACTATCAAGTTCAGCTAGCAGCGAGGGATGGATACTGGATCCAACAGTCAACGAAAGGATTCAAGAAGAGTTTAGTCGGTTTCGATTTCTGGGACCTTGCCAAGCCATCGGGGTCCACGATGCCGCGCATTTGCTATTTGGGGAAAAAGGGCTACGGCTGGGTCGACTACATTCGTGCCATTAAGGCAACTACCATCTTCGGAAGCAAGTTTGGGGAACTAATCCAGGCTGACAATGCGGGCGTCCTCTGCCCCGACTGGAAGACGGTTCGCGTTGGTGAGGATTATTTGTGTACATCCATCGCGACTTTGAAGACCATCCAGAAATCAAAGATGGGCGTCAAACTAGGTCCGGGCGAGATCACAAGCGAGATAATTTGGTCGACACGGTACAACTTGTTTTCTCAATGCATTTGTCGGGAAACTCTGCACCCGAATGGGATTCCATCTCATCTTGACCCCGTCCAGATACTCCTCCCTAAGGGAAAACTTACGCAGCTCGTTGTTCCCGACACTTGCGGAAATGTTACGCTCCACGAGTTGGGAGATGACGGAGCGGTAGTGTTCGGGCATACCCCATATCACAAGGCCTTTCCTAGACTGGGATCTGAAAAGTATCGTGAGGAAACACGAGGCGAGGATAGGAGCGCTTCTAGCGCCGGATCAAGCAGAAGCGAGGCATCGCCAGTTAGCAATCCGAGCTCGCTCTCATCTTTGAAGACGTCTCCGCCGGCCACTCAGGTGAGTTCCGGGTCTGATGTTATCCGAGTTGATGGTGATCACTGGAAGAGGTTGGTAGTAAGGAGAGACGGATTGAATTTGTTAAGAAAGCTGAAGTTCGGCACACGAAAGGATGATGTGTGAACCGGGCGAGACTCATAGTCCGGCCGAATCGTGGGGTCCTGAGGAATCCATGGCTGACATAGTCAAAGAATTGCTCTTTTTCCAAATATGTAACTATCCAGGAATCACAATCTCCCAGAGCGTCGTAGTGTATGTTCAAGCATGAGTGGTTTAGTCCGTTAGCTAGGTACCCACTGAGATACGTATGCTCTGTCACGTCATGAAAGCACGATCCTCTCGTGCAACGGGCCACAGTGGAATCTAGAGCCTTAGGGGCATGTCTAGACTTTCACTATCCTCCTTTAGTTAACGCGGGACAACAGGCTCGACCATGACGGAATTCTCTAGGGGCGAAGCGATACACCCTGTAGACACGGAAAGCCGCCCGGCTACTCCTGGACAACCTCACAGTGTATACTCGCTTATCAATAGGCCACGTTTAGCCCTGGCGTGAGTCTTGGTCTCACCAATATGCCAACTCCACTTCCGGCCAGGTAATGGACTCGTTGCGGCGTGATGAGGCGTATCTGCCCCTTAATCCGATCGGCATTTCTGGACAATTGGCCATAAATTCTAGTTAAAAAAATTCTGTGGACACTCCCCAGGGAAATCGCCCGCAGGCCGCGACGGAAATCAACCCCGTCTCACAAAAATCTTGGGTTCCTAAACCAGCCGGTCGCCATCCCCCTCTGCTCGAGAGGGGGAGCAACAATTCCTTCTAGACAACTGCTATTTGACTATAGACGGTTGAATTCTAGAAGCACAAGCTCCCCACTAAACTTCTTTGCATTGTCCATCGTTTTCGTCTTACGGGTCTCACATGTTCCGCTCGGCCCGTTCGCGCGGCATATGGCGTCCCTTATTTCTGGCCTCGTCAACTGTTATCGTCAATTTGTTTTACAGTAACATGTGAAGACTCTGCCGCTTCCCGCCTCCCGCCTGCCGCAACAGCCTCAAACGCCATCAGTCCCTCGAGGACCCGGAGCCTCCAATTCAGTCCTCAGCGAATCCGCCATCTCGCTGAGCATGTCAAACTTCTAATCATACACCGTGTCGCTCCTATTATCCATAATCGCACTAGGCCTGACTATCTAGCTCGAACAGAGGCCGATTTTTCTCGCAGGGTGATAGTCGCATATGGAGGATCTGCCCTTAGTGATGCCTAGTTTTTCCTCAAACTTCCGAATCATGTGCTTGAAATTTTGCAGGTCGGGATTATAGCTGCCCAGATCTTGCTCAGTAATCACGAGGCCAAATGTAATACCTCTGATAGTCTATCATTCGTTAAGAGAAGGTTTTGTGATCAACATTAGATCATACGACCAGCTTGTAAAAGTTGCCCAGCTTCCTCAATGCTTTGACTACGTCTAGAAATGCTGACCAGCTGCCTATAGAGGTGCTGAAAGCACAGCTTCGATCAGAAGAAGGTTTCGGAAGACCTAGTTTCTCCGCAATTTGTAGATAGACGCTTATTAGAAGCTTGTAGTACTCGAGGTCTGGAGTGAGGGCCTGTTGACACCGCTCACACTTGTAGATCACGTCGAGTAGCTGCTCCCGATTAAAAGCAGCATCGTTGACTTCAGGAGAGGCTGAAGGTTGTCCAGAATACCTGTTTCCTAGTCGATGAGAGTGCCGTAGACGTCGAAAGACAGGGCTTTGAAATCTGTAGGCTTGGACATAGTCGTCGGGGTGCGGGGAGGTTTATAACTTGGTGGAAAGAATTGCTTCGAGACGATTATCCCGCGAGATTTGATTAATAAAGTCCATTGTCACCTGCGCCACCACTAATCCTCCAGCATGCATCGGTTGAAACTAGCCCTAACCGGAGACTACTAATAGTTCTAGGCAGGAACTGCCAATATCATAGGCGTAGTTCTACATACTCGGGTGTAAACCGAGACTGATTGGAAATATCGTAACTATGGTAGTGAACGTGAAGTTGAAACCATAATAAACGGTGGTGGCATCACCAATGGAGGAGGGGCTCTCAAACATTTTCATTCACGGGTTTACAAGGAAGACGACATTGCCACCGGCCCACGATCGATAGACTTATTTACACTGCCCATCCTTCAGTGGTGCCTGTGTTCTTACTGCAGCCCAGCATCTACTCCTACATCTTAGTCTGTAGGATAGGGTGAGGAGAAAACGTAGCAGGGAGAGCGACGATGCCGAGGGGTTTATTTGCCGCGATTTGTCGTTCTGGATTTTGCAAACCTTTCCCCCGGTTGCTTCATTGATCAAGACAAAACGGCCGCAGCCAACAAGAGCATTGCTATATCTAGAGGTAGAGGACCAAATCACCGATGAACAGTGGGTGGCGTACGTCCTTTATATTCTCGTACTTACCACGCCATTTGAACGGCCAGCACCATCCATCACTTTCCTCGGGGCAGATAGCCTAGATTGCGACGAAGTATGACAACGTTGGTACGCACCCTCCTATCGAGGATTATGGGCGGATTCTTCACAGGGTAATTCGAAACAATGTGAACGAGGCCTCTTCATTGAAGGGTTGGCCGGGCTGGAGTGGACGCCACGGTGCAGACAGATGAAACCCATATTCCAAATTTCGATAAGAAGATACTATTTGACAAGCTGGCGAAGGAATACGAGTAGGAATCCCTTGAGCAGCTTCCGTTGTCGTCAAGCATTAGTTTTGCTGCTCTATCATGTTAGGCGCTGATGCCCACTTCTTCTTCTTCTTGTTCCTTAGCAGTATCTACTGCTCGACATCTCTGATCGTCGATATGCATTCGCTTTCTCAGATGATCGCATTGATACGAATCGAGTTCCCCGTTAAACGTTCTTGGAGGACGCGCAGATCTCGCCGTATCAAGTGACCAATACCCTGTACTAGATCTCTGCCCGTGAATCCTGCAGATGAAGGATGGAGGAGGCTAGGACGGATGGCAATCTGAATATCGTAGAAACTTCCAAGGTTGGATCGAAACTTTCGCGTGGTTCATCCGTACACTCTCACAGGCGGGTTAGATGATGTCGAAGAGAGGTAACGTTGAAATTTGGTCGCGATTGCGGGACAGCCCGCCATCAAGGTCTCATCACCACTTTTGCACTAACCCAGAGGTGTCGAGAAAAGGTCGCCCGTGGGCGAACACTGTCAACGCCATTGGGCTGTTTGCAAAATGTGATAGCCAAAATTCACCGATATCGTTTTCTTCGTGCAGGAGAGTCGGTGTCTATTTTCGGATTATTTTCACAAGCCTGCGACCAGGAATCTCGTACGGTCATCCTCGTACATACAATTGCGGGCTTCTCAGCTTTTCCAAGAAGGTAGTATTCCAGGACACAACCAGGCCGTCACATTGATCGCCGGCAATAGTGCCATATCCGGCAGAATCGAATTAGAATAGTGAGGGGACTCCCCGCAGTTCAATGCAACTTGAGTCGGAACAAAGACAAGATCGAGTTTTCCTTCGTAAAATGCCTCGACATTCTCCCAGAAAGATGCGGCGAAATACGATTACTTGCAGATACAGCACCAGCCAGCGAGCCGGATAACGGCACTGAAAAGTCCCCTTGCATCTGCCAAGTGAGCATCTCCAGTGACGTCTCCGGTGACATTCTTCAAGAAACAGCCCCGACCAATGTGACCCCTCCTCCAGGATGCCTGACGATTAAATCGACGAAAAGAGTCCTAGTGCAGGGGCCACCCGTGACCAATAGACGATCGTTCCCCCGCGATTCCACGTTCAGGGTGCCGGGACTGAGCCACTCAGGGTAACAAGCAGACCTTCGATGCATCCCTCGTGGGAAATTACGTGCTCGGATTTGTCCGCTTCGGGAATGCGACTGGACGACCATCTCGGAGTCGGCGCGTCCCTACTGACCTTGAGCAGGAGCGCGATGGAGCTGCCAAGCTGCCCCTGGATGAGTGCAGGTCTCAAATTCCTCGAAGGAAGAATATCATCTGCGTATATATAAGTGGCAGGGACTCCTTCACCCTGCGCGGTCGTGGAGAGCTACGATGGGCAGCAACTAATGTTTAATCGCACTTGGTGGCGCGACAGTTTTGGATAATATTAATAGTCATGATATCTTCGACCCTTTTTAGCGGCTTGGCCGCTCTTCCTCTCCTTGCCTTCGCGCCTCTGGTGGCCCATGCAGCCCCATCCCTGGTATCTCATGCCCGGGTTAGCGTTGAGGCCGTGAACAATGTCTCGGCGCTTAACGCTACATCCATGAACTTGGACCAGATCGTGTCCCTTCTCGCGATCGGTCCCCCTACTGCCCTTCCACAACGCGCCACGGCAAACGACTTGCGCTGGCAGCCATCATTAGACTTTGACACCGATGGCTGTTATAATGTGCCGGCCATCGATGCTCAGGGAAAGATTGCCGAGGGCCTGCCGCACAACTGGGTCGGATATTCGAGCGACTGCCGGGACGCATCGGACCTTGATAACAACAATGTCTACTCCCGCCAGCGATGCAACAACGGCTGGTGCGTCTACTTGTACGGCTATTACTTCGAGAAGGACGTCGCCATCCAATACTTTTTGGATCCTGGCCACACCCATGACTGGGAGCATATCGCCGTCTGGGTGCGTGATGACAAGGCCCAATACGTCGGTGTGAGCCAGCACGGCAATTATCAAGTCAAACCGGCGTCCGATGTCCGGTGGGATGGCGAACACCCCAAGATCGTCTACCATAAGGACGGCGCGTCGACACACTGCTTCCGCTTCGCCAACACTGCCGACGACGCTATCGAAAACCACAAGGGCATCTGGTTCCGAGGCCCTTTGATCAGCTACAACGGATTCCCTGCTGGCATTCGGGACTTGTTGTTTGCGCATGATTTCGGTAAGGCCAATATTGGCTTCAAAGATGCCAGCTTCTCTGGGAGCTTGACTCGGGCGAAGCCGTCGGGTATTACTTTTGATGTTAATGCTGATGATGGTTCGCCTGGCACACCTTGAGCGCTGATGAATGAGCTCCTTTTGTGGGGGATATGATGGGCGTGATGGGTATGATCGTAATGTAAATTACACACTGGCAATTATGGTAATATATTTCTTCGGAAAGGAATGATGTAATAATACTGGAACTCTCTCCGTCCGTTCGATGCCTCCTCCGTTGGTGTCGTAATATGAGATAGCAGCACGACATGTGGTGGAGGAGACTGAAGAGCTGATGAGACTCTGGGTTAGGACAGATGTAAGCATAAACCTGGATCTGTCAATCATGTTATTATAGTACTACACCCGGTCCCATGGTAAACACGAAACCAAATGAGTGGAGTCGAAACATGATTCCCTGATCCATCCATATTTACGTGTGCCCGAGCAATCAGAAGTCGTAAGAGGAAGGTTAATTCATAATATATATAGTCGTGAGTATCAGGTAAACTAGGTATTTCCCATTTTCTTCCGTCCACCTTCCCATAAAACAATCCTCCGACGCCATTGCCTTGCCGCCTGGCCGTATAACCGTATACGACTTCGTAAAAAGATAAAGAAGGCTAGACGTCATAGTCCTACATGTCAAGCGACACAAATAGTCCACGTGGCCAACGCGAGACCTTCCTGAGTCGTCAATTGCCCGATGTGTCTCCCTAGACTCGCTCGCCTTGCTGTCCCTCCGTGCCCGAGTGAACCGACCTGGCCTGTTCGATCCCCAATATGACATCTTGGCTCTCCGCGGCGCGTGTAGTCTCGAGCTCGAACGTCGATGTCCAAATCTTCCTCTTCTTTCCGCTGGAACCGATGGTTACGATGTTGTATTTGTTCCTCTGAGGACCCGAGCCGTCGTTCTCATTCGGAGTACTTCCACCTAGAGCCGACGAGCCAAACACCTTTTTGACGAGAGGATAGAGGGTTGGGATACAAGCGCCAATGAGAACGCAGTTGGCCTCGATACTAAGGAAAGTAAAAAAGGTTAGCTCACCAGGCTAATAAAAGTAGAGATGTAGAACGGAGAGAGGCGGGGCAGGAGGCGTAGCCTACTTAGTCCAGAGTACGACATCATCAACGGCATCTGTCTGCTAGGTTAGCATTGGCCGATGAGTATCGTATGGAACGGGGCTTGGTTGATCCATACAGGTGAAGTCTTGGAGATGAAGCAGCCCAGGCAAAGTGGTGCATTTATAAATGGTGACCGCACCCGCACTATACGCATATCATTGTTAGTTTCCCTCGCCCGAGGTAGGTATCCCGCATCATCAGGTGGACGACGTACCAGTATCCAAACCCAAGTGAGGATGATAATGCGAGCTTCTTCTTCCAGTTCATTTGCAGTCCCAAGAGGATAATCGTAGGGTATATCGCCAGGTAGAAGTCGAATATCGCGGATGCAACTACATAGGCAAAAGGATCGCCCACGGATCAGTATCTCATTAGGAAGAGAAACGAGAAAAGAGAAAGGGAGGTGGAAACATACCTCCAAGAACCAAAGCATACGCAACCGTGATTCTCCTATCCCAGCATGTGCCCTCCGCCCCACCCCATTGCGTAGCGGCCGGAGTACATTGCGCAAAGTTGATGACGAGCATTCCGACCGCTATAAGGAAGTATACCACCGAGAGAGTCCACATAACAATGCGATGGATCTTTCCCGGACCGAGGACCTTTGCCAGAAGAATCGCGACTGCATATTTCGGAATCGTGAAGGACATGACGCCGGGGACGAAAGAGACGAGCGTGTAGTAAATCGCTTTTGAAGAATCTTTGGGTTCGAGGGTGTCGAGGTGTCTGCCTCCTCCATAGCGGATCGCGACCGAGGCAAGACCGACGTATAAGATGCTCAGTACCTGGCCCACCGTCTTGTTAGCGCTTCACAAGGTTCTCAGAGATGGGCCGGCCAGGCGATTGCGATGTATCATTGCCAACCTGAGGAACGACAGCAGCACCTACAATGCAGAGAATGGTAATGTAATCGTCGAGTGCAATTTTCTTGATCGATATTCGCCTGCTTATGATTCTTGCCGCAACGAACAGGAAGGCTATCCCGGTCATGATAGAAGTGGTCGTCAGAATTAAAGGCCCCTTGTTCTCTTCAGCATAGCCCGGAGGCCGATCAGGAGGTGACGACGACATTGTATTCGGTGATGACTGTCGATGGGGTTGAAAGGTCGAGTGGAACGACTAGGCCATTAGCTTCCGCCTCCTCGCACCGCTCAACTTTCGAAGTCCGGAGGGTGACGGTTGATTTTAACCATCAATGGATCTGCCTTGAGCAGCGCTTCCATCCATGTATGTCGTGCTGGGGCTGAAAGGATGCAGTGAAATTCGTGGCTTCGATGACATGCTGATTCAAGGGGGAGCGCCGCACGACGGATGCCATCCAGAAAAAAACTCGCCAGCGATTGCGAGCGAAAGCCTAAATGCTGGAAGAGTGAATTGGCCGGTTTTCTCTCACAAAGCGTCACTGCGCAAGTTGGGTTGTCCCCATGCGCACCCGGGACGCTGCATGATCCTGTTCCGGGACGGGCTGCGAACAGGGATCTCTCAATATGACCCGTATCACTAAACCTTAACCGGCCCAGGCCCGTCGATTCGCCATTGTTTGGTGCACCACCCAAAAAAGACCGTTGATCGAGTCGAGTACGGATACCTTGGGCCTGCAGACGGGGAGTCCGAGCGTTAAAGCAGTCTGGGGTGCGTTGCCATTGGCCTGGTAAAACACGACCGAAGAGAGCATTGCCTCGCTATTATTACTACTTGGGAATTAAGATGATGTGGTCTTGCTCTTGGCAAGACGCACCTCGTGGCCTGATACGCATCTGGGCCGTCCCTCCCCTCTTGCTCAGGCCTCCCCGCGTGGCGTAAATTTCCTGCCACCACCTGCCACCATTGCACGACCTCGTATGGGTAGACTAGCTTCTGCGTTTTGTCCTTTCTATGTAAGTTTAATTGACAAAGGTCTATTTTGTTCCTCAGAATTCGAACCGATGCTCATAAATTCAACCTTGCAGGATGAAGCAGGCAGAACATTGGGCCCATCCCGTATTAGCGAACAGTGGTCCAGCCGTCAATCCCTGTTTTTTTTTTTTTTTTTTATTGGAGGAGACCGTATTGTTGCCGGCTGTGGAGACTCAGAGGGGATATCGTCTTTGTACGAAGTACGAAGTACATATCGTTGAGATGCAAGGGCAGCAAGGGTAAGGGGGTTAACAGATTTAAATTGCGGCCCCATTCTTCGATGATGTTCCGCGAACCATGTCCGGGTTCAATTTCTCCCCCAGGCGATATTGTCCACTAGTTCAAGCTCAAAGTAAACTACAAAGTACGCAACATGAACTCCTTGTTAGCCAGTTTTTCAGACGATGAGAAGACCTTCCCTGCCTGCCATCCCGATCATGAACAGCCAAGCCGCACTTTTCAACCGGTCAAGGCTGGCCAAGCCACTACGCCCAATTTGGACCTCAGCTCCCATGGAACCCTTTCCTTGGAGAATGGTTGCGGGCCAATCCCCTATTTAGTACCCGACCCGCCGCCCTTAGTGTGGGAACGGTCCTCTTCAAACTTCCGCGGCGTCCGTAACCTCGACCTGGCTCTAGCATTACTCTGTCATCGTTGAAGGACTCTTGAGTGCCCATTTCCAGGCTCGCTTCTGCAGTCGTACGATGTACAGTAACTGAATTGAAGCAAGCGGGCTGCAATATTTCCTGCACCAGGGCCACCAAGACCCCGGCATTACCATGAACATCCCAGTGTCATCAGGCCCCGGATATGCCATTCCCCATGCCCGGAAGCGACCTTTTCCTAGTCGGGTACGTAAGCTGCCCTTTTTATTAGCTGGAGCCATGTCGACTATCCTCTTGAGCGTCGCAGTCGTGTCCGTCAATGGCCCGCCTTGACAGACTGGCCGCCGGCGCCCGCCCGCTGAACTCTGGCATTTTCCCTTCTTCTGTAGATTTCTAGAAGCAGAATACGACATATCACGTCCCAGTGAATTCTCTATCAACCTACTCTCATAACCTGGGCCAAGCTGTTGGATTTTGCCAAGGCAAATCAGTTAAATAGCTCTGGCTGCCCTCTCTCCTCTCTGGCTAGGGAAGGCTGCAAAAATAATCCCGATTGCTTGTTCAATCGTAACCACTCTTCCCAGAAAACCCGCTCCTTGGTACCGACCAATACCGTCGTCCCTTGTTTAGCCATCCATCATGCTTCGTTCCGCTACCCTTTTAGCCCTGGTGCTTCTGGCCGGTCAGTTCTCGACCGTCTCGGCTGCCACACCCATTGTATGCAACCTGTTCGGCGCCACTGTGAGCCCCTGGTGGCTCAACAGGTGCGCTGAGTACTTGGACCTCGTTGTGATTGATCTGCGCTCGGCCGACGAATACGCCACTTCACACATCCCCAATAGCATCAGTGTGCCATTCGAACCGGTCTCTGCCTGGAGTGACATGGGCCCGGGCGACCTCCTGCTTGAGATGCCCCCCTCCGCCAACGTCTTTGCCACCCTCTCCTCAATTGGCGTCAGCAATCCCAATCCGGCCACAAAAGTCGTCCTCATTCACGGTGTGGGCGTCCCTGCTTTCCCCCAGGCTGCGGGTCCACGCGTGGCCACTACTTTGAAGTACGCTGGCATCTCTGAGGGAAGGGTTGCCGTTTTGGATGGCGGCTTTCCCGGTTGGGAGTCGGAAGACTTCCCCATTACCACGGCCGTGCCCACGCCGGTCGCTAAGACATATACCGCACAGGAAGACAGGTCTTTCCTCGTCAACATCAGCTACGTCGCCGCCAACTTGAACAAGAAGGACCAGGGCATCTACCTCGTTGATGGTCGCGACGAATCAGTCTACAACGGGAGCGTCATAGAGGAATGGGCTCTTAAGCCCGGACATATCCCGAGCGCCGTGTCGCTTCCGGCCAAGAACATCTGGAACGCAGACGGTAGCTACAAGAGCGCACTCCAACTGCTTGCCCAGTTCCGCTCCGCTGTTGGATGGAATGTAGGGAGGAACCGTGGTCAGATTATCGTGTATTGCGGTGTTGGCGGCTACGCCAGCAGCTGGTACTTCGTGCTCACCAGGATTCTTGGTTTCGATAATGTTGTCATGTATGATGGTTCGGCTCAAGAGTGGAGCCAGTATTATGACATGGAGCTGTAAGGGTAGAGCCTGAGTTGGCGAGAGTTTGGATTTGATTTACATTCTATATCAGAGATGGCTTCAAGCCGATACGAGTTTTATGTTTTGACTATCAATTTCACTGGAGGCGCCAAATAACAATACAAAACCGCTCCTGCCATTTAATTTTCCAAAATCTCAACATCGATGAAGGACCGAAACCTCTCTCAGTCGACACCGGCCCCTGCCTATTACCCCGTTGTCCATAGTATCCCTCGCAACCTCCATCCGCCCCATACTGTATGCATCTATCTACCTTGCTAAACTAATATCCCGGGCAATGGAATGAGGCTTCGAAGCCACCTTCCCACCCATTCCCCACTCCCCGCAACAGATGACATCGTCTTCCGGGGCCGTGATGCACACCTGTATCTCGTTCTCATACCCCACAATGGGGGATACTTCAACTCTCCACCAGGGTACCCTAGCCCCCGTCATCAGCCCACTTTCCGTCCGAGCTTGTCCGTTCTCGCCTTTGCAGAAAACACTCATGTGATCAGACCTCAAGGTCACGGTCTTGGGCGGGCTGTCAAAATAGCCGCCCACTCATTCCCAACCACAATCCTATCCCGGGTTTTTCTCGTGGTGTTTCCCGTACCAACACTGACCGTCGTCACCAGAGGCATACATCTCCATCTTGCCCTTTCCCCAGATGCATGCTGAGGACGCGTGAACCTCCCAAACCACCCCCAGCTTTCCCAGCTTCCTCCTTCTCGGTACTTGTGCTAACATGAGCCGTTCTTCCCCATGAAGTCCAGGTCCATACGATTACTGCCCCACGATACAAACTAGTATACGATGCCATACTCCGTTGAGATTCTCCCATTGCCCGGATCTGGCTCCCTTCTCCGGGGATGCCAATACATGGGCAGTTTTATTGAAGAGATCATGTGAAGAATACCGCATGGAGCCACGAGCACTGAACGCCTCCCGAGAAGTGGCATTGGCTCGTGGGGCTAGGAATTTTCCATCATCGGACTTGGGACCGTCCCAATCACGGCGAACAGTTCGGGGGGTCAGGAAACCCGACTTAGGGCCGTCTTGATGGGGTGAAGGGTCACTCAGAGCAACAAGGGTCACAAAGGGGAAAGTATATTGAAGCTCCATGGCTGCGAAGTGTGTCGGACAGTTGTTCAATATTGGCCGGCACTTCGTATATCTCCTCCTCCGGTCGGGATCATTGAGGTTTCATATTTGTAAGACGTCGTGTAGATATAACTCCAGCATTCCGCCCCCGATCTGACACACCACATGGGACGGCTGTGCTCCTCCAGACAACTTAAGTCTTTGAAGCTATTTTAGCGTTTATTTCTAACCGCACTCACATTAACAAAGCTGCAACCTATTACAGAGTCATGTCTTCATCCAGGACCTCGGAAAAATAGTCAACTTAGTTCAAAGACTACTAAACTGAAGGCATATTACCTAACAGACCTCTAACTTACAACTTAACAAATACCAGTGTAGGCCAGGCCTAGCATATAGACTCCGTCGGGTGCCGTTACGCAAAGACTCCTTCATCCCCTATGATGATGGGACGCATGACCAGCTCTCTTTCCGATTCACATCGCCCTTTCCATCCCACTCTTGTCTGAGGGGAGACGCGCATATTGGTCTTTGCTTCGAGATTGTCAAATTAGGCCAGTTAGCGAATGCCGTGGACGTGAACTGGGTCGGTGCAGAGGTCGGCGGCCTCCGGCTTTGGCCCTCCACCCACGCCGTCAGGGCGTTGAGCGCATCGTGCTCTGGGGTATTAAGCGGAGGGTTCGTGTTGTTAGGCATGTGCCACCGCGAATTGGTTGGGGACTTCAAGTAGTTGGCGACACCTCCAATATACCAAGGGGGCTGCTTCCCGCCTGTCCCCAGGTCAACACAATGTGGCATTCCGGGGAGTTCGAAGAATTTGAGGTTCGGATTGTCATTGCCGCCAGCAAGAGCAAAGGCGCGCCGAGTCCCTTCAGTGGAGACATAGCCGTCCGCTGTCCCTGTGTACAGGATAACCTTTCCTTTCCAGCCATTGAGTACGGACGGATCAGCGTTGGCTCGAACTCGGGTATCCCAAGCATTCGACTTGTCGATTAGAAGGGCGCCGTTCGTGTCATTCTCCCAAATCAATTCTTGACCCAGCATGTATCGAGAGAAGTCTTGATCGAATCCCATGAGGTTCGGTTGGAGGAGAAAGACGCTAAAGTCCACGGGCGCAGTGATATCGAATCCGTCCCCAGCATAGCTCTGGTTCCATGGCGGACGTTTGAATTCCTGCGCTATGGTCAAGAAGGCCTCGCGTTGGGAAAATGAAACGCAGTTCGGGTTGTCCACGGTGCAATCCAGGCCATCCCAGACTGGGCCACGAATCCCCGACTGCAGGAAGTGTTCGAGGCAAGCAGCCGAGTCCCTCACCACGCCATCGTCGGCAGACTTATCATGGCCTATTACGTTGCACTCCCGATAGACGCGATCGGAGATGCGAACGAAAAGGTTGGGGTCGAAAGTGGGATTCAGACCAAATTTTTCTCCGAGCCAACCAACCCGCGAAAGAACCGGCATGGCGGACTTGACATTCCAAGCAGGAGCGCCAATCAACATGCCGTCGAAGCTGTTAGGGTCTTCTTGGATCTGTCGGATACCCATCCTGCCTCCAGTCGAGCAACCGGAGTAGTAGTTAGCCACCGTCTTGACATTCCCATAGTACGCTGCGACCACCGCCTTGGCGAATGGGAGGGACCGGCTCATGGCTCTCCAAGCCCAGTCCTTTTGGACTTCTTCGCCCCTCACAGCCCAGCCCATTCCCTGTTCTTCATGGCCGGTGTTGGTGGACATGACAGCCCACCCGTGCACGGATCGGGTTAGCATGTCCAATCGACTGGTCCCTCCATTGAAGCCACCGTTGCCGACCGTCAGAAATCGACGATTCCACTTGGTCGGGCTGGGTAGGTAGATCTCGAAGGAAACATCGTTGCCATCGTTGGGATTGGCTGTCAGGTTGACCCGGATGCCGCAAATGTCGGACACGCCAGCGTCCTTGGCCAAGACAAGGACTTTAAGGTTCTGGGCGTATGGCTCGTTGTCCGAAGTGTAGGGCGATCCCGCAGCTAGTGCACCCCCATATCGATTAATGACGGAGCGGAATGTACTTGGGACGCATCTCTCAAGACCCGGTAACGCACGCGGCTCGCTGTTGGATGGAGCCGATTCAGTGAAGGATAGCAGGAAGATTGCCACCGCGAATAGAACTCCGCAGGTGATCATGGCGGCGACACCAGGTTAATCAGTGACAGTTTATGCAGAATCAAATTTAGCCGAGTGCGGGTTGGACCGCTCTTTCCTGGGGTTAAATTGAGTGCATGGATTGTAATAGGATGGAGGGCCACCTATGCAATATGAATTAATCTACGACGGCGTCCAGGCCGTATTCATATATGCCCCGAGTCAAGATACTTGCCATTGATCTCTCTCTAGAGATCCGAGTTTGGGTCAGAGCACTTCCACCGGAAGTTTTTCATTTTACGGGGGAAGCGAACTGCCGTGTTGGCGTCAGCAATGAAGGACAAAAATACGACGTTGTGAGGATTCATTGCAGGCGCAGCATGGGGTCGGGGATTGGAGGCACGCTTGATGATCCTGGGGGATATGTCAGTGCGAGATGCCAATAACCCTACGGAGGGCTCTCAGCCAGGATGCCCCCCCTTTTCCAAGTGACCCAGTCATGATTGGTCCCGTCTGGGATTCCTTTGGATCATCTGAACTCAGGATTGGACAGACATCCGTCGGATCTTATATCCTCATCTTACTTTCTCACATGGTGCACGCCACATGACGGATTGCTTGGCGGCTCATTCTTACCTCGTAGGACTCTGCATAGCCCGCGCTTGGGTTTTCTTTTCCACCCTACCCGAAAATAATAATCTAACTTCCCCTCTAGACAAGGTTGCATCTATTACACTTTCAAAGCGAAAATCACCTCCGCACATAGCAACTGTCACTGCCAATGCCGTGACGCGACATGGCGAATGCTCCCAAGAAGGAAGGTCACCTTTTGGATCACTAAGTCGAATGCATCTCAGCGATGGACTTTTGTTTTGCAAAAAGAAGCTCACGCGAAGATGTAGTGACACCCAAGGAGTATGCGTTGTGACTAACAAAAGGGCATAGATTTGTAGTTGTGCTCGGAGACACAGATGCCGAGTCATCCCGGGTAACACTTCGACACATCGCACCTGTCTGTCCCTGTTCCACTGCACCACCAACAGGCAACTGGGAGGCGAGGCAACCCACGGCATTAAGGCATGTCTGTCTGTCAAGGCTAGAGGTGATGGTGGCGACAAAAAGTCTTCTGTCCGATCACTACGACCACACCGGGTTGAACCCGTCATGAACAAATGGAACGCCTCCGCCTGCAGAGACATTCTTCTCCAATCCTCTTCAGACTAACAACCCCGGAACTTAGTCTGCCGTTCCAGTAGGCGTAGCCGTGACTTGAACCATCGTGGTCGTCCTAAGATAGGATCCTGTGCTGGTTGCCACGAAAGATGTATCCGATTGCAAATTCTGCGCGCTGTGAGAAAAGTCGATGTGCGTGTAGCCGGTCCGGACGATGGTGGCTGGGTAATCTGTCCCTACAACCTCGACAAATGTGACTCGCAAAGTGCTGAACCATTCCAGACGTGATGTCCCAACTACTTCATTGTTCAACGTACTGGTCTCCGATCCGATCGAGGTATATTCGGACGTCACGGTCAGCCCTGTCGCGGGAGACGAGCCTTGATTTGTTGTGGTTGTGCCGTTGCTCAATGCTGCCCGACTATTCCCCGAAAGTGTCCATGTGAGGTCCTCTGATGTTGTCCAAGTCATGGTTTTCGTGCCACACTTGACGGGTATTTTGGAAACAGCAGCGCCGGCAACCGTGACGCCGCTCTCGGGCCATCGTGGTTCTTCACGAGGCATTACGACGCCGACCACGACCGTATCGATCCATTCTTCGCCTTTGGCGCATAGCACATCGATCGTCGGCTTCGCCGCTAGGGCAGTCGTGTAAGCGACAGTGTGGAGAGGTATTAGTGATTGGGAGGAAGATGTCGGCAGCTCCTGGGGACGGGCACGGGCCGAGGAGAGGAGGCAAGTGGCGGAAGCAAGGAGCAAGTATAAACGCATCGCTGTGTTTCGGTATTGTTGCTTTCTTTCTGTTTCCGTATGGTTGTTTTTCTTTGTTAGCACTTATCCCATCGTCACTTCGTGTTCTTCCCCGGGCGTAGCCCCGTTTTTACGCCGAACATAATGGTTCTCGAATTTCTTCCAGTCTCCAACCAAGAAGCGGGGCATAACGGCAGCAATATATCGGGTTCCACTGTCTTGTCGCCAGTCCGGGGAATGGCATATAGCCACAGATTCGAAAGGTAGTCGCTCATTCAATATCCACGATCGGAGAGGTCCAATGGGGTGCCAAGATGCCGGGTCTTCGGCCGAAGTGGTTGGGATATGCTATGAGATTCATTTACGGCTTTCCCGCTGCCGGCTAAAGTAGTTACATTAAATTTAGCCACTACGAAGTAAAGTAAGTAGTTATACGATCATGCAGAGACATTACCACGCTGGAATGTGATGCCTACGGCCTTATTTCATAATCAGCGGACCCTTTGCAGTTGCCTGATTCTGTTAAAGTTGAAAGTGTGCGGTCTGTAATGGCTGCTCGGGGTGGTCCAGTTAATATCTGAAGGGGCAGATGGGCATTATGTGGATACTCACCTATTTGAGGACTCGAACGACAGAAGATTGGGGGATAAAAGCCTCTTGCCTCAATAGTAGCTAAGGAGGACGGGGGGTTGGAATGGACAGGCATGGAGAGATTCAGGGAGCGGTGAGGATAAACAGTTTAAATTTAACGTAAGGATTTAATTTTCATCTTAATAGGCTCCGGAGGTCCCGCCGTAATGAAGAAGGACTGATACGCGTGCACACCGATCACAGTATCCATGTCGGACTGCGGCAGCTTCGGCTCCTTAGTCGGCCTGTGATCCCTCAGCTCAAAATGGAACCAGCGCGCGGTCATCAAAAGCAAAATCGTCATTTCGTCCACGGCGAGTGTTTGGCCCATACAGGAGCGTAGGCCCCGCTCGAACGGGCGGAAGGCGTTGCGGGAGTAGGAGGGCGTGGACTCCATGAAGCGGTCCGGGTTGAACTTCTTAGGCTCGGGGAAGATTTTAGCATCCAGGTGCATTGTGTGGGCGCAGACGCCAAGAACTTGGCCCTTGATGGGATACTTCTTGCCATCGAACTCGAAGAAGTCGCTAATAGGTATTCAGCGTTACAGGCCATGCCAAATCATGATGACGCAAATGGACAAAGAGGCAGCTCTACTTACACGCCAGGAGGAGGCTCTCGAATAACGAAGGCGATTGGGAACAAACGAAGAGTCTCGTAGATAACTGCAGTAGTGTACTTCATGTCCTTGAGCATGGATGGGTTCTCACGGATAATTTCGAGAGTCTTGTCACTTGTCGAACAAGCGGTCGTGCTCCTCGCATAACTTTGCGCGCGCTTCGGGAAACGCACTGAGCATCATGTAGACGTACTATTTCTGTCAGATCTGAACCATGCTTCGTGTGACATTAAGTCTATTCAAAAACTTACGCTGGTAGTGTCAGTCGTGGTCCCGGATCCGGCAGCCAGGAATCCACAAGCGCTAACATCCCATGTTAGGACACACACAACCTCTTCGGCTTGTGTTCAGGAAACCGGACTCACTTTTCAATAATGGGAGTCAACGCGACCTTAGTCAACGGTCGACTGCTCTCAAGATGCGGCGCAAGCATACGGTCAAGTAGGCTGGCTGCGGTAGTCCGGGTCGGCACAACTTTTTTCTCACGGAGTTCTTCGAAGCGAGACTCAACATAGCCAGCTAGTACCTTTCGCAGATTCCCCGCGTGCACGCGCTCGTCCCATTTGGCGCGTAGTTGGCTGAAGATGTTTTGCTCACCGGCAAGCACGGACATGGTTTCGGCGAGGGCCTGCATCTCATTATATAGCGTGACGTTGTCGCCTTGTGTGCCAACCTTCTTGCCGAGAAATATCCTGCCGACGACTTCGAAGGGGAATTTTCCAAACTCGTAGCCAAAGTGCTGGCAAACCTCATCCGAGTCCGATATGGCCTGCAACCGATCGTGAAGCGCTACAGCCTCGTCTAGGATTATGTCGTGGTAGGATCGCACGGCGGCGGGGGTCAAACCCGGAGCGAGGGTTTGGTGAAGGTTCTTCCAAATGTTATCATTAGTGGCTTCGATAAAGGTAGACCCGACGTTGGCGGCGAAGTACTGCTTGACGAGAGTTGCTTGCGGATACGCATGGATGGTTGTGGGGATGGCAGAGGCCTCCGGGTTCGTGATGATGACGAATTTGGGGCCGAAGGGCCAGAGGTCGAGGTAGAAGATGTCAGGGAGATCATGGACATGCTTGAGGTGGGTGAGGATAGCTTGCATGTAGGGCCGCTCGGGGAAGATCTTCATCATCTGACCCATGAGCTTCAGATGGCCCCATATCATTGAATGAGGGGGACATGGCTACGTAAAGCAAAGGAAAAAAAAAGTTAGCAATTATTGGCCAGGGTTTTCCTCGGAGATGGAAATTGTGCGCGCGAGTTGGATGGATCAAAGGGCAATGTGGAAGGCCCCCCGTACTTTGTCCTTATTATAGAATTGGCGATGCGAAACAAGCTTGATGATGAAGTAGCCCAGGAGCGACGCGAAGCCACCGGCCACCATCCACGGCGTGCTCATGGCATTCAATGCTACCATCTTGTCTTATCGACTGAGGTAGCGACGGCCGATAAGTTGATGGGACAGAGAATAATATTCTACCAGCAGGTTGAACCCCGAGAAGAGAAGCGGGGAGCTCCAGCTCTTTAATCGCCTTCAAATTAAACCGGGCCGTGGGGGCTCCGATCTACTGATTGGGTTGATTCCCCAAAGGATTTCGTCGTGTCTAGCTAGGACTCGGATTAGTGCTGACATTCTGTTGTCTCAGCGGCCGCCCGGAACAGTTTCACGAGAAATATCATTTTATTCTGGACTTCAATTGCAAGGATGCGATTGGTTCATAGCCAGTGCAGGCAGCAGGATAACATCGGCCTGTCATTTATCGTGCCTGGCTGTAACAGCTGATTAGTAATGTAATAGATGTCTATCATTGTGGGGTCGCCTCACCAGCAGGCGCCCCAGCACTCCTAGAAGACAATACTCTGTGGCCTAGATTAGCTATGAAAGAGACGCCGCCGGACAGGATTAAAAGCAGGGAAGGCCATGGGCTCGACCGGATCCCGCAAGCGGTGGACGAGTGGCAGGCCATTGCCGTCGAGCACGCCTGGACGAGCGCCGTCTCTCCAACCTCTGCCAGTGGAGTACGGAGTCCTTCTCCAAGCCTCTATTGCCGTTACAGACTCTTGTATTTTCTTTTCCCTCTTTTTAATAAACAGTACTGACCGTGCAGGCAGCTATTTGCGCCCTCTGTCTCTCTAGAGCAATGGCTATTTGATTGTTGCCCATCGTCCTATATAATTATATGTTATCGTGTCGCGAGTCGTGTCGGGTAATCGCTATATCTCTATAGATAGCTATAAATAATTATTAAGAAAAAATATAACTATCTCTGATACTCTACGCAAGACTATTATTTATACATCAAGTCTCCTCGAGTACTCGGTGCTCCGTTAAAAAAGAGGGTTTGGCTGACAGTAAAGTATAATATTCCCTACGATCCCTTTTATCAGACTATCTATTTAAGCGCGACGGCTTCAAACTGACTGGCAAGGGAACTTCGCTGAGATTATACACGCGATTCCCACACGACCGATGATGGTGAGATGCAAAACGGCAGAAATATGGGATGTGAACCCGGCTCTCGTACAACGAAGTGTGCGATTTCGGCCTGGAGGACATGGATGGCTTGGAAATCGTCAAACTTTGTCCTGCTGCCACGGAGGTCACTCATGGATGGCGTGTTCATCAAGCAGAGCTCGGCTTCAATGTACGTCTGCTTCTTGTTGTCGGAGAGGTGAGATATCATGAGTATACGTTGATCGATGTATTAAAATTATCTTTTATGTTACGCTCTTACTAAGAGCGATGTTTCCTAGTAGATATACAGGTACCGGCCTCCTGTCCTTCCCGGATGGCCAGCGCCCCTAGGGCAGTGCCAACCACTAAGCCTACAACTAGGTTGTATAGTGATGGAGCTATAGCTTGTGAAATTTTCCACTGAAGCTGTAAATCCACGAGGATCGTGACTGAATTCTCAGATCCATCTCGATTTGATATTAGCGCGTGCTCCGGATATATACCATCGTACTTTAGTAGAAAGGCTTTATGATGTACTATTAATAGCGGTTATTATCCTCGTTGAGTAACGCGTAATTACCAAGCGTGCGATTTCGTCAGGCCGTCTTAGCAGATGTCCTTGATGTCGAGGAGTATTGTGGGCTATGTCATTTTAATTAATATATTTAGTAAAGAGAATGCGCATTTCATGTTTATTCTTCTAAATAGAGAGACGAAGTGTTCTGCGACGGCCACGCGGCTTAATATGGATCGTGGTTGGAGGGAATACTCGGGGTATTATACTATCCCTAGCATCGAAGAGTATAGATTTCGAGAATGTACCAGCGTCAAGCTCCTCCGCCCAGTATCTTTTTATTCCTGTTAATTTTTCGATACCTTGAAGACGACATACACTAGACAAAGGGACTCACGACTGGCCTCCCGCGTAGCCGCATTCTGCTTCGAGGGTATACTCGTGGGCATATATAAAGAGGCGGTGAAACGGAAGAAATTGGCCCTGCTCAGCCGTATTTGGACCAAAATTAGCGACGAGATTTTTCCCCAAAGAAGTGGTAAGAGCCGTTCTCAGGAGTTCCCATTGGCTCCCAGACACATTGGCATTTCTAGCTTCTAAGTAAAAAAGAAAGCAAAAAGAAAAGGCGAAGAAAAAAAAGTTATAGAAATAGAAGCGCGAAAGGACGAAAAAAAAAAAAGAAAAAAAAAAGATTTCAGATGTGCCTTCTTAGAAGGCGCATTGGGATTTGAGCCCAATGCGGGGGTCGAACCCGCAGCCTTGAGATTAAGAGTCTCACGCTCTACCGATTGAGCTAACCGGGCAGGTTAAATTGGTTTGTTGTCGTGGTTCCACGATTGACAATAACAATCTTAGTCCCGGCCACCTTCCTTGCGCCCCGCTCTTGTCTTTGCTTGACTTGCCAACCATGACATCAGAGATGGGGACAGATCGAGCGAACCATACAAAGGCACGCATTCCATACCTTTATATTGAGCGTCTCATGCCAGTACCAACCAGGCATAACCCTCCATGTACCCGAGAGGATAACGACAAGTCTGCCTTGGTACAGGCGGTACGCCCTAGGGACCTAGGACCTAGGACTTGTCGAAAGCCTTGGCTTGATCGCTGCTGCCGAGAGTCTCGTATCCTTCAGAAATTCAGGGCAAAGCTAGCCGCCAGGATGGGGCGATGAGGTATCGATTACTTGCAAGGCTGCACCAACGGTTGGTAAAGAGTCGAGCGACATGGCGGCTTCGCCACATTCTTGCAGTCATCCTGCAGACGTTCTATGCGGGGTGGATGAAGATCGTCGCCAAGGACTCTGCAGCCGAAAGTGCATCGCATCCCAGAAAACTGAAATCTCGAAATTAACTGGGATCACTAATAAATATAATACTTGTCCCTCGGGTCTGGAATGCAGCGATGCGACTTGCCCGTACAGCCATAGAGGAATGTGAGGTAGGACCGAATGAGGGCTGGTTTCAAAATTTAACTGTTGATGGGCGCAAACGACTGTGAATGGACCTCACTGCCCCCATGCGGCTGGACTCAACCTATCAAAGGATTCGCCCGGAATCCCACGCCCCACTGCCGAGGATACCACAGACATCTCGGAGAACCCTCCTTGTCTATGGCTTGGGGATTTACTACTAGAATCTCTCCTGAAGTTGGACAAGCGCCCAATATGCTGATGTGGGATCGTCTTCATCGGGCACCTCAGAGCTGCTAATAATAGTGCCGGATTGAAACTCCTGACACCAACAGTAATGGTAGGAGCAATTCCTACATCGCGTAGGATTGGAAATAGGACATTGGAACCAGTAGGGATAAATACACTTAGCTTTCCCTGTCTTGGCACCACAGTGAAATTCAGATCAATTGATCAAATCATCTATTCCGAATCATCATCACCTTGTCTACATTTTCATAAATCACAATGCCCCCCACGTTGTCCAAGCTCCTCTCCCTTCTCACCCTTGTCGGCATATCTTCCGCTGCTGCAGTTGTGAAGCGGAACCCTTGCGACGGCGTCGACGCTTCACCTGAGCTCTACCATGAATACAGGACGGATGTATGCCCCCCTAAGAACAGGCTTGATGCTGATGGCACTTGTCCCTTCGTTGACGGATTCGACGGTCCGGACTTGAAATACCTCCGATGTGCCAAGTACTGCGAGATTCGCACCAATGTAAGTCTAAAGTAGAGGTAACTTCCATCAAACGCAACAACTAACAAAGCCCATTAGTTCTTCTGGGGCCGGGAACAACCGTTTGCCAACACCTATTGCCACGGTCCCATGGCTTGCACTATTACCGAGACCAAGACTCGCACCGTCACTTGGAACGCCGGTGGTAACCTGAGCTTGAAGGTCCGAGAGGCCCTCACACTGGGCGTCTCAGGATCCTATTCTTCTGCCGAGGCCGACGCGTTCGCCAGAGCCTTCTCCGTCAAGCTGGAGAACAATGAGTGCGGCTACTTCACCTTCGTCCCCGTCATCCACGACTCATGCGGCAGTTTGACGGAGGGCCCCGCCGATAACACCCCCGGTTTTCCTCGCGCCACCTGCACGGATGATCGTGGTAAATGGTCCACCACCGGCAACTATTGCCAGTCCCAGCTCAAGCGCCATCCCGACGAAACGGTCGACGGTGATACCATCTTCGTCAGGACAGACTGCTCCACGCGCAAGCCTCTCCCTGACGATAAGCAGGACGACATTTACAAGCGGCCTGGTGTGCCTCTACCCCGGGTCCTACAGGATGCGTGGGCCACAACTTTCGACCAGATGAGCACCGGCGACTTCAATATCCAGGGAGCCATAGAGTGTTCTGGTGAGGGCTCTGGCCCTCTTCATGCCTGCCGCGCATTGGGAGCCGGTCAAGCCGATATCGAGGGCAAGTGGACTATCCCCGCCGGCCGCAAGGGTGATCACCACTGGTTCGGTGACTTTCCCCTCGACACCAACGAACCGGGCTGCTCTTTCTATATCGACTTCCTGGAGGACCTTGACCCTGAGAAGTGCCCTATCAACCCCACTGGACTTGCTACTATCATTGACAGCATCACCGATGCCTGCAAGGACAAGGGGGTTTATGGATCGGCTACTTTCGGTGGCGATTGCCCGATCCGTCTTGTTACTGGGAAGCGCTCATGGCCAGAGGGCACTTCCCGTCCTGCGTAAATAAGAGCAAAACCAGTCTTTCTAGGGTATCATTTTTTTTCTTTGTCGGGTTGGGTAAGGGTATCGGCGCTTTGAATTTGGCTGGGGCAGTTATAGACAGCGGTAATCGTTGAAAGGGTAATGCGGTATTGGGAATGTAATCATATTTTCTTGGAGATTCCCCAAGGCCTATCCTATATTGAGTAGCGTATTCAATTTATGAACCGGACTATTTAGGTTGCACTTGGGCCTATGAATTAATGCACGGGGAATAGACTGAATTCGACGACAAGGGGGAATTGATGTAACAAATGATAAGGGAATGGTAAGTACTCGGATAATATTGGGCGCCGGAGATAACGATACCAATGCAAACCTTAGTCGACTTTTCTCTTACTTCCATAGAGTCGACTGACGGCAGGCATCTTTCCAATCCATTGGCTCTTCCCATCCTCTACAGCATCGACGAGCCACCGGGCCAGCGCTCCTCGCCTTTGCGAACTCGACCATCCTTTTTCTCCAACAGCACCCTCGAACGCCTCTCCATCCTCGCGATCCCGCTTCCAGGATTCCTCGTCATGGCCTCCAGGAATACCCCCAATGCGAAATACGGTCCAGTCCAACCCCTCTCCGTGGTCCTGGAACGTACGGCCTATGCCCGTCGCCGTCTGCCATCCTCGGTTCGCGATGGTGTACACGAGAGCCACAAGGAGGTAGCGGGTGATGGAGAAGTGATCTTCTGGGCGGAAAATGGAAAAGGTACCCATGGCGAAAATCCGACGCACGTTGTGCTGCTTCATAATCGGGAAGAGATTCTTGTAAAAATCGGTGTATGTGGATGGGTCGAAGCTGCGAAGCAGATTGGGTCCGAGGAGAGAGACAATGACGGTGCTCTGGGACACGGCCTCGGAGATTTTCTCGGTATCGGACACCTCGCCTTTGATAACCTACGCCGATACTGTGAGTCTTCAACGGGGCGGAAATATCAATGGATCAACGTAGTACGCAGTGTTTTAAGTGCATAATGAACATACAGTCAAGAGTGGATTCGATACGAGTTCCTGGGGAATCTTGTCAGGGTTTCTTGCATACGCAATAGTGTGGTGCTGACGATACAGGAGTTCCCGCAGCAAACAGATGCCGGCGGGGCCGGTACCCCCGAACACCAGAACTCGCGGAGTCGACATTCTTCTCTTAAAAGCCTTTCGGGGGAAAATCGGCAAAGGGTCAGAAGTTAGTGGGTGGTTTAAGATTCGGGCGTCAGCTTGCCGGACCCGGAAGGAAGCGGGGCTGATGATTCGGAAGAAGAAACTATCCGTCGGCTCTGGTCGCCATGAACTGTTTATAGGTTTCGCGTCGATGCTTGCATGACAAATTCAAAATTTTATTTTAGTTGGTGCTTGGCTTCTGGAAATTAAGGCTCCGTCAATCGACCCATTTCGGCGGAAGTATATCAGGTATGATAATCCCAAAGAGGCCGATAGACGTGCTGTTGAGGGCGGAGTTCCGCCATCTGTGCTCTGAATTGCGTGGCTCATCACATCGACAATCCCTCTGCTTCTCATGTCCTGGACCGCGCCAGCATTGACGTCATGCTCGGTGGAGACGTCGGGGAAAATAAGAACTTCCCCAAAGCTTAAGGGAAGTAAAGAAATTAAATGTATTTGTAGCTACTGTGAATCCTGGTTCATTAGATTAGATTATAGCCACACAAGTAGTGACCGTGGCTTGTTCAAACCCATCCACCATAGCTTACAGACCTTGTATGTTTCTCCAAACGTTCTCACGAAAAAAAAAAAAAAAAAAACGCCCTCGCGCAAGTCAGCAACCCTCCCCTAGCATAGAGTTCTCGAGTTCAAGTACGTTTACCAAGCATAGCAGTACTTGAAGAGAGGCTTGGTAAAGCTGTAAATCTCCTTCTCCCACCACTGAGTGGCAAAGGCGCGCACCTTAAAGTAGAAGTCCGTGGTAAGTTGAACACCGTTGGTCTTGGCGCAAGCGAGCTCTTGACGAGGGTCGAGAACAGGGTTGTCATTTCGAACAGTGAGAGCGTTATACTCGGACTCCGCTTCGCGACCTTGGATACCAGCACCCTGGTTACCAAGGAGGACAAACTTGTTGTCGAATCCGGGAGTAGCGGTGACACCAGCGGAAAGGTCAACGAGGCCGGCGAGGAGTTCAACAGCGAGCTCGAGGGTGAGGTCAAGGCTGGCGTCAAGGCCAACACGGGCGCGCTCCGTGATGTTGGCCGTAGCACTGTACTTGGGAACCCATCCCGAGGTGGTGGTCTTGGAGCTGTCGAGGAAGTCAAGGTGGACATTGCCCTTGGGGATTCCGACATCCACTGAGGCAGTGACACCAACGGCGGCGGAGGCATCAAAGACACATCCGATGCCGAAATCGATGCCCGGACCAACCTTGACAATTCCGGGGACGGATACAAAGTCGTAAGAGAGACTGCCAGGAGAAAACTTCAGCGTCTTGGAATACGAGGCCAGGACATCGGCCGAAAGGGTAACCCCGGCGTTGAAGGTGGTGTCAATGTCGAAATGGAGGTCCTCGACTTTCCAAAGCAAGAAGTTGTAGTCGATATACCCGGAGAATGTAACAGTGCTGGTGAACCCGGCCTCATTCGCGGTGAGAGTGAAATATTTATTGTCGGTGTACAAGACCGTGTTGGGGTCAAGTCCCTTGGAAAGAGTGAGGGACACGCTGGGGTCATAAACTGTTCGCTTTGTGACTGTCCCTCCAGGGATAGAAGTGAAATTCATCTGCAAATTGGCTATGGAGGTGTTAGCGGATATTAAGTAGAGATCGTGGGGATCCGCATTAGGCGACACTTACTCGCGACCTGCTCAATCCCCTGCTTAGCAGCACTGACTTTAATAGTCAAGTCCTTGGTATTTGCCTCAAAGCCATTGGCCAAGAAGAAGCCACGTTCGAACTCGGCATCGCAGTTACCCAGATGGTTCGTGATCAGGATAAAGGCCTTGTCTTCGGTCCAGTCCTCCAGGGCCTCGTCGAGGCCTTCCTTGTTGCTGAAAGATACAGTAACGAACCCATCTCCGCATACGGCTCCAGAAACGTCGTCGACGTCTTCTAGGACAACAGCGGGGTTGTTGAGGGCAAGCTTCATGTCGATGGAACCTGGGACGCCATCTGCGGCGGCTCCGTACGAAAGCTGCACCTTTTTCTTGGGGACGAGGTTCTTGCGGCGACCGACGTCCGCACCGGGACGGCGGGAAGGCTTGAATTTGTGGACAGTGGTGTTGTCCGCACCGGGACGACGGGATGGCCTCCCTCTAGCAGCCTCGGCCGAAGCCAAGAGGCCGAAGACCAATGCGGCACAAGACAGGAACTTCATCGTCAAGCGTGGATAGGGTAAGATGAATGGAGGAAATACGAACTTCTCTGTTAAGGTAACCACCGTGACCGCTTGAAGAAGATACGAACCAGCTAGATATCCCGATGGCGGAGGGGATGGTGGCTTTTTGTGTCTTTAAATCATGGCTATCTCAGCTATACACTGGTGCCGAATCATGGCTCGACCAGCACGCCCATGGAATTACCTAGCCCCTTTATTGGATTCGATATAGTTTATGGTGTTGTTCTAGAGTTGCATTTCGTCCTCACGATCTTTGCATGGATGAACTTTCTTCCCAATGTCAGCCTACCGTTACATTTGAGCCGACAGCGGACACTTCACCTAATTGGGAACCGAAATTAAACCAAGGGCCTGTCGGGAATACTACCCTATGGCGCGATCAAGGGAGCAAGTGCAACGCCGCAGGGCAGTCGGCGACTTGTTAAAAGCCTCAGCATGGGCCTCTTCTTCGACCCTACTTCCCTGCTGGCTAATTCACGTGGTGCCTTCTCTCGAGTTAAAACCCATGGCTGTCATTCGCCAAGTAAGACATTCTGCAAGATTGCCCGCCACATCGTTTGCTACCTGCCCATCTTGTGATTGGAATACACCGACTACGACCTTCATCTTTATTCCAACTACCCGTCCCGGACTATCAGGGTCGGTTCTCTGGGCGGGGGAGGGACTGACCCCGTCTGACAAGTGACAAGTGAATCCTTCGTGTGGGGAGACTATGTAATAATAGTTTGGTTCCCTCCACCTCCACCCCGTCCCGAATACTGCGTGGGGGTGGGGGGCAGGATAGTTATCAGTCGGAAACTGCCATTGCAGAAAGCTCAACAATGCACGAAGAATGACCTACGAAGTAAGCTATGTCTGGAGGGACTAGACTTGGTTTGAATGACGAGAGGCAGAAACCTAGTAACTGAGCCTTATTTTTTATTCTCCTCGTCAACTCGCCTTTAGTTGATCTTCTTCGTGAAGTGCCTTCTCTCTAAGTCCTGTGGCGGTATTTGGAAATACGAGCGGAGGAGAGAAGGAAGGGAGGAGAGGGGGTAAAGAGTTCGCCAGCAAGCAACTGGCCAAATATATGTCGGTGTGCCATTCGGGTAACGGAATGTAATTGTGCTAACAAGACACATTGGTAGGAACCTCTATACTCTGTGGAGAGTTGTCGGCGATAGGGGCTTTGATTCGGTTGGCTTAGAGCAATCAAACACCAAAGGAGCTTGGCAGGCAATCTATGGCAAGGTTAAGATGTGTAGACAGGTAACTAGCGCTCTTCGTCTGGTCAGTTTCCAAATTATCGAGAAGCTTGCTGAAGATTTGACGTCCTGGTGCCCAAATATTTGCAGGTGTAGTGCAGGATATTAGAGCAAAACCCACCCCTCAAATACCATTCACCCAGGAGCACCGCAGATTTGCTACGACGTCGTTTATCATCTAGTTAGGGCGATAATGGCGTTAACTGCCCTCAACAAAGAACTGTGCCCTCCAATATCGAATGGTGACACGAACGGTCGCGATTGCGGCTCTAATTTAAGACCGGAGGCCAAATGGGGCTAAGGAATACGACATAAGCTCGGCTCGATAGGATTCCGAGATTCCGATGCGAGCAAGATCTTTCCAACCGTCAACGTCGGTTTGGGCTTTTCAATTTCACATGCAATACTGAGGGATATACCGAGGTAGATTCTAGAGAAATATGTGTGTGGGAAAAGGATATGATGTCTAAAAAGAAAACACCGTTTCCTCATTCTCTCCCCCACCGTCCAGGTTTCGATTCAAATCTGTCAATGGCTTCATGAGAACGGTAAGCACTCATTCCTTTGGATTGGGCTCGTATGACCTCCGCACACAGACATAGAAAAACCATACTTTTTTCACTGACCGTGAAGGTGTATTAATAGATGTCTGGTGATAGAGTGGTATCTGGCTCGTTCTATTTTCAGTTCTTCTTTGACTTGTCAACAATCTCCTTTGCTTTTCCAGACCTCTTTTCAAGCACCTCCTTGATCTCGTCCATTGTGTCGCGTAGCAGCTTCTCGCCCTCGCCCTTTTCCTTCTCGGCAGCCTCCTTCAGCAGATTTATCTTCGCCAAGACCTCGCTCCCACTAGGAATTGTCTTGAAATACTGATCGAGGCCGAGTGCCTCCGAGACCTGTGATCCTGTCGGCCTTGCCTCGCCAAGTGCCTTCTTCACGTACTCTTCCAAACTCGCTAGGTTCCCCGAATCAACAGCGTTCTTTGCCTTCTCAAATAATTCTTTGGCATTCCCACGCTTCAAATATTCTGCGTTATCCTCGATTAGAGCTTTCGCTTTTGGATTCTTGTCGAGATAAGGCTTTGCTTGCTCTAGGCCTTTCTTCCATGCTTCATCCCCAAACTTCTTTACTGATTCCATCGCTTCCTCGAGGATTCTCCTCGCCCGGGCCAGATTATCGGGGCTGAAAACGTTGCCCATGATCTCCTTGATCTGCCCCAACGTTTTCTCGGCTTGCTCCTTCGCTTCAGGTCCATACTGTTCTCCCATTTCCTTCAGCTGGTCTAGGCTCCTGTCGAGTTGGGCCTTAACTTGCGGATGATTATCGAGGATATCAGCAGATGAATCGACAGCGAGATTCCCCAGCTTCTTGGACATGTCCGCGAGGACGTCGAGGGCCTCAGACCCAGTCTTCAGACTCAAGTCCGACTTGGACAACGTCTGGAACTGTTTGTAAGTATCGACGATGATCTGGTTCACTTCATCTCGGTTGCTCGTCCTCAGTGTCTCGATGTCTCGGAACGCGGCGTCGATGAACTGACGCCCCCCGGGGACCCAGCTAAGGTACGAGTAGCAATAATCCTTAATGTACTGTATCGCTTGATCTCCGTCCGCCGTCGTCTGCTGCAACTTTCGGGTCGCCTCCTGGTATTTCTCAGACGCTTCTCTGGCTCCTTTGTTAATCTTGCGCTGCATTCGTCCCGCCGGTGTCAGCAGGTAGGTGCCGTAGAGCATAGTCGCCGCGGCGAGGCCACCCGCCACACCGGCCGCGAAATACGAGTTGTCTGTCCTGCCATTGCTGGAAGTCAGTGAGGGAGAGGCCGGGGTGGACTGGAAACGGGCTTGGCGGGTTCCGATAGTTCGTGGTCCGCGAGTTGCCCGTAGTAATGGTCGCGCGACTCGGTAACTATGATTCTGGAGCATGCTAACCTTGGGGGGATGAAACTCAGGGGTTAGGATGTGCTAAGGTCTAAGGAGAAGATTGTCGTGAAGACTAGGGATAATGAATAATTCCGGAATTACTATGTGGGTTGATGCTGCGGTTGCTTCTTATACTTTGGTGGGGTCGGCGTTCGCTTGGGACTTGGAGTTTTGAGAGCTAGGAACTTCAGGTAATATCTGATGATGATGCACTGATGACGTCCCAAGCAGCGTCAGGGCCCGCCTTGGTGCAACTAAAACATCAGGTCTGGGTGGCGATTCGGAAGAGATCCGCCTGCCCTTGCTTTTCTGGCCACTATTTACTGCCTCTTCACTGCTTCAGGGGCTCGGGTCTCGAGTCTCGATTAATTCAATATCATCACCATGTTGTGATGGCGAGCTTCATGAATGTTTCACGTCACAGATGTTAATGCGGGAAAAGCATAAAACCCCCCAGAGGGAGAAGGAAGGGGGGATTAAATAAATAAAAGAAAAAGAATTTGGGGAGAAAGATATATGGAAAAGAAGAAGTAGATCGGTACGAGGAAAGCAAGGGAACACATAAGGAAAAAGAGCATCGGAAGAGGAAAGACCAGTTTCCGGCACCGATACTGCTGATCAAGGCTCACTCTAGAGGGTGAGTAGCACGCCTCAGTCAACAGAGTACCAATTCAAAGCTAGCGACGGGGTCTACGTTTGACCTGCTGCATATTATATCATTGATATATTTGGCTATCGACTCGAGTGATCCTCTGTTGGGGCCTTTCTCCAATCAGTAAACGAACATGGTGCTCCAGAACTTATGGAGGGTCCATCTGAGCCGACAGTTTTGTACCGACGTATTTACAATCTTGCGAGTATACGTCGATGACTCATGTTGATTCAATTTGACTAGATGACCTAGAGTAGACTTCTTCTCCTATCAATCACAAAGATTTAAAATACTAGGAACTAAGAGCTAACAACCCTTTCAAAATGTCAGTGGCACCACACATGTCCAACCTAACCAATTCAAATCACTTAGCAGGGTTTCTTTTCCAAGTTCAATTGAGAAGATTGGAAAGAACACCTCGCTTCTTCACAGCACCAACGCGGGCCGCACCTACGGCATCATCTTGCACATCTTCTAATCAATGGTTAGGCCTTAGTGAAACGTCGAGAAACGTGGCTACTTACCTTGAACTGCTTCCCCAGCCGCTTCTCCGGCTGCAGTTGCCGCGTCTTCGGCAGCATCTCCGACTGTTACGTCAGCGGCGGAGGCTCCATTGGCAAGCTCAATGGCAGCAGCCGCTATATCAGCAGCGTCAGCACTGTCACCGCCGACAGTTTCCGTGGCTTGCGCATCGGCGTCCGCTGTGTCTTCAGTAGCAGCGGCATCAGCTGCATCCGCATCTGCCGTATTCGCATCGGCGACATCGGCAGCATCGGCAACATCATTGACATCCGCGTCAGTCTCGACAGCGGCCGCATTATCAACCGTCGCTGTCGCCAGGACAGCATCCGGGAGAACGACGTTGAGATTAGCACAGGCCTCAGCGTTAGCAGCGGCCTGCTCCAGAACATTTGCGGCGGCTTGCTGTACAATATCCAGATCATCCTGCTGTTGCGCATCATCCTCACCGCCGTTAGCGTTCTGTTCGTCTTCTTGAGCGGCTTCGTCGTCTGCTACTGCATTTGCCTGATCATCGGCGTTGGCGCCATCGGCCTCTACAGCCGCCGCATCTGTCTCGACAGCGGCATCAACATCTGTCGCCGCAGCATCCGATGTTTCGGCGGCTTCGACCTCGGTAGCAGCAGCATCGTCCGTGGCCACCGCTGTGGCTTGCGCAGCATCGGCAACAGAAGCAAGAATTGAGTTGGCATCATCAGCGGCGGCAGCGAGAGCGCTGCAGAACTCAGCATCGACTTCATTGGCGATCGCTTGCTCGGCATCTATAAACATTGTTGGAGATAAGTAAGCCATCTACAATCGCACAGCTCGCATGTTAGCCTAGCTGTCATGGCACTCACCTGCAACCACCTGGGCGTCGTTTTCGTTCTGGTCGTCTGCCGTATCAATAGCATCGGCAACTTGGTCCACGTCGTCGGCACCCGCAATATTGGCAGCATTCGCGGCGGCGTTTTGGCCGTTGATATTCGCAGCAACATTTACTGCGCCAATCCCATTTGTGTTGACGTTGTTGCCCGCAACAAGTTGTGCAAGGTTGTTCACTTGCCCTTCCACGCCACCAAATAGCCGTAAACCAGCGGACAATTCGATGGCAAGGGCGCCCACCAGGAGCTGTTTCAGGAAAGGCTTAGGTGTCATCTTGAAAATAGAAGAAAACGATCCGAATTACCGACGGAGGAAGGAAGAAAATCCAAAGAAAAAGAAAGAAAGGGAAAAGAAATACTCGCTTGATGGCCTGCCAAACGTACAGAAAGGAATGCAAAGCGGAAACAGAATGGGGGATGGACAGAAACTTGACAGGACTGTCGAACGAGCACCGAACACTTTTATGCGAACATCGACTTGGCTGGTTATGCATGCGTATGGGGTGTTTACCCTATTTCTCTACGTGATGGCATCATTCTATTACTCACTACGATTGAACCCAAAGACCAGGGAAAGCTCTGCGCCTGAAAGTCGGTCCCGAAAACGTGTTATGAGGCTTCTGCCCGGGGTCGAATGGTAATCGCACCGTTGCTCCGACAATTCATGTCAGAAGCAGATCAAGTTGTGGCCATGATTTTCATGGACACGCCATTATTGACGTAAACCCGGGTTACACAGTTAGGAGCATAGAAATCATAGAAGACGTAGGAACGATAGAAGCAGGAATCACTCACGTCGATCACAAAGGGAGCCGATGATCTCAAGAGAGATCTATGACAAGAATAGTTTCTGATCGAACGGCGGATTGTCCATCGGGCGCAATGTCCATAATTTGGTTTTAGCCGGGTTGGGAACCTCTCCCGATCGACGAGGTCGTTTCGCCAAGGGGCTAAAAAAGCTTGTCTTCGTCCAAAGTGTGAAACATCCTTGCCTGTCGACTGAAGTGGCTGAGCACTTACCCCTGAACAATGCCTTACAGTCTCTGACAGTGATTCTGTTTTGGAATAAGTTATCGTATCCCTGTTTGGAATTGTCTGACAATTTTCTTGAAATGTTCAGGATATTGGATGCGGCGATGTCTCTGTCGGAGTACTTTGCGGAACAAGCATGGGGGTTAAACCCATCGGAATCCTTCAGGTTTCAAGGGATGTGGTACGGTATTGAAATGTAAGACTACAGTAGGTATTCAACTCACTAATAACCACTAGAAGTAGTCCCCCCGTCGATGTGGAAGCGTGTTCCATACCTCCTATATTATTTCGGAGCCTATCAACTCCTCTCGAGGCAGTGTAATAATCCTGGTTGACACCATCCCATGATTTGAATAAGGTTCTATACATGAACGGACGTCCCTATGGAATGACGAGTTCAGACCCTTATCTGGAGAAGGGTTAGATTGTCACGGATTTCGATAGATTCACCTCGTTTTGAATAACGGATAGCAGATCACAGGAGTTAGAATATATTGTGGTTGTCTCTTGGTCCACATGGAACTGTTTTGCATTCATTCTTAGTCTGCACGACGTACGTCTGGATTTCGCGTTGACCATGCTTGCCCGCTACCCCAATGAGGCAGATACCCCAGTTAGAGAGAGATTCCTACCAGAAGAAATGCGACCCTCCCTACTATGACCCTCGCCATCCCTCCAGCAGTAGGGAATTCAATACGATGGGTCGGAAACGATTGGGTTAGTCTAGGACGCAAGGTAACAACGGATTGTTCCTAATTGGGTCCCTGCCTTTCACCTAGGTCGTTTGCGAAAATAGATTTGTCCCGTCCCTATGGCTTCGGGAGGACACAAAAGAGTGGAACGGACTTGTCGTCGCCATTCCAGAGAGGGATGCCTAATCGTATGTCGTGAAGATAAGGGACTTAGACAGTACGAAAAGCAGCTATATTTGAGAAACAGCACGAAAACGGAATGTCAGATGAACGCCATCAAGATAAACGAAATTGCAGCCGACCCAAGACTTGATACGGCCTGAAATACTCCCCAAATTTCGAATGGCTTATGGCTCAAGCCACGGGGTGAGAAGGTAGACAAAGATTTACATCGGAAGAAGGCGATATTCTCTCTATGGAGTTTGGTCGGGATGTCCTTGAATCCCTCTCCGGAGCGTCTAGAGACCTGGCCCACGACAGAGTCCTGTCGTTCACGATGTATAATACCTCCGAGGCACAGCTCTCCAAAAATCTGTCCACAAAAAGTCGGAGACTCCCAATTCCGGCTCCTGCCAATTACCTCCACCATCAGGGAATGGCGAGTCCTTACTTGCGCACAAGCCCCAAATTTCTCCTGTAATAATATTCACAATCCTTCTCGGTGATAATTGACGATTTATTTAAAAGATGCTGGTTGACCCTTGTCGGTGTTTCCGCAATTAGCTGCTGGATTACCAAAAGCAGCTGGTCATTTGCAAAGGCGATGCCTGAATGAAACTGCCGTCATGACCCGTTGGCGCGTTCTCGTTCGGACAGGAGACCGACGTTGTCAGAGTTCACTGCTACCACCCGGCCTTGACTCTCCAACGAGCGCCATCCTGGAGATATGTGCGGCTCATATCCGGGACTTCCTCGAGGCGTCATCGCTGGGCTGGGAGGTGATAGCCTTTCGTACCTCCCTGGGGATAGCCATAATCGGGAGTCTCCAACTAGAGGTCGGTGAGGCGGCTCCTCGGCCGAATTCTCTTCGCCCGGGTTCGTTTGGCGACCGTTTCTAATGACTTCCGTCATATACGATGATTCAAGTCGCGCTGGGGTTCTGTAGCTGTTCTCACTCCATTCGGCAACCTTTTTCTTTTGGGACTTCTTTAATGCCGACAGGAAGATCGCCACCAGGAGAAGCACCCCGAGAACAACAAGGATGGTGATTAGGGTAGTTGAATCGAGACCTGAGGAGGCGGCATTGGAGGCAGCCTCAGCAGCTGAACCTGCTTTACTTTTAGCCCCCATTGAAACTGAAGTCGCAAGAGTGGAAGTGGAACAAAATGCGTTCAGTGGAGTCGAGGCCTGAGCCTTCCTTTGCAGGTACGAGGGGTTGGGTCAGTAATCTTTTCATATTATGGAGAAATTGCAACCAAAACTCTCCTGAAAACTGGTGGTCAAATTTATTTATACATGTCATGTGAGAGTGGCAGCGCTACTGTTTCATCTTTTCTGCGATGCCCATTGTGCGGGGACCCAACGTGGTAATTCTCGTGGCGCAGAGGGGCGAGAAGGATCGACATGGGTTACACAGATTGTCCTGTGCCGCCTCCCTGGAACAAATTCAGGGGATGCAGGGTGACAGGAGGTCAAAGCTGAGGCTGATGTCCATCCGCATTTCCTTCCAGTGTCTACTGAGTAAAGGAGTGTTTTCCAGACATGGCGAGTGAGGCTATGAAAATACCTTCTTCCTTCCTGTATCACTCTACGATAAAAGGTTCAATGAAACTTCTTTAGGAAGAAGACGAAGAAGAAAAAAAAAGGAAAAAAAAGAAAGAAAAAGTGTCGGACGCTTTGTCCGTCGTTTTACATTGCTGCGACCGACAAAGTCACAAAACATGATTTGAGGACCTACGGAAGGGTTAAGGAGGCGTGCACGGCATCGCCAATGCCAGAATGGCACCACTAGATTTGAAGAACACTGATGCTATTTTCGGTGTAGCATAAATGCAGCAGAGGAACCTATGTACATTTACCAAATCTGAACTGAGATATTCATGAACATACAGCTTAAGCGCGGTAGGTGTTCCAGTAGCTGTACATGCGTGCCTCCTGACCAGGAGTAAACTCTTCGTAGCAGGCACTGTAAGAGGAAGGAATTCGGTGTTAACACTAGCTTTACTTGGTACGCACTGGAGTGAGATCAAAGCACTTACTCGTCGGAATAGTCCATGTAGTTGTGGATAGGATCAAGGCCGGTTTGGCTAGGGCAGGAATCCCGACCAACAGGGCAGCCGCTGCTGGAGCTGGCCTGGGCAGGGGTATCAGAAACGTAATCGCCGTTACCGGTGCAGCCGCCCTGGAAAGTATGATAGAGACCCATCCAATGGCCGACCTCGTGAGTGCCGGTCTTTCCAAGGTTGTATCCGGTAAGAGTGCCACCTGGGACGGTTTGCGAGTTGAGAGAAACGCCATCTCGGTAGAAGGCGGTGCTGCCGGGCGTTACCGACGTAGGCAGATACGCATAGCCCAAGGCCTCGTCCGTGAGTCGGACCTGGAAGTAAATATTGAGATCCTTGTAGGTTCCCTTACGGAGGGCACGCTTCATGGCCAGCTCGTTGTTGTCAGCAGCCCAGCCGGCATTGATGGTGCGATCAGTGCCGAGCAAGTTGAATGAGATGCCATGGGGAGCAAAGTCCGTGTTAAGGACAGCCAACTGGTCAGACAGCATTTTGTCCTGCCGAGAAGAAACAATATGTAAATACGACACAACTTCTTCAAGTGGGGCTTCTTTTTCGGATTCTTACAGTCAAGTAGCCATTCCCGACGGTCTGGCTCGATGCAACGACGTGAAAGTAAACGCCGACGCTGACCGTGGCACGAGCAGTCAAGTTGGATCCCGCGAGTCTGGCTTCCTGGGCAGCCATAACCTTGGACATACCAATGTGTTCGGCATCAGGCTCGGCAGTACCGCAAGAAAACTTACGGCCAGCCCTCGGCGTTGCGCCACCGGAGACGCCCAAGATGCCGACGGCAGCGATGATGAGATTCTTGAACAACATTGTTTCAGACCAAAAGTGAGAGGCAGCGACTTGAAATGCAGTGCAGAGGTAGACGATGAGAAGGAATTAGAGACTCGCCTCGTAGCTAGAGGCCGCTCAAGATCTTTATATAAAAGCCATGAAGGCCTTCTGTCGTGTTCTTGCCCTGTCCCTATCTGGAAGTTGGGAAACAATGAAGAGTACTTTTGATAACCCGCGCATTATTCCACTTATCACTATCATAATACGACTGTTTGATGGCTACTACATGCCTTAATTGTCTAAGTTCAAAATATCGTCATTCGGCGAGGGCCCGAGGCACTCTCAGAACAATGCTATCAGCATGTCGTGAAGAGAAGGTTACAACTCCAAGGTAACGCTTGGACGCTACAGAGCCCCGAAAATCGGCGATGGGGTCTAAAAAGGTGAGGTAGTGTCCGTGGTGGGGTGCTTAACAGGGAAGCCGGGGTTAATCACTCGGTAGTATTATTGGTGCCCAGACCCTAGCAAATGCCGTGCTAGGGACTTTCGTATCTGGGCGATGCGCTGATAAGTTCGATGTTACCTCATGGGAGCGGGATGATCCCATGATTCCTTCATTCACATGCAGGAACCTTTGCCTTTAGTGAGGGGTAAGCTCCCTTGAACAGCGAGGCCAATGTAACGGGAATTCTTCATCTCCGTCCTCTAATATCAGCAGTTGGCGACCTCTCTTTGGGCATGGGGTCATTAATAACGAGGAGAATGCAAATGCTGGACTCTGAATGGTTGGTACACACCATCTGGAAATCGGATATTGGTACTACATTTAGGATCATCTCAACAACTAACTGTTTCGTAGACTTGCAGTATAACCATGACTCGATGTAGGCATTCCGGGTTCCTACCTAACGGAGCCGCTCTAGTATAGCGTAGTTTCCGATTCTGTCCCGTATGCTGGAGGGCGACAGATATTGAAGAGGGAGCTCTTGAAACTACTACTATGTAGTTACCAGCGACACCAACATACATGATAGTCACACTCCACTGTTGCGTGAAAAAGGCAAGGGCCAGTGATCTAGAAAACACACCGGCGGGGATTAGTTCCCATTATGGAATGTTGAGCAAAAGTCCAGGACGGATTGACAAGAAATGGCGCTATTCAAGTCAACCAGGGATGGAATACGTGTTAGAAGACATATTGGGGCACGTGGGTGCCGCGAAATGAGGCAGAGGATAAGGAGCAACCCGATGGGGTTGAACGGGTAGCGGTTGAAACCAGGCATGCTGTGCAGGAGTGAAAAGTCGCAAAGTCTCGGGTATAATCCCAAATTCACACTCTACTAAGTATGACAGCCCCTACTTTCTATTACACATAAACTTAGATTCCCCCAGTCAACCAGCGAGGTTAGACTGAAAGCTTTGAAGCACTTCAAAGAACCTAGATAGCAAAGAGACTAGATGGCTGACCGACGTAGCCACAAACCATGGGCGATATTTTCTTTCTAGCCCCAATGTTTCACAGTCACACCACGAGCCGGACGGATTCCTCCCCCTGGGTCTGCTTACTCTCCTAGTCCAAGAAAAGCCGACATCTCGCCAAGCAGGAAAGCTGGTGTTGGTGCCATGATAGCATAGCCTCTACGAATCGAGATGGACTAACCGTGGAAGAGGGTTAAGGCACAAATTATTATACGCTGCCGTTGAGAAGCACGGCGCGGGAAAATTCGCTTTCCGATGTCAACTGACACCGGTTCCATGGTTAGCGTGGTAATAAAGCCAGCGAAATCACTGAGGCTGAAGAGCCTCCTGTGTAGCTCCTTGGGGCCCTGGATAGACGAGTTGGCTTCCCTAAGCACGGTGGCTTTCTCTTTGACGTAATTTTGTGAACTACAATGAAAGAAATACATTGGCTTGGTCGTAGAGCCAGTTCTGCAGTGGATCGTGTATGCCCGTAGCCATTTAATGCGCTAAGCGGCCGTCGCCTTTGCGAGTCCAAGTTGGCATTTCAGTTCCACAAACATTCTTTCAAGGTGACTGCTGTGACTTTTTTGAAGGTCAACTATTAACTCTAGAGATCTTGATGAACATACGAGGACAGCATCGGCTACTCCCAGAGCTCCATGTTTGCTTCACTTGTCTTCCTCGTTTATATATCGGGGCAGCGTTTTCAACGGTAAGCAAGATCACAGTACACATCCCCTACACCTTTTACAGATTACCCTCCTAAAATGGCCAGAGTCATCATGGTTGGGGAAGTTTACGAGGATGGCCGTCTCCTTCTTGAGCATGGAAACTGGAAATTCGACGCGAGCCTACGCGATGGCGCCGTTCATCCCCTCATAGGCGACTTTGTATCACACATTCTGGAAGCTGTCCCGAAGTTCCCCCCACTGCGATGCAATGGAATACATGGGCGGGAGATAATCAGTCTTCGACTCATCATGCCGTCCTTTTCTTCGATGATGCCGTAGCTACTGATGGGAACACTTTTCAAACCTCAACTCTCTTTCTCCCATCATGGCCCCTTGATTGCAGGTAGCTGCTCCTTATTATCCTGGTACACTCTTTTGTGGATCATTTCCCAAGAACTGTTGTTTATCCCAGACGCTGATCTCCTTGGCCTGTTCATCCTCGCAGATTACTGCCAGGTTGGGGATGATGGTGCGGGAAGTGCGAATAGTCCGATACACGAGAAACTTAGTATCTCGCTTATCGACTAGTTAGGAATTGAGGCTCCACATTACAATCCCGATGTCAGTGATGTCAGTGATGTCAGTGTGATGAGCTTAAGCGAAGGAGTTGGGTCGGGCTCAAAGAGGAATATCAATGCATAACTGTTCGTAATGCAGCATAAGAATGCAGTGAAATTGGAGTTATGCTTATTCACCGGGAAGAGGAGTCGGTAGATCTAGCGGAAATTACCCGTTTGGTTAGGCCATCCGCCTAAGCCAGTGCGACGTTGGCAACAGGCAATATCCCATGTTTTTACGAAACAGGCATCTTTGCCTTGGGCGAATCGATCGATGTAACATGAATTCTTCATTATCCGTTCGCGAAGATCAAAAAGCCCCGGCCTCGTGCGGGGATTACAAGGTACAGATTGCTGTTCCATGCGGGGACTCCCAATCCCGTAATAATTACCAATCTTCACAGGTAAGTTCGAAGAACTTCCAGATTCCGCCTCAATGCCTCCTGGAGCCCATCAGTATCCTCGCTGCCGTCGAATTCCGTGGCCAACTCCAGAGACCTTTGCGCGTAGGCAATGGCAGATGGAATATCATCATGCTCGAAAAAGACCCGCATCAAGTCATGGTAGTAGCGCTTCATGAGAGATGGACCCAACTTTTCCTCCGCTGCGAGCTCCAGCAGTTCTGATGAGAGGTCTAAGATGGTCCGAGGACTAGCCGTTGAGGGGCTCTCCCTTTCTTCAGCAAATATCGTCCATATCTCCTGGAGCCGCCGCCTGTTTCGGTCTGAGCGATTTACGATGTCGTCTGACGCTGCACAGAGTGAGCACCGGCACTCGAATTCGAATATGGTGGACAGAGTTGATTGCCGTTCAGAGGAAACCAGGCCGTCTTCTATATCTATAGGCAAATCTAAGTTGCGTTGAAGACAAACGCTTATGAACGGTGCAAGCGGACTTACAATTGATGGTAATCTCCTCTCCCTCAGCTATATCCTCCGCCGCGACAACTTCCATGATCATACTCGAGGGAGCAAGTCGCACAAGAGCACTAGTCATAGTTAGATATACACACTCGCCGGCTACTTGTCGGGGAATCTGTTTTGGGGGATCTTACTTTGGAGTGCAGGCATGGTTCAGCCTCTATCAAGAAACCGGCGAGTCAGTATCTTCTGAGATTAATGTCCTTGGATCTCGACAAAATCTTACTGCTACTTCGGGATATAGTAATGTCATGGCCCTCCCAAAGACATTCCCTGTATGCGAATTTACGCCCAACACATCCTCGAGCGCATGACCTCCTACCCTCTTCGTCAAACCCATCACCCTCTGTCGGTCCGCTAGTTGGTCTGTCGCCCGCTGGTAAACTTCCCGTCCTTCCGCCGTAGTGTCTAACAGGGTCCTGAACTCGTTGTCAAAGATGATTGCTGGCAATGCAGTGATGAATACCTCGCCGCGCTGGATCTTTCGCCGTGCTAGGATGCCCACGCCCTTCCCCGGGACCTTCTTTTTCTCATATGCATCGAGAATGTCACGGCCGAGGTGAGGTTTCGCTCTGGAAGCTGCTTCGCTGTTGAGCAGGGCTTTATGGAGGTTCAAAATGGTCTCCTTCTTCGCCACAATGCTGAGCCCATGACCGCTGTTAAATGACACTGACGAGACTAGACAGAATGTAGATGCAGCTTCATGCTCTGGGTCTGTGGCAAAGCACAAAGGCTCCCAGTCCCAGTAGCCCCAACTGCCTGGGCTCTGGCCAGGCGCATAGTCATATGAAAACTGGGAGCATGTGTAGAGTTCCTCGAAGATGCGCCTTGGACACTGATCGGGAAAGGTTTTGTCGGCGGGTATATGCTGTGTCCAAGAGTAGTAGGCGAAGAGCAGCGAGGCGATTGCTAGGCAACAAAATGGGGTTATCGAGAAAGTCGCCATCATCCATCAGGCACTGGCGCGCAAGACCTTGATGCTGACTTTTTGACAGTTGTTGAAATGAGGCGTTGAACATTGAAGTTTGACTAAACAAGCCTCTGGCGTAGGCCTTTAGCCGGCCAGCGTTGGTTATAAACAGAGAATGATCCGGCGGTTAAAGTGACAAAGTTTTGCCGTGGTTCCCATGCGTTTAAGGTACCAGTCAATACCAGGAAGAATGATCTGAAGTTTTAAATATGTAATCAGCAGAAGGTTAGATTCGTTATCATGCGTAATGATCGACGCGTGTTAAAATGACGGCTCGTACGCGACGCGGCTCAGCCAGGTGCGTATGGGATATCTACGACTCATGCATGATATTGGAACGGGAGTGAAATCCCAGGATGAAGCAGGATGTGCAATGAAGAATACGCAAGCCAAGCACGTTCCTAAAATACATCCATCATAAGTGCACTCAGAATTCTCAAGTCGAAAAGATGGATGAGACAGTTTCGTTAGGCCTGTAAGCAAAGGATAACACAACCATGGCCGAGTGAAGTTGCGGAACATGTCCTCAACAGGACTTAGAATTGGGAGAGCGGTCGTGGTGTGTGAAGTATGAGACGAACAGTATGTGACGACGTCACATGGTGATACACACCAGGTTGCACGCTACCAGCGCAGGCAACATGGCAAATTGACGTGAGATCAGGCGAGATTCCCAGCTCCAGCAGGCATTTGTTTCGGGGGGGTTCCGCTCGACAACCTTGTTTCTAGTTGGAAAATAAGATTGTACATGTTTGTATAGCATTAATCTACCATATAAATAGTAGAATATTGGTCCTCGCACCGAGTGGCTCAGAATCCCGACAGTATCTCCAGGAGTTGTGCTAGGTTGAGGTAGTAATGAGTGGAATGGATCAGATGAGGGACAATGATACGGAGCTTCAGAAAGCGAGGACTACATGAACTGAAGTGAGTAACAGAACTCGAAGTGAATAATCATAGTCTACATAATTTTTTTTTATCTGTTCCGGCATCATCTGGTTGCATAAAACTACGACGATGCAAGTGCGCAAAAAATGAGCCTTACGTTCACCGACCAGGGCCCCTCACAACAACACGGTCCACGCCGGAACAGTGCAGCACTCACTTCATTCTCTTCTCCACGTGAGCAGAGTCTTGCCGACGGTAGCGATACGTCAGCGTCTCGGCCTATAAAGAAGGAAATTTGCGAGACGCAATTGAGTGCTGGCCGCCAATCACCAACGACAACGGGAGTTGAGTCATCCAAGCATCCCTATAATGCCCTGGGCTTTTGTCCGCCTGACCTCGCTTGTCCGACGGATTATAAACTACATCCGCTTGCACAACAATCCATAGCAGTCGATCAGGTTAAGAGATTGGGTTTAAGGTGAGGCCTGGGAAGACGGCTAATGATTGGACGCTATCTAGAGTGAGCTTGCTAGTCAAGAATAGCAAGATGATTCGTTTATAGATTAAGGCAGCACGGCAGATATACTGGCGGATGGGCAATACACAACAATGATGTCCTTACGCGCGTGGCTGATTGGTGACAAGTGCCGATCTTCCGTGAAGATCCCGTTAACTCCTGAACAACAAAAGGCGACGAGGCGGGATCCTAGTAGACCGCGGACTGGCCCAGTTCGTATATTCTCAACGCGTTCAACCCGAGGCTCATATCTAATAAGGAAAGCTATCCAGAGATTGCACAACCATATATTCTGGAGAGGTGGAGAAACTTTGCTAAGGCTGGGTACCCTATCGCCAAGGAGATGTCTGACGAAGAACGGATAGTATTTGACGACGAGAACGAAGGGTTAGGGCAAAGGTACTCTGTTTCCATGAGGAGAAATGCAATTACATTTGGGTAATAAATATAGATTTTACCGGACCAATGATGGAACCTCCAATTCTTGGTTCATCCTGATCCAGGAAAAAAAAAAAAAAAAAGACGCCACCGATGCGTGTCGGTTGAGAAGGCAGCCAACTAAACAGGAGTCGAATACATTACATCCGCGTATGCTCATTATTTCTTGGCTCATAGTCTGCCATCTTCTTCCTATTTAGTTCAATTTTCCAATATCCCTGCGACATGTAAATTCTTCGATGTCGCGTTCTGATCAACCAAGTTGCTTATGAGCTCCCTCTTTAGCCAGCAGTTCCCACCTACACGGCTCAACCATACCAATTCGGCATTAAATTGTACCGCGACGCACGTTGTATTTAACGCATCCGATTGATCGTTAAAATATGCGCAGGCACTTAGGCAATCCTGGAAGGTATACGCGACGAGGGTGGTGATATCTAACCCGAACCCTGGGCTGGGATGGTCCATGCCACATGTCGCCTGGAACTTGTACGCTCTGCTTTTAGGTGCCAGAGTGAACTTTTGCTCCGTGAGATTTGGACAATCGAGCTCGAGAAGGCCCTCCGTTGGGGGAGGAGAGATTCGGGATCCCGTCGCTGCCGGATCGGCTGAGTTCGTTGTGTTGCTGGATGGTTGCGATGGTTGCGATGGTTGCGATGTTTGTGCCTCTGCCAGCCCTCGTCTAATACGGATTAGTACAGTTCACGCGAATAAAAAAAGGAGGTAGAAAGATCTCAGCGCCAGCTAACGTACTCATATGCTTTCTTTACTGCGATGGAACCGCCCACCCCGCCGCCCACTGCCGCAATGATGATGACCAAGACTAAGAGTAGCAGAAGAATGAATGTGGCGCGTCGTAAACCTAGAATCTTATCTTCGTCGGGCTGGGAAACTTGCGCGGGGGGCTGGGCTCCTTCGTATGCGTATGTGTTTCCGTAGTCATGCTCCTGCTTAGCAGGGACCTTCCAACCATCAGCGTGGCTATAGACTCGTTCGGGCGGGTCGTCCGGTCCTCGCACGACTTGTAGGCCGTCCATGAGTTTCAGCAATGTGCTGATTTGGCGACGAGCGCTCGAGGCCTGGGTTATCAAACGCACAGCTTTCTGGGAGGGACCGTGGGGTCTGTTTGTGGCGGGTGCCAGACACGCTCTCGAGGCGTCGTTAAGATTAACGAAACCGATGATTGAAAATCACAATAAGGAGAGGGATGGAAAAAAGGAGACGGGGATGGAAAGCAGGGGAAAATCCGGGGGGGGGGGGGGGGGGGGGGACATCATGGGATGTACTCCCCAAAATCCTGATCAATTCCTTGGGTCTTTTGGGCGACCTATCCCTGCTACCCGCGGCGCTTAAGACGCCATTCTGAGTGGCTAAGCCGAACCCTCTTATTTTTCCTTGAGGGGAATTATGCAAGGTACTTCGTATATTGTGCATAATTACGCTTGAAAACAAAGCTGGCCGGTTGCGGGGTTGGCTTCCTTCACGCAAATCTGAAACCTCAGGCGCGTTTTCGCCTCTCCAGGGGTACGTCGTAGGCCAATCACCGGCAGAGCTGTCAAGAAAGGGCCAAGGACTGAAATCCAGAGCGAGTTTCTTTGTTGCGACTTCTGAGAATCACCCCACTTTTGTTGCGGAAGGGCTACATGTGTGCGAATCGAAATGGCAGCACTTGCATGGCCAAGGCTGACGATCCACTGCTGAGAGCGACACGTACCGGTACTGAGGTAGTTGGGAAGCGAATGCAAGTGTCCCCATGGGCGCCAAGGGTGCGAATTGGCGTTTCTTGCTTGTTGCGCTGGTTTTTCTATCGTAAACGACAACAGGGGCGGATATTTCCGTGAAAGAGCAGTGAGGTCGTACCGCAGCACTTCTCCTCTTGATTTTTGTGTGGGTCTTTTATAGGAAGCGACAGCAAGCGGGGATATCCCAGCCAGAAAGCAACTTGCACCGGCAGTACTATTACTATGCGGAACCCAAGCCACCGGAAGCACCATGGGAGCTCGAGACGCCCAGGTATTATCACGAAGCAGTGGAGTGGCCAACTACACCACATAACCATTATTAATGTGCAATGAGAATACGGCCGATGTTTAGAATTTGAGCGTTTGATTTCTGCATGAGTTTTATTGCCCATGTACATCTTGAATCGATACATATTCGTTAGTATATCCGAGTGTGCATCAAGCCTCGTATTATTGTCGGTACGCTGATTCTCTCTGGTGTACTCTCGCCTTAGTGTGTATGCTCTTCTCACAACTCTTTCACCGGCCCCTGCCCGCTAGGACTAGATGGAATACTGAAGGGTGTTTGGGGACCTTCACAGCGGCCCTGGACTGCCTTTCTCAAAGGCCCTCTGTGCGGAACTGAGCATAGTTCCAAGTTCTAACTTTCCAAAGTTCTCTAGCTCCAAATACTAATTTCAAAATATGCAGCCTTAATCAGGTCGTCAAAATCAAGGAAAAAAACAGCATTCTACAGAAAGATTATTTCCAATGCATAGTTTCTGAGAGTCGCGTCTCTCGGTGATGTTCACCATATCACGGCAGCAGCACATAAAAATCTGTAAAATTCGGAGCAACTCTTGAGCTGGCGGGGGGAACCAAGTGATGGTCTTGTCTGCCTCAAGAGGAGCAGGTTGGCAGAGGAACATTAACATAGCCCAATCACAGTCAAAATATTTAACCATCAAGAGATAATTTTCTTCACCCAACCCTTGAGACAACTAATTAAGAGCCTGCCTATCTGCCAACCTTAGAACAAGTCGATAGGGCCACCTGCTTCCAACCTCTCCGCCTCCCGTCTCAAGAAGTCGGCCTTGAACCGTCGGTAGGCCACCCCGATGCGCTTCTCGGTGTCAGGATTCTCTCGAATCGCTCTCGTCGCAGACCATGTTCCTGCCAAGAACCCCGTCTCACCGCCAAAGAAGAGGCCCCCAAGACCACATAATAAGTAGGTGAAGACGTCACCCATCGCCGTCGGCTGCATTATTCGCGTCAGGTCGGGTAGCTTCTCTAAACGAAGTACACACGGTCAGCATAGCTCCTATTTGTCCAGTCCCCTCCTTCATTACAGGTTATGGCTCTTACCAGTCGTTCCGTCCGCGAACGTCACCTGGACGGGCTTGCGTGCCGTTCGGAAAGCGTTAAACATTTCCACGCGGCCTCTCCGTAGCCCGTAAGCCATATAAACTCCCAATCCTAGACCAAGTATCGAGCCAACCGTGGCCCGAGTGCTTATCCGGCTAGATGCTTTGGCTAGAATATCGCGATCGCCCTCGGTCAGGTCATGTTTCAGGTGCTCTGCGGCGAGTCTGGAGAGGTCCTCCTGTCGAGGCGACTTGCGAAAAGCGGCGAAAGCCGAGCTTGGAAATGAGGAATCATCCGGATAAGTCATCGTTAAAGATGCTGCGTGCTGCGTAGACTGTAAAGGCGAAAGAATAAAGAGTGTCCGGAGGTCTTAAATGTCTACCGATCGACTTGGTTATTATCTTCTCCGAGATATCTTGATCATGACATCAATGATGGAGAGAAATGAAGAATCGAGTGGGTCATTCCAAGTACCATGACGTCACTCGTCAGGAACACGCGATTGCTAATTCTGACGCGGCCAACCAGAACGAAGATTGGCCAAATGGATGATCGGTGTTGTGATGACGGAGTTAAAAGGTTTCTTAATTCGGACATCTCGGGGAAGTGGGTGATCTTGCCCTTTGTAAACGTAGACTCGCAGGATCTTTCCGCATTTGGCATCACGACAACTATACTTCATGCGGGGTAATTATCCTGTCTTTTGGACCTCCAATTCGATTTTTAGACATGGGTGTTCAGCGAGGCTTCTCGATGTCGCTGCAGCTGAGATCGCTAAATTGCATATTTCCACTTTAGGTCTCGCTGAGACTTGTGGGCCTATTTGCCCTGGAGTGTCTGTATGCCATCGGTAAGTTGACATGGAACTCACACCACAAGCAACCGCTTGAGGAATCATTTTTGTCGGGCATCGAAGAGCTGGCGATGCGTGTTTGCCAACGCCGTATAATCGTATTCTACTGATCACAAATCAGTTGCGATGCAAATTTTCCTAACAGGTCATGCCAAGCCTATAATGCCCAAAGTCGGAATTGTGGCTCTGGCTTGACGAGGCTGCCGCGGACGTCCAACCCAATGAGATGGTAACGGAATGAGTTTTTGGAATCTTATGATTCGAAGCCGCCAATGAACCCGTCTCCTCCCATGCAATATATTGTTAGCTCAGTCGCCGCTGGGCCCAAGTCATACGAAGTACATGCAACGCCGATACTGTTGGGAAAAGCATGAGAGGCATTGCACTTGATCTACTTCACTTATTGCCTGATTGATTCATCTGGAGCCGTAATGGCGATGTCCGCGAAGCTCTTCAATATGATACCGGCAAGTTAGCATATAAATGGCGACCGTTTCCCTTGAGAAGGACATGTAACTGTAGCCGTTTCGTATCCAAATCTATCAAAAATCGTTTATATTCGGAAATAGAAAGATAATCTGCCTCATCTACAACACCTGCCACATCAAAGTGACCATGGCAAGAGTCAGCTTGGGCACCATCTTGGTCCTAGCCCTTACCTTCGCCCAGCTTGCGGCAGCACATGAACCGATCATTCTGCGACCCCTCTCCCGACATTTAACTTCCATGCATGACTCTCTCGAGAGGAGAGGTAATAGCGAAGTAGAGGCCTGCAAGCCTCATCGCCGTCTCGTCGGTCATCCTCATGGAGAAAGAAAAGGAAAAGGAGAAGACCAGTGGAGTCATCACAATGGTACTCATGGTGGGAAACACGGCGACGGAGGTCATGGGCATCACGAAGAGACAGGAAATGGAGACCGTGTCAAAACATGCATAGTTGTGGACCTCCAAGATGAGGAAGAGCTGGCGTGGACCACCCCTGACGGTAGGGCGAATATTGACTATTATTGATGGCGATGTATCTCGCTGATAAGTCTCTATAACCACATCAGGCACTGAGGGCGATGCCCAAGCTCTCGTCTCCATCCGCATTACCCCTTACCCAGGGCAGAAAATCATCGACATGGAGAGATTCACCTCAGACCTCGCCGCAGTTGAATGTGCCAGCACTACGGTTCTCCAATTTGAACACCGCTCAGTCTTTGATCGCGCCGTGCAAACCTGGGACTGGGTGAATCAAGCTGCCGATCGTGCTTTCGTCCTGGCAGGAGATCCCGTGGCCTGCAAGTCAGGCGACGATCGGGATCCATGGCTTATTAGCTCCGCGACTTTTGACGCTTCGACCTTGACCATCCGGCTAGTGGCGGAGAAGAAGGAGTGGACCGATGTCACGTATGCCTACGGTGTGGATTTCGGCAATGCTGGGACCCAAGCTTTCCAGAAGATGAAGAGATATGCTCTCGACACGCAATTCAGGGTGGACTTGGAGGCGGACTTTTCAGGGCAAATTGTTAATTTCCCAGTTCGAGACCCGACTCCGGGGAGCACAAACCATGCGAATTTTGAGGCAAATTGCGTCAACTGCGGTGTTCACGGCCATCTTGCATATGAAGGGCATATTGAGGGCGGTGTCTTTGAGGGTCTTACGAGATTCGACGTATCCCTAGTGCCCCGGGATGTCCACGTTGACGTCAACCTCGAGTTCCTTCTCTCTGGAGCTCTTAAATTCCCAAACAATCTAGGCATTGGAGACCTACAGCAAGAATTCAACATCAGGGATATACCCCTCCCCGGCGGCTGGACAATTCCAAAGCTCCTAAATCTCGGTCCCTACAGCAGGCTCGTCGCTGGAGTTGCCCTTGAATCAATCGAAGGATCGGCGACGCTTACGACGGGAGCCACGGCGAGGATCCCGGAGAGCTCAGTGGCGAGACTCGATATTCTATCGGTCGCTAATACTGGAATTGACGGGTGGATTCCCGAGTTTGAAGTGCACCCATTGCAGCTCGATGCCGACCTAGCTGCACGAGTTAGTCTTTATCTTGAAGTTGCACCCGGGTTTGGCGTTGTTGCCTTCGGTGAGATTCGTGGAACCTGATTTCGTTCCTTCTTGTGACGGGGCATTGCTGACTTGTGTCTATATTAGACCAGATGGGCCTGACTGCAGGCCTGGCTTGGAAATTCGTCGACATTAACCTTAACATCACAACCGGTTTTGGTAGGTATCTTTTGCTTTTCTGACAGGTTCAGGCCTCTGGTGGCAGCCTGTCACAGACGCATACGGCGATAGTCTGTTCCCATAGCTGCACAAATTTTGGGATATTTTCGGCTTAGTGTTGATGCTAACTGCGGTATCAGATCCCAATGGTTTCTGTCCGGAGGACACTGGCCCGTCTTCGGGTGTCAACATCCACGTCGACCTCGGCACAGAGCTGAGCGCCCAAATCGTCCAGAGGCTAAAATCTGCATCCCTGCCGGATATTGAGAAGGGAAAAGTCATTTTTCTGCGAGGAGCAGAGAAGATACCACAGAAAATAGCGGAGGATATCTCACATCTACCAATCGTTGCACGCCGTGCCGCCGGCATCGACAGCACAGACAAGGTCCTCGTCAGCAAGCCACTCCTCGATTTCCCCAATCTGTATCCCCTCGGGGACGTATGCTTTTCCTCCGGCGCGTCCTGCGATGTCGACATCCCCGACGGGGATGACCCTGACGAGAAGGAGTGGTGGTCTGCCGAGATCGACGGGGCTGACGACGCTAGTGAAGCTGGTACTTCTAGGAGGGATATGAATGGGTTGGCTCGTCGCGCATCGAACAGAGTCCTGAAGTGGAAATGCAATACCGCGGCGCCAGTAGACGTTCAACTGAAGCCTTACCATGGCCCAACCGCGATTAGGAATGCAGGGGGAGCTGTTCCCATTATGGTGCCATTGCTGCCATGCACGGCAAGCAAATGCCCAGCGAGCAAGTGGGACATCGCACCTGGGTCAGATTGGGGAGTTCTGGACACGAACGAAAATGGGCCAAGTTACGGAAAATGGTCTGGTATGTGGCAGCAATCTTCTCGTGTTTACTACCGACACGCAAATTCCGGATTTCTTGCTGTCCATGAGCAATGGTACATACTGACAGAAGCACAGCCGAACATGTCTACGAAGGAAATTGGCTCCTAGAGTTCTGGGACTACCTGGCATCCGACCTCAACATGCAGTGTAATAATGTCCAGAAAATCTTTGGAGTTGGTCAAACACCCGCTCCTGGATCCCCCAGCAACGTGGCCGACCAACTGTTATCCAAGGTTGGGACGAAGCTCAACTATGCTAACACCATGACGGTCTTGCCACTGAGGGAGAATGGCATCAAATATCGAGTGAGTGTAGATATTAACCCTACGTGGCCCAGAAATCTTTCGTCCCGAGTGTTTTAGTGTTCTGATAACTTGGCTCGTTCTAGATATTCGCCGACCGAGTAATTGATAAAAGATTCAGCTCAAGGACACCGGATCAAAAAGTTTGCTCTATTGGGAGACTCGCTTCCGTTTGCAAGTACATGGAACGCGAGGAGACGCAGCGTCAGTTGAGGAATACTCTGATCTCTATCAACGAGGTTCTGTGAGTTCCCCCTGCAACTTCTTGCTTCCCGTCTCTCCTCGACTCTGAGAAGAAATGAGTGCTGATTTATAGCCTACGTGGCACTCTAGGTCGGACTTAGACAAGACCAACGCGCAGAAGCCGACAGGTACACGGCATGCCAAGGCACACATGGATTGGTTCAATATTATGTATGATAAGGGAATCAAGCATGCGAGGCAGACCCTCATCGACTTTTCTCGAGAATTGACGAAAGACCCCAACGTATTCTCGACACTAGCAGTCAACACACGCACTCGGATACAGGCGATTAGTGGCCTTGATGCCTCTTCCGCACTGGGATGGGATGCGATATGCAAGAATACGTTCGGCTACCCCACAGAGGGAATAGAGTAGGTTGTCCTTGCCATCGCCCCGTTTTACTAACATCGGAACGGGGTTGACACATTGAGATGGGATTGCAGCTGATGGTTGATGCTCACAGTTGCGGCGATACCAAATCGGACGTGAATAACTGTGGAAAGTGTTTTAAGAAGGTTCGTCTCTCTCACCGTTTCCATCTATGATCATTTTATGCCAGCACACAGTCTAACCGTTCTTCCCTGTGTAGTGTGATCAGGGCCAAACGTGTGTTAATGGCGGCTGCGTGGGTGGAGAGTCTCCCGGATCTGGTTCTTCAAGCTCCGGATCCGGCACGGTGCCAGATCCTGAGCCCAGTTCCGGGTCAGGGTCCGGGTCGGGAGCGGGCTCGGGTTCGGGCTCGGGTTCAGACTCGGACGAAGACTTGGGCGGTGGACGAAGGCTTTCTGGAGAGGGACGTCCCATCGGGGGGTAAGTGAGAAACGGGGTGAGGTTGGGGGAGCGTACTCGATATCTGAAGGGTGCATTCGAAAAATGGGAATATAGCCGGGTATTTTTATAACTTGGAGCTGATGGGTTTGTCACAATGAGAGGTAAGTTGTTAGTTTGAATATTAGCCTCGGAAAGCAAGCTTCACCCAAAGTGACCAGGTCATTTATCAGACGTTGCCGCTCCAAAAACATCCGTTGTCTTTCTCCAGGCTCGTGATTCTCCAGCGGAAGTTGGGTTTGGTGTTGTTTAATGCAGGGGTTTCAACCTTGGATTCTAGCAGCATTTAACCGACATCGTGTTTCTGTGCAGCTATGCCAATGTCTAGGCGGGGTCACAACATTCACAAGACCGCGTCGCTCCCTTTGCAAGAATGTCGCTGCGCATATTATCTCTCCCTCCAGAAGTGCTGAATAACATATTCTTCTATGCTGTTAGCGCTCGCAGTTATCGAAGGGCCGCGAGGCTACGACTTGTTAACCGTAAGTGTCCTTGAGAAGATACTCCTCATCTCGTCTCTTCAAGTCGAACCGTGGGCTGATGCTAGGCACAGGGACCTTTGACCACTATACGACAGATGCTCTCCTGCACACCGATATTCTAGACCACGCCGTCCTCCCTCATCATTTAACCGTGCTATCGACGCGTAGCAAAATTTGGCAGACTAGCGCTGAGTTTTGCCATCCAGTATGGCTACCTCTCGTCGCGAGATATCTTGCCCACTACATGATCACGGGGAAGACGCATACAACGGATGAGGCTCGGAAGGTCACCTACCTTCTCCGATTAGCTCAACACTTATGTGATTTGAGGGTAGGACCAACCAATACTGGTCCCGCGGACGATGTGCACGCCTACTTAGAACACGTTGCGGCCCTGGACATCCTCAAGGCAGACTGGGAAAAAAGAACGCACCTTCTTGATGCTGTAGACGATGGGGCCTGGAACTTCGAAGATTTCAGAGGCGATCTCCTCGATGCCGCCATCTGGCTGCAGGACATTGAGATGACTCGTCAACTCTTGGCGGAAGAGAAGCAGGATTCTGGGGATAGTGATTTGCATGATTCAAAACTATCAATCCGCCTTAGGCTGGCGGCCGAGCGTGGAAACGTTGAAATCATACGTCTCCTGCACTTGAACGCTGGTGGGAATTCAAGGGGATTATCAAGCGAAGTAGCTGTTTCGCTGCTTGCACGGGCATGCCAAGCTCGTAACGCAAAGCTCTTCCAATACACTCTCGATGAGCATGACGAGAACGACTCATGGATACCACATGTCGACAGCCTCAAATCAATCGCCCAGTATTGCCCCTCTGCCGATAGTTATCGCCAGGTTTACAAGATCCTTGATGAGTCGTACAGCATCATCGCTAGGGAGTATGATCATGCGACCAGACCTCGATTCCCATTCAAGCCGATCCCACTATTCGTGCAAACAAATATACAAGGGACGCGGTGGAGAACTTCACATGCAGGTGGGTGCGGACATCCTACTCTTATCGACTACTTCGTCCACACCGACGCTTTGTTAGACGATCGTACGGGCTTTTGGGGGCAGTCAAAGAGCGGGCCTCCCGTTTTGGACCGTGCAGAAATCATGAGCTTAGCGCTGGCCGGAGCCGTATCTGCCGGGTCGTTGGATGTTGTCCAGTTCTTGTTAGACAGCGGTGCCGATCCAAACGACCGCCTGTATCTGAATCGAGCGATTCGCAAAGGCCACAGAAGGATTGCCAAACTTTTGGTCGATTATGGTGCCGACGTGAACCTGGGATCCCCGCCACCGCTTGCCACGGCAGCCTTGCAGGAGGACGTGGACTTGTTTCACTACCTACTTGAAAAGGGAGCTGTGCTGGAGGACGAGGGCCACCACCCCGGTGCTTTAGCTATGGGTCTTGCCCAGCTGTTCGGACTGGACTCAATGGCTGCGGAGCTTGGCCGGATGGGGATTGCCGAGAACCCCCGCGTGCATTGGGTGCGGTCTATTCAGGAAGAGAGCGAATACCTGTTCAACACCATGCCGCCATTGTGACAATTCTATTAGAAGTGGTCGAATGTCACAGCCTAGTTTGGCACAAGGAGATCTGCGGGGGCGTGGAATGGATAGATCTGTCCCAGCTGATGGCTTTTGGTGGTACAGTATCTAGACTTCCCGCTCTCCGCGGCCTACGTCGGGCTCTTCCGCCAGGACTTCATTGAGCCTTCCAAATCGCAACGAAAGTCGTGAAGCCCACTTTACTACAACTGGAGCAGAGGCTTTCTGAGATCGTGGCAGTGCTCGGTGCCTTGACAGGTTTTCCCCCCTCGAGATTCACTGGCCGGATGGCTGGCAAAGCCAGAGATTATTGGAATAGTCAATTCGCCAGCGATGGCATCAAAGCTCAATACGTTCAAGAATACGAATTTTTTTTCGCCAGGTTGCGACGATAACGGCCTTGATCAAATCACCAGGAACATTTCTATGTACTATACCGACAAGGAACGGCCGAAGGCTGATCGTGACTTGATCTCTCCTCGATATCATTATCCCCTAGCCTTGTGCACTCTCTAGGGCAATCTCTTAGGCCCTACTTATTGCTATCTGCAAAGTCTCATTCTTCTTGGGCCAGAAGATAAAGGTTAAATTCAACAAAACGTCTCTAAGGCGTTTCAATAGGCGCAATGGAAGGTTCAGTGCGGCTTAAAAATAAAGCGAGAGACAAGTATGTACAAATAAGAGGGCCTTTCTTCCCTGGCGTCCGACAAGTAAGTCCTTGAGCCGTGAGAAAACAAAATGGTTCAACGCGTTGATATTGAGCTGCCGTGACAAGCGACGGTTATTCCACCGTTATCGTGATTTCGGCGGCTGTGAGAGCGTCCGCTTCGGCGGTGAGGGTGATCGATTTGGTAGCGTCAGTGTTGGCACGAACAATGGCAAGCGCACGTCCCCTGAAAGCATTGCGCTCCTTCGAAGGGAACGGGGTCATATCCGTGGGATCACCATTATCAGTAGACACAATGTCCCCAGGCCCGTCGATTGAGAATGTGATTGCGGGCTCGGCGTCCGGGACAAAATTACCATTGTCGTCCACCACAGCAACACTCACAAATATCAGATCAGTCCCGTCTGCTCTGATTGTCTGGCGATCTTTGTATGTCGAGAGCTGCAATTTCGTAGCCTCCCCGGTGGTGTTTATGGTAGCATTCGCCCATTCCTTGCCGTCTTTGTACGTCACTACGGATACTTCTCCGGGCTGGTATTTGACATCATCCCACCGGAAACGGTAGGTAAGTTCTGCCTTCTTCTTGCGGCCCTGCGACTCGCCATTGACGAAGAGTTCGGCCTCGTCGCCGGAAGAGAAGACATGAACTGGTGTAACTTGGCCGACGCGGTCCGGCCAATTCCAGTGAGGAAGGATGTGTGCCATTTTAAAATCTGGGTTCCAGCGCGCCTGGTAGAGGTAGAATCTGTCCTTAGGAAACCCCGCTAGGTCAATGATGCCGAAATAGCTGCTCCGCGACGAGTCGTACGGCGTGGGCTCCCCTATATAGTCGAAGCCCGTCCATACGAACTCGCCTGCCACATACGGGAACCGATCCTGGCCCGCAAACACCTTGTCGGGAGACGCGCCCCATTCGACGGCGTATAGCTCGTATGAGCTCACATGTCGCGTTCTTGGGTCGGCGCCAGGCCCGTTGCTGCGGACGATGGCATTATTCCCGTCCGCCACGGGGAAAAGGTATGTTCCACGCGAGCTGACAACCGACGAGCTCTCCGAGCTGAAAATCAGCTTGTCTGGGTACTTCCCACGGAAGTTCTGGAAGGTAGGTCCGCCGTTGCCTTTCCCCTCGCCTTGATAGTTTAGACCGATGAGGTCCACGATGGAGGTGAAGGCGGTGTCAGGACCTGCATTATTCATACCGACCGTCGTCTTTCTCGTCGGATCTTCTTCGTGGATGATGTCCCGAAGGCGCTGCGCTGTAGCAGCACCGCCGCTGCTGCCTTGTTCGGCGACCTCATTTCCAAAACTCCAGGCCCACACAGAAGGGTGGTTCCGGTCCCGGCGAATAAAGGACCGCAGGTCGGGTTCGGACCAATCGGCAAAGATAGTCTGGAAGTCATTCCTGACCTTGTGGCTGCCCCATGTGTCGAAGATTTCATCCAGAACCAAGAAGCCCAACTTGTCGGCTAGGTCGAGGAGTTCGGGTGCAGGAGGGTTATGGGAGGTCCGAATGGCGTTTGAGCCCATGTCTTGCAGCATTTCTAATTGCCGTTCTGCCGCTGGGACGTTAAAGGCAGACCCCAAGGAACCTAGGTCGTGGTGCTGGCATACGCCTTGGATGTATACCCTCTCTCCGTTCACCCGTAGACCATCTCCATCGTACTGAAGAGAACGAATGCCAAAAGTGGTTTCGTACGAGTCAATCTCTTCGCCGTCAAGGTAAAGTCGGGTAATTGCGATATGCAAATTTGGCTCCTGCGATGGCCGAGGACCCCATAATTTCGGATTCTGGAGCACGACGGAGGAATTCGTCGACGCCATACTGCCAGCTTTAACGGTGATGGTCGCATTGGGGACCTGTCCCACGTTACCCCCAGGCTTACCCGTCGCCCCGTCCAACTCATGGATATCTGTGACGACCTGGACTTCTCCGTCCCCTCCAGCTTTTGCAGCGTTCTCGACCTGAACGACCAAGTCCAATGTTGCGGCTTCAGCAGAAACTTCACGGGACGTAATCCACGTTCCCCATTGACCGACATGCGTGGGATGGACTTTCGTTAACCAAACGTTACGGTAGATGCCGGCGCCAGGATACCAACGCGAGGAATCTAGGGCCTGATCTAGCCGGATGGCAAGTTGATTTTCCCCGGATTGGAGATACGGGGTCAGCTCAACGCGGAAGGAAGCATAGCCGTACGGCCAACCACCAACAAGATTTCCGTTTAGCCAGACTGTCGCATAGGATATGGCACCATCAATCTCTAGGTAGACAACCCTTCCCTCGTCGGATGCCGAGATCTCGAACTTACGGCGATACCATCCAACGCCTTGAATTGGGAGACGTCCCATACTTCCTCCGACGGGCATATTAGAGCCCGTATAAAACGGACCCTTGATGGCCCAATCGTGAGGAAGATTGAGTGCTTCCCAATCGCTGTCATCGAACGAAGCCTGCGCGAAATCCACGTCCGTGGGGGAGTCTTCCGGACGTTGAGAATGACGAGCAGGGTCCTTGACAAAGTTGTTTGCTGATGGCATGATCCATCGCTTTAGTGTACTATAGCTGAGATTATCCGGGTTCGACGTGAAGCGTTGGAACCGCCAGCCAGCGTTGAGGCTTATACGCTCCCGGCCTGTGGCGGAGGCCACACCATCTTGGCGAGTTGCGATCCGGCCGGCTTCGGTAAGTGAGCAGTTGAGGAGGAGGAACAGGAGAAGCCTTGTGAAAGAGAGCCACAGGGCTCTTTCTCCTTTGAATTGAAAACCCATTTTGCGCAATCTTGATTGTCGAAAAGTATTTCGAGATCCGGTGGGCGGAAACCATCCTGGTTTTAATAACGACATCTCGAGAGGGGATTTGCAACCCACTTAGAGCAATGCGACCTTTAGAGCTCTTCGATTGGAGCGCCAGGACGATGCGTCCCGGCTATATATTTGATACAACCTATGCCTTCTGCTTTTATTCTTTTAATCTTCGTCGTTTACCCCTCCGCGCCACAATCAATTCTTCGCAGCCTGAATAGCAGACCGAGGTGGGGCCCTGGTAGGTCGTTCTCCGCCCCAGTTGCACCGCTCGATATAAAATGGTCATGGGGGAACACGGTCATTCCAAGAAACAGGGTCTGGTTAAGGGATTGTGACAGCAGAACTGACACTGACCATAAAATGAAACCAATAAGAAAGCTTATTAGACAAGCGTATTATTCACAAGGAAATACGTCTCAATTGGCCGGGCCATGCGAGCGCTCCGGGTTCGGTGTTAAGAGTTCAGTGGTAGTTATTGTCGATTCGATTTTAGTATAATTGAAACTTCCCTCGGTTGGGCTTAATGGTACCAGGCACAAAAAAAAGCCTGGACCGAGTGTAAAGTAATTTTTGAGGCGGATCACGGAAGGTTTCGCCGATCCTGCATAGTAGGAATTTTCAGGCCTCCGCCTCATGACCTTCACTTTGAAGATATTACTGCCTCGGTTCCTAGAAAGAGATGGCCTGGTGGGTTCGAGAGCTGCTGGATAGCTAGGCTGCCAGAATAAATCACAAGAGATTACGGCCCGGAGCTGGTACGGAATAGTCACTCCAAATGACCGGACCGCATGTCAATGTATGGCTTGTAAGAAAAAAAGATGCAAATTGGTAATAAGGAGGCTTGGAAATGTCTTCAGTAATTCAGGTATGACAAGTCGGAGGGCGACGATTCCCGACGGCGAGGCCCCAATTAGGGAGCTCGCAAAGATGGTGCATATTAAGCCCGAGTCTATTGGGCCGCAAGAGCGCAGAAACACCTCACGGGCTCCTCCCAAGACCATGGGGCGGTTCACTGGCACCGCAGATGGAGTCACTGGACGCACAAAGTGCTCAATCACCCTGGGGGTGGGGCCGCCATTCAATAAAAATCAATGATGATACGACCCAAGCCCGTGCGTGTTGGAGGGCGAGGTGTTCTTTCAAGCCCCTATCTGGAATCACTAGACTCACCAGAGGCGTCACTTTAGACTAGCATTAATTGTAGGAACTTGTTTCTTCGTTTCGACACTCTGAGATTATTCTACATGGGATTGGTTCCGTAACTCGAAGCAAATATCTGCTGCATTATGGCCTCTGCGTCGAGATTAGATGCATCATTAACTTGGGTTTCCTGATCATTCTCGTCCCTAACAAGTCCCTCCACTAATGGGATATCTGCAGCACCCGATTGGGTGGTGTTTGAGAGAGATGATTGTCCAAAAGAAGGGAAGTCGAAGACCGTTGTATATTCGACGAGATCGTTGTAGGCTTCACCCGATACCCCGCGGGCGCTTAACGGGGCTGGAGCCGCACTCAGCAGCCCGGGAGGTTCATCATGCTTCACTCCCTCAGGCACGGCAAAAGTGTCGGGCAAGGTGGAGGGATCAAGGACTGGCAAGGAGCCATCTGGGATCTGCAACTCGGGTGAGATGAAGCTCTCGCTCAGGTCAGGAAAAAGACTCCAAAGCTTCATCCAAGCGTCGTCGACGGGCGGGCTCGGGGTAGGGAGGCCCTCAGTTGTAGGAGTATTATCCAGCATCCCCAACGGGTTTGCCATAGCCAGGCTATCTAGTTCTCGGACGCTTTGCGCCAATGGTCCTTGGGGATTGCCGACCGCGATACTCCGTGGAGTTTGCCCAGTGTCACTGAATGCTGTTGAGGGCGTAAGAGGGGTCAGTTCTCCGCCCTTTCCAGGAGATTCGCGAGACTCAGATAGAGGTGTGCTTCTCCCTCTAGATCTCTTTTCCGACATCGCATCATCTTCTGGGGATTTGGTCTTGTAGGCGCATGTACAAGGTTTATCCCGGAAGCAGAGACAGCTCTCTGAGTCTATACACATGTAAGCTGATGGTTAGGACTAACTGTGCTCCGTACTGCTGAATGGTGGAACGTTGAACACGTTGAACGTACCTCCCCTAGAGTGGTTCAACGCCGATTTGCGTACTTTCAGGCGGCATTCGCACTTGGTGTGAACTGAGCGGGAGTTTCGCAGTGTCCTGCAGTGGCCACACTGAGAAACTGGGCGGCCCTGCTTGCCGATCCGCTGCATCGGTCGGTCTGAATGAACTCGACTGATCAGCTAATCTCACCTGTCTTGCGATGTATGGACGGGACTTACCCGTATGCTGGCACTGGGCCGTACGATGGCCACGAATGCATGCTTCGCAAGCAAATTTCTCGCCGTCGACGATCATCGTCGCTATTGTTTGTGGGAGTTGAAAGTGTCGAAGAATTGGTGGCTGCTCCTACGAAGGAAGCCAGGACAATGAACAATTACAATTACCCAGGCTTGCTGAACAATCAGGGTTACGTAAGCGAACAGGTGTCATCGTAATGCCAAGACGTTATGATGCTTTTTGCCACATGCTTTGTATATTTCTATGTTTATGTTTTTATTTTTCTCTCTAGCTCAATTTTAAGTCAAAGGTCCCTCCTAGTTCTAAGTCCAGCAATAAAGTCGGAGCGAGCTAGCTGTTTCCTCAAGTACATTATAAGAATAAAACTACCCAAAGCCGAATCTTCAAGCCGCACAGCGCCACTGTTCAGGAAGAAAAGGATGAGGAAGAGAAGGCTAGGGCAGGACCATCAGCAACTTCTCGACACGGCCATGGTGACGCCATGCTGATGCCATGAATTACTGGTGATTGATCAGTGGATGGTTGGATCGTACATAGAGCCTCAGTAGTGGCGAGGATCGAAGGCGTTTGGGTAGGAATGCCACTCCAGAAATGACGATTCAGTAACGTCCTCTGCTCTCTCGATCTCGAGGACCGATTTTTTCACGTAAGTCGTTAGTAGTTAGTACCACCCCGAACCCTGATGATTTTCAACCCAAGAGCGAGGATTCATACACTTGCCTGACTCTACGGTTCACCTTTTAAGTGCCTCTGGGAGACACCGATGGTCCACGTGGCAAGCAAATCAAACGAAACACCTTGCATCCACTCCCAACTCTACTTCCGCTGGCCATATGCTTTAGTTCATATCCTATGAATCCTGATCCTGATCCGCAATCAGCCAGGTCCATGGCTCACAAGATAAGCACCATGATATCTCGGGGCGCTTTCATACGCCTTGCCGAGGAGAAGGACATACGTCTGAAAGCCATTCATCTTCCCTCTTTCCCTCTTCGGCTCTACTCACAGCCTGCCGACTGCAAACCATAACGCGATACTCCATGTGGAAATTCAATGAATCTCGACCCTCATCTTATACGGTGGAATGCGCGGATGTAATCTATAGTATTCATGGGAACTCTTCTACCCATTTCCATTCAATACTTTATTCTCCCGAGGTTTTGCGTCGAGATTACTCTTCAGACACATGCTCCTGTATCTACTCCTGCACTTTGATACGAACTCGATATTGCGATAAGAAAATCGAGACGAGGGAGCCAAAAATACCGTCTTATCGTTGAAGTCGTCCGCTTAACCAAAATGAATATGTACAAAATACCACTATCCAGTCCCACCATTTCGGCCTACCTTCATGAATTACTCCTCGAAGCGAGGCAAGTCCCCGCGCTCCTGGGCTTCTTGGACAAGCTTGTGGTAAATCGCCAGCTTCTCCACGTACTCCTGGATGAGATCCTCATCCCTCTTGCCCGGAGAAGCGTCGTCACCACCAAAAGCCCGGACGGCCGCATAGTATACATCAGCGAGGGCCCTGCATATTCCCTGCGTCCATGAAGACACAGCTGTGCATTGGTAGTAAAGACTAGTGAACAGAGCAATTAGCATGTTGACCCGAGAGTCATTAGGAAGTATGGAATCCTTACTCTGTCTTGAATTGGTTGTCGATCCTCAGCTTGCCGCTCTCGGTGAATCGATTCTGATTTCGGTAATTGTGATAGCCGAAATCGTGGCGGTTGCAGGCCGGCACGAAGGGAAATCCAAAGGGGTTGTCAGGCGATGACGTGCAGCCATCGGAAGTCCAGTCTAGTGTACTAGGGTCACGCGCGTTCCTGCGGGCCGTGAATGCAGGAAGTGTGATGCTGAAGAGGAGTTCATCCGTGACGGTGTTGATGCTTTGGCGTTTGGAGAGAGCAATAATCGTATCACCGCCTCCTGGGAGAACCAGGGCAGCAGCCGGAAGGGCACATAATAAAAGAGAGCTCAGCTTCATTGTGCATACACTGGTGACGTCTAAGCAAGACTGATGGCTAATTGATATTCTACCTAGTATGTGTCTCTCGTTCTAGACTTACATTAAATCGAGGACATTACGGTATACTTATATCTCACAATTCTGGTGGAGAATGAGGAGTAAACAGGAGCGAGAGATCTGCTCTCATGCCATTGCTACGATGACGCTCAGCTGGCCTTGCAACGGTAAGTCTCAGACCTACCTAAACTGGCATCGCGAGCTGCATGAGCGTCCTTTTTTGAGCACCGGCATAAGCTAAATCCCGTGCGTAAGTAAGTGACGGGATCGATCCTGGAGTATATTTTTCATGCTTCAAGGACCCTTTGATCTGACCTTCCACTTAAACGGCGTTGTTAGTCCCCGTGATCTGTCCTATGAAGACGGCTGCGACTATGTGTAGCATTATGTCCTTCGAACTTCCCAAGTTGAGCTATTTCTCGTCAATGGTACAATGTTATGTAGAACGCGGGGTAACGAAGTCCCGCCCCATTCACGGGAGTATCTCCGTTTATGGTCTGGCATCCTGGGCTGCCAAGGCCCTGAATGCGACGATGTCCCAATTTCTCTGGGGAACAGACTGCGATCATCGTCGGATATTTCCTAACTTCGATATGGACCCGCTGAACGTTGCCATCGCTAATCTCAGTCTGCTTGATGATGGCGGTCGACGTGCGCTGTCATTCTTATATAGTATTCATTCGCTGGGGAGCGGAGTCCAGTCGCCATTTGCAGGTGGCCAAAGCTGATTCGAAGTTCCAGCTTTCTCGCGGAAAGTGGGAGTGCTGGTGAGGCACGGGAAGGGCGGAGGCTGGCGGTGTTGTGCTATGCCAAGAATACCTTCGTAATCGGGCCCATTTCGGAGAGCCGATTCGTCGCTACCAAGAAGCTTGCTGCACAAGCTCTGGCGGAAGAGGTAGTGGAAATGAAGAAGGCCCCGATTGGCAACAGGAGGACTGGGGAATCTTTGATGGATCCACATTCCGTTTTATGTCTTGGTCGAAATAGAGCATGGTTTTGATGGATTTATTAAATAACAAAGTCCTTTCTCATTTTCCTTGGAGTCTTCCTTGAGAGCGGCGAGCCTAGGTTCACGTTCACGATCTAATATTCAGAGAGTGAGGCTATTAAAATACAAAATGACCGCTTTACTTGGTATTTGCGGATGCTAGTCGATATTACTACTCCCGGTGTCAGGACCCGTCAATATTTGACTGGAGCCTCCCACCCAAAATTTCCCCCAATGTCACCGCCTCCATCTTCAATCAGTGCTATCTCCACCAGTCTTCAAGTCGGCGGCACTATCCAAAATGCCCTTCTCAGCGTCAACAACAAGGTGCCCATGGTGGGCGGCACTGACGAGCTCGGGGCGTTCCGCCTTCAGCTTAGCGAAAGTCTTCTCCGCATCCCAGACCCAAGGAGTCGGCGCGGCGAAGAGGAGATCCATCTCCTCCAGGGTCCTCTGGTTACTCTCGGGGTAGAGTGCCCAAACGATGGGAATGGCGAGGATGTTGCAGGCGCCAAAGATGTGGAGGGTGTTCTCGCCAATCTTCGAGAACATTACAGGGCAAAGAAGAGTCAACCAGCCATTGCCAATGCTCCAGCCGACAACACCCCAGGCATTGCCCTTAGCGCGAACATGGAGAGGGAAGATCTCGGCGGGGTACAGCCAGGGAACGGTAAGCCAAGTGGCACCGAAGACGGACGTGAAGATGAAGACGAAAGAAGCAGCCGCAGCACCGTACGAGCTGGCCTTCGAGGTATCGCCAGCGGCCGAAGCCTCCTGGCCCAACTTGGAAAAGGCAGCAGCCAAGAACATGGCGATTCCCTGGCCGGCCGCTCCCCAGTACAGAGTCCACCTGCGACCAATCCTGTCGAGAGTGAAGACACAGATGAGAGTGGCGAACATGTAAAAGATGTTGTTCAAACCGCTGACCCATTGACTCTTCATAGTATCAAATCCAGCAATACGGAAAATGGTAGGCGCATACACGGTCACACCAGCAATGCCGACCCATTCCTGGATGATCTGAAGCCAGATGACGAGCTGCACGCGGCGGGCAGTATGGAGTTCGCCAGAGCCGATGCCAAAGAGCATGTGGAAGTAGGAATTTTTCTCGCCATCCTTGGTCTCGAGCTTGTTGATGTTGGCGATATCTCGGAACTCGGCCTCGGCGCGCTCAAGGCCCTCTCCCTCGCTGCCTCGTAGCCGACGGAGGATGAAGCGAGCCTCATCATCGCGGCCAACCTTGACGAGCCAACGCGGAGACTCGGGGAAGAACCAGACGATAGAGAGCAAGATAATGAGGGGAATAATCTGGAAAGCGATGGGGAATCGCCACCGGAAGGCCGACGCGCCGCCATCAATGTAGGCGAGGCCGTACTCGAGCCAATAGGCGACGACGACACCGAAAATATTGAGAGTGAACTCAATGGCGATGAACTTTCCTCGGGAGGTGTGCTCCGCCGTCTCGGTGGCCCAGACCGGAACAATGGCGTTGAGAATACCGGTACCGATTCCGTTGACGGCTCGCGCTAAGAAAATTTTGCCCAATGTCAGAAAAATCCCCACACAACCACCTTTGCTGCATTTTAATCGCCGGACCATCTCCTATCTCAGAATCCACTTACCGCAAATCATCCAGTTGGCATTTTGAGCAGAGCACTGCAGCGAGGCACCCAAAATAGCCCACACGGAGCCAAAAGCAATGGTCTTGATCCTGCCGACCTTGTCGCCAACCCATCCACCGAGGAGACAGCCAGCGAGGGTTCCAAGGTAGTAGACGGACACGATGCCTCCCTGAAGGAGACTGTCGGTGATGACGGGCTCCTCAGTCTCTGGGTCGACATAGCCGAAACCCATGAGATCGATGTAGTCCTTTGCATTGTTGACTCCCCCCATCATTCCCTGGTCGTAACCGAAGAAGAAGATGGAAAGAGCGGCGATGCAATTAACGGCGAAGAGAAGCCGCCGCTTCTCCAGGAAGTTGGCGACATTGAATCCGGGGAGTCGCTCCATCTTGGTTTCAAATGAGAAGCTCACCACCACTCGCTATTCAAGAGAACGTGGGAGAAGATGGATGGGTATTAAGTAAGGCTGTCCTATGGAGGGCTCGTGATGAGTATTTTCATAATTTCCCCGGATCCCCAGATGAGAATCTGATGTGGCTTTATACTCCTAGTTTCACCCCATGGTCTCGGCCTTGCGTATCTGACGAAAGCTAGGATCCATTATGAATATGGATCCATTTTTTTTTTTTTTTTTGTTTTTTTTTTTTTTTTTTTTTTTTTTTTTCTTTTCTCTTTTCTCCGCTTACGGACCAGGAAACTAGCGTGGGATCGGCAAGAATCCCTGAGTTTTCTTCACCACAGAGCTCCCGCTCTGCGTGACGCTAGCTATTTCGGCGTCGTTTGGGTTGGCACTAGGATGTTTGGAGTAATTTCATACCCTGCTACTGATCCCAACTGTTCCAGGGCTAGAGCCTGTCAGAGAATCCACTCTTGGAAAATATGCGCTCCAATCATGCTGCTAGGGATCTTTCGATCACCCCGTTCTAGTAATTTTCAGATCCTTTTTTCTTGCCTCCTGCGCACCACTCATCCAGATCTTTTCGAAAGAAGCAGGCTCCAGACCAAAGAACCCAGTCACTTCCGATCTGGGCATAGGCAAAGACCCGAATGTTTTCACTCCACTGTCAAATTTGGTCATGATTCACCAAGACACTAGTTGTTCTCATGGGGTTTCGGTCCGCCTGCTGACTGGCGCGCTTCTCAAGTGCGGAAACGAAGGGCGAGAAGACAGAGAGTTTAGCTCCGATTTCCCCATTTTCTGTCTAAATCATCCCCGCATGTGCATGAATGGGGATCGAGGTATCGTGACATCGTAACATCGTGACACCATGATTATTTCCCCCGCGGGCAGCATCGGTCGGCGCAAAGGGTCAGTGATGCTGACAGCCGTGCAATTGCCGACGGACTCCTCCGAGAATGCTCGAGCAACGCCTCGATCTACGGGTTTCTCGTCTTCCACTCTGGTTCTGTTACGCCCTAATGGCTTGTCAAGCGTGATGTCTGAAAACAGCTGCATTCTGGACTAGTGTTACATGTTTAACGTCATGCCGGCGTTTACGTCCGGGTCTATCTTAGCGGCTGGCAGATGACCCTAACCCAGCAATTTCGTTTATGACATCCTCGGCAATTGCTGTACTACGATGCTACGGTCCTACCAGATCTTGCTACTACTGCCCTGAAAGGCATAGGCTGACATTACTGCTTCTTGTGCACTCATTCGTTGGTGTCACAGTAGCAGTGCGCCGTGGTACTAAGCGCATTCGCTTGTAAAATTTGCAGAGCCTTGATACAAAGTGAAGTGACGATGCTTCGCGACCGATCCAGGACCGAGGCCTCGGATCTGACTGGAAGGGAAGGTCATTTTTGAGAATATTCAAGTTCCGTCGGAGTTAGAGTTGGGAAACACATGTGTGGCATGATGCATCCCCCACGGGGTCTGGGGTCGTGGAGTGTGGGGAGGGATGCAAGGGATGGAAATGTTAACTCGTCAGCCGCGCCAGTCAGACTTCAGAGAGCCTGCATGGACGCGCCTGGGTCCGGAGACTGCTAAAGACCGCTAACCACATTATTCTACATAAGCGGCATCGACCCCTAGCTGGTAAGACCCAGTTCTATCCTCGTCTGCATTATATCATTCCACTCTGCGCGCTGGTGATCCAGGATATGTCCGGTGACGTTATTCCACTCTCAGGCAGAATGCTGCTTTCGTAAATGTTTTCTAAGCAAACTTGGCGTATTGCCTGCTAGGACGCGTCGCATGTGCTCTTGTCTCCTTGACATTACAAATTGGGATCGATGGCTATCTACTATGATATTTCTGTTGAGCAATATTTCCAGATGTATCGAGCTTAGTCGAGGAGGACGGCAGTTTCGCGAAATTGTGTGAGGTTGAAAGGTCGACCGACTCAACAGTCCCTGTCTGCGTTTTATCCTGGCCCAAGGGAAATCGCATCACTTTCACTACTAAACCCGGCCTCTTCATGGGTGCACAGCATAGGGGACTTCGATAACTCTGCGGAGTCCAAATGGCTATATCTCGTTGGTAGTAAGGACATTTAACGCCATGGGCGGCAAACAAGCTGCTCTTGGTCCTCATAATGTATCCCCAATCTGGAAAGCTAACTAGGAAAGGACCATTCAACATTTCTAGTGTAATCGTTGCCTTCGGCAAGACTGGTAACTGCAAAATTGTCAAGAGACAGATCACTTACTTCTCCAAGTTCTATACGTTTATAGAATAACCGATAAGTTACAATGAAATTCAAGTGTGGCTAAGAGTTCGATTGGACTGGGTGAAGTGGCCTGACATGGTCAAGACATAAACAGTTCTCTTAACTCAAGAGGAGATGGCTTGCATCTCCTACGTCGTAGTCTACTATCCGCGTCCACGGCCCCTTTTCATCCCTCTTCACGCACCCGATGGCAGATTTCAGGGGGAGACCCTTGTCCTGTATACACTGAGCACATCTTGAACCTGGTGACTGGAGTACCCATGTCCCGTTCATCGTTGACCAGCAAGGCTCTATAGTCTAGGCAACCAAACCGACAATCAGACTGCACGAAGACTCACGTCGGTACTTGCGATCCCACCGAATAGTTTAAGGCCCGGGGGAATACGGGAGAGTATATCACAGCTCCACAACCTCGAAACGTCCACTTTAAAAACAACTCTTCGACAGAGGTCAAGTTCAAGCCTCCATCTGAAAGTTCCACGCTCGCCACCACTACTGCACCCGACCCAAGAGGGTATAAGAGGTTAGAAAAACTCAAGTTGGTTGCTCCGGGGTGAAGTCGATTTCCAAGCGGCGGAGATTATGAAAAATCCGTGCGTAACACCCATCCCTGACTCGAAGAAAGTAATGGGCATCCATGTCACTTGCCGCGAGGACCAGTACAAGCTGTTTCTGACGTCCTAGGCACTGGAGCGATTTGTGACGTGTCAATAGCTTCTAAACACTAGTGGACCTAGTAGACCAATCTAGCAAAGGAAGCAATCTATGGTGAGGATATGAACAATATATGGACGTTAATCTTGTTCTTCTTGGGGATGGATCGAACCCCTCGCAGCAGAACCCCAACCCCATTCGCTAATAAAATGTAAAATGCCAACCAAAATTCCAGCTCTACATCCCAGGTACAATGAGTAATTCCAAGATTTAGATATGCAATTTATAATATCTGGGGAGCTCGCACGCCATGCATTCGGATCCCCAGGCTGGCAGGAGTCAGGTCGGATCTGGATTTTTATCCGCGAGGGATTCGTTATCCCAAGTTGAAGGCTCCTCCCAGAGTATCCCGACCGCCCGCGTCCTGGTAGAGTAAAAAGCGATTCTGTATCTTCATTCTAATTTGGAATGCACGATATCGTCCCCCACACGACGCGGTACATAAAAATGGAATCTGCGCAATTCAGCACATGATAAAACAGACTGACGCGCCTCCCGCCGCCAGACAAATCAGTCCCACCGCGACCCAGCCCACAGGAGCAGTGTATTCTAGCATGACCAGGGAGATGAACAGAAGTCCTATGAAGCCTGTGATCTGGATCGACGTGCACAGCGTAATTTGGGTAATTTTATATTGGTGGGGTTTGTGTTCGAATATCCCGTCGGTGCGGTTATGCTGGCACAATGCCAAAGCACAACCGAGACCACAAGAGGTGGCGAGAAACAACCAGGCGAGACTGAGCAGGGTTCGAATTTTCGATATGTTCCGACCGGAGGAGAGGACCTTCTCCTCCTCTAGGTTGGGAATGATGCTGAAGGTAATTTGCGCACATAAACCGAAGAGAATGATCAGGGTCGGGACGAGTTCCTTGGGCCATTTTATGCGCTGATGCTCATGATGATGCGGAAGGCTACTGTGCTGCTGGGGGTGTGACTGATTCATTTGCGGGGGTTCGAGGAGTTCTGAATCCAGCGTGGACAACTGATAAGAACGAAGGACGTGATCATAAATGAAGGGACCGTTGGTGATGATGGCGAGGAGTACGAGGAGAAGGATGAGGGATGAAGTATTAGAAAAAGTCTGATGTGTCTGGTTTGTTTCGAGGGTAACCTTGATCTATCATATCATTCATCGATGGAGAAGCTGAAGTTGGAGTCAGGAAGTTTGGAATTCGAGGTTCGAGATGAGCTGACCGCGCTGCTAGTGCTGACGACTATGGTCCCTTAAGTACCTCGGGTATAAAAATTCAATTCGTTGACTAGATGCGTCGATAGCTGTGGGTTGTGGGCTGCCACATGGCGCTACAGTGGGTGGGACGAGGACTTGGGATCCTGCCGAGTAGCAACCGAGACAGAAGGTCACCCCCTTTGCGCTGTAGACTTCCTGGCCAGATACACACACTATTCTGCACAGTAAACTTGATAAATCGAGATTTATATTGTACCATTCGGCGTCCGAATGATGCGTTTCCGTGTGGCGAGACGACACTGAAGCTGGGTGTTAGGAGCCAAAGGACCTAATTATCTATTTTTTTCCTGCGGATTGCGGAGTACTCTCTTCAATGCCTGGGCGATGTAAGGTCGATTCGAGGTCCGGGCTGGCTCAGTGTTTTCCGTCGAACCGTAGGCTTAGCTTGAAGTTCTCCACATTGATCGAGACGCCGCCACTGGATATCGATGAGGAAGTACTTCGCACAGAGGCACTGGCTGGCGATGCCTGGCAAGTGGCAGGAAAAGTGAAACAGAAGCAATAAAGCCCACGTAAATTGACTCCGTGACCATGTTTTGGAGAGTACACTGAATCGCAAGAACTATTAGAGAGACCAATACCATGTGTATTTTTGCGTTCTTTAAGACTGTTAACCGACAAAACCATAATAAAATACATTAATTCCAATCATCGCATTATGTTCGCCGTCACTTAAGATTCCACATGTAAATGTACACCACCCCAGCATCAAGTCGAATTTCCTTCACGAGCAAGAACGTTCCGCTTCACAGCGAAGAAGCTGTCGGGACTGACAGAGATGGAATCAATGCCACAGTCGACCAAGAAACTAGCAAATTCCGGATGGTCGCTAGGCGCCTGTCCGCAAATACCAATCTTGCAGCCGCGCTTGCGCGCTATTCCGATGACCCGCTCAAGCATCCACTTAACCGCCTCGTCCTGCTCGTCGAACAGGTCGGACAGCTCACCGGAATCTCGGTCAACACCAAGGGTGAGCTGCGTAAGGTCGTTGGAGCCGATGGAGAATCCATCGAAATGCTCTGTGAACTGGTCCGCCAGGATGACGTTGGACGGGATTTCGCACATGACGTAGACCTTGAGTCCATTCTCGCCGCGTTTGAGCCCATTGTCGGCCATTACATCCAGAACCCTCTTAGCCTCGTTGACCGTCCGGCAGAAGGGGATCATGACAATGGCGTTCGTCAAGCCCATTTCCTCACGCAGCCGCTTCACAGCGCGACATTCAAGTGCGAACCCTTCCTTGTAGCGCGGCGAGTAGTACCGCGAAGCACCGCGGAAACCGAGCATTGGGTTCTCCTCCTTGATCTCGAACTCGGCACCGCCGATGAGGTTTGCGTATTCGTTCGTCTTGAAGTCGCTCATACGAACGATAGCCGGCCTAGGATAGACGGAGGCACACAGAGCTGCGAGGCCTCGAGACAGCATGTCGACGAAATAGTCCGGTTTGTGGGCATATCCTGATGTCAGACGCGCGATTTCCTTCTTGGCCTCTAGGTCGTGGAGACGGTCGTAGTGAACAAGCGCCATGGGATGAACCTGGATGGTGTTGCTGACGACGAATTCCATACGCGCCAGGCCGATACCGTCCGTGGGGAGTCGCCACCAACGGTAAGCCGTCTCCGGATTGGCAAGGTTAAGCATGACCTGGGTCTTTTGTACCTTGGGGAGGCCAGACAGGTCTATCGTCTTGGTTTGGATGTCGGATAGACCTTCATAAATGAAGCCTGTGTCGCCCTCAGCGCACGAGACTGTGACGTCTTGACCAGTGTGCAGAAGATATGTAGCGTTTCCAGTGCCTACCACGGCGGGGAGGCCAAGTTCACGGCTGACAATGGCGGCATGGGAAGTGCGCCCACCATGGTCAGTGATGATTGCGGCGGCACGCTTCATAACGGGCACCCAATCGGGATCAGTCGTTTCCGTTACCAGGATGGAGTTATCGACGAACTTGTCAATGTCCTTGGCAGACGTGATGAGGCAAATTCTGCCGGAAACAGCCGCCTCGCCGATCGAACGACCAGTGGTCAAGACACGACCCTTATTGTGGACCGTGTATGTCTTCAAAACGGTGGTTTCGCGGCGCGAGTGCACTGTCTCCGGACGGGCCTGGACGATGAACAGCTCGTTGGTGATGCCGTCTTTAGCCCATTCCATGTCCATTGGGCACTTGTAGTGCTCCTCGATGATACACGCCCAGCGTGCCAGCTTGAGAATCTCCTGGTCGTTGAGCACAAACACGGCCCGCTCAGCCCTGGATGTCGGCACATTGCGGGTAGGCCTCTGCTCGTCACCGTAGACCATCTTGATCTGCTTGTCGCCACGCTTCTTCTGTAAGATGGGAACAACCTTCGGGTCGGACAGAAGCGGTTTGAACACTTGGTATTCGTCGGGATTGACGGTTCCCTGCACGACGTTCTCGCCGAGACCCCAAGCGGCGTTGATCAGCACGACTTTATCGAAACCGCTTTCCGTATCGATGGAAAACATGACACCCGAGCCGCTGCAATCGGACCGGACCATGCGCTGCACACCAATGGAGAGAGCAATGCTCGTCTGATCAAATCCTTTAGCCTGTCGATAGCTGATGGCCCGATCTGTAAAGAGTGAAGCGTAGCAGCGTCGGCACGCGTCCAAGAGGGCATCTTCGCCCGACACGTTCAAATACGTCTCCTGCTGTCCGGCGAAACTGGCATCGGGTAAGTCTTCCGCCGTGGCGCTAGACCGCACGGCGACACCGAGGTTCTTGACCCCCGCCCGAGCAGAAAGTTCGCGGTATCCTTTCCTGATGGCGGCGGCCACATCAGGAGGCCAGGTGCCGCGGACGAACAGCTTTCGTGCCGCCTGGCCCGTCTCGGCGAGGGTTAATTTGCCGTCCTGCCATTCGTCGATCAATTCTGCTATCTTGCTGCGGAGGTTGTTGGAGTCGACATATTGCCAATATGCGTATGATGTTGTCGCAAAGCCAGTGGGCACCTCGACTCCTTTGGAGACGAGGGCATTGATCATCTCGCCCAGCGAGGAGTTCTTTCCGCCAACCAATGGTCCATCGCCGCGAGAGAGATGCTCGAACTCGAGGACGAGGGGTTTAGAGCTTTTGTCACCTCCCATTTTTCTCTTGGGGGGGTTGTTGATTCTCTAATTAATGGAAGAAGAGGTTATAGATATCAGAAAATCAGAAAAAAAAAAAAAAAAAAAAGTAATTAGTCGTAGTCGTAGTCGTAGTCGTAGTTGTGTTTGTGATTGTGATTGTGTGGTGTGGTTTCAATCGAGAAATTCAATTGCATATTTCAATGTTCAGTGCTCGAGAAATCTATTCCTTTTTGTTTTCGCCTTTTTACGTGCATGTACCGTCAATTATAGAGCCAAGGTTCTAAGAAGTTTGGGCAGACAACCGGTCCTTCCATGATCTGATGCTGGATCAGTTTATCTTGGTACCCGCATATTGCGATTCGGCGCATGGCTCAATGCACCGTTTCTGAGCACATCGGACCACCTTCACTCTGCTGATGGCCTCATGCATCAATTGAAGCGATCGGAAGCCACAACGGAGGGCGAACACTGGAGCGCTGCGCGGAGGGGGGAAAACCTTAAACGAAACCGGGCCAATCCCTGGAGAATGATGCTTCCTACTTATCCGAAGACGGGGTCTGATCGCGGAAGCCTGTCCTCGTCAGGTCAGGCCCCGATCCCTCAGGAGTCAAAGGTCATGATTACGCTGCAGGTCACCCCACCGGAAGGCGAGCTGCTTTCCCATACCCTTGGCTACTTTACCTCGCCCGACGGGGGCTCGGGGATAAATACCCCGTGCTGTGAACGGCCGGCTCCGGTTCCGGACACCAGTCAGCAGTTTACGGAGTTTTCAGTGCGTCGAAATTCCACAGACTGTCGAACTTGGGAAACATGAGAGTGAATGGCTTCCTAGTACTGCCCCGTTCAAGCAGTTGAGCTGACCTCACGCAATGCGCACTACTTGCTCCGTCGGCTAGCTCACTAGTGTTGGGGGCCGACCGGCCGCTAATCCGAGAGGGTCCTGCCTTATTCATGCAGCCACCGACGAAGTACGGAGTAGACGATCATCTAATCAAGCCTGGCTTCGCTTTCTGAGGTAATCCCGTCCCGAGATAATTTAACTTCTGGGCTCTATCAATTCGGAATTGACAACTTCGTAGTTTACTCCGTAGTCTTTTTGGAGACTCTCATGGAAGGTTCTCTTGCCCAAGTGCTGGTCATTCCTGTCGCATTGACAGGGATGGGACTGCTCCTGTCAAAATGCCTGATGTCAGTGGCTTCCGCCGCTGCGACTATGACGATCTCGATCACTGCCCCGAGCGAGAAAGTGGCGGGGTTGGCCGAAGTTAGTTTAGTTTAGTTCAGTTCAGAGCAGCGACCGACGGGCGGGAAATACGAGGTACTTCGTACTCACTCACAGCTTGTCGCACGTAAAGTGATCGACGTCATTGATCGTTTTGTTGAAGCGGGGGAACGCGCAACCCGCGGAAGAAATACCTCGATTCAACATGACAGCTCTGGGGGGACACAGAAGCTGGGTGACATGTTACTGATCGATGTGTCCGGTTTGCCGGGTTTCCCCGCTATCACACCACGAAAGCCTGCATAACTGATTCCAGATATTTGATTGACCTCACAACAGGGACGTTTAGTGACAGGGAGGACTCTTCCCCCTCTTCAATTCACACGGAAACCACGTGAGTCCAGCCAGGGTGCCTGGCGCACTCGTGAAGATCACGAATGTCATGTTAATACTTCCTTTTCCTATGATGGAGACCTGCAATAAACCTGTTGTATATAATCATCAGAGCCAAAAGGAAAAAAAAATCGAGTGGCCTACTAGGGAGTCTAGAAAAAGGACACAAAATTGTTTATTTTATTCAACCGAATGCTTTAATAGCAAGTGTAAGACTCTCCAACGGAGAGCCTTTTGCGTGAGGATCAGACAACAAGAAAAGGCTTTCGGGGAAATAATTTGAATTTCTAGCTCTGACTTCACTCCGAGCTCACTTGGACCTTGCGCCAAAGAAACTAGCGGCCATGTCAATCGTCACTTTGAGGCCAGTCTCGGTCGGATCTGCGTATATGTACTGGAGGCTACCTGCTCTCCTCCCACGTGTGCGCGTTGGTCCCATCGCCAAACGCTTTGCAGCACCGTACCCACGTACGTTTACAACGACGGCCCGCCATCTCAATACAATGAAAGCCCTCGTATATTCCCAAGTCGGCCGAGTCGAAGTCCAAGATCGACCCAAACCGACCATTAAGGCGTCTACCGACGCAATTGTCAAGCTAACGTATACCACCATTTGCGGAACCGACCTGCATATTCAGAAAGGAGATGTGGCTAGCGTGCCCCTCGGTCGCGTGCTTGGACACGAGGGTGTCGGCATTATCGAGGATGTCGGAAGCACCGTCTCCCAATTTAAGAAGGGCGATGTCGTGATTATCTCGTGTATTTCCTCGTGCGGCACGTGCGAGTATTGCCGCCGGGGCATGCCGTCGCACTGCACTACTGGCGGTTGGGTTTTGGGGAACGAGATTGACGGGACGCACGCCGAGTATGTGCGCATTCCACACGCAGATTCGAGTTTATACCATGTCCCGCGCGACACCAAGGACCCCTCGTCGCTTGTCACCATCAGCGACACGTATCCCACGGCCTTCGAGTGCGGCACCCTCAATGGAAAGATTAAACCTGGATCAACTGTGGCCGTTGTCGGTTCTGGGCCAATTGGCCTTGGAGTGGTCGTCACGGCCAAGTTCTACTCTCCTGCGAAAATCATCGCCATCGACATGGACGCCAACAGGTTGAATATCGCCTCGAGCATGGGAGCTGACGCTGTCATTAACGGCACTACCACAGACGTAACCACTGCCGTCATGGAGCTAACTGGAGGCAAGGGCTGCGACACTGTTGTTGAGGCTGTCGGCGTTCCTGCAACGTTCGAGCTTTGCCAGAAAATTTTGGCGCCTGGTGGTGTCCTCGCGAACATTGGCGTCCATGGGGCGAACGCGACTCTGTTCTTGGATGAATTGTGGTCAAAGAACATCAGTGAGCTTCCACCTTCCACATATTACGGTCAACTTTTTTTTCTTCTTCCCCCCCAACGATTGCTAACCTAACCCCTCACTATTACAGCCATCACCACTCAGCTAGTCGATGCAGTGACGACCTCGACTTTGATAAAAATGGTCGAAGCTAACAAACTTCACCCGGGCCGGATGATTACTCACAGTAAGTTGGATTTGGATGCCTCCCGCTCTTGACATACAAGTTTGCGTATTACGTCTGACGTTAACACGCGCCGCCTCTAGAGTTTAAGTTTGGTGAGATTGAAAATGCGTATAAAACGTTCGGTGCGGCAGCGCAGCATAATGCTCTGAAGATTTTGATTGAAATGTAAACGGAAGAGGTGTCTGGTGGTCGGATGTTCTATGTTGATATTGACCTCAATTTGGAGTCGCTTGGTCTGTTCGAAAAGTTGAATGCGGATTTTGGGGTGTATGATATCTAAATTGGCGTATTGGAATAACAGACTAGCGTTGAATGTGGTTTGATTCCCTAGCTTTGGGCCTTGTAGTGGTTATAGTTGAGGATTCTTCTCTTGGATCAATAAGTTAACGATGATGGTTCGCAGGGATTGCATACGAAGTATGTATCCCTTCGTCGTATCCACACGCAAAGTTGGTCTGGAGACTGTGTTGAAGCTAAGTATGAGGCTTCGATCCAGCGAAGTGAGGATTCGAATGCCCTTCCAGTATATTGACAGCGAAACTGCTTTCCATATGTAGACTATTACGGACTTCCCAACCTCGTCGAACTTGGGTTGCCTTTACAATGCCTCCTCACCTAGAGATTGCACGTGGGAGAGGTAACAAACAGAACATACATCTGACACTCTGCTTTAGCACGTCCAATAGGAGTTAGGCAAATCTTGGTGTATTAAAAATAGATACGCTGTTCTATATGATTTCAATGTTCCTTTCAACCTCTGACCTCGAAGCAATTCGTTGTCTCAAGCGCACGTGCTTTCACGCCGCCGCCTCTCCTCTGGACCGCGAAGCTGCGGCGGTGCCGAGTTGTACACGAAACTGAACAGGATCGCTGCGATTGCCGGTCCGAACCAGAAGATCCACTGACCTTTACATGGGCAAATTAGCTCTGCCGCTCCCTGTTGATCTCGGAACCTCAGTACATACCTGACATATTTTGTCTCGCGATCCCAAAGGCAAAGCATCTCGCCGGATTCATCTGCGCACCCCCATATCCCGGGGCGATGCCGCTGGTTGCAAACGTTACGAGACCCAATGCGAGGCCGACAAGAATAGGACCGAGACGGGCGCCAAAGACAATAACTTGCCGAGGGTCGAGACCAACTCCGTATGCAAAGAAGAGAAGGACGAAGGAGGCGACGATTTCGTTGAGAAAAACCTGTCCTGTGGAAAATTCGGCTGAATCATAAAAACAGCCCCCTCCATGAATACTGTAATGGTATCAAATATTCGGATTAGAGTCTCTCGAGGTGCATTCACCGTACTGAGAAAGAAGAAAGAAGGAAAAAAAAAAAAAAAAAAAAAGCCGAAAAAAGAAAGACACGCTGGGCAGGAGGCGCCTTACCTTTTAGCATGTTCTGCACCCCAAATGCCCATCAGTAGGCCTCCCGCCAGCGCTGAACCTAGGAGCTGAGCGCAAAGATAGAGAGTTCCTTAGAAAAATCGCGTCAGTATGCTGCCTTGTTGGTCTTTAGGTCGCTCTAATTTTCCCTCAACTAACCCCTTGCAACAGGACAGAGACCCGCTATTATCGTCGAAAACGTAATCATGGGATTGAGGTGGCCTCCGGTCGTAGCTGCGGTCGCGTATATAGATAGCGATATGAGCACAATGTTGGAAATGCCGATATAACCCCCTATCTGAGCGGTATTATAGCTAAAGAGCGTCGCTGCGATCATCGCCGAAACGTACACGACACAACATGTTCCGACCCCTTCTATAAACTATGTAGTCCATCAATAGAGCATAAGTCGTCTTGCCAGAGATGTTTTGATAATAGATTAGAACATACCGCAGCCTTCCATATGGAAAAGTCAGTCCAACCTGCAGTGACGTACTCGCGAGTCTGATACCATGGCAGCGAAGGAGGCTGGCCTGGTCTCACGCCAGATGCGAAGGAACCATCAAATTTTGCGACGCCCAAGTCGGCGGTGCTGTCGGATTCAGACGGACGTTCCTGGACGATCTCCGACTCGGGAGCCATGTTTGCGAAACGGACCGGCAAGGTTATGTCAATGAGACTTTGGTCGTTGAGATCTCAGGAACTGGAGGCTTGGAATAGGTATAGCCATCGTTATATGTATAAAAAAATATGTATCAATTGATCTTTACGTTATCATCATAACTTGTCGTTGTGAACAATTGTCAGATTACGCGAGCACCAAAAATCGTCTTTGTCAGGAATTGTTAAGGGGCCTTTGTAAGGCGGCGTCATGATTAAACATGATTAAGATGGTTCAAAGTCATGGGGAACGGCAAACATCGGTCAACAGATTAAGACACGGTCATCCCCGGATGGCCATATCTTCTCGCTCATAATCAGGATTTGCGCTATTACCGATGCAAAACGGTTGTTCTTTCAAAATCCGAACCCCCCCGATTATTAACATGGGTGACCTTTCAATGAGGAATTGGTGATAATTGTCAACTCTCTAGCGCTGACCCAGCTCACCCCTCGCCTTTGTCGCGACCCTCTCTAGTCCATTCATTGAATCCAGGTGTCTTGAGCTATCAGAGTTCATGTTGGCTTCTTGCCTCGCATGTTCGTGAAAACTGACCTCGGGCAGCGTTCGCTCCCTGCATAGTCGCTATCACGAACCACCACACAGTAGCCTATTGCCACGCGCCGGTGTGCAGGCTGAGGAGGATATAGATCCTGTAGTCCGCCCACTGGGGGAAAGTGTCAGCGTTTCGGCGGGACCAGGTACTATCTCCCACGATGCTGCCGAGGAGCACGGTATAAAGCCGTGATGCCTGCCAGGGAACCCCTTTCTATAGGCACGGCCACTAGGAGTTGCCTCGGATACGAGTGCGACTGGGAGCCAGGAGACCCCGCTGCCCGTGGAATTAGTTTCAGCAATATATACGGGACGAACCTGGTCTACGCAATTACCATGGCCGAGGTGGCCGTGGGCCGGCCCCCTTTCGACGCGAGGGCATTCCGAGTCTCTCGCACAGTCGGCCTGAAGCTAGATACAGACCAGCACCGAATGCTCGTAGCAGGAAGCGCCTACGAGGTCAACACGAATACTAAAGAGAAAGGGGTTATCTACCAGAACGACGGTATCTAACTGGCGTTGCCTTATACACTTGGAAAGCCGCATTCGCGGAACTGGAAGGCCTATTTCGATAGACAGAAAAGCCATGTAACTTCACACTAACCCCGGCTTTTCCCTTCCGCATTTCTAACATTACCGCACGGGATGCTGCTCATCCGTCGTCTGAGCACGGTAACACTGTACTATGGAGCCATCGGGCTTCGAGCGTCCGCTATTCTATTCTTGATGAATCTGGAAATCGTACGGAAGGCTGAAAACAGAATGTTGCGCAGGTACAGGCAAATTCGCTCCCAGTTCCAGACTGTAGTGAGTTGGAACCCGGCCTTTTTAGGTGATGTCAATTATTAGGCGACATTTTCAAAGCGCCGCTCCCTTTACTACCCTTCGTCGAGGGCGGCAGTGGCAGTGAGAGAAAGGCCCACGGAACAACTAAACCTGATAACTTTACCAATAGTACCGGTATTTGCGTCCCTTCCTATCGCTGAAAGCAACTTCCGATTCTAAATCGGGTCTACTATCCAACTCCTTCTGGAACCGTCGATTCGAGAGTTTAAAGAGAAAGACCTGCGTGATGATAGTCGCAACCCATACGGCGGCTAGCGAAAGACATGCGATCCATGCTTTCCGGTAGAGAGGGGCGTCGCTCTAAGGCTATCGTTAGGTACGTGCTCTTATCCAATGTAACTGAGGATTATACACTCTTACCCCTCTGAAGACTTGGTTTCCGTATGTTCCGCCGAGGTTCGAACATCCAACTAGACCCTACTATTAACAGACGCCGTTTCGATTTGGGGCGGGTTACTTACTATACACGGCATAAGCAATGGCACGTTTCTGTGGGGTCTTGAAATTGAGCGAAAGCCAGGTAACATTGATCGGCTGCCAACCACTGAAAGGAGGTCAGGTCAGTAAGTCTATGGCATTATATGCCTGCACGGAATAACTTACGGAGCTGCCTGGGTCAAAAGATAAGCCGCATAGAACGACCAGGATTTCTTCGAGCTCACTGGGAGGTGCTGGAGACGAAAAGAAAAGAGAGTTAGATTCCGTTACCTTTATCTAATCCCTCTAGGTCTTCACTTACGTAGAGGGCAATTAGGCACGCGAGAGTCCAGAAACCTGTGAATAAAATAGCGTATCCAAATCGCTTATATCGATCGACGAAGGACGCTAAAACCAGGCCAAATATAGCCCCTAATATGGGACCTGGAGCGTTGAGGAGGTTGGCATGGATGCTGCTGAACCCAAGAGACTTGATGATCGTGGCGCCCCAGGTGCTTAACCCGTTGATTGCCTGCAGACCGCTCAGGCAGGCAATAAGGTAGGGCCAGGTGGCCCAGTGGAAAATGACATCAGTTCTGCCAGACACGGTGTTAGCCAGACCGATAAACTTCTTAACGAGTCTAAAACATCTGTACGCACATATCCTTCCATCCGATATGAAGAGTCGAACCGTGACTTTTTGCGTTGCCTTTTCTTATTAGCCTTGCGGAGAAGATGTCTGCTTCGCGCTCGGAGAGCCAACCGCGAACCCGCAAAAGTCCGCCAAAGAGACGCCCGGTGTGGTAAGGGGACTTCGGTACTATAGCGAACGCGAGTACACCGGTGGCTAGGTGGAGAGGGAATTCGGTATTAGCCACACGACAACACGCGATAAATTCGATACGGTCATGGCATTCTCACCTATAGTTGAGACTCCGCAGATGATGAATATCCTATTAAGTCTTTTGTGTTAGCAACGTCCGCCATGGTTTGGTTGCAGAGAACCCACCATTGCCAACCGTACAACCCCTGCTGACCCTCGAGACGCAGCGCCCCTGACGAAATTAGGGACCCGAAAGCAGCCGATATGGATGGGCCGAAGAAGAAGGCAGCAGTGCGTGAGGTGAGCTCGTCCTCGGTGTACCATCGCGAGAGCGTATATAAGCCTCCTGGAATAAAACCACTCTCGGCCATGCCGAGGAATAGCCTGGCGGCATACCACCCACTACTATTTTTGACGAAGCACTGCAGAACTTCAATCAGACCCCAGACTACGACCTGTCCGGGAATCCAGTAGGTAGGTCCAATGCGATGCAGGATAACCTATCGCAGAAAAGAGTACATTAGTTAGGAAACGGGGCCGCTCTGTACCGTTGTATATGCGTTACAAGGTATCGAAGACCTACATTCGACGGTATTTCTAGCAGGACAATGCCAAGCCACAGGAGCGACACGCCAGTGTTAGCTTGGTCCCGGGTCATACCCGTGTCATGAAGGAACGTCGATGTTAAAACGCCAGAGACATTGGTCCGGTCGATAGCCATCCATGTGAACATCAACTAATATCAACTATTAGCACAAAGAGGGCAGGTAATTTTCATACCCCGATCAGTATACGCCCATCAGCATACGCACAGCAAATATTGGAAGGAACAGGAAGTCGGCCTTACGGACGACGTGCTTTTCTTCCTCAAGCGTCCAACTAACAAGGACATCTTGTCCATCTTTAACGATGATCTGATGAAACACTCCATCACTTGAAGCTTCCGAGTGTCGCTCGAAACTGCCAGGCTTGGCGGGTGTTATATTCCCGATGCCCTTTTCTTTGTCGCTTTCCGTAGCATCCTGGCTAATGGAGCCGTTCTCAGGGCGTTGAGTCGCCATTTTTCACGGGACAACTGCAATAAATGTATGATACCCTAGGTCGTAGTGAGAAGCGGGTAATGGTAGGGAGCCACATGGGAATCGAATCTTATATATCATCCCGACGCGGACATTGACCGGGTCCAAGCAAAGTTCCATCGGCCTGTTCTTCGGCAAACGGCATGCAGAGAAACCATAATCTTCTCACATAGGAGCCGGATGTAGGCCAATTACCTAGTTCTATTACTGCTAGGTTGCACTCGTATTGCAGTTGTGTCGTCTTCGACCTAAATATGTCGTGAGCGGGAATGTGGGGGTATTGCTGTCTCGGAGAGGGAAAAGGTGGACGCTAACAGACGATATCGACAAGGATTATTATTGTCCATCGCCGTGCAATTATTAATACTGGTACTGAAACACTGGATGAGATCGAGAGGCCGTTGCAGCCCAGAACAAGGCCTCTAACATGACGCCATCAGGAACCAAATACGCGCGATGCGGAGGATGATATGAACAGTAATCCGCTGACACAGGCATGCAAGGACCATAGTTTACATAAGAAGATCCTTGATTCGCTTGCACATCTGGCGCGGCATTGACTTGATCGTTCTTTCGAGTATCTGATAGATGCACCTGAGTCCTCTGTGAATTCCAATTTCAAAATTCAACTTCTCGTTAATCGGCTCTAATGGCACTAGAGACCCAGCGTCCTGAGCCGCTCCCGGTATACTACATAGGCCATGCTGGAGTCGGCCTACTCTTCAATGAGTCGAAGAACAATCATACTGTCCAAGACAACCTAAGGAAAATTGGTGATGAGATTCTCACCCTGTCTCCCCAACCAAAGGCTATCATAGCATTTAGTGGCCACTTTGAGGCTGGAGAGATACACGGACCTGGAGTGATTGAAGGTATGTTATTAACAAATGGGGCACCTTTGGTAGCGAGCTGAGGACATTGGGTTTCTGACTCCCGCCAAGTGAACGTCAAGGACGGAACCTACATCCTTGTAAGCCAAAACCAGTGGAATCGCCCTATAAGGGCATCAAGAGGCCCAGTTTCGGCAGATAACTAAAACCTACTTGAACCTGTCTAGCACGACTTCGTTAATGACTTCCACGATTCCAAACCTTTTGTATATCAGTATGACTGGCCGCACAAGGACTCGCCAGACCTCGCAGTGGAGGTATGGAAACACCTCGTTAAGTCGGGAGTCAAGGCCAAGCGTGTGGAGCGCGGGGTCGACCATGGGGTTTGGGTACCTTTCAAGGTCATGTTTCCACCGGAGAAGCCTCTTGGAATTCCCGTGATACAGGTATCCACATATCACGGCTATGATTTGGAGAGCCAGATCCGCTTAGGACAGATCTTCGAGTCACTACGGTGCGTCGTTCAGTCCCTGATATTGCTTCCCTGGCTGATTGGTTGGCCCTTCTTTCAGTCATGAGGGCTACCTCATCGTAGGCTCTGGCATGGCGGTGCATTCATTCGCGTCCATTGCTGAAATCCAGGAGGCCAAGACGGATGAGGAGAGGGAGAGAGTTCGGGCCAAGGTCCTTGAGGAGTCGAGGGCTTTCGATACTTATCTAAGAGAGGCGGTACAAAACCACAACGCCGAGGAAAGGAAGAAGGCACTGCTGGAACTGGAATCTCTATATGAATTTAAGCGATCACATCCGACAGTCGAGGTAAGGCATATATTATGGCCGATCCCTAGATTCGATGTTCTTCGCGTGTATCTGGACTAACGGAAATTTCGCACATAATAGCACTTCACCCCACTTCTGGTAACAGCTGGCGCGGCCGGAGATGCGAAGGTTGCGCCTTTAGGAGTCGACATCATAGAGGCCGGAATGTCATATCTAAATCTGCGCTTTAGTTAGCCGTTGCGGAATATGGAGTGAACACGCCAAGGCGGAGTCTCCCAGCCGCACGAGTCCACGCAGCTACTCAAAATAGAGACTAGATGTCGATCTCTATGTCGATCCACATCTAATCCATTGTGCTCCTAGCCGTCCTGCAACTTCGAGTAAACGTCTTGTCTCGCTCTTCGACGGTGCAAATAAGCCATTCCGGACGCGAGCTGAATTACCACATTGAGCCGAGTCTTGTTGCGGGGAGGGGATTGCGTCGACATGAGTGCACGAAGATTACCTTCGGCCCGTTCAAGCTTCAAAGCCAAGACATTATCAGAAACTTGGACTTGGCCATAGTATTCTAGAATCCCGGGGTGAGATCCAAGTCGTCGTAGATTTTAGCTTCTCGCTCCAGACAAGCTTGACCATCATCAACGGGCTCGAAGCGATGGTAACAACGGCCGTTTTTCCATACTTCATAGCTCTTGAGCACCAAGTGAGTATCACAACTGTCGATCCACACAAATCCCGAGCCGCCGCGGCCAAGTATTTCCGGTCCAGCTGCTTGAGACTTTTCCATAGTGCCGTGGTCGGACATCAGGACAGAAACAGTGCGAATTAGACAGACACGTCTCCAGAGCATTCAACTCAAGGGTGTTGGTTGCGATGGCTGCTGTTTGGCGCTTTTTATCCTCACACTATTGGCAGATGAAATGGATAAAATAACATTGAAGTTTCTTCTTCGAAGGGTATACTCGGGTCGGGGTGCGCATTCATCAGTACGGCTTTAAGATGGCGAGGAGTGCGCAATCTCAGGAATCTTAGATATGAAGAGACAGTCTGTGGCGCAGGCCGCTCGCTCCTCGCTTGCGGTTCCACAGCGCACAGACACTTTTGAAGTTCCCCTTCCCCTCCCTACAGAGTCCAGACCACAACGTATCAGGGCAGTGCTGTGCCGGCTCTCCTCGAGAAAGCGGTGCAGTTTTGATCCATCTTTACCTCAACTCATATTTTCAGCCATGGGTGGGTTTACCTGGGCAGCTTTTGAAAGCACGGAAGTCTTCCAGACTCTCAACAAACTCACCGAGCAGCCGACCACGGCGTTTACCGTGCAGGACGCTCTCGAGCGGATCCATAATCTACTCCTCGCAGAAATCGAAGCGAACAGAGACAGACCTCCTGCCGCAGCAAATAAAGGTAAACCCGAGCTCGCGGGTATCCTACCCGATTGTGTTGCCGACGTCCTCGTCCAACTCGCCTGCCGAACCGAGCCACGCAATCAAGATAGACTGGTAGAGTTTGCAAGCCAGCTCTATATACAAACAGAACTCGACCCCGAATCAAACGAGCCAGTGACACATGATGGGGGGACAGTGTGGAGTGATGATATGCTTCTCCGCAGAAGCGCTAGCCACACCTGGGGAGAGCGCTTGGGTGCTTCGGGAATGGAGACTGCCTCGGGCTGGGGTGGCGCCTGGGGAATACATTCACGTAGGCGAAGTGTTGGATGGGAATCGAACCTACTTCCCAGCGGCTAACCGGCATTCTTCTTTCTTGTAGGTGCAGATGACCTAGGGTTAGAAGAAGAGAAGAAACAGCGGTGGATAAACTTGGTGGCATTCACGGCTCGGCTTACCTCCGCTGCTAGGCCTCCCGGACCGCACAGCCCACTCTCATTTGCACACATCGCCCTGTGGTCCTTGCGAGCTGCGTTTGAGGGCGATATACAGCCCCACGAAATTATCGGTACGACTACGCTTCGGGTGGCGTGCTTGTGGTTCTCCTACGCCGCGGATGCTCTGTGGTATTTCGTCGAGAACGACATTCCACCAGAGAGTGACTTCTTTTCCAAGCCAGGCTCACAGTATAAGGAGAAGGAATGGAAGGGCTTTAACCACGAGAGGTGGGATATCTGGGTGCATGCTCTCGAACAGGCGCAAACAGCATGTTCTGAGTGCGACCGGGACACCATGGAGATCATACAGGACGCTCTGGCGAAGGCGAAGTCTGTGACGAGTGCTCAGGCACCAGTAAAGGACTAGAAGCAAAATTATTTCGGCTAGGTTCTAAAATCGGATATATTCTCCCCAAGCTTGCGTGGGACTCTTTGTATCTTCTAAGGTCTCCCATCAACACTGTGGAGACGTGAGCCTAGAGGACACAGTCGCCCCCTCCCTCCGTGTAGTCTGTACGGCCTGTTCTAAAGAACTCAGACGAAGCTAGAAATTCATCATACTTATCCGTGATACATCAAACGCCTGCTGTAGCGGGGTTCGTTCATGCATTGTCTGGATAACGAGTAGAATGGAAACAACTTCTGGAAGCTGCTAGAATACTTCATGGGAAGCCAAGATTGTACATCATGAGCGAATCTCCGAGTGAGTCCTTCCCAAAGACTGACAATGTATCGTAATATCCTCCATTAGGATCATAGCTCCTCCTCCTCCTCAGCGGACTTCTCTGCAAGTATGTATCTGTCCCTGCCCAGCCGGTCATCCCTCTCATGCTCAAGTGCCAACTTCTGGAGGTGACCAAGCATATTCTCCACAATAGTGTCCCTATAACTCCGGCTCTTCCTCCCAAGATCATTCAGCCAACTAATCCGGTTCAGGATCAGATAGATGACGGCAATAAAGATAATAACGCCGAACGAGTAGAGCCAGATGACCACCACAGTTACTATGTCTGTCCATCCATCCCCTCTCTGATGCCAGACATCGAGCGGCGAGGTCCTTTGCGCCGTCCCAGACAACCAGCCAAACAAGCAGAAAAGCGTGGAGATAATATCGACGACCAAAATCGCGAGAATCAGTCGCACAGATGGCCATGTCCTGCCACCTCGGGTGACAAATATTAGCCAATTCTGCGTTAGCGCGATCTCCAGAAACAGGACTTCCTGGACGGATCCAAAGTTTTGAACCACGCCGCCATGCGAAAGAAACATGGTCCCCCGTATGACCCATGTTCCTGCTGCAAGAAGGAAGCCCAGGACGACGCTAACCACCCAAACCTTTGGAAGTTGCCATTCAACAGGTCGAGGTTCCCAGTGCGCATTATCATAAGCTACAGCAATGGTAGCGACGTCGGCGAAGAGGGCGAGGAAAACGACGAGATCGACCGCAACAGTCTCGTTAATAATGATCATCGAGAGCGTCAGATACAGCTCGAGATGAATACACAGTGCAATTCGGTACTGAACGTAGGCTTTCATGCGCTGAAATATCTGGCGTGATGTCTTGATGGCCAAGACGATCGTGCTCAAGCCAGGCGCGAGGAAGACAATATCAGCCGCTGCCTGAGCTGCTTCCGATGCGCCCTCAACAGCTATGCCGCAGTCTGCCTTTTTGAGAGATGGTGCATCGTTCACACCGTCTCCAGTCATAGCCGTGAGATGTCCTCGCTCTTGAAGCATGCTCACAACAGCGTACTTGTGCTCCGGGAATACTTCCGCAAATCCGTCGGCCCGTTCCACGAGATCACGCTGGACGCTTCCAGCCAACCCTCCTCGCATCAACCTCTCGGAGTTGTAAACTTTAGTGCCTAGAGATAGCATCTTGCACGTCTCCTTTGCGATGGCAATAGCATCCCCAGTCAGCATCTTTACTGGCACCCCAAGCTGTCCAGCCTCCAGGATCGTTTGTGCGGTATCCTCGCGCGGCGGGTCAAACATCGACAGCAGGCCCAGAAGAGTCCAATCTTCGTCATTTTTCTTAACGGCTACTCCAAGAGAACGGAAACCGCGGTGAGCGAAGTCTTGGACCTTCTCCTTATATTTCCTGGCGTCTTCTTCGGGAGGAGTCATGAGCCTCAGGATAGCGTTGGGGGCGCCCTTTGCGCATATATATGTGTCGGCTCCGAGTACACATTCTGTTGTGATCTTCTTCGAGACTGGGTCAAAAGGATGGAACTTCACGGTCTCCCATCCCTGGCGCAAAATCTCACGCGCCTTTGGATATCGCTTGAGTGTCAAGATTGTAGCTTTGTCGATAGGGTCGAGAGAGGAGAGACTATGTGAGGAGGCAAGTGCGGCGACGGCCATCATCCAGTTCACATCCTGGCCTGCCGTGACAAATGGCTCGGAAATAGATAGCTTATTTGCTGTCAGTGTTCCTGTCTTATCCGAGCACAGGATGTCCACGCCCTGGATTAAGAAAGCCTTTGTTAGAGACTCAATGGCACATAACGACCAGTAAGGGTCATCGGGAATATACATACCGCTAGAGACTCGATGGCAGTCAGTTTCTGAACAATGGCTTTTTGCTTGGCTAGGTACGCTGCACCAACAGCGAGTGTAGTTGTTGTTACGACGGGAAGACCGACGGGAACGCCAATGATCAGAAGGATAAGGGCATAGTGCAGTAGGTTCTGCGATCCAGGTGTCGCGATGGAGAGGTTGTGATAGAAACCCCCAATCCAAGCGGCCAGGATCCAAAACATTACCAACACCAGCAACGAAGTACCAATGCTGTCCATCACAGCCTTGAAGTGGCCCTGGTCCCTAGCGCCTTGCACAAGTTCCGCCGTCCGGCCGACAAATGACCGTCTTGCAGATGCCACAATGACTCCGTATGCCTTGCCACGCCTACAGCCCGTGGTGTAGTACACAATTTCGCCCATGTACTTTTCAACGGCGAGGGATTCGCCTGTTATGGCCGATTGATCAACAGCCACCAGGGCATGATATCGGGGACCAATTGAGGTCGGTGACCGAGAACTAATGGGGCTGCTTTGTTCGCCATTTTCCGATGATTCCTCTCCCTCATTTTCTGCCTCCTTCTCTGCCTCCTTCTCTTCTTTCTCCTGGAGCTTTTCGTGGGTGTCGTCTCCCAATCTCTCGTCCGCTGCTAATTCTCGAAAGAGCGCCTCGTCCTCGGGATGGTTGTAATCGCATATGAGACGCGCATCTCCAGGAACTGTGTCCCCCTCTCGGATTATCACGATATCACCTGGCACAAGCTCTCGTGACAAAATGTTCTGCTCGACCCCCTCCCGGACGACATTGCAACGCAAGGCGATGTCGCCTTTGAGGCTGGCCACCACATCTGCGGCCTGCTTCTCCTGGTAAAACCCAACAAAGGCGTTGAGGAACAAGATGGCTAAGATGACTCCGAAGTCTATCCAGTCGCTCAGCCCAGCGGCCAACAGGGCTGCCACCTCCATAACTAACGGCCACACACGTTAACAATCGATCTCTGGTAACGGGGTCTAAGACTAGGATGGGGCATACCATAGAGGATAGGGCCTTGGAAATAAGTTATGAACTTAAAGAATGGATTGACCTTTTCGGTCGTGAGCTCGTTCCATCCGTAAACCTTCCGCCTTTCCAGAACCGCAGCCCGCGAGAGTCCGGTACCAATCTCAGTTTTGAGCCACGCATCAGGCACATCTTGGACTTTTTGAGCTGGTACCTTGTCTGTTAAGTGTTGAAACACTTTCCAGAAATCCCACCATCTTCTCTTGCGCTTGCCCCCTTCGACATCACCGCTCGGCTGGGTGGCGTCTTCGCGGTAGATGCTAATATATCGGTCTAAGGCAGGGTACTCTCCTAGATTGGGGAAATTCGTTTGGTCGCTGTCGTTCGACTGTTGCCCATGAGAGGCAGCAGCCTCGACATCTGTTGCCGAGTTTTTGGAACGTCTGTGAAGAAACCGACCCATGATAGTCGCTCAACTGATCGTATTACGCAAAGCCTCCACCTATGAGGCGGTTTAAATAAAATCAGGCGTGAAATGTATCGAGCAGAGCGCGAGAAACGGCTTAAAAAAAAAAACGGGGCCGATCGAGCTCAGAACAGGTGACTAGATGTTGCGAGTAAGTTTCTGCATCCTATGTAATGCGGTCTCTGGTGCCTGAATTGAGATCGACGACTATATTATTAGAAGATAAGGGGAGTATATAGCGGAGAACAGATTCATCCAGGGTCGGTGTCAGACTGCACGCGAGTGGAATCGCCATAGATTCTCGATCGTCGGTCACTACTCAAATCGGCGTTCGGGCCGGGCTAATGAGATCATCTCCCCACGTCATGAAGTTGAATAGTAGGTTTACCTTGATGACTGGAAGAAGATTCCGAGTACCGTACCCCTCTTCCACAACAGACGAGCTGTGCTGCCACGGAAGATTGCGCCATATTTCAGTGCAGAAATGTACCACCCAGGCACTGTATCTATCTTCCTCGGTGGTCCATCAGGTAAATCTACATGCAGTTTGTGAGCTTTATCAGGTCACTTGTGGTGGTAGCGCTCGGGACCGAAGTCTAAAAGAGGTATGTTGGTGACCTTGAATTTAATTTACCCCTTTTGGTGGGTGGCATGTTCATGCTAGCTCGGCAGGGTGGCAAAGTCATGTCTCATCGGCTCCGTCTTCGCTCTTTCTGTCATGACGAAGCCGATCCCACCATCGGTGGAGCGCTGCCCAAACTGTTTCCCATGTTACATCCGGTTTTTCCTTCAAATCCGGCTGTGCCGCTTGTTCCGTATTGAAAGGATGGCGGGTTAGCGGAGTTGTCTTCGGTTCTGGGCCGATGGAAGATCTTATCATTACCATGACTTGGCCTTTGATGACAGTATTAATATCATCCTCTTCGTAAATCCTGTAGGCTGTTGTTTCATCGTAACCATCCGGCTACTCGGCTCATCAACTCTGCACATATTTGAAGCTTGAGCATTGTCGCATACTCGTTCACCATGATTACGGCTGTAAGAGCATCTCAAAGATTAGACTCGCGAGGCAACCCTACCATCCAGGTAGATGTCAAGACCAGCAAAGGTAAGACTTCCATCGTTTTTAGACCGGCATTGCATCATGGTTTATTTACCCCGTAACTTTCTAGGATGGTTCCGCTCTCTGGTTCCATCTGGTGCATCAACCGGACTACATGAGGCCGTCGAGCTCCGGGATAAGATCAAGTCAGTCTACGGAGGCAAAGGCGTGGAAACGGCAGTGAAAAACGTTCAGGATGTCATTGGACCTGCCCTGATAGAAAAGGGGTTCGACGTTCGAACCCAACTCAAAGAGATCGATCAATTTATGCGCAAGCTTGACGGCACCCCGAATAAAGCACGTCTTGGCGCAAATGCAATTTTGGGTGTGAGCATGGCCTGCGCCAGAGCCGGTGCCGCGGAGAAAGTGCGTCAGTACCCGCCCCCCAGATACTCATTGCGTATAGGATGGTACTAGTGGTTAACAATGTTTCGCTCATGTTGACGAAGGGCGTACCGCTTTATGAGTTTCTTCGTGGTGAAGCGGGGGTGGAGGGCCCATTTGTGCTCCCGGTACCGTTTCTTAACGTGCTAAATGGAGGTGTGCACTCTGGGAACAAGATGGCGTTCCAAGAGTTTATGATTGCCCCGGTAGGTGCGACTTCTTTTGAGGAATCCATTCGCATAGGTTGTGAGGTGTACCATCGTCTCAAGGAGGTCATCACGGCCAAGCATGGCCCAACCGGTAGGCCACGTTCAACGTCATGCCACGGGTATTAAGCCTTTCCATCGCTAACAATAGTTGAAAGCGACTGGTGTCGGTGATGAGGAGGGGTTCGCACCGCCCATTGTCCTTCCTCAGCAAGCTCTAGACCTTTTGGAGACCGCAGTGGCAGATTGTGGCTACACCGGGAAGGTCAAATTTGCCATAGATCCCGCCTCCAGCGAATTCTTCCGTGACGGCTTGTACGATCTCGGCTTCAAGCAGGAGACACGAAATGTTCTCACGCCGCCTGGCTTGGGGGAGCTCTATCATCAGCTGATCTATCAATATCCCGTCGTTTTGCTCGAGGACCCGTTCGCAGAGGAAGACGGGGATAGCTGGACGGAATTCAACAAAACATGCAAGATTGAGCTTGTGGGAGACGACTTGCTTGTGACTAACGTAGAGAGGTTACGGATTGCTCGGGAAAAGAAGGCGTGCAACTCCATGCTGCTGAAGGTAAACCAGATTGGCACAGTCAGTGAAGCCATCGCGGCGTAAGTGATTGCAATGGTGTTTCACCTTACCACAACAGTCGCGACTGACTTTCTACTTCGCAGCGCAAATCTTGCGACGAGTTTCGGGTGGAGCATTTTCGTCTCTCATCGTTCAGGTGAGACAACAGACGACTTCATTGCTGACTTGACAGTCGGTCTAGGGACCGGTCATCTGAAGTCCGGCGCGCCTTGTCGCGGTGAGAGAACTGCCAAATACAACCGTCTCATGGATATTGAATCGGAGCTTAAGGCTACTGGCAAACCGTATCAATACGCCGGGGAGAACTTTAGATTTCCTCAAAACCTTTAGATTTACGAAGTAATGTCATTGAGACGGGAAGGAAAATAATATAGTAACGGTAATTCCATAACACGAGCCGAGGAATTGAAATGCCAGTTATAATATCTTTCTAGCCAGCTACTGACATTGTGACATATCAATATGAAGAGTTTGTAACTGTCTTAGCTCCGCCAAACTATTTAGCAATATGGACGTGCGTTCTAGGGGTCTATCACTCCATCTACTTCTAGACAACTATCGATTCATAATAGGAGGTGAGCCTGCGACATTAATGTGATCACTCAGACAGAGACTCCAGGATCTGAGGCACAAGATACTCCTCCGACCATGCCCAAATCAGAGAGCTATCTTCATCCACAAACGTAGCCCCGGTCCAAAATGTGTTGGTCAACCCTTCCAGCTCATAGAGTTTCTTATAAAACCCCTTCCCGATAGCCTCGGAGGACACGTGAACATGGAAGGGGCTGTGTTTGACGAAGAACTTGAACTCGGGCATGCCCTCTCCAATATTTCCGGCCCCTGCAAGGTTGTTTAGCTCCCCCGTGATGAGTTCCTTGATTTCTTCTTCTGAGAAACCGATGTCGCTCTCGACGCCGCCGGTGAAGACCTTGACCTTGTTGGTGCCTGGCTCAGTGTTATAGGAGTAAGAGCCCGGGAGATTTAGAAGATGGTACGGGGTATCCGTTCCAACATTAGCGAGGATGGTGTTCTCATTCGTACCGCTATGGGTGAGGACAGCTGCGCTATAGGGAAAGGCTTTGAATTGACTGAAGAGGCGTGACTCGTTTGTGGTCACATCTAGCCCAATGTCTTGAAGGGATTCCCTGATCGGTGGAATGGCGACAAGTAATTTCTTTGTTTTGATAATAACGTGGCCGTCTGGTGTGTCCACCAACACTTTAACGCCTTTGTGATTCCTCTCGACGCGAGTAACTGTTGAGCTCAAGAAAACATTATCACCCAACAACTTCTCTGCCCCGCGGTAGAGATCGAGATTATCGCCTGATGCCGCATTGACAAAACCATTATTGACGGCTTGTATGAGCATTGGACTTAAAGCCTTGATCCCATACAATGCAGGACGCTCCCACAGATTCCCGTTTGCGCCAGCAACAGTATTGGCTAACTGCACAATAGGCTGCAGGCCGTTCGCGTCGATAAACTCAGAATATGGCTTGAGAAGCTCGTCAGGGAGGGGATCGGGGAGATCATATGCCAGGGAGATATTGGGATAGCGCGTGGCCACAATCTGGAGGTACTTTTGAAGTGCAGTTCCAAGGGCCACTGGGTCTGCGGGCTCGAAACCTGGGACCGCGCGACCGGTGGAGAAGTCGAAGTACTGAACGCTGCCGCTCGCTAGGGCGGCCTTCCTGACTTCAACGCCGAGGTGGCTAAAGAAGTCTCGGACAACCGGCAGGTCGTGATAGAAAATTACGCCCATGTTCAGTGGTATTCCTGTATCGGGATCCTTGTAGGTGACTGTATGTCCACCTAGATGATCCTCCCTTTCGATTAAAGCCACAGAGCGGCCCTGACCCGCGAGTCGGACGGCTGCGAACGTCCCAGACGCCCCACCACCGATGATGGCGACGTCTCGCTCCAAGGCTTGTAGTCTTGGCTTCTGACGTGCACTCACGGCAGAAACCGCGGCAAGGAAATGAAGAAACACATGTGAAAGACGCATGTTGTGGGTCTGATCTTGATCATAAAGTATGGTAACGAAGTGACGGAGAACACCTGGCATAGGACACCAGGTCACCTAGCTTTGATGTATATCCCTCAAGCTATTTTGGTTTATTTTATATTCTCTCCGGAGGAAACGGTTAGAGTCCTGTAAGGGGGCGGGAGCATGCGGCTGATCTCAACACTCCCTTGCAGCGAGCCTGCGGGAGAATGAATCCTCCCGAAGAACTCCTTTGCCCCGACAGATATGGGCAAAAATCCTCGAATCTCTCCGTGCGACATGTCTCACTGTCGTGTTACTCCGGAAGCTTAGGATGATGATTGTCATTGGAACTTTGAAAAGTGGCCCGCGCAAAGAGTGCGCCGAGTGTGGCGTCGTTGCATCCGGGCCGACCACTTCTGATCAAAAAAGGCTACCCAGTGTAGAGAGCTGTTACTGCTTCGACTCGAGTGAAAACGCAATCTTGTCTGCCGTTTCTCGATTAGTATCCGCGAATGCATACGGTCGCGCAACATCATGTCGTGCCTCATGCGGGGCATGACCGTAAACTCGTTGGCGTCGCCGCTTTTGCTCGTTTTCTTTTGCTTTTTCTTCAAGATGTCCGACCGGCTCCCCGCCCAGAAAAAGCTTTATCAGTAGGTGTTTCCAGTCGAGGTCCTGTCAGCGAGTCATACGAACGACGTGTCTGACACGTTGTACCACGCATAGGTAGGACTTGTGACTCGGCGTAGGGGTACGTTCAAGAGCATGTGGTAGTTCGCGTTCAGCTCAGCTCTCCTCAGCTTACTCCTCTCTGCCGACCTTCCGAGCTCGCAATCGTACAAACTGGACTCTCTAGAAGAAAGATGTGACTGATGTGATTTACTGGGCATTTACGACAGGGATCAAGGTACTTCAAGGGTCTGGGGAGCAATGTGATTCTCGATATCGAGAGTGCGTATTCAGCTCACTTGGCTTCGGCGGCCTGCGACCATCTGCAAGGGAGTGGGCTCTGCAGGTTTCCATTTTAATCACCCTTGGGCGGGAGGGACACGAGGATACGTCACTTTTCTCTTCAATACTATGGCCGTCGATTGTGACACTCTTTTTTATGGAAAGTGAACTGGAAAGATATATCAGCAAACATCTGGGTTTATTACTAGGTTCGCTGAAGTGTGCGCGATGCCATTGTGATAGGCATCCCCCATCTACAGAGATTGGGCTGTTGTACGTTTAGGCAAACTGAGGGATTAATCACGACTTGCAGCATTCGCCGTTCAGCGAGGTTACCCTCCCTGACACACTTAACTGCCACATCCATGAGTTCCTGTGCTTCCGAAACTCTCCGAACCGCCTTGTTTGGCCGTTTGAATCCCCCCATTTTGTTCGCTACCTTGTTGCTCCCTGGGTCTAGCGTCGCTTCGTCACATGCCTTGACGAATTCGGTTGAAATTCGTGAGTTTCCACTGTCCTGGGGTGTCTTAGAATGACCCGTGGATGTTTTCAGCCCGCGGCACCACAAAGCTGTTTCTTCAAGTTCCCTTCCCGACTCAGTCAGGTTTGCTTCTAGCCATCTTGAATGCGTCTTCGGTGGCTTTCAAATAGAGGTATGAAGTTTTGGCCCAGTCTCATCATAGAAAAGGGGGGGAAACGATGTCGGTCCGATATTCTTACTCCTGTGCATCATTGCTCATCTTCGTGTAGTCCGCTTTGGCCCACCGTCGCACCCACTCACAGCCGGCTATATCATCCATGCCTGCCCTCTCGCTCGGTTCAAAAACTAGCATGGACTTTATCATGCGCAGAAAAGCCGTTCTCTCATCATCTGTAAATTCGGACATCCCCTTCTCCCGTCTTGGTTCCTGAATATGATACTCGAACCGTTGGATCCATGTCCTCGCTGGGTAACTGTCGTCATCGACCCGTTGCCCTTGGTCGTTGAAATATTCTTTGCGCCCAATGCCCCACAGCTCCCACCATTGATTTGGCAGACTCTCACGGCCAATAGTTCCAATCTGGTCAGCAAGAACACTCTCTGGCGAGCCGTAGGAGGAAATAAAGGGCGGACACTGGCCCATGAGCTCCCAGAGTGTGCACCCAAGCGTCCAAACATCCGCAGAGAAGGAAAGTGGCCGGTTTTCTGCCCCGGCAAACAGGGCTTCGGGAGGCCGGTGAGTCGGTACAGTATTGCTGTAGAGCCGCTTAGTTTTTGTTGGATCTAAAGCCTCGCCGAAGTCTGTGAGCACGATTTGTGACTCTGAGAGAGGTACTTTGTCGCTCGCGGTACCCAACCAAACTGGTATGGTCGCCATTAGAGGGACATTGGGAGGGAGAGGCTCGTCTGTCTGGTCACGCCGCCTCACTTGCTCGCATCGTGGAGCGCCGTAGAGTTCGTAGAGACGCTCCCGGTTAATAGACGAGATGCATGAAGGTAGGCGGAAAAGTACATTCCCCAAATGCAAGTCTGACAAACTGTGTCAACTCTCTTCCGTCGATGAAATGTGGTGGATCTTGGTGGGAAAGGAAGGCGGCATACGTACCTCCATGAACAACGTTTTGGGAATGTAAAAATTGGACGGCATAGATCAACTGGGCGGCTACTGAACGGGCGACTTCTGGCTGGAACAATAACCAATATGACGCTTCTCTCGAATCGTGAACACTCGCACACCCAGGTTCCATCACGAGGCACCTGTGAGTGCCATTGGGTCCGTCAAGACTAAAACCATCGATCAATTTTCGGGTTGCATAGAGCTTCCCTGGGAGGTCAACCTGGGCTGACTGCAGTCGCCGTAATATTCTTTCTTCATCGTTGATACTACTTGTGGCTTGAGGGGCTGCCGCAGCAATCTTGATTGCAACGAGTCTTTGATCATTTTCTCTGTCTTGCGCTAACCACGAGGTCGAATAACCCCCAAAACCAAGTTTGTGAATAACGAGGTACCGGCTCCCGGGACCGAGCGCCTCACCGATTTGAATTGGATGATAACCTCCAGGTTCATACCTCTCTATGAGCTCGGCACCATCGATAAATTGATATCGGAACGGGCGGTCGAATTCCTGCCAGCCGCTAGAGTTGAGGCGGGTTGAGTTGAACAAGCGGCCCTGGTCGCGGTCTGAACAATGAGAGTCGCCACTCGCCAGCTTCTGTTTGTGAAGTTGACGAAGAGGGTGGAATACATGACTGAAGCAAGTCAGGATCCCGGACTCAACCGGCTTCTATGGCCAAGCGGTAAGGCGTCGCACTTGTAAGTTCTCAGGTATGCGAAGATCCATGGTTCGAATCCGTGTGGAAGCAGGTCTATTTTTTTTTGGTTTTTACCTGGTTGCCCTGGCAACTACGGCCTGAAATAAAGTGTTCACCGAGGTTGTCAATTACAGCTATCAAAATCCGAGCGAAATGATGATATATATACTTCTATTGATAATTTTTTATATTTTTCATATAATTTTTATTTTTAACTAAATATTAAATTTTCTATACCTTTCAACCAAACTAGACTTCAAAGTTGGTGTGGGGGTGCTAGAAATACAACTTACCCGAGGACAACATGGCGAACACCAACATCGCGGAACCCCAAACCCTCCCTATCGTCCGGTGACACGCTGGGGTGGCGACAGAAGCCGAATCATCGAAGCCAGCGTAATGCGGAGCGGCAAGGTAACCGGCTTTGATGGCGTCACTAATGGACAAGTAAAACCGGTGGGCCATTTTCCTGTATCCACCATCATTCGGGTGAGTCCCATCTAGCAGCTCATTTAGTGTAATAAAGCCATCATCCATCTCGGCAAGCACGATTTTCCAACCCTCACCCCGAAGGCGGGTGACTAGAGAGCGGTATTGCGTATTGATATAGCGTGCGTTGTTCGGCTGGGACCTGAGCGGTAGGAGTGTTGAGAGGATGAAAGTGGCATCTGGTACTTGTGACCGCAAGTACTTGAGTAGTGCCAACATACGCTCACCAGCAGAGCCGACGTCATAGTTTTGAATAGCATCGTTTGTCCCGACGTTAATGGTAAAGAGATTGGGGAGGAAAGCGGGAACAGATGCCATGGCTCTGTTGTAAACCTGGTCGATTCTGTAGCCGGGCCAGCCTTCATGATCCTATCTTGTTTATAACGGCTCAGGTCAGCGTTTGGTAACAAACCAGATAACAGAGGAAAACACCCCTGCGTATCCCTAGCCGGGCAGTACTGCAAGAGTAGGGAGGAAGGAACGTGAGCGGAAAGGAGGGCAAATGGGATTGTGTCTGGAGTCGGAACTCGAGAGCGCTCATTGTGGCACGTACATTGTCGCTCATTGATCCGCTATGACGGCTGCCAGCCATATTCACCTCCCAGCCATCAAAACGTAGTTGTTGGCGAAGACTCTTACGGTACCCGGTCTCATCCGACGAGAACTCGCCTTGGGTGATGGAGGCACCGAGGGGCATGATACGGAGGAAGAAGGTATCTTTGCGTTTCCGAAGGTGAGAGGTTCCACACGTGCCGCTGTCAAGATTCCACTCGTCGGGCTGCGCCGCGACGGCCCTCGGGCCGTCGCAACTACCCGCCGGGTTGGCAGCCGTGACCGAAGTGCCCGCGGCGAGGAGAGCGACACAATATGCCAGAAGACGGGGCAAGCGCATTGCCTGTAACGAAAGGCAAATATGGCGGTGCTTCGACGAGAGTGTGAAGGGAAGTCTCAGGGAAACTCAGATCGCGAAAGAGTTTCCTGGACACTCAATAATGTTGCCCTCGATGGGGGTGGAGGGCATGTGGGTCGACTTCGAGTACTTCGTAAGTAGCAAAGGAGTGAAGAATCTACCTGGGCAGGACGCGACATATGTCTAGAGGAACGTCCAGAACCCGAACTATTGCCGGAGAGAAGGATATTGAGGCCCGCCTCGGTAGATTCCACTCACTCTACGTAAAAGGCGGCACAGTTGCTCGCCGACAAAGGTTGGGAGACCCCTCAAGACTGTGTGAAATCAGTCGGCGTCGCGGCGTGAAGCATGACGCTAAAATCCAATAAATCCCAACCAGGACAAACACAAATTCGCGCAATATGACGATAACTTCATTTGCACACATGTAAAATTAAGGGGGAGGATTTGGTCACGGACGGACCAAAGCGTCGGTAACGAGTCCAGACTAGTGCTCGCGCTGCCACGTGATCCAAATCCCAGCGCAAATTTGGGAGGCACTGGCGCCATCGTGAGAATGAATTAGTGTGGTTGCTATGAGTGAACCCCTGTTCAGCTTACCCGTCCTCTCCCACCTCCTTCTGGCGACTGTTTTGATGAATGCCTCAACATGGCAACAATCTGTCCCAAATATGCAGCAATGTGCGTATGGCTAGAAGAAACGCCGTCTCAATTTTGTCGATTTAACGGTTTACCGAGGTGGAATTAAGCTTATGGTATGGGTAAGGATATCAAGGATTAACCAATGACCTGCTGTCCCGGTGGAACGCGACGGGACAGCCAAAAGAAATAGGTGTACGAAGTACTGCTAGGTCATATATCCAATCCGTGGAAGAATAGCCTCTTTAATACTGACATGCACCCAGCTAATCTTTTGAGCAAGAGGACGGTCAGATACATATCCTAGGATCACTCAGGCTTGGTCTGAAAGATCCACGATTTTCGCAATTGGCCGGTGTTAGGGTAGAGCCCTGGCCTGAACTTTAAAGAGTAAAATACTCCATAGATGAGCTCGATCTAGACATGGGGTTATATTACCAAATGACTAAGGTGATGTAGAGGAACGTGAGACGTGATCCGACAGCTGGTTCAGTATTAGCCGCACTAGATCATAAACAGCTTGGCTTGGCAAGGTTACACGGCGAACATTTGTCTATGAAACTATCTCCAAAATAGGAGATTTCTCACTTGGAGATTACATGACGCCATTTTACATCGCTTTGTCTGAGTTGACTTGTTCCATCCTATCCTAACTAATGCTCTCAGTTCCCATGTACGTCAACGAGCAGAATCATGTTGTCAAATAATGAAGACACACGGAGTGATATTCACTACCAATGACCCATGGGGAACTTTGTATTATTACGACTTTCGGACCCCTGGTCACAGAGTCGACGCTTTCGTCCGAGCCACGATCATGGCGCCGCATGTGGCTGCTCTACACCCCGCACAGGATCGAGAGGCAGTGCCCAGCGAAAGCAAGTTATCAATCTTTGGCCTCGGACAATATGACTCTGAGCCTACATCGTATTCTCTCCGACCCAACTGTCAAAGTTTTGACTATGCTCCCTACAATGACTACAATGACATCCAGATACGTTCTCGTCGCCATCGTAGTGCTAGTCGTCCGTAGTCTCGCAGCGAGAGTGGTCTCTCCGGGCGACATCTACGAGATCGACCAGCCGACATGGGATAAAGCAATGGAGTACCCAGGCGCAGCAGCCAGCTACGAATTACGCTACGAATTACGAATTGGCTACGACACTAGGCATAAGTTTCCGTGGTTATCATGGGAGGGCGCCGAAAATGAGTGGTCGGCCGAAATACGCGGCGCCTCGGATGTGCCGACTAAAGATCCGGCGCTCTTCCAGGCTGGCACGGCTCTCTACCTCAACCCGGTTGGATACGCGTCTCCGGATACCGGGGATCATTTAGACCAATGATACCTGCGCTTGAACTTCCTCCGCGTCAAGAAAGGCAGCCAGGATCAACAAAAACGATGAGACGTGCTTTTCTCTGTTGTCATTCGAGTGCAGGGCAAATCTCACAGATGCTGCCACATCATCTTTCGACTAGGAAAACGGCATAGCAAGTTCCCCGTGCCACAAGTTCAAATTAGCGGAGAGCTGCGACGGCCAAATCGAGTCCGAGCACCACGTCACAGGTGAGATGATGTTCCCCAGTTTGCGAGTCCCTAAAGAGTAACATGCAGGGAGCTAACACGAGGATATCGGGCTCACAGGTGGTAATCTCACGCCATGGGACCCAAATGTGTTGCGGTACTCCTCTGAGTCCCACCCCCAAAGTGGACTTCACAGGGCGACTTTCAATACAATCAGTACTCAGGTCTGGGGAATGCAAGTTATCTGGGGCTGGAATAAGGATCTCAACCCAACGTTCTTAAATCACAGCAAGGACGATCTACACATTTGGACAGCAGCACGGAATTCACTTGTCTGCCTTCGCGCTGGGGAAGGTATGCCACCCTCAACGGCGGTCGTACATATGACGCCATCGCTGTACATTATAGCCCTCGTCATTGTGTGTGTGCTGCAGCTTATCGATTCTGCCTGAATTACTGCATCGCTCTGAGACAACAAATAATATTGTTTTGTGGTAAATTTAATGTGCTATTCAGGGATTCGCAAGTCTGCAACTGGCTTCGCGGAAACGTCTAAGCAATCAGCACAGAGATCAGCTTGAAAGTTAAAACGTAAAGCTAATATCATGGAGTTATTGACTTGGGAAAATATGAACTCCAGAGTGTCCCCAAAGATTCGAGGATATCATAACGGGATTCCTTGCCCAAGGAGAAACGCAAATGCGACCAACGATCTCAACATTGAAACCTGCGGTTTTGAGTGTTGATTGAACTGAAATCTTGGGGAAATCTCGCGGTTGCTGGCTGGCGGGTGAGGGCAAAGAGGATATTCAGATGCCGTCAGTCATCCTTCGACGGCCAATTCTATTGCCGAGTGTGTTGTAGGCAGCACACCCATTCGACGCCGCAGGTCGACCTGTCTCTCGACCTTTGCCGCTCTTTACCATCACTTGTTGCCTTCCATCTGGGAATGCGGGGTTCGTCATCTTCCCCCCAGTTCAAAATTAAATCGAGCAATTCGTGGACATGGTCAGCCCAACTGCTGATGCCATGTACGCTCTCGAGGATATTCCTGGAAAAAGCAAGGGGCTTGTGACCACGCGGGTCATCCCTAGAGGGACGCGAATCCTCTCCGAAGTGCCAATCATCAGAGCGCCAGAACCTCTTACTCTCCCAAAACTGAGAGAGATCATCGACAAACAAGTTGGGAAGCTTACAAAAGATGACCCACAAGCTGACCTCTCTATGCACAACATTTACCCGGATGACGATGATGACGACGTCTCGCGATTCTGCGGTGTTTTTCAAACCAACGGCCTCCCTATTGATGACGGTGAGAGCGGCTGGGGAATTTTTCGATATGCCTGCCAAATCAACCACTACTGCGACAACAATGCCCAGAAAGCTTGGAACGATGACATCAAACGGCACACAATCCACGCCTTGCGACAAATCAAAAAGGGCGAGGAGATCACCATCACGTATCTCGACGTCCTCACCATCCGTGAGAACCGGCAAGAAAAACTGAGGCAAAAACTCAAATTCGCTTGCTCATGCGCCTCTGCTCCCTACAGCTAGAGAAAAGTCGGGAAGTCGACCAGAGGCTAGATTACTCCCCATACAACATCAATGCGTCTAGATATTCAACACCCTGTCTAGTTGTGGGCCGGGGAAGATAGCCTCTACAAAATAATTTTGACTGGGCTGCAGCCGAGTTTGGGAATGGCTTGGGTATTCTTCACCAGCCGTACAATAATGCCGGCAGGAAGCCCCGCCGGCAGTTTTCCTTTTAATCCAGGAGTCTCGGCCAGCTAGGTCCTAGTCTCATTACTATCCGATCCGTCTGACAGCGATAGTAGAGAACCTCATACTCAACACGCCCCGCGTTGCAAGTCGCATACTCCCCCAGGTGTTGGGAAGCCGCCCGCGGCCAATGCATTAAGACATGCCGTAGCCAGAGCTAGAAACGGAATATTTCATATACTCAAGCCACCATGTCAGCTATTCATTTGATCCTTCTTCTTCCATGGAAAGCTGCGCAAGTCCAATAGCGGGCTAAAAATAAACCACCCAAGTGGAGAGAACGAGTAGCTACCCCGCAAGACTCCAATATATTAAGCTTATGTTGGACCGACGGCTATGGATTTAGCCAGGAACAAAAAGGGCCTCGATTGCTAATGAGGACGTATTCACAAATATTCTAATCACCTCTTCCCTACTCAATGTGATATGGTCCCCGGAAATAACCATCTTCCCACCTCTCAGGACTTAGTGTCAATATGTTATCGACAACCATCCTTAGACTGCTGTCGATCCTAGCATGCCTAGAGGCTCTAGTCCATGCTGTGATCGTTGACGAGGCTGCATATGAGGAATACGATTACGTCGTTGTTGGTGGAGGCACGAGTGGGTGTGTTGTTGCAGGTCGCCTGTCTGAAGATGGCGACAAATCGGTACTGGTGATCGAGGCCGGGCCAATCCTTGACGGCAAAGAAGAGTTTGACGATCTGCTCGTCGCCCCAACTTATGAGCGACTCGATCCTAGTCGAAGTGTTTACACGTGGCCCAATGTGACTACGGTCCCAATTGATGGGGTTGATGGAAGAACACAAAACATGCGCATTGCCAAGGTGAGCCGCCCTCGACATCACATTGAATGGATGCTAACATTACGATCTTGAGGTCGCCGGGGGAGGCTCTGCCGTGAACGGAAAGCTCTTTGCCCGCGGGAGCAGGCGTGATTATGACGACTGGGCGCGTTACTTGGACGATGAGGGCTGGGGCTGGGACAGCATGCTTCACTACTTCAAAAAGTCTGAAACGTTCACTCCCCCTATCGAGTCGTATCGTAGCCAGGGGAACGTGACGTGGGATATGGATGTCCACGGTCAGGACGGGCCTCTCAGCACGACGTTCCCACCGCAGTTCTTCCCGAGTACCGTCTACAAAATCGCAGCGCATAAGGGATTGGGAATCCCACTGAAAGATGAACAGGGTAGCGGCGATAACGTGGGAAGTATTTGGTACCCAGTCTCGATACGCGCCGACGATTACACCAGGAGCTATAGCAAGAGGGAGTTCTACGATCCTGTCAAGGACCGCCCGAATCTTCATTTCTTGGCTGGACATGCAGTAACGCGGATTGTGTTTGAAGGGACGACGGCAGTCGGCGTCGAGGTAATGTGTAATACTTGGCCCTGCCATTCTCGAGTAATGGCAACTGCAAGAAGAGCTAGTGTCCTAACTCAAGCCCTCCTAGTATGCGGAAGATCCAGACTCCCCGACGAAGTTTGCGGGAGTTACGAAAGAAGTTATAGTTGCAAGTGGAGCTGTCAAGTCGCCCCAGCTGCTTCAAATCTCGGGCGTTGGACCAAAGAAAGTCTCTGAAGCCCTCAACATCACGTCCATCGCTGATATCCCCGTGGGTGAGAACTTCCAAGACCACGGAACTCTCACCCTCGGGTACAACCGTTAGTTGATCGCTTCCAACGGACGTCGATGACCATAGCTAACAAAGATTGCTTCACATAGTTTCATTGACATTTGACGAGCGAATGTGGAACGAGAAAACGAACAAGACCTGGCTTGACGACCAGTACGACCAATACATTACCAATAACACGGGTTACTATACCGTAACTGGAGACAATAACATGGTCCTATTCTCAGTCTCCATGCTTCACGGAGACAAGACCAAATCTCTCCTCTCACGATTCAAGTGCCAGGACCCGAGAAAATACCTCCGCCCTGATGTCGACGAATCGACCGCAGAGGCATATGTACGCCAACACAAACTCATTCTCGCTAGCATGGCCACAAGCAACCAGGCAGTCGACGAAAAGACCAGCCTCGGGCAGCGTAACATACTTGTGAAACCCCTTTCGCGGGGCTTTATCGAGGCGACATCGACCGACATTTGGGACACACCGGCGATCAATCACCGCACTTTCACTCACCCTCTCGACTTGGAGAACGTACTGGGGTCATTGCGTATGACTCGGAAGATCTTTGGTTCACGGGAGATGGCACCACTTGAGCCCATCGAGACAAGCCCGGGGCTGGAAGTCCAGGAAGAAGAGGAACTTGTGGAATTTATCAGGCAGAATATGTCACCTGGAGCGGCACATGGGTGTTGTTCCGTACCGTTGGGGACTGTGCTCGACAACAAGCTGAGGGTAAAAGGGGTTCGTGGAGTGAGAGTCGTTGATGCTTCCTCGTGGCCGATAATTCCTGGAGCTCATGCGTCTCAGGTGCGTTTCTCTGTCCTTTTCCTTTTCTTTTTGTCCTTTCCACACGTAAAGTATTTTGGCTAACATAAATCTAGTCAACTGCATACGCGGTTGCTGAACGAGCTGCGGATCTAATTAGGGGACTAGAATCGGAGTCCAAAAAGTAGGACCATCTTACCGCAATATCTATTTCCAAGAAAGGGGCGCGTCTATCGAGTACCTTGGCTGAGGCTTAATCCACGAGGTATCCGTATTTGAATTGTTGGTCGACGCTTCGGGAACTAGAGACTTTCAAATCAGAAGTGCGAACTAGTTTTGTTTCTTACTAGTCTGTCCTTCCCTAGGTATTGGGTGTGATGCTTGCTTGCTATCGAATATTGAAATGCTCCGTCCCCTGTCCTAGTAGGAGACATCAAATCAATTCACCACTGCTTTTATTGATAATGCCCTATTAAGGAGCCTTCCCGTATTCGAAACCATAACAAACAGTTCTCCCTACCATTACCATTTTTTTTTCCCTTGGCCCGGACTGTATCCTACACAGAAGTCATCATCGTTGATTCGTGGAAATCCTGTACTGCACTAGAGAGGGGAACAGGGCGTTCGCCAGTTGCCACCGCGTCGTTTCCGCCAAAGATGTGAACCGAAGGACCTGGGTGAGCCTAGGGCCCATGTAAATGGAGTTAGGGTGGGCCATTGCAAGCGGCCAAAGGTCAACAAGATGCGGTCCCTGAGTGACCAGCATAGCTCCAAGGTCATCCCACAAAAGACTACCGAGAACGCGCAATGTTCCCGAATACCCGGGTGACTCTTCGTTGTCCTCCGACGGTTCATATTCCGCCTCTACTGCAAGAACAAACCCGAGGTTGGCTTCGGCTTGATCAAGGTACGATTTTATAACATAATCGTCGATAACAAGCAAGACGTCTTTGTGAACTTTGTTGGAGACATCCTCAGACTTGACATATGTGTTGAAGTGCCTAGAGGCAACTGTCAGTTTGCGGAGCAAGAAAGAACAGGCTTCGAATAAGACTTACTTCCTCGCCGCTTCGATGTCACCATCCTTGATCTCCAAATCCTTTCCATCCAGCCAATGAAGCTCGCAAACTTCACGAACGTCGTCGATGTCGGAGATTTCTTGGCCCCAGTTCGAGATATCTGCTTCGAACTTTGCTTTGAAGTCGTCCCATTTTTCAGGGTTGCTATGACTGAGTCGATAGACCACGTAACCACAGTTCGGGCGATTATGGACGTGACGTCGAATCAGAGTAACCCAAGGGTCAAGGCCCGGAGGCGGCTCTTCACCACGGAGTTCTTGTCGTGCCCTGGCCTGGGCTATGACCTGGCTGCGCGCTGTAATTATTACATCAGATGAAACATAGTCTGGTTCCCTCAGGTAAGGTGCTAAATAATGAGGATCTGAATACATCTCTAGGCGGGAAAGAAATCTGACACGGGCGTTGTAAGTGTTCCTCCGTCGGTAAAGACTCGGAGACCAGACAATAGGCTCGACGAGAAACCCAGGAATAGGGTCGCCTGGGTCGTTCTCGGACGCGGAGGCAGGCTGTGGATTTCCCTTGTACCCGTTTGTGGGTATAAATATTGTAGAATCGGCTTGGGAGGCATTTTCGGCCAGATCGTGAAGAGCGTCAGCCAGAGCCCATTGTGTCAGGTCGTAGTCGTATTCGGGTTGGTAGTTGGCGAGCTGTTCCAGAATCGGGGCACGAAGACGTTGAATGTGTTCGATGACCCAATGATGAGCCCTCGAGCAGATGTCGTCGTAGTGGGCTCTCATAAATTCGTACCATAAATCTGTCAAGGACACGCGCTGGTATGTACCGTCCGCGGAAGCTAGTCTCCGTGCTGCATTCAATGCTTGCTCAGCCTCTTTCAGGTGGTCCGATATCAGATTAAAGGTCTCTCGTAAGGCGCGGCTCACTCCACTATGATTGAGGTAATGGAACACATTGATGACTGAGGCAATATAGCGGCAAGCAATGTGGAAGTATTCCGGATCATCCAGGTTCAAGTCTTTCCAGCGTCTCTCAGACAACGGCAGGATCCCTTCCCATATCCGAGATTTCATCGCATGAAGTTCCTTGGCGATACATACTAGCCGCCTTGGATCTTCAAAAGAGCCAATCCGAATCATGATCGACTCGACTGCAGGTCGTGTAATTTGATTGAATGGAGCAGGGGCCCAGGCAGAGTATGGCTTCATCAGATTCCCAACTTCCTCTCCAGTAGGTCGTGCACGGTTCGCAGGCAGGAGGCCCATCCCGAGAAACTCCAGGAAATGCGCAACGGTTTGGGGTTCCAAGATGCGGTCAACGACCCACAGACGGACCTTCCCGTCAGGATGGCCCGGAAAGTGAAACAAGTTCTCGATATCGCCTGGGATATTCCCGCGTTGTTTGGCAGCCTCCTGTAGAGGGGCCGTTAAAGGGGTGCCATTTGCGCTAAACAGCATATCAAGCTGCAACATGTCCATGATGGGAAATGGTGCAATGACGGGTTAAGGATTTTGGTCTGTCGGCGTGAATCTTTGATCGGGATGGTATTCAAGTCCCATGAGGCAACAAGACGTGAGCTAAAAAAGGATCGGTTCAGGGGGGAGCTACGACAAAAGAGGAGATCCCGATGGTGGGTGGTACGAGGTTGGGAAGCGCTCGCTGTGGGGCTTCTTTCTCCCTGACAAAGTCGCGAGTTTGCGTTGTCCAGGTAAACCGCGATGTTGCTGACTAATCAACTATTGGTTTATTTGTATGTCCAATATGTCCTGCCAGCAACAATCTTAAGCTTGCATTATCATAAAATATCGAATAACTGCCAAATACGACTTTCGTCGCTACCATCTCGAGACCATCCGAGACTCAAGTGTGAAATACAAAGGACGGGTATTTAGCATCAGTCTCCTCCCTAAGCTTATCAATGTAATTGTGTAGCCCAGCGAGGAAGAAGGCGCTGTACTTCTTCTTGCCCTCGACATTGTCGTTCTGGATCCACGATTTGACCTTGTCGAACACTGTCTGCTTGGAGATAGCTTGTACTGTCTCGGCCCAGCGAGCCTGGGCCTCAGGTTCGGCCTCAATCGACTCTTGACCCCGCGCCCGTCCCTCCTCAACGAGCCGCCCAATGAACCCAGCCTGCAGCTCGATGGATGGCAGCATATTAGCAAACGGGCCGCCTGGTCCTGTCACCGTGAAGAAATTAGGAAACGCCGCCACGCTGACCCCGTAAAGGGCGTTCGATCCACCTTTCCACGCGTCCACCAGCCGGACGCCCTCGCTACCTCTGATGTCGATGTTGCGGTAGGCCCCGTCAACGCCGTCGAACCCTGTCGCGTAGACAATAATGTCAAACTCGAATGACTGCCCGTCCTTGAGCTCCAAGCCGGATGGCGTAATCTTCGCGATCGGGTTGTCGGCAATGTCCACGAGTGACACGTTGGGCTCATTGAAAGCCTCGTAGTAGCCATGTGTGCAGAGGGGTCTCCCTCCATACGGCCCCTTGGGCTGAAGGAGCTTTGCCGTCTCCGGGTCCTTCACGATTTCGGCGATCTTGCTTCGTACGAAAGCCGCAGCCGTCTCGTTTGCCTCCAGGCTAGTCGCGAGGTCGGAGAACGTCTCGAAGAAGAAGCGGAAGCCGCCACCCTTGTTCCAGATTCGCTCGTACACCTCTCGGCGTTCTTCTTCCGATACCTCGAGAGCTGACTTCTTGCTCTCGACGAACCCCATGGCGAAGAGGGAGTTGAATACCGTATCCCAGATGGAGTCGTAGTTTTTCAAGATTTCCTCCTTCTCGTCTTCTCCAACGGGTCGGTTGTTGACCGGCACGATATATTGGGCGCGCTGCTGGAAGACAGTGAGTTGCTTGACGAGCGGGTGGATGGTCCCCGCGATCTGGCTACCGGAGGGACCAGTTCCTATGACGCCGACACGTTTCCCGCTGACGTCAAGGCCCTTGGGCCACCTTGCAGAGTGGAAGGAAGTGCCCTGAAATGAATCGATGCCGGGGAAATCAGGAATATACGGATTGGTCAAGATTCCGAGAGCGGTAATGAAATACTTCGCAGTGAATTGGAGCCCCTTGTCGGTTGCAATATCCCAACGCTTGGTTGCATCATCGTAACGTGCAGAGGTCACTTCGTTATTGAAGATAAAGTTGTCATAAACACCAGTCTTCTTGGCTGTTTCGACAATCTGCTCCTGGAGCTCCCCCGCCTTGAGGTAGCGTGTGTTCCACTTGGGCGGATCTCGATCGTCGGAGAACCGATAAACCCAGCTCTCCGTGTCGGTCTGGGCACCTGGGTACTGATTCCAGTACCAAGTGCCTCCAAGGTCACTGCCCTTCTCGATGGCAACGACGTTTTCAAGGCCGAGCTTGTTCTTGAACAGGTCAACAATCCGTATGCCTCCAAAACCACCACCGACAACCAGAGCATCAACCGGCTTCGCGTCGACCGTCATGTTATCTCCTTCAAAAGTCTGGGGTGCTCAAAGCTGATATTCTATCGTATCTGAATTAGAGTAGAGTGTGGGGTGCCTTATCTTCCAACAACACTTGTCATGGAAGTCAGCTCGTCACCCAACCAGCTGGATATAAGGTATGATATAGTATTAATCCCATGCCTCCTTCAGACTCAAGAGGGAAATAGATCGCCATGGTGCGCTATCCACTAACATGGCGCCATAGACATCACATTCCAAGACGGCGAGCGAGATCATCGTGAGGCATTTTATCATATTTCGTAGGTCCGACCGCTGCCAATCAATAACATCTGGGAGAAAATGATACTTGTAAAGTCTTTATCTTGTTGGCTGGCGGCCTGATGGGCTTTACCCCAAGTGCACGTCCATCTCTCTGGTGGTGGTCGTTACACCACATCATGGATGGATGACGAGATTCTCGGAGGAACAGCACACCACACCTTGGCACACCCACCATGGTGTTTGGGGCCGAATACGGTATGGCCTAGCCTGCATGATAAGTCAAAGATAAGAGGGGAAAGTCGTCTGGATATCTGCCTTTTTTATCGAAGTTTTTATATTTATAATTAAATATTTATCACAGCTGGCTATTTTCTTGGCAGGGACGCCTCTGCATTAGATGTTCATGATGTTCCCAGAATGATCACTTACCGGAATTGTATATACATGAAATTCTGAAGGCTTCCTCGGCATTGTACGTCGTGATTTTCATCTTGATTCTGGGGATTCGCAGACTACATTTATCATTGATATTTTAGAGGGCGCAGGAAGATCCAGTTCCCGTTTATCTGCCGCCTCTGGCGGAACCGGCACACCGTCTTCCATCCCAGAATGAGTGAGCCTGGTATCGCTCGCAGGATAGTCTCATGTAGATCCCCATCCAAATCGCTTTAATTCCATTAGAGAATCCATGAGCAGGACCCAGAATATGGCTGTGTCGTGGTAACTACTTGAATAAGTAAATATGATGTTCATCCACGGCATGTGCTGAATTACTCGAAGACGGCAGCAATAGAATGAGTCCGCATGGCCGGTGTGGCTCGATGGGGCTTGCGTGACAAGGCGCACTTCGACGATGTAGTAGGACATTAATTAAGTTACACTATATACGAATCTGTGAGACCACGAGGCCTGTTCGGGGTGCTCTGGAAGAAAATCAACCATGGTTGGAGTCTCCCTGAATGCTAGAATTTAGGGGAGTACTCTGCGTGACTGCTTTCTCATCCACCACAACGTAGGCTTGGGTATTGTTATGCCCCATGCTGGGTCCTATTCCGTCCAACGTTACAGTTCTCTTCCCGACAGCCTGACTCCACTCCTTCGGTGACATAGTGAAGCTGCTACGGTCCGGGTATAGTATAGTTGTAAATACCCTACCGATAGAGAGCTGCTGGATCCGCAAGCGCAGAAGGCTGAATATAGAACGGTGCGTGAGGAGGGTAAGTAGCGACATGCCGCATACCAGAATAACGGCGAGCAAGAGGATGAAAGCTGGGATGCCGAAAGGCAGGTGGTACCTCACCCGTCTAACTATTGGCTGGATCATGATTACCGGTGCTTCGGCGGCTTCAGCGGCGTTATTCCCGGGTCCCAGGGTGCCTTTCGTTCCCACGACAGCAGATGCGGCAAGATCAGTCCATATCAAATCAATAATAGTGTTGGCATTGGAATTTCTCAATAAATCGGACCACCGGGCGAAAACACCAAGATTGCCTCTGCCGAGAACGTCAATGGGCCAGCTGTCCCCGAGGCCGCTAATGCCGCTGCCGTAGACCGTGTTTCCCACGTCGACGGCGAAGTCGTGGCCTGGCAGGTTCTGATACAGGACAACAGGCGACCTTGTGAAGGAGGATCGCTGTATGCCATTGCTCGCGTATCCAGGAAGGTAGAACGACGGCTGCTTAATGGTCGAGACGTTCGGATACCCCGTGTACTCGGGCGATAAGATGCCCCAGATCATCGGGATCTCGGTCATTCGCAAGCCTGAGTCCTCGGTTCCCCATATCGGGTAGTCGTCTTCGCTTGCATATTCCTTCGGATCGATAGAATTTACTTGTAGAGAGTCCAGTCCACCAGCACCTGTGACGGAAAAGTCGACTGTTTTAATGCTGGCTCGTGAGGCCGTTGCGCATGAATACAACGGCATAGACCACGTGCTGTTATCTTCGAATATGGCCTTTGGTCCGCCATCGGTGCGAATGGGAATCCCTCTCATTAAGCCGCATGCCACGTGGATGTTGGTAATGTTCGCAATATCTCCCGATCCGGCACCCGCGCAAATCAGTGCTACGGATAAGTTAGAAATACCGCCACACCCAAGGAAAATTTAGACTATCACTTACGGATATAATCGAAGTAGTCATCCGCAGTGATATTCCATGGATTGGGGTAGTTGTCAGAGGCAGGTTTAAGTGAATCAAAGAGATAGTCACCGTAGCGAATAGATATATCTATACCGAGGGAGTCAAAAGAGAGTGAAGTGGGTGCTGGTAGGTCGAAAGATTTGCCGAGCTCCGAATTCACGTACGCGAAGGCCTTCGTACCCAGGGTCTCATTTGATGGGCTCGTAACGTTGAGGTAGAGCATGGTGTAAAAATTGTTGATCACCGCCGCCTTGTATGCTCGACCCCAAACATCCGGGTTCTTCTGTGGATTGGAGAGGTCGTAGTAGGGATACTCATGAACCAAGTTGACGAACCCACCACGATCGGTTAACCGAAAGTCTATGAAGTTGCTCGTGTTGAAGGTGATCGCCGACGAAATGGTGAAATCAAATGTGAGATTGGTATCAACACAGGCCGTGACTGGCTCGACGAAAAGCAGATCTTCCTTCCAGCTTGCACCTCTTGCGAGGCCGGTCGGGATGGTGTGGTTGCGGAAGCCGATGCCACCCTCCTTTCCGTTAACAACCAGTCCCTCAACCGCTTTGTAAGAATCCCAGAGAAGTATGCTGTCCAGTTGGCGAAAAATTCCCACGGGGTACTCGGTGCCGTTATTCAGTACCTCCTGAGTCCTCATTGTAAGTTGCCGCCACTCAATGTCGAAAAAGTTGGAGACCGTCGTGGCCATCTTTGTCCCACTTGAATAGACCTCTCGCAGGACCAAGGGAATATCTGTGTGGACGCCGTTGGGAAAATCGAAGCTGATTGTTGAGCTGTTTCTGCTGTAGACAACACTATCATCGGTAAAAGGACAAACCCCGGTGTTGGCCATGAACATACAGGTCCTAGAAAATGGTAGATTTTTCCGCGGGCTCGTCCCATCAAAGTACACGCTCGGGTCCGAGACGTACTCGAAACTCCCGACAACCTCTTTATATGCCATCAAGTCGTCGTAAAGTCCAAGAGGAGTGACGACACCGGCAACGGCGGTCAGAATCGCTATAAGGGGGATAGCAAGTACTGCGAACATTATCGGTTTCCTGACGCCATGGTTATGCGTCGCGTCTGACCTCAAGATTGTTGGCCAGTACGACGACTGAAGAACCTTTCCGGCCGCAGTCCTAGCCATTAGTACCTGCCGTTAGTTTACAAGCCCGTTCTTATGACAATTCAGTCCAGTCTGCTAAGAAATAAAAAACTGTACTCACCATGATGCTGCCGATTCTTGGTCGCGTAGGACCCCGACCAGGAATAACGACAGCGCTGTCGGTAACAAGAGCTGCGCTGGATAGAAGTTAGCTCTCGGCCAATAAATCTCAACCGTTCAATATTCGTCAATATTCGGAAGTCTCGCCGTACATACCTACTACGACCCCAAAGGCAATTATGCCAGCGGCGTAACCGACGGTGAGTTCTGCCATCGCGATCGAAAATGCCCCAGCTTCAGTCGAAGATCAAGGCGATTTGGGAGGGAACGACTGTCCCTTTGGGGAGCGAGAAGATAAACGACTTCTCTAGTCCTTTCATTTTCCGCCTTGGATCCGGGACTCGGGGACCGCCACCATTAAAAAACGCCTCATGCAAACCTGCTAATACACAGATGTCTGTACATGGAGTGCTCAACAGCTGGTGAGACACATCGCGCAGAAGTGCAAGGGCAACACGGCAGTCAGACGGCAGAAATATTATCCCGCAGCGAATTAGGACTCGAGTGACATGCATGCCAAGAACTGTGTGGCATCACTGAGACTGGCAGAGGGACATTAAATGCGACAGCCTGATAGGCTTGGTTGGCCTAGATCCATGGACCTGGGTGGGATCTGCATATCGAGGAGGGTAGAGTCAATTTCGGGAAGGCTTTGCGAAATGAGATCGAGTCAAATTCAACGACCCCCAGAGACTCGTCGAAGGCTTTGCCTTTGTATGTTATTCGCCTCCAACTCTCCAGACCCAAAGGGCCGCGATATTTTCGACATCGTCCACCGCTCCTTTTGTTGTCCAAAAAAATTTAATAAACTGATAATAAAAAAAAAAGGGAAACAAAGGAGAACCAAGAAGAAAAGCAAAAGATGACAAGAATTCTCACCCGCTTCACCCTCGCAATCTTGCTTATCTTTGGAACTTTCACCAAGATCGTCCTCGCTCAAGATGGAAATGCAAGCCAGTCGGAGGCAACAACAACTTTACTCGCAAGCCCCGACCAGGGCCTTCAATTTTGCTTTGGCCGAGGCGGTATTTGCTCGGTCGCTATGGACATGAATAGCGCTTGCGACATAGAAAGGAAGGCACACGGCACCGATGCAGAAGCCTCGTGTAAATGCACCGCAGGTGTCGTCGCTGTGTCCGACTCGTAAGCTCACCCTTCTTCGCTTTTGCCTTCAATTTAATATAGTCTACGACACGGTTCTTGACTCTGACTTCTTGGCTAGTTGCGAAGACTGTCGGCTCTTTTACGGTATAGCATCTACAAGGTTTACGCTCTACTTGGAATCGTGCACCAAGCTCAGCCTCACCGTCGCTCCCATACCCAGCTCCGTTCTTGCTCAACAATCTTCGCGAAACCAGTCACTAGCTACGGCGCCCATTACAGGAGGGGAGGCGCCTACCCTCGTCTTGACATTCAGACCTACGCCTGCCTGGCCAATCCCAACCGCCACCGGCACTGCGAGCACCCCTGGAGAATCAGGATCGGGAACAAGATTAGGTTTATCCACTTTTCACAGGTGGTTGCAGGTTCAAGCGGTAACTGCTATCGGTTTGTTAATTTGGCAGTGGTAGCCATAATGCCGAAGGAGAGGATGGACAGTTGTAGATGTTGTTTGACGCTACCGAGAGGATTACTTGGTTGGGTTGAAGGACGCGAGTACTATTCAGTTCTGAGATTTGAATACCACGGCAAGACAGCTGCCGAAATAACCTTAATTCATCTTCTCATGTAACGGTTCTCCGCCGGCCCTGCGGGGGCATCTTTTGCTTTACTACCGCTGCCGATTCAAGGTGTGAGAATCGAGATGACATCATCCTCATCAGAATTCGTTTCGACTTGGACTCACCCGCTCCACCCGGTATCCGATTTTACCGGGTTGACGGAGTAACTTCATTAGTTGAAAGTGTTGTCTCGGATAGCCAGTTACCATACGTATGGCGCTCTCGATGAAGAATACACCCAAACTAGATTCTCGAAATATGTCTTGAATCATGCAGATTGGGTGGCCTTAGCGGACCGAGTTATGACACTTCGCCAAGCAGATATACTAACAAAAGGTATCTTAACCTGAGACTTGGTATAAATGCGATCCACCTTACAGCCTTCGCTTTTCCAGAAGCCAATTACAATCCGTGTCACATTGGGGTATGATATGAATATCTAGGCTAAAACGGGCCCAACGACCTTCCCCCTTCCCCTTCCACCGATCATGTCAAAGCAATTATCCTTCCACCTTGATCACTTGAAGCTCCGAAGAGATTATAGGGCTAATTTGCCTGTCTTTGTTTCACGTTTCATCGGTTATCGCCCTCCGACAGAGGATAGTCCTCCCTACCAGCCCTTACACTTCCCCCCTTTCTCATGGCTCGTGCTCTTGCCAATGCGTCTCGAGGTATGGATATTCGCATGGATCGGCTGCTTCGGCGGCATCCTACTCATCGAGGCCATCATGTCAACTAGCACAGTATTTCGCGATGTCTATGGGGCGCCAATCATCATGACTTCGTTCGGAGCATCAGCTGTGCTCCTCTTAGCCGCCATCGAATCGCCACTAGCTCAGCCCCGCAACTTCATTCTGGGCCATTTTGTATCTGCTTTAATCGGCACGGCGATCACGAGGCTTTGGACGATGAACCCACAGTATCAAGGATTCCTCGATAACACGAGCTTTCACGGCAACACATTCGTGAATGGAGCCCTTTGTATGGCCACAGCAGCCCTGGGGCAGTTGGCTATCGGTGCAGTCCACCCACCGTAAGTGAGCTTCCACCCCTTGGTTAATGTGTGGTGCAAGGACTGACTCTTTGCGTTTCTCTATTCCTAGAGCCGGCGCGATTGGTCTTAACGCGGCAGTTCAAGTGGAAATAGTCGCCCTCTCGTGGCTTTATCTTCCTACCGTTCTGGCTTCATCGTTGATCATGCTCGGCTGGACCCTTATTATCAACAATCTGGGTCGTCGCCGATACCCATTGTATTGGTGGGCTCCGGGTCAAACGTTTGTCTCGGCGAAAAAGATCGAACGTAGGAGGACGTTGCTCCGCGCGCTTCGCGAAGCGGAGGCTGGGCTCTCAGTGGCGGAAGGCGGTGTCTTCGAAAGGGAAAATGGGGCGCCTGCCAACGGAGAGGCCGAATAGGAGGAACTATAATTAGATGCCATATACTAGTAATGGATTTTGTGTCAAGGCTAGGTCAAGATATATACCAGAAGTACTACAATTTATGTAAATATAAGTCGAAAAACCTGACTGCTTGTGACTGGTATTAAACCTTAGCCGCACTTGTTGAATCGCGCGATGACAGCTTTACAGGAATGAATCCCTAAAACTACCCTGGCTACCGAATCGGACGTCACGCGTGATGACTCCTACTCACTAGACAAGCACTCGGGACAGAAGCCATAGAAATAGGTTGTACCTAATCATCCTCGAACACAAGCAAAATCAGGATATTTCTCCTTCATAGCCTTCTGCACAGCCTCCAGGCATTCGGATTTGCGGTACGAAGCAAGGTCGGGCCAGTGGTGTTGACGATAGATCTCACGCAGCATGGGCACCATCCCGGCTTCACCCGGACCCTCGGGATCCGAGGCGTTCCACACGGTGTGGTGGCTGATCGGAATCCAGTTTAGTTTCCTAAATTCGTCCTTGAAGATCTCGAAGAAGTCAGGGATAGCCCACGCCATTGCTCCCTGGCGCCAGTCTGCCTCTTCCTCTGGCACATCTTCATCCGACTCGTATTCAACTGATTCTTGGTAGTATCCCCTTTCAATCTCGTGTGGACAATCCTCCCAGTGGATAATGCCAAGCTTTGTATCCAGCACCATAACGGGATTCTCGCGGTCGCCGCAGGTAAGGCTAAATACATGTGCTGGAGCTATCTCGGCGAATGCAGCACCCTCGGTCATGATGCGTACCTGGTCGCCAGTGGTGGACCTTGTAGGGCTGCAAAGTTTGGCAATAAGATCTTGCCACTCTGCAAATCGACAGCCAGGGGCAGGCTCTGCATCGTCATTCCAGTTGCCGGGGCAGCGTATGTAAGGTAGATGCGCGAGTAGCGAGAGGACTTCATCTGACTTTCCCAAGGATTTGAGAATGTCCGGGTCGGCATTGATTATCGATGGCCAGCCCTCTTCTGGGGGGTAAATGATCTGCGAATCCTTCATGTACATTCCGATGAGGAACTGGTAGAAATCGCCGATAGCGGTGATTGTGTCCGCACGGGAATAGGTAATATCCTCAAGCTCCGGCATCTTGGGCTCCTTCACGTATTCTGACTGGTGTGGAAGATATAATAATCGAGCTGGATGACTGGAGAGGAGTTGCACACCTTAAGTATCCGAGGTTCAAGCTGTAAAACGTGCCCACGCCGCCACTTTCTGCTAATTTTAACTGGGTCGGTCCGTTCCGTCAATGTTAGCAAAAGTTCCCAAGGATCGAACCAGACTGTCGCTCGAGCCAAACCGGAATGGCCCAGAACCGGCAAGCCTCCACTAGCTTCCCAAGGAAGCATCTATTTGCGTAACCGTCTCCACAAATCAACATAAGATCCGAGCATGAAAGGGGTGCTCGTAATCTCCCTCGCTTAATCACTCCCAATAATGTTACACGCTCTTCACCTTTTTTTAAGACTCCTCGCTTCTTCTCCTTCATTCTCATTCCCACCTTACCCTTCCTCATCCACTTTGGATGTCCCCTCACAATTTGTGAACTCACCAAGTCGTCTCACTCCCAACCGCCATGCCTCCATTGCCACCCCTCAAATATGCACCTCAAGGTATTCCTTGGTGGCTTTGTCACCCTCGCAGCGGCGGCCGAAATACCGTCCTGGTTTCTACCTGACTTACCGCCTGTAACTCGGGTGCCCAGGTTGCTCGAAGAGAGACAGGCAGGCGCAACGCCTGAGCCACCAGCTAGCACACTGTCGCCCGACCCTTGGCAATGTGTAACGGAGAACATCAGCCAGTATTTCGACGTCCCCAAGCCTACTGGGAAAGTCCTGGAAGGCATTAATTCCTATGGTGCCGAAGTGGCCAAGCCATGTAGGGCTACGGCAACTGGGCTCGACTTGTTCTCCTGCACAGTCTCAGACCCGAAATCGTGGTGTGGTTTCACGACTGCCGCGCCTGCAGACATTATGGCTAGCTACTCGACATATGTCTTAGAGGCCGTGTCATTCTGGACGGCTAAGAGGGCAACCATTTCAGTCTTGTCAACTAGCTGTCCTGCTGCTTGGGCAGAACCCGATCCGGCCCAGCACGAGTGGCTCAAGATCGCTTTGGCCCATGCCGAATGCTATCTTCAGGCGCACCCCGACACCGAAACCAAATTGACTTCTACGACACCTCCTGCTCGCTCTCCAGCAAGTACTAACGAGGCCATTTCTCGCCGCGGTCAGACTTTAGAATCGCTTGCGCTAGTGGGCATGGGACTTGGCCTTCTCGTCAATGCAGCATGACGCAGGTTTAGGAGATTGGCAATTATACGTGCAACGTGAAAGGATCTGTTGAGTGATTAATACGAAGGCCAATGGACAAAAAAGAGATTATGCGAAACTTCGATACTGTATTAATATTATTATTATCTCTCCTCACAAGATTACGAGCGAGTATTGCGGCACGGGCTGCCAGACAGGTTTTGGTACTTGTAATCCCAGTGGTCCGGTCTCCACGGACAGCGCCTGCAGCGCAAACAGCGATCATTTGGTGCGACTTACGCTGGATCTGGCTTCGGCAACTATTGCTCAGAGTATGGATTTTGGGTTCTACTAACGCGTACTGCGGGACGGGATGTCAGTCGGCCTTTGGTACCTGTGCATAGTTGAGGGGAGAGGAGAGGAGAGGATGATGGGTTCGGAACTTGGAGGTCAGTGATGCTTTTCGTAAAGCCTATGTGAAGTCAGGCTAATGAATCAAACGAAGATATATCAAGAATAGTCTATTTAATATGTACCTGAATGTATGTTAGCACAATTTACACATACCATTGTCTTCGTCATTGGCCCGGGTATTGCAGAGGCATTAGTACTTCGTACTATTTACGAACAATATGCCCTGGGTGCTTTCAGCTCGAAATAAAACTCCTTGGAACCCTTTGCAAGCTTCCATCGTCCAAAAAGCTGCCCATTCTCCACGAGGATGTGCCGTAGCAATTCGCTCCGATCCTCAGCAGCAGGCCATGCATCCCACTTCTGCACATACGGCTCCATGACCTTCAAAGCCTCTTGAACCCACTGCTCAGCCTTATCCTCATCAACCCTTCCTGCCTCAATTATCCTCTGCTTCAGATTCTCCAAATGCTTTTCTCGCTCACTCTCAAACGCAACACGCATCACCCCCAAAAGCATATGCGATCGTATTTCATAGTTCAAATTGCTCATATCGACACCCTCTGTTTCTTTCACTGCAACGGCAGCCAAGAACTCAATCTCCTCCTCACTGCCCAGCTCTGGTTCCCACCCTCTCATCCACACCTCCGCACTCAACCCACCATCAGGCCACCCAGACCACTGTACCTCGCTCCGACGCGTCCCGTCTAAATCCGGCTCGAGAGGTGCAATTCGCGCTTCCATCGAGTCCCATAATTTCGGCGAGTAGTACGCCTCCCACCTCCACGTATCATAGAATCCTGTCCCGACATGAATACCAAATATGTTGGGGCCCCACCAAGCCAGCCTAGCGCGGCGACCCGGCTTTATACCCATCTGATTAAGCCAGAAGTGGGCTTGAGTCTCAGAGTAAGGTTGAACACTTGGATAGTCTTGCCGTAAGCGTAAGATGATCTGCTGGAGGGTGGAGAGGCCTATCTCAATGATGGTTGCTCTAGGGAGTGTTGGTTGCCTCGCGTAAGTCAGCGAGACGTTTTGTGCCCAGCGGGGAAGTTTGTTGAAGTGACCGATGCCTTTTTGCCGTGGCTGCCTAAGTCCGTCACTTGCGTCTGGTAGGTCTTGCAAGTCAGGGAGGCGGTAGAAACGAGCTGATGCTGCTAGGAAAGTCTCTGAGTAGTACTCTCTCCACGCATCCTCGTGAAGTAACTGATAGTGCTGGGCGTAGAATGCGTCAAAGTCATCAAATGAGGGGGTTTCGTCGTCGAGATTATCAGAAGAGCGGTAGATGCCGGCTGCTATCTGGGCTGGGTAAAATATATCTAGAGTACTTCGATTATCACGTTAGTCTTCCTTCGCAATAGTAAAATCTGCTTGGAAATCATACCGATTGAACTTCAAATTTCCCTGCCCAAATGACCACCCGCGGGCGTGGAGTTGATTCACCACGTCGAACACTCCTTCGTCTGCGCACAACGCTTCATCCATATAGATGAATGCTATCCGCAACAGCTGATCATGGCAGTCAACTGGGATCTGCCCACTTTTGACCTTCGCGAGGAATTCCTTAGCACTCATGACGGCGGCCGATATCACTCTGTATGCTAGAGATTAAGATGTGAGAGAACGGGAGCGGTAATTTGTGCGGAAGAAATGGTTCCCTTTGTCACAAATGTCCACCATGACTGGACCCCTATTTTATTACCCCTCAATTTCCTGTTGCTGATTGCCCAGAATTCCTACCTAATATTTCAAGTGCCACAGGCGCTATCGCCACGCCAGGCCTCCAAATTTTGGCCTATGGTAACGTGGGGACTTGCTTCGTAGGGCTGAGACATCATTGATCCCTTTCGCCGAGCCACTGGAGTCAACTCGCAACGCCATCATGGTCTTCGTGCCCGGGTGAATCTGCCATTCCTGGAACGAAGGTGTCCCACCAGGCAAGACATTAAAATCAATTCACTGGATCATTCTCTGGATTCCGGAACTCATCGATGGGGCGTTCGGCCCGATCTCATCGAAAAGATCTGCGAACAATGAGCATGATAGTAATTGAGACAATATAACTTACTCGGGCTTCACGGATTCAAAGAAGCAGATAGAGGGAAGTTTCTATGGAGTCGCTACTCTTCCGAGTGAGGTGTTAGATTTTCTCCGTCATGGAGATTATGGCTACGCTAGAGTACGATATTAGTGGCTACAACGTCATGGAGTCTAGATTGATCGTTGAAACCTATTAGTAAAAATTAATATGTGTCGAGGAAATATTCGTGGATGCCTCAAATACGAATAGACTCACCAAAGAAGAACTCCATATAGCAACCCCTCGGCTCCTGTGTGCTAGTCGAGCTAGCTTACATATTCAGAGATGGTAGTTTGGCCAGAGTTGCTTCGAGGAGCACGGAGATGGTAATGGCGGTCCGGGGGCATTGAGAGCTACTGTTCACATCGAGAAGGGCAGGAGGGCCATCGCTCGCCGCCCAGGCGAAATCGACAATGTACAAAGTGAGGCGGGGGCAAAGCCAGTTCGAAAATAGTAGTTTAATATGCACATCTCACCGGATAAATACACGTGTCAGCAGTCTGGTGCTCATCGAGTCGGATGAGCAGAACTATTGGCCTCTCCACATTGAGGCGGAATTAGGCCCATTGTACCTAGATGTAAGCATCACTGAAAATGTAGGTCGAGCACAGTCACGGATGAACGATCGTGGCCTCATTTAGGTATATATAGCTGCAAGATGACGGCAGTGTTTGTCTCCCTTCGAGCTCTGTCAGCTGAACCCCGTCTCATACTGAAGTGTCAGACCCAATCCCTCTCCATGGCCCGTTGGGACAAGGCCCTAGCATTGTTTCGTTCATGCATAGAAATCGCCCTGGGTTCATCCGCATTTCCGAGGTACACACCCTTCGCCGTAGGACATAGATGCAAGATAGCCATCGGCGTTTTCCGCTTGCTGATTGTCGCGCACTAACGCTACGAAACACGAACACAAACATTAATAACTCTTCATGGGGCGGTGAATCTGACATCGTGGCTTACGATGCTAGCAGCCTGCACGCGATTGGTTCCTGGATAACTGGGGGCGCTTACCCTCATGTCGTGTGGTGGCGTTCATTTCCACCACTCGTATCGTATAAAATACCTTTCTCACCAAGCGCAGGGTAAGGATCGGATCCTTCTCCTCATCCGACCCCTATCCCTGACGAAAATTCCATCTCAATCTCGACAAACCCGGGCTTCGCGCCATCGATTGCCCTCCATGGTCGTGCTCAGCGCCTTCCTCCTGTTGGCATCCATAACACCATGCATCGTCGCGGAGTGCTACCTGCCCAACGGTGTTGACAGGAATAAGGCCAAGGATGCTCCGGATCACAACTACCAACCATGCAAAAACTCCACCGAAGCGAGCATGTGCTGTAACTCCGGGACCGGTGATATTTGCAGAGACAACGGGCTTTGCTACAACCCGTCTTCGAAGCAGATCTGGCGTGAGAGCTGTACAGATCCGACATGGAAATCACCGGGATGTTTGAAGCTGTGTGCCGATGATCTCCTCAGTGAGTGGTGGATTTCTGATTGTAGCACTTCCTGGTCACGCTGGGGCGTATGCTAATTAAAACGGACTTCGAAAGATGCAGCAGGCTTTTCGATGAGTTCGACCGATGTGCGAATCACAGTTTGCGATGATGGGAGTCTCTGCTGCGGCAGCACTGATTCCGAATCCACAAAAGAATGCTGCCGGCAGGGCACTGGCTTCCTCATCGTAGGTGGCCAAGTCGTGAAGGCAGCGCAAGCCAGCGGATCATTGTCATCGCCGGTATCTTCAACCCTTCCAACTTCGACACCCTCCGTCTCTTCTGATTCATCCAACTCCGGCGCCACCGCGAAGGCCTCCGATTCTGGAGATAACAAGGCAGTAATTATCGGGGCAGTGCTGGGCTCTGTCGTGGGTGTCTTGCTTATTGTCCTAGCTGCCCTGTTCTTCAGACGAAGACGAAGCCGTTCGAAAACACCCCCAGCAGAAGGCCCCTTGAACGAGGTCCCTGATGCTGCGAAACCCGATACGCTGAAAGTGGCAGATCGCCCACCTATTGAGTTAGAAGCAGAACACCATCACGTATACATTCATGAGGTAGACGGAGAGAGAAGGATGTAAGCCTTTATTGGCTTGCCTAAACACATCTATGAATGCGGACATGTTTTGTTACGGTGATCCAAGTTCCTGTGAATCTATGTCGGCTGAGCCAAGAGTCTCAGGCACGGTTTGACTGATCGCTACTTCATCTCGGGTCCATGCGGCCGTATCAACTATTCAAGTTTCTCGCTATCCTTACCGTACTATTCACTGATCTGATATTCCTCAAATACACATATTTTCCAGCACAGTAACTTCCAAAACCGCGACCAATGCTGGCCCTGATTCACCACTGTCGCCCCTTGTCCCAGACAAGCCCCGATAAATCGGCCTATAGGTTGGAATCCCCTGTCCTCGCCCACCAGATTGGAAAATTTTCCGGGGAGTACTTTCTGTCATCCTTCAAGTTCATACCATTCTCTGCAGCGGGAAATGTTGGAGAGGACAGGCATGGCGATTGGCACTTACTTTGTTGATCTTGGCTGGATCGTCCCTGAGAAGCAAAGTTTGGGTATCGCCAAAGGTTCTATCCGCCCGATTGATATGGATAGACAATGATCTAAGTATGTCTCGCCCTAACGTTCACTGGCCGCGACCCTGTCATCGGGGTCTCTCCAACCTTTATGCTGCTCCGACCAGTCTGCTGGATGCGCCACGAATTCATCCGAGGTAATACAGCCGCCACATTCCTCCTGCCCCTTTCAAGGCCTTCCTGTGACCGAAAGCTAAGAGTGATAGATAATTCCTGCAAAGTCATCTGGGCCGCCCTCATTGGAGGGAATAGCCTCTTTGCAGCAAAGCTAACAGCCGGTACCAAACACCACCGAGGTCTGGAGTGGTTTCCACTACCCGCGTAGTGAACCCTTCTTGACGTATGAAGGTAGCTTGTGCAGTATGTAATATCTCAAAAAGCCTCCACCAACATAAAGTCGACTTTGTCAAGCATAGGTTGATGTCGGCCGCTGGGCTCCCGCGGATAATTGGACAGTTTCCAATCTCGGAACGCAGAGTCAGAAGATAGGAAAAGAGTGTCGCCGCCAAAAAGCCTTCTCAGAGGCCGCCTTGCTAGTCTTTGGGGAGTGAGACAAGACTATCTGCCGGGGGTGTTTTGGAAGCCCTCATATCTTGCCATGTTGATTCCGCTCGCATCGTTTAGGCGGTAATTGCCAACTCCTGCACTTGTCCGATTCAGGATAGGTAGAGGGCCATCCTCGCACCGGTAGTGGAGCTGAGTTGAACCGCCGCCCATCACCTCGTTGGGGAAACAAGAATAGAACAGCATACACCGACCCATAGACGGATAACTAGTATCTGCCAGTCCGGCCAGGCGTAACCCAAGGATGCGCGCGCATTGGATATGGATCCGCACCCCCTCCAGGGCGCGGTCTATCGTAGGCGCCAAGTCTATCAGCGGGATCATTTCCTAGATAGTCATACCACATGACGCCTATTTCCCTGTTAGCAATTTTAAAACGTTCAATAGACGACAGAGCGCCGCGGCAAGCGCAAGAAAATGTCAAATAAGCAATGGGAAAAAAAAAAAAATAGAAGTAAAAACAGAGCAGGCTTACCTCGCTCAACGACGATTCTCTGGCCAGGTCTAAGTTTATTAAGCACCTGAAAGCACCCGGTCCTACCATTCTCTCCTGCGCACTCTTGGGGGGTCCGCGCGTTCTTGTTCATCACCCAGGCTTCCACGCCCTGGGAGAGAAGCCATTTCACCGTCTCCGTGTGGCCGCTCCCAGCCGCCAAGTGTAGAGCCGTGTCTTCTTCCTCAGTGACATTGCTTACGCCTATATCTCCGCCTTGAGATACAAGCCACGACAGGAGACGGGTATCACCCCGTGCCGCACACGTAAGAACAGCCCGGTTCAACGCCTCTCGCCAAGCATGCCTATCTGTCTCTTCGAGCCGTCGCAGACCCCAGTAGACAACGTTGTTGGCCCCGCCTTTGCAGGCAGCATCGATGACGTTACTGGGTGAATTTTTCCAAGATCTTTTCCCATCTTTGATAATGTAGTCTGGGACCTCCTTAAGGGCTGCGGTTAGTTTTTTCATTGTCTCCTTCTTCGCTGCGGGTAGTTCCTCTGCTTCTTTCTCTGCTTTGGGGATTGCTGCCGCCGGGGTTGCCACCGGTGTTGCTGCTACGGTTGCTGATTCGGTAGCTGGGGTTGCTGCTTCGGTAGCTGGGGTTGCTGCTTCGGTAGCTGGGGTAGCTGCCGCCTTGGTGTTTGTTGCAGGGACATCTTCTAGCCTTGTGTTTATTTCTATGGATGCTTTGGCTTCGGTCAGCTTCTTCTTCTTCATCTTGAAACGGAGCCGCTCAAGAAACCTCTTCGTTTTCCCCATGAGCCTCGGTGTTGGTATAATTCGCGTAGATGACGGGCCTAAAATTCCGTTGTCCAGATCGAGTCGAAGAGTTGATAATTGATGGAGAGGGGAGAAACGTCGTCTGTCTCTAGCATCTCGTCCCATCTCTTCTCCCTCATATGTACTGACATGCAAGGATGCCTCCGCGAGCCTCAACACGTAAGACGGGAAAATAATTTTGCCGTACGCGGCTGTTTGATTGGAACAGGGAGCTTTGGTGGTGACCCCTCTAGTCCGATCATGTTGAGTAATCCAGTAATGATCATATAATCATCTTGCTGCATGAGCTTCGTTATCGGGTCATTATCTAGAATGTCCACAGCTGTGACTGGTGTGTACTTTGCCGTCAAGTCTACAGAGCAGTTCATATAGACCTAGTGAAAGCACACCAAACTCGACCCCGCAACCAATGGAGGCGGGGGAATCTTGTAAATTCTTTGATAGGATGACGCCCAGAAGACTCGCATTTTCCTCGCTGCCCTGCCTTAAACCTGAGGCGTGACCCGATGGTGTTCCACAACGTCTCGGTTAATTATCCTCCTTGTTCCGAAGATAGAATCGCATCAACGATGGCTTGATCCGCGACTGGGCATAGAGAAACTGGAGGGGTGGGACTCTCACGTTTAAGATATGTCGATCTCCTCTCAAGAGCTGACCGGAGGTAAATATCTAGCAGAGGCCTAGGAATAGGGAAGCTTCCATAAAGAGAAAGAAATCGAAGAAGATTGAGAGGCTTCTTCCTTAAGAAGTGCTTTCCTATTGATCGGCGGCCATAGCGGGGACAATGTAGCCTAGGATCTTGCCTCATCAAACCAATAACAACAGGGATACAGACAGAAGGCTACTTGTTACTTTTCGCAGCCCGAAATTAGAACCTCGACATCGGGATGCCTCTGTAGAGCAGTAGGGCGAGAAGACCCGTACATGTATGCCACTGCGCATGTAAACCGTCCATTTGCTATCGACATGGTCCAACATTGCTTCGCTAAGAGCCGGCCGCAGATGAGCTAGGCCTCGACCCAGACTCGTTTCAGACATGGATAAATATCAACTCCTTCGATATAGTCAACACCACCTTTGAGACCATGGACGCCATGCTTTTGGCTCTTGAAGACGACCTCAGCATCGTACATGTATCTTTGCGAGAATGCCGGATACGCGCTGCTTACGAATGGATCAAATCCGCCTCGGAGCCTCTGGATTGGGCAGATGAGAATAAAATTTCAACGGTGGTGCCCTCAGCTGACTTCTACAATTATCGCCATGGAGGCTCGCGATACCATGGGTGGAAGACCATGTGCGCGGAACGCTGGGAATTCTGGCGGGGTACGTTCGAAGAACTTGCGAAAAAGGAATCCGGCCTCAGCATAGGAGAGCAGGTCAGACAGGCAGCACCGGAAGCAGTGCGGGCCATGGTTTGGACGGAGGGCAATGGTGGCTTAAACGACGGGGCGAGAAGTAGCCATTATAACTACAACTGACAGTTGCAACATTATCTTATATTTCTCGCCCCGTCTCTTGAATAAATCGTGTTGATTTATCCTCCTGACGGTCCCCCATCAATTTTCAAAACGGTTTGTAAAACTCTATGGATAAGCTTCATACTTTGGGAATGTTCACGGATGCAACAGTGAACGATCGGCTGCTGTTGCTGGTGAGGGCAGCTTCCGATATCTACCTCCTTCCAGATGATGTGAGGGAACTTTTCAATGACCACTGCATGCTCAAAAATGTCTAGTGCCATTGTATTATATATGGGTGGAATTCGAACAAGTAGCGGAGATTAGATGACAACTAGGACAAACCAACCCTCTTCATAGTATACTGTACATGAGCCGAGCCAAGACACAAGCTGAGCACCCGAGGCTCAGATGCACAGCAGCGACGGTGTCTCGTCCGGGATCTTCTCAACAATGGTTTTCAGTAGAGAATAACCCGAGCGAATGCAAAGTGACTTCCTCTGCTGAGAGCCCCAAATCACCACCGACGACCTCAGCGTCTCCAAAATAGTCTGTCGAGGCGGAATCGCACCATCCAGAGCGTCCGCCGCCGCTGAAAGAGGCGCGTCCTCCCTCAGCACATGTATACAAGCCGTCAACGCCGCGGCGAAAAAGTCCAGCATAAAAGCCCTCCCGACCTCGAGGAGGCCGGCATCGCCCCCTTCCAACATGCCATGCTGGTGTACCAAAAGCGCCAGGCTGCATTCGAGGGAGGACCAGTACGATATCGGATAGTCGAAGGGGGACTCGGGGAGGTGGGCGAATTTGCGATGGAGGACAAGGAGGACGCGGCGGAAGAAAATCTCGAGGGCGGTTCGACGTAGACCGGTCTCTGTGTTAACGACGGTGGTCATAAGCTGTCTGACTATGGTGTTGTATTGGACAGCTTCTTCGTAGGTCAGATTGGAGGATTTCGAGTTGACTTTGTCTTCGACTTCCATGATCAGGGGGAATGTGTTGTATAGTGGATCGTCGTACTGGGAAACATGGTTTCCGAGTAGACTCGGGTCAGGGAGCGGGTGACAAGACACCATTTCGTCCTTTTGTAGGAGCGACGACATGCCGGTAAGAATGGATATTTCAATATCAATATAAACAATCGTCGTCCATAGTTTTCTACACGCGTGCCAGTCGGCCCAGCCGACTTCATCCTCTTCGGAACAGTCGCAAGAAGTATGATGCAGTCCTAGCATTACGGCGAGCCGTATCATCAACCCGGCTAAGGACCACGAAGCATCAACCGCCCAGCAGGTGGCATTTGCGACTCGCTTCGTCATGACCATCAAGCATAAGGTTCGGAGGGTGGCGAGGGAGGGCCGAAACATGAACGGGGTTTTCATTAAACATGCCTCGGCGGCGTGGTAGAATTCAGTGCTGTTAGCTTGGGTTCCTGTCGTGGCGGAGCAACCAAGACCTAGCACGATTAGGTATTGTGCAAGCTTTACCAGATCCTCCACAGATGAGGGCGGTGATGATATATCAAAGAGTACCACTCCATGTCCCGGGGTATCGGGGTCGAATATAGGATGAAGAGGTTCGAAAATTCGAAAGTAGTTGTCGACATATGTTTGAGTAGAGGAGCTGCAATTAGATAGGAGATCCATTACGGACCTAAGTGATGCGTATTTTACCGCACCAGGACTTCCAAATGGATAGTTGACTGGAATGATCAGCTCAAGGTCACACGTCGTGTGGTCGAGCTTTTCCCATTGAGTCTGAGCGTAGGTGTGGAAATCTATTGAGGTAAGTGCCTTGATCTGACGTGGTCATATTTATCGTTAGCCTTCGCTATTGCCTCTTTCTTCTTCCCCTAATCGATCAATCAAAATCGACAGTAGGAAAAAAAAAAGGAGAAGGAAAAAGTAAAGAAGAACAAGGATTGCTGCCCAGAAATACCTACCCGATACATCAATATCCTCCAGTGGCTAGATCCCCGGTGCCTCGAGTTGAAGGTCTCAAAAACAGTATTAAAATCTTCGGGCTCGGGGCTTTCAATTTCTCTTTCGTTGGCATTCTCTGCATTTGCGGAACGATGCATGTACGAGCAGTCATCGGCCACTCCACTGTTCTGGCAGCGCGTGCATGGCAGCTTCTTGTCGCATTTGACTTTCATCCGATGGCACCGCGAACAGGAGAACCGCACACGATTTCGTCGACGGATCTCTCTGACTTCGGCGCAGGTGGCTGGTGCAATGATGCTGCAGATAATAGAGTCGCCATTGATGAAATCGTTCGCGACCGGCGACTCAAGTACTCCATCGGTCCAGGTGTCTAGACATGCCAAGTCAAAGGGTGTAGAGGGGCTCGAAGGCGTAGAGCTCGATCCCCCGGAGCTGAAGCTGGCGGTGCTCGTTTCACCAAAGGAGCACGGGAATCCCGTCTGGCGGCACTTGGAGCAACATGGCCGCACCCGATCACAGCGTCTCTTTAGCTTTCGGCATCGCTCACATGCAGTCACCCTACGCGGGTAAGGCATGGCTTCATAATTCGCCAAGTAACGCTGGTTAAGTAATGTGGGAATGATCTCTGTTGCAGGGGTTCAAAGAAGCAACGTCCTGGACCAGCGCGTGATGGCGTGAGGGGTTGAAATGCAATAGGTCGAAAACAAACAACGACAATCTCTCTAGAAACGATGCCCAGACCCGGTGATAATCGGCCGCGGACAGGAAAATGTTTATTATGCTCCCCGGAACGGTTCACAGGGCCGATGACCGGCAGGTTGATGATGAAAACGTGGTCGTCTTTTGTTGGAAACATTGGCCGACATTTGGACCGATTATCACCGACTCCGCTGCGACCTTCGCCTGATCTGCCTAGACCCATTTCGGTAAGCGGCCAATGCGATTCGTCAAGGCTGCCTTAAAAGTGGACATCATCCCTGCTCTTCCTCTTCAGCTCAGGTATATGTGGCTCTATCGGGTTCAATCGCGAGACAGGATCTTATCAATCTATCCCTCGGCATGCACTATCAGCCCTATTCGGCCGGGTCATCCGGGTTGATTCGGTACTCCGTATGCCGTCGGCCGGTACAAATCATGGGGTTGAGAAGCTTGGATTAGCCCGATCGTCGGCGAAAGCGTGCCTCCCAAGTCTATTCAAATGACGTCACTTCTAATCAATGGTCAGTCAGCGTGGAGAAATGCCCTCATGTTCTTTTAAGCCAGACACCTATGTCAACATATATTGAAAAAATTCCCCATCGAGTTCTTTAATAGCCTTGGAGGTCGTCAACTCGTAATGTGGTCCAAATTATTCTTAGGTTCGGGGTTCCCTCATCTTTGGGAGAGTGTTGATTCCGGGTCTTCATTTTCTCTTCGTTGTTGAGAATCTATGTAAACCTACACCTATGTCATCCACAAATACCAGTTCCAGATATTCCAACAGAAAGACATCCCCTCGGAAGCGGACTCGAGGGCGGTAAGAAGAGGGATCATCTGTACCGTGAGATGTGATCTGATTAATGCCGGGAAAAGTGAGCGGATTTGGGCCAAGCCAGGAAAACTCAGGTAAGAATTGTTACCTCGAGATACTCCCCCTCAGCACTATCCTGTCTTTATATTACCATCTGTAGTATGTGAAAGCGGAGGGGGGTCTGGGGGTTCTCTTGTAAGAGTTTGCGAGCCTGGTGAAACCCTCACAGGTGAATGCAGATCTTGTGTCGAAACTACACGGCGTTGGCCATAATTACCGGCAGTGAGAACCACCCGGAAAGAGGAAGCAGAAGCCAGGGTAAAGAGGGAGCTCAGTGGAAGAGGTCCGCGGGAAAGTCCCTAATACACAAATTGGATCAGCGAAGAGGAGAAGAGTGCTCGGCTGCGTTGACGGAAATATACAAGCCATCTCATTCAATTATCGTGCTCGACCACACACCTAACTCTCGAGACACTTCCAGAACCTGCGTATCCGAATCACCATATCGACTTCCTTCACCGAGAAAGTGCCTTGGTGGACGTTGGTGAAGAGAAGGGGCCGCGATGGAGTGACGAGGTCGTTGACGGGCGCTCGTGTTGATGTGTAGGATTAGATACTGTAATGTCGATGTGAATTCGCAGTTGGTACGAGGTGTAGGTAACAAAAAGAGCAAGGAATTTGATTGAATACAATCATGCTATAATAAATTCGTGTCTTCCCTCTTAGTAGAGCATCTAATTTTCATCTAATATCAACAATTGAACCCATCCTGAGATGGTCGGCCTGGAGGAAGGAGCCCCCAACGCACCTTCCTCAAGGTCTAGGCACCAACACATATGATAACTTTATATACGATGCCACGGCAAGAATTTCCAACCGAGAAGCTAAAGCAGTAGCGACTGCGACCAATGACCAAGTGGTCATTGGAGCGCTCAGGAGGTTAGAAAATTGCAATTTTCGTAGCTCGCGGTAAGCAACCGGGATTCGATCCTGGGAGCGCGCCACGAGCGAGCTTTTTGTATTTTTTTTTTTCACTCTCTTTTTCTCTCCTCGAACAATCTGAATCGAAAGAAAAGATAACTAAGAACCAATCTTCTTTTATTTTCTTGTTCTTCTTGGCTCGATACACTCTTAGAAAAGAATACTATTCATTCGACCATGCCTTGTCTACGGAAATCTATCCACTAGAAACACTGTCATCAACAGGGAGACGAGAAAACTGGTCCTCTTGAATCCGAGGCCACTTTGCCTTGACAATGGGGATGATGTCCTACCAAAGGAACTGACCAGGCTTGTTGCCGCAAACACTGTCATACCTCGCGCTAGAAGAGCCTGGTGGCTGGCGAGATGATATGATTTGTATCTGTAGTATTAAATTTGGTTTTGGAGTAGGCCGCGTGTATAATATCAGCTATGTGGTGCTCGAGCAACCTCTGTGAGAGATGTCAGCTTAGCTTAAGGGCGGCGAGAGACGCCGACTTCGTCTAGATGCTGACTGTTTTGGTCACGGTCGCGAAGACCAGATGTTTCATTTTCCTCCGTACTTCAAACATCCGGGTGGCCTCCGGGGGCTGGATCGTCGTCGCGGTCACGTCGTTCCATTTACCTTCTGCTTCTCTGGCCCAATGTGTACATTACACCTGGGCACATCGAAAAACCGCGAGACTCATGAGCTGAGACAGAATGAATCTGCTCACCCCATACGTTATTTCTCCTGTGACGGGAAAACCTTGAAGTACCTTACCACGCCAGTTAAACTTGCACGAATCGAGTACACTAGGGAGCCGCATCTGCAGTTTCCTATGCGATACGAGCGATCCGAACAGCGCATGCCTGTTTAGTTGATGTCCACTCCAGCCACTTGGAAGCAAGCTACGTTGAAAAGGTGTCAGGGAAAGACAGCAATGGGTCGGTCCGTGTCAATTCGCGGGAGGTACTCAGTTCCAAAGACCCTGGAGAGGTGTGAGAATTTGAGATTGCTGCCGAAAGCTTTGGTTTTTTTGACAGCCGAATATGGAATAAACGAGGGCATCTATTCGACCCCACCATTGGTCAACGAAGACTTGGAACAAGTCCATTCCTATGTTCTTAATGAGGTTCAGAGCTTCAAAAAAGATCACCCGGGGACCTCAGGTTCTGCGAGGACAATATCGCGGCATTCCTACCGGGCGACACATCGGGAAGAATATGTGCCTGATAAAACGGTTTGTCTGAATCATAGGCAGGTCCATCCAGAGAATTAAGGTTCCCCAAGTGCCCTTCCAGCGGACAAGCAATGATTCAGTGTCACCGAAGAGCACGCTAGGTGGATTTGGGAAAGCACCCCAGCAGTTTAAGCTTAAATATGCCCGTTTATGCCCAAGGATTCCTGTTTTGGGGCAACCGGGCGGTGACTGACCAGGTTTTCTGTTCAGGACTGTGATGTGTCATAAAATAAGCAGTCTAATCCTTCCCGACGGGCTCAAGGATACGACTTGGTGAAAGGCCTCATGAGACAAAGATATATACCGGTCTTTTGGGCACTTTCATAAGTGTACTGGGGGCTAGATAATTCATCGTCAGAAAACTACTCCGGATGGCAATTCGATGTCTTAGCATTCCTTACGAAGCAATTCCATTTGCTGTTCAATCCGCAGCTTCCTCCGTTGTTTTCTCAATCTGGTTCTTATGTAGCTGGTCAGATTTCAGCGTTATTGAGGCCATAACTGCGTTGCCTTCTCTGCTTACAGCCCATCGTCATATGCCTTCTCTAAGCATGCCAGATAAAGGCTGTCGCAAGGACTAGATCAATAACCATCATGGGGAATACTCCGACTCCATCCCAGAAGAGACTTATCCAGGTGCATTCCTGGGAGCAAGGCGACCTGACACCAAGTACAGGATGGGGAAGGATTTAATGCCAAAATTTCAGCTCAGTAGTTTCCACTGGGGTGCGTCTATCTTCCACGCGCTCGCCAACTCCGTCATAGTGATGCTAGTCTTCGCGGCTTTCCCGAATGGGATTACAACAGGACAAACCACACTGGCTCTACTCGACATCCGGCGGTATATGAACTGTCCGAAGCCAGTGAGTATCTCAGGCACACATGCTTTCTCTTGTATTCATGTCATTAGCTTTTAGTTGGGGAGGTACAGGAACATTGGCAAAGGTGATGACTACCACACATGGGTTGAGATGCAGGGCGACCCGTCAAAAACAAATGTGTAGGGATAGGAAAGTTGTGTTGTGGTGAACTTGGAGAAGGATGTAAAAGGAGTTTAGAACGTGAAAATTGCAAGGTTTAAAGTAGTTGACAAGATGATTTTATTGGATCGTAGATCGCAGTCTCGAAGAATCGGACATCCCATCCCTCATCCCCTCAAACCCCAGCCCAGCCCAACCCCCCCTAAACTCCCTGCCCCCTTTACACGATGAGGAAAATCTTGATCTTAGAACGTGGCTGTTGACAATTCGACTCATGTCACGGATGCGTGAGCCTCAAATTGGACATCACTACCGAGGTAATCAGGACAATGATCAACGATACAAGGGTAATTAATTCCTCTGGCCAAGAAGCGAAAGGTGTTTACTAACCAAAGGGGAATTGCGGTCAACAACAAGCTCGCCGAAAATGTCCCCAGCCCCTAACCTAGACAAATAAGAACACATCAAATGACCCATGGACTCGGATGGGATCGACGCCACCGGCAGTGGATCCATGTTAGCGTGTCGATCTGCGGCCTTGGTGGGTGTTGGCACGGGCACTAAACCAGGACTGATTGACAGGGAGATTGCCAGATGCGGAGAGTTTGCCATGAAGACTTGGTCTTTGGAATAGTTCGCTGCGTTGATCAATATTTTATAGCAAAATTACAACGGGGCAGGAGATGAGGTAGCGTCTAGGCCATGATCGTTTCGCCGCAATAACGCCTATCGTCAGGCAAGAGTTTGCAGGCACATGGACGACCGGAATAGATGTATAAAAGACTGTCTTCCCGCGGTCGAAGTGGCATGATTTCTTTTACATCCCACACTCTCACATCATTCGCTCTCGTCGCTCATTTCGCAACCAACTACTTGACATTCTTTAATTCTGCTTTTTAATCCAACTACTTGCTTTTAATATCATCCACCTCTCCATACCTAATACCGACACAATGAAGTTCTCCGGACTCCTCGCTGCGGCTTTCGCCTTCACTGCCTATGCCTCGGTCATCCCTGCCCAGGCTCCTCCTGCTGTTGCCGATGTTGGCCACTGCCTTGACTGCACCGTCTCCGCGGTCTTGACCACCGTCACCGACCTCAAGGCCACCGTCGACAAGGAGTTGGTGTCCATCAGTACGCGCACTCCCTTCTTAACATCCGTTGCCACCCCTTTGAGACTCATCTTGTACTAATCCATCCATTGCAGCCGCGCTTGTTGGCGCCGGCGACCTCACCGTCGACGTTGTCGCTGAGGTCAAGGCCAAGATCGTCTCCCTCACCGCCGAGGTTGAGGTTGTAGTCAACACTGTCCTTCCTCTCGTTGCCGGTATCGATGTTGCTCTTGCTGTCGGCGACCTCCAGGTCCTCCTCAACCTTGTCGTCGAAGTCACTGCCCTCGTTTCCGGACTTGAGAAGACTCTCGCTGGCCTCGTCGTCTCCCTCGGTGATGGTACGTCTTAGGACCCCGGTCCCATAATGCGATCAGGGGAATTGCTAATATTCCATCTAGATGTCGCTACCCTCACTGTCGATCTCGGCCACATCCTGTACGCCGTCAACTGCCTCCTCACTGCCGTCCTCAACCTCGTCTTCAGCATCGTTGGCTCTGTCACCGAGTGCGTTCCTCTCGTTGGTGAGCTGCTCCAGGCCGCCAACGGCCTCCTCGCTATTGTCAATGGCCTCCTCACCGGCACCCTTGCCGAGATCTTGGTCGCCGTCCACTTGTAAGGGAATGGATACGTGGTCGAATTGAATTGAGGGCTCGGGAAGCTTCTTTGTATAATATTAGCGTCGAGTGGATTGTCACGGATGACCAATGCCAAACTAAAACCGCAGAATCGCGCGGTGGCGTGGTCGGATGCAACCTGGCAGACAAGCTTTAGCAAGTTATAATAATTCATGCATACCCCAACACCCATCTTACAATTATCGTGAGCAAGTGTAGGGAATCGTCCAGACTAAAGGCGGTTCTTCGTGAATTCCCTGTCCCCGCCCCCAAACCATCGCCTTTATCAAATCAGGCGTAGTTAATATGCAAGTCTTGGAAAATAAAGCGAGAAAGATTGAAAACGATGAACCGCCCGACCGCATGATGTCATTCCAATATAATACATTCAATGTGATACAGGACCCAAGGTCGCCTCCATCTCACTCCTCCATTTGCCCCATAGGTCCCTTAATGGCTGTGGTCCCGTCTTCCAAAGTTTCTCATGTAAACTGACAACTCCATTCTCCACATCTCGCGATGAGGGCCAAGTCGAAGACCACTTCCAATCTAATTCCTTCCACGGCATCGGCCCAGGTTTCGCATTTTCGGGACACTCGGACGAGGATTCCCTCGCCTTCTGGCTGACGTCGCATCGCCGAAAAGCGTAGTTTAGAAGGCTTTGCTCCATCGTGTGAGGGTCGAATCGGCGGTAATGACCCATGACACTAAGGAGGTATTCGAAAACTTCTTGTGATGGCGCCGCAAGCCAAAATCCGGCGCTAAATGACCCCGTCGTCTTGGCAGGGTCAGGTGGCACAGGGTGGTCGCGCTCACCTGTGAATTGGTGATCCGAGGATGCCATAAAGACGTATTCGGCAGGCAAATCAGCTTCATCGCCTTTCCTATACGTGAAATTCGTCTGCGAGGGATTTCTACTCGCGTCGGAGTTGAAAATGTCGTCCAGCGGCGAAAGCAGCAGGGTATCGGCGTCAAGGAAGAGGACGCGCGAGTACTGGGTCAATTGCAATAAGCGCAGCTTGGTGAACTGGTCTTTCCACCGGGTCACCCCTGTCCTGATCCACCACCTAAGAGGCAGATCTTCTATTTCGACGACTTTTGCGCCATCGACCTGGAGCTGTTCCCGTTTCCAGGGATCCACCTCGCTGGTAACTGCCACGATGAAATCGATTTTCTCCATATTCTCGTCCCGGAGTCGCGTCTGTTGGGCATGAAGGACTTGGTAGGTTAATATGCGACAGGCAACGAAATAGTCGTCTTCTTGCCGTTGTGAAGTGTCGCTGCCGAGGAAGGTTACGATGGCAAAGCGGGAGGTGTGGTCTAATGAGGAAAGGCGACCGTAGTCTGGGCTGTATGGGCGCTGGGAGGGATTTAGGTAGATGTATAACCCGGACACGGCCACCAGGAAGACGACGAAAATGCGCAAATAGCGCCCTACTGGGCGAGCACCCATACAGGCGTAAGGAGGATATTAAAGGAAAAGCGGACAGAGGAAACGAGAGTACTGGAATTGTTGAAACGTGAGGTTGAAGGGGGACAAAACGACCAACGTCGAGAGTTGTCACTGCGCACGTGTCATGTATCGGTTCATCAATTGATCTCTAAAATCTCAGGCATTATTTATGACCAAGCTTTGTGCTGTCATCTTGAAATTGTTTCAAACGAAATGCTACCTTGTACAACATTCAGGGGTCATATCCTCCTGTGGCGCATGAATTACCCCTTTTCAATCAAATCAAATTCTTGCACGACGAAGGATTGAGAAGCATAATTCTACCAGGTGCGTTTTCCTCTTGACCTTGGAAGACCAAATTGAACTTGGCGGATTTGAGGTTCTTGCTGTTGGAGTGATCAGAAAAGCTATGGGGGCGGGCATGTATTTTTCTTCATTTGAGTTTTGAAAATAGGTGGAAACAGAGGGGAGAAGGAACCGGTTTGATCCGGGGTAGTATCGGAATTCGGTCTATCCTTTAATCCGTCTCATGCCGCGTTCGACGGATAAGTCAAAACCCCTGCCCACCGGGCACCCCTCTAGCTAGCCAATTCTGTTTTGCAGGATAATTATGCAATCTGTATTTCTGTACTTCGTATACCATATGGATTGCGCATAATTACGCTTAAAAGCGAAAGTGGCCGGGTCTTGACTTAATTACAGGGGAGAATCGGAGGTGAAGCCAAGTTTGGAAGAAGGTGGTGAATTATTATTAGTGCGTGAATATCCAACAAGCCAGATCATTGCCACTGTGAGTGAAGCGTACGAAGAAGTTGGAGTCTTTCGCACACCAGTCCAATCCCCCAGGTCCCATTCTAGGTGGGTCCTATCGTCTGCAACTGCGTTGGACGATTCCTCCATGCCGCTCCTTCATAAACTAGATTTAGTTCGCGCTCCATGCATGGTTACTAATACAAAAAGAGTCTCGGGGATTCGGACCTCTGATCCCGGTGTCCCACACACCCTTTTCGTTCCGAAGGTAAGCGAACCTGGACAAGTAGTACCTCTCGCCCACGAAGTAGAGTCTAGACTGGGAACTTGAGAACTTGGAATAGGACAAGAATGATTTCCGCTAACTAATTTATCGACATTTTCTGCCTTGAAAGATTTCCGGGGAAGGCAACAAAAGGAAGTGGTGGCTGGCGGGGGGAGGGGCAAGTGAAGGGAAGGGGTCCAGATAATCACTAATCGCAAGTACAGCTCTGAAGTACTTCATAATTCATCATCATGTAATTAACACCTATGGAAAATAAGGCACCCTTTTGGCTTGACTTCAGGTTGTACAGAGTACGTTGTACAAGAAATCACACGACATCCCTGCCGAAGTTGGCGAAGAGCAGCCCATCCCACTCTTGGCGACTTGGCGACTTGATCATCCTTTTACCACAATCCGACAATGTGTTGGCGCTAAACGACTCATCTCGACATATGCATACAACATTAATGTCCTGCTGGCGGAGTGTCATCCCAACTCTTGGCGGGTGAGACTCGGTCAACCCCCCTCTTTAAGGTTCGCAGCTCCTTCTCCTCTTTCAGTAGGTTGTACGGCCGTGGTGGTCCTCTGGCCCCTGAATCCTCCTACTTTATCTTCATGCCCGTCATCATCTGGTGTGCACGCATGGTCCTTCGTGAAGTTTATTGGCTTGGCTTGGCTTGCTCAATCAGGAAGCTAACTACACTTTCCAATTCGTCCCGTTCCGTCCCCACACAGCTCGTTAACAGTTCTCCTAAAACCTTGGACAGACCGCCCTTCCACGATCTGCCTTCATCCTATGTAATCGTGTAGTTAAACAGGACCTGCCGTTCACGCTCACGTATAATTGGTGGTTGCAACGCGAGGCTTTTCAGAACAGCTCATACTCATCGTGCTCTTACATCTTTTATCGTAATATCGAGCATATCCTTGTGGATCCGAGAACCAGCACCTTTGGTTCTAGGAATGGCAAGACTACAGCTCTAGTATCTTCATCTTGCGTCGCCCAAAGCTTTCTTTAAGGCAGACACCATGCGGGTTAAGTAGGGAGGAGAGACCAAGCACCGTGTAACGTATGACCGAGGCGCAAGGCACAGGCGGCGCAGCTCCTCCAAAAGTACAACCATATAACTCAGAAGTTCCGTGCACTCCGCGGTCCGTCGGAAGATGACTATTGCCTGGAAAAGTACCCTTGAGGCCATCTCTCTGCAGCAATATCAAGTAGAACTTGGAGCGATTATGCGACGGTGGTATGGCCAAGACGTAAGCCATCGATACAGAATCAATAAATACGACTCTAGGTCGTAAGTCGCGCACATTTTAGGATCCTTCAGATTGTAATTTAGCCAATGTCTTCGAAAATGCCCATCACGCAAGGTAAAAAGTGAGGCCCGAGGACCTGCAGTAAGCATCTATCTCGGCTCAGCAAGACGTCGCCCACCGGCGTAGTAGCAAGAGTGCAAGGGCAAGTCATGCGTCCTATGCAGCCTGTGATCCTTTAGGAGGATGACCGCAGAGCCCAGGCATCCGAACTCCATCCCATCTTAACCCAAGGTCGCCCTAGCCCAGGGAGACGCAGTGAGAACGGCGGGCTGCCCCATTCAAGTATAAAATACCTTCGGAAGCCCTTGCCCGCCTTCGTTAAATCCTCACTAACCTTTCTCCAAGCCACTCAAAGTTTCTGATATTGAACGATTATCTTGAATCATGCTTGTCCACGCAACCACAGCCCTCCCCCTTCTTGCTGGCCTTTTGGTATGCTAATATATCTGCCCCTAAGCCAATCTGTTTACTGACTTTGAAGCTGCAGGCTCAGACACTTGCTGCTCCCTCCCCGGGACAAGCCAACCGCCAATCAGTCGCGGCTGTGCAGAAATCATCAGACCTCCAAGCACTGAGCGTCGATGACGGCTCAGGCATGCAATGGACCGGAAACATCTTTGAAGGAGAGGAGCCCATTACCCTCTACGGCACAGCAGAGGTACGTCGACCTACCTGGACATTCGCTTGATGTGATTACTAGAATGGGTTCTCATTATTACTTTACAGCAAATCTACGACGCCATTATCAAGGCCAATCCCAACTTCTCTGGCGCTGATGTTTCCGACGCCGAGGCACGCATTACCCCTAGAGACATTCTGACCAAGAGAAATCAACTTTCTTGCGCAGTCATGGCAACCGCCGGTCACTATGACGCAAAGGTTCGTCTGCTTTTACAGTTGCCGGCGTTGTGTAATCGTACGTGCAACGCGCTAACCGTATCGTTTCGGGTTTCTTTAGAATGCGGGTAATTACCTTCGGTCACTTCGTGGCATGTGCGGTGCCCCCAACAAAGAATGTCGCCGTATGACTTGCCAGAATACAAGCGCGTCATATATCTGCAGTGTAAGTGACGAATTTTTCTATTTCTTTCCCTTCCTTGATGCTTTCCTTTTCACTTGCTTCTACTCAAGGATATTTCCTTGACGCTGGGTTGGCTAATGGCGTTCGTTTCCCGCCCTTAGGAATTCTCTGATGGTACGAGCATCTTCTGCGCTACGGCGGCAGATCAGGTCTATTGGATCGAGGGCACTTGCTGCAAGAATGGAAACGGTGTCTCTGGCCACTCCTACGCCGACAACCGAGACTACAGTGTCTGGCTGGGCTACGGAAACTGCGGGCACTCCTCCAGTTCGCGCCCCTCGTCCTATCCGTACCCGGGCGGCAGTCCCAATGGCCTCTGCTATTCATAGACCGAATCAAACCTGTCGGGTTTTGCCTTCCCCTGTATTGTTTCTTTGATTTCCCCTTCCCATATCCATATTCTAGTTTCCACCAGTTTGCCAATGAGTCAGGGGTACTACATATAGGGCCAATCTTACTACCGGCGTCGCCATACCTCTATCATCATGGCTGGTAGGCCAGCTAAACAACGGATGGTGAGGAAAGCTAAGATTCGGAAGAGATTGCTGCGCAAAAAAACATCAGCTTTTTTCTTAACTTTCTTTTAGAACTTTGTGAAATACTTCGGCCAATAAAAGCCCCCATGCCTCCTCATTGTTTGATCTTTATTAATATTACTTCGTACTGAGAGCTCAGGTAGACTTGCTAGTGCCGAGAGGTGGCAACTGTCCGAGATGGGCATTAATGGGGGTAATCCCGGGGGGCGACGGAGCGGCGGCAGCTGCAGTGGCTGGTTTTCAACAGACCGTCGCTAACGTCGGATACCATTCCAGAAAGGATATTCTATAAGAAAGCACACCCATCGTCAGATAATTCTAAGAGCTTTCCTCTATCTGTTCCCCACGTGGGGGACAGTGTTTGATGACGCCACTCGACCACGTCGTGAGAGGCCGAGGCCCTTGATGGTCATCCACCTGCTTTGTTACTCTGTTGTCAGGTGTCCTTTCTATTCAGGTATGCCTCTCCCGACCCCAGTCACTCAGGCGTGGCTTGCCAATTTCTGTATCCAAGCTGAGCGCACCGGCTACCAACGTTGATGCAATCTTTTCCTTCGTCGTGTAACTTGTGCCAATGGGGTCTGAGATATGAAGAACTGGGTTCTAAAGAACACTTAAAGAATCTCGGTAGCCCAATTTAGCTTCCGCCAGCCAACGGCTACGAACTATCGATGTAGCACCCCTACCCCAGGCGGAGCCGAGCTTCCGCCTTTCGGTAGCCAGACTTTCTCCTTGCATTGGGATTGTAGCTATTTCGGATCCTGTTTCTAACTTGAGCTATAAGGATACCGGCCCACAGCAGGAAAGATTTCGCAAGAGGGATTCTGTAGAATCGTATGCGCGAAACATAAAATAGCGACCCCCACCTTCACTATTTCCCACCTGAATACGTTTTGGAGTCTTCAGTACAGCCCATGTATGCGACATGTCGAGTCCATCCGGGTAGTTCTAAATTCTGGACGGATGTCCGCTTGCTGGTCAGGGACTTCTATGTGCATCGATGGGATATTCTACTAAGTTTGAAGAATTATATTTGAAAAAATACACAATTACTCAAGCGAGTACCACCCACATTATGTCTTGACTACTGTTTTCTCCTTTTCTCGTGACCCATCTTGACTAACGTCGTCTTCTCCCTCGATCACGAGGGTCTCCTCTGTAGCACGCGCCTCGCCATCCTCACCAAGGCCCCATTCTTGCACTTGCGGATGCGTATTCACGTAATAACGCAGTGCCAAAATGGCGATAATACTGCCGACGGCGAAAGCAGCGGAGAGCGGGAAACCGATAGGGTACCGCGGGGAGTCGCTTACTCGCCAGGCGCGCAAGGGTATCGTCGCGTGGCCCGTGTAAACGAGGCAGACGGCAAGGGCCACGAGCACACCCCGGACCTCGGGCTCCTTGCGGAGGATATCGCCAAGCCATGCGACGAGCGTATACCCCCAGGCTGCAGTCGAGAATAAGAGGAAGTAGAAGGCCATAATAACCTTCCAGTCTGATGGCCAGGCAGACAAGACGGCGGTTGCAAGCAGCTGGACCAGTGCTGAGCCGATGGAAACTTGCCAACGCCAAGCCTTCCAGTCACTCAGGGCGTTCAGCCCCAAATTACAGACCATGCTGATCGCGTATCCTCCGAGAGGGATGAGATTCACGGTATACACCGAATATCGGGGCGTTCCATCCGACAACTTCAAACCCTTGAGGAAGAGCAGAAAGTACGAGTTTGCGCGCTGGCTCCAGGCAAACTGCAGGTACGCGAGGAGGAACAGCCACGTAATAGGCGTCTTGACTAGGAGTTTCAATTTTTTGCCGAGGGTCTTAACCTTGATAATTTCCTGCGTCGTCGTCCCGCAGTCTGCCATCCGCTTGCGCGCCAGCTCCCTCTCTTCGAGCGTCAAGTAGATGGCCCGCGTGTTGGCGGGCGAATCGGGGATGACGACTAGGCCTACAAGGCCCCAGGTGATTGTGATGGTTCCGGAGACGATGAAGAGCCACTGCCAGCCAGGCTTTCCCAGGACGCCGTTAAGGTTATTGTATAAAGCAGCTTGGAGGATGCCGAGGAACATGTTTCCGGCGACACCGCTGATTCCGAAGAATGCAAGGCGCTTTCCGAGTTCTTCGGGTTTATACCTATTAGGGATTGGCAGCGCACTGTTAGTATTCCGCGTATGCAACGTTGTAAACTTTCCTTTTTTGTGGAAAGCGAATGACGAATGATTCTGAGAGCGACGAACCAATTAAAAATGAGGTTCGCGATGCCGGGCCACGACGACGACTCAAAAACCCCGAGGAAGAACCGCAGGATGAAGACGGTCTTTGCGTTCTTCGCCCTGTATGTGAAGAGCGTGAATACGCCCCAGATGACCTCACACCACGGTAGAAAGAGAGACGGACGGATCTTGGTCTGGAATAGCATGGCGGGAACGATGAATATCGCGTAACCGATGGAGAAGTAAGTGTTGAACTCTACGAGCTCATTGCCGTAGAGGCTGAGGTCCTCTTTCATGCCGGAGACAAATGCGGCAGTGGTGGCAGACTGGTCCATGTCCTACAAGTATGATGTTAGTACATAGGGGAGCGTCTCCGAGATAGGACATACTCCGAATACTTGCCTTGAAAAGGCCAGCGATAAAGGCCCAGATAAGCAGAAGAAAGTCCAGCTTTAAGAGCATGACATGGGACGGGTCCTTGAAGTATGGGTGCACTTTCGCAAGCCATGAATTCGATTCGGCGATTGTAGCCGCCAGGGAACTTTTCGTGGACGTTTCGACGACATCCTTGGAGGCCGAACCTCTGGGTTCGCGTGCCGGCGACGACATGTCTTTGCAATTTATTTGCTATTACCCTCGCCAAAGTCGAAGAAAAGGAATCCGACTTGGATTTGGACAGCTTCACGGCCAGAAAGCCAGTCTGGAATTGCCCTCCATGTTATATTGACCTTGCCATGAGCTCGGACGTCCTTGGAAGCAGAGCTTTCTGCCTCCATTGCAGGGCTCGAATAACGAGATTAACCCCGTCAATGACTCAATGTCGTATAAGTTGGTGTCTTTTTGCCTCCCGACCGGCCGTATGGAGACCTGCCGAAGGAAAGTCGGGCAAAGTCCGACATTTCCAAGGAAATAGGCCATTATTGAAATCTAACGTAAAATTCTCTTCTCTCAGCTCCGTTTTTAGTATGAATTTTGAGGGGTAACTGCTCCCTTCTGGGGCCGCCAAGGCCTGTTCGGCGATGTTGTCTTGCATCCTGGAAATGGTGTTATCGGCGGCCTTTCGCGACAAAATTTCCTTTTCTGGTAAATTTTTCGCACGAACCCGACCCCGCTGGTTTTAGCACTCACTCGCGAGGATATTCACGGAAAATGTGTGGAGAGCACGAGCAGACGAGATGGCATAAATACTCAGCAAGTAAGACCATCTTGATATCAGTAAATGCCGTCTACAAGTCAATCAGTCTATCTTGAGCCTGAATACCTCGAACATCACTTCCGGTGCCCGTGAAATTCGAGCAATCAGATACCCTGCAACCCTTCCTCTGGAAGGTGACATCGATCTCGCAATGCCGTCTAAGCCGCTCTATCCCGCCTATCTTCCGACGCGCCCCGATGGACCTAGCGTGCCCATCGCAGTGCCGTTCTTCGAGGCTGACGAGCCAGCCCGCCGCGCGAATCCGGCGAAACCGTCCCTGCTCAAGGCAGGGGTGACTGCAATTAATGTCACTCCACGCATCGGGACCGAGATCCGCGGCGTCCAAATAAGTGAGCTATCGAAGGAGGGTCTTGACGAGCTCGCTTTGCTGGCGGCGGAGAGGGGGGTGGTTGTGTTTGTAAGACCTGGCGTTCTTTTTTCTTTTCAACTTAAAAATACATCTAGAATTATAGACTAACTCAATCCGGTTGCTGTCTGCTCGGTTAGAGAGACCAAGATTTTGCCGATATTGGTTTCGAGCGACAGCTTGAAATCGCGAGGCATTATGGTCCTCTTCACAAGCACCCTACCATGGGATTCCCCAAGGGTACCAGCTCTGAGTTCCACGTTGTCTATGCTGATGAGAACTCGTAAGCATCCGCATCCCGATTATATTCCCTCCTCCCTACTTCTATGCCGACCTCAGGTGCTAAGACGATACTTCCAGGGGAAACCTCCGAAGTCTTCTGGGGCCGCGCACAACCTACGACCTCTGGCACATTGACCAGACATTCACAGCCAACATCCCCTCAACCACCTTTTTCTGGGTCCTCGAGATTCCCGAAGCCGGTGGTGGCGACACGGCCTTCGCTTCCCTGACCGCTGCCTACGAGGCCCTCTCGCCCGCATTCCGCGAGACGCTTCATTCCCTGAAGCTGCGGCACACTTCCGCTTCTATCGGCGAGGTCCGCCGCGTCGGCGCCGAGCGCGCATACGCGGAAGCCATCAATGCGACGCACCCCCTCGTCATCAAACACCCCGTCACGGGAAAGCCGTCCCTGTTTGTCAGCCCTACGATCGCGCACGCGGTGGACGGTTTCTTGCCCGAGGAGTCGGAGGCCCTGCTATCGTTTTTGAACAATCACATCCGGAGCCTGGACTTCGGTTGCCGGTTGAAATGGGAGAAGGGCTCGGTCGTGATCTGGGACCAGAGATCGGTTGCCCATACCGCTATTCCAGATTTCAAGGATCATGAGAGGAGGCATATGGTGCGGATGATCCCGTATGGTGTTAAGCCGGAGCCGTATTCTAAGTAGTGTGACGAGAGGGGCAAAAAAAAAAAAAGAAAAAAAAGAATTACGCCGCCACTTGCATATTTCTACTCTTATTAGTTAGATCCGGCTAGCCTCTGGCAAACATTTACTCTCCTCCTTGTTGGTATTTTGACATTGAGCTCCGCGGGGAAATACTTGGCTCTTATATAACTGAAGAGTGGTGTCTAATTCGAATTCATATGAAGCTCAGCTGCGGGTAGCCCCAAGCGTAGTCCATCACCGCATCCTCCGCCGAAGCAAGATCCGGAAACAAACCACCGTCGAACCGGCGTCTAGCGTCACCGGTAGACTTTTGATGATTCTGTAAGGCGGAAAGGTCACCCGACTCGCGCACTTCCGGGAACTCATTCAACGCGTAGGACGTTGATTTCCCCAAAACGTCGAGCATAAGCGACACGAGGGAAACCACAGTCGGGCTCACTACGTCGACGTAGCGCGATCTCGGCCGTCGACTTCGTATGCCGTCGTTCAGAGTATCGGAGGAGGAGCCGAGGGGTGGCACAAATGTCGGCGGATTCGGTACGACGGCGAGAAACTGACGGAAAATGCAGGCAGCTTTACGGGCGTTGTCCCAGCCCTCGGGAAAAGCCTCGAGGATGCTGATGACAAGCCCGACTTCGTCCCGGATTGAAAGAGGCTCGTCGTCCGTCGAAGAGGCAAACGCGTAGAGTAGAACAAACCCGACGGGGAGCATGCGACAGAGCGCAATGTGATTGAGCGGCTGTTGGCGCTGCTGAAGAAGTATGGACATCGACTGCAGGTGTTTTTGGGCAAAATGCAACAGCTCCGCAGGGGACACGCAGGACGTGAAGGAGTTGAACTGGCACGGGTAGTAAAGTGTGAGGAGCAGGTGGTAGTACCGGGCACTTAGCCAAGTGGATGCGCTATGGACAGATATGTTATCATTTCCCATTGTTGGGACCAGGGAGCCGCTGTTGTACCACGCGTCGATATCAGTTCTCAAGTCGCGGAGGATCGTCCGACGATCGGCTTCGGACATAGTTGAAATGGCCGTCTGCTTCCTATGGTGTATTTCGCTGAGAATCGTGTTCTCCAGCTGTCGTAGGCGGATTACATGGTGATTCGTCTGTAGGGTCGAGGCAAACTGTAACCTCTCGGGGGAGCTCAACTCCTCGACCGTGAGTCCCGGTAATGGCACGTCTGTGTTGGTCACCACGAGCGCAGGCGGTAATCCATGAGCCACGGCCATCATGCTGTCAATCACATAAACGCTCCAAAACAATCGATGGCGAAGCTCGGCCCGCGCAGGAGAGACATCGGGCGCTCGGCGATCCAGGCCGAGTAACATAATCTGTCGAGCAGCGACTCCCACCATAGACCAGGTGGATGATCCTAGAGGATCGAACAAAGAGTACAGAGAAAGTAACACGAGAATTTGTATGGATTTCTCGTCTCCCTTTTCCAAGCATTGTTGAACTATCACGGGGTACTGCACCGTAAACTGCGCCGACGTCCCCTTCGGAATCTGGCCAGCGCGCTCGAGCGTCGTACTCCCGATTGCCATGATAAGATACAAGAAAGTAGACTCAGGATCCTCGTAATCGATCTTCGCGTAACTATCCAAAGTTTCGAGTGTCCGGAGTACTTGCGCCCGGTTGGCCAGCGGATACGCTTTGTTGACGTTGTTAAAATAAGCATCGACAAATCTCCGAGGAGGGATTCCGGGATGGTGGAAGGCTTGTGGTCTCAAAATAAAACCACTCCGCATCTCGGGGGTCCGCGTCTCGGGGGTCCGCGCCGTCTCGAGAGCCTGGGAACTTGGAGGCTCAAGATGCGGCGTACGATCCGCATCTGAGGTGATTGCGGGAAGTGCGGTGGTGTTTGCTGGAGGAATCTCGTCAAGTGCGGATTCCAGGTCTGAAATTTCACGTATAGTGGGAGCGGGAGCCAATGAGCCAATCGGTCCGAGGAGCGCGTGCATGTCGAAATCAGGCCACGGCGGCGACGCGGTGTCCGTGGGAGTTTCCGACACGCGCGGCAGGTCACGAATGAAAGAAGCTGGGTCCGTTCCCGTCTCAACGGCCCCTATCCCAGAGGATTCGACGTGGACATAGGTGTTAACGATATCAGAGAGCCATTCAATACGGGCCCGGAGGCGCTGGAGTTCGGTGGCAGAAGCGCGGGCGCGGACGGTGAGAGAACACGGAACGCCGGCATTCGCGCAGAGCGTGCAAACGGGGAAAGTGCGGCTGCATCTCTTCTTGAACTGGCGACACCGCTCACACGCCCGAATTCCCCGAGCAGATGCCAGGTCGCTAATAGATGGTGGTCCCGGGGGCGGGCTGAATGAAGTTGACGTGCCCGGCCTATTACTGCCGGTGGAGACGGTGGATTCATCTGATAATGCCGGCTGACGTCGGACGGAGGCCGAATCGGAGAATGCCAAAGGTTCAGATTGCGGTGACGAATCCGGTCGATTAAAGGGAGAGGCCGACTCAGCCGAGGGACGAATGCGGAATCGATGAAGATTAAAACGGCTCGGATCCGACATGCTTAGCCTTTTGGGAGCCGTCTTCTTCAACGCATCATCCGATTCGCAGATCTTACAAAGATTTACTAGGAAGGAAAGTATCTGCAATCGAGATGGGGACAACCAGTCGGGATATTCCCGATATTTATTACTCCTTCAAGCGGGGGAAACCAAAACTTCCTGTTGGTGAATCCACGAAATTTCCTTTGGTGATGACGCCATCGCTGGATCTTAGCACATCCCTTCATCGCAAAATCCTTGATGGACCCTACCACCCTTGTTAGTCTGACCGCTGTTACTTTCGTAGTGGATCAGAAGTGAATTGAGGATTACTGGATGACGACTTGTTCGGAGTGTGTGCTGTGCTCCTTTTGTTGGTGCTAAACACTGAACACCGGTGTGTACCGGCGGGCGGCGTCACGGGCCTCCGATCTCCGATCGACAGTGCTTAATTTGACTTTGATCGATAGGTCTCTCACTCCGCAGCCAGGAGAACCAAGCCTCTAACCACCATCTTTGTTAGAAAAGAACCTCGGCAATCACCGGACCCCGGTCGTCCCTATCCTCGTACGGCTCAAAGCCATACACCATGCAGTAAAGGTTGGACCCGATAGCAAACTGTTCAGTTCTCGGCCCGTTCATCCCAAACGAACCTCTCTATGCCCTACCTCATCGGCGTCTGCACCTCGCACCCGAGCCCAGGCGGCCCCATTCCTGCTTGAAGGCTCGCCGACCTTCTCAATGCAATCGAAATCCGCCAGCTTAAGATGATCCCCTCCATCTAAGAGAAAGTTACTTGAGCGCAGGTCGCCGTGGACATAACTTAGAGATTCTAGCCACGCCACTGCGCCGGAGAGTTCTTTAAGCCACGGCTCTACGAGCTCAACCGGCTCTGTTCTTATTCACGGAAAGGACTTTCCCGAAAGGCCCGTCGCGAACCTAGTGTGATTTAGGCAATCGTTGAGAGACCCACGACTCATAAAGGCGAGAAAATTAGCATTTAGAAGGCGCAGGAAGCTCTGGATGACATGTGAGCAGGGCTGTTTCTCAAAGAGATCGAACATATTGTTCTCTCTAGCAAATTCTTCGGAAATCGGGATCACGAGCGTACTTCAGCGCGATGCTGTCGTTGATTTGGTATACCCATCCAATTGCTCCGCGGGAGAGAAAATGGAGGGTGGAGATTTTCCCAGGGAGACCGATTGCGTCCACTGCCATGCCTCCCCTGCCCGCCCGCCGTACGAGTTGACACAACAAACAGAGCGTTTCTCGGCACGTGGTTTGGAAAATAGACGCAAAGGAGACGGACCTGGGTCCTTCGATCGGCAGGGCTGAATTTGGCTTTAATCACAATGGTTATTTGATGGCTTTCAAACGTTGATATCAATTACCTGATAATAGCCGTGAACGACTATGTCTGGCCTGATAATAAGGGAGCTGCAGACTTGAAGAAATGGGAGGTCGTCAATTACGCAATGCGTACATGATGGAGTGGCAATGAAATGCAGCGACAGTTTAAAAATGCCCAATCACGAACAGACGAGTTGTCACGATCGCCGGGATGGTTCGAGCCGGGGGGCCAAGATAAATTCTGGTGCCCACCCATCCACGATCACAAAAGTAAAAAATACGGCTGCCTGGAGTCGATGGCTGCATTGTCGAGAGGTGGTTGGTCAACGGCCACGGGATGGATTATATCCTGCTGGTGCCACGCATGTGTGTTTATGCGAAGTACGCGAACAGCACGAAAACTCCGGGAGACCCCGCAAAGGGTCATTGGCAGCTTCGCACTCGGCCTGGAGGATATGAACCCCAGCGATTCCTGAAATCGAGGTTGATGTCCGCCCGCGAGTTTAAGGGCAAAACATCCGAATAACCAAGAGCCCTGTACACGGTAGAGTGGACGCCCCTACAAATAAATCATAGCCCAGATCTGGTATCGCGGAGAAATCATCACACCATGTCTGTCGAAACCGATGCGCAATTCTGGGACCGCCAGGCAAAATCCTACGCTAAGAAGCCGGTCTCTGACGAAGCCGGCTACCAGCGGACGCTGAACCGGACGGCTAATTTCTTGAAACCCACCGACCGCGTCCTCGAGTTGGGCTGCGGCTCGGGTTCCACGGCCCTGCGCCTCGCTCCCGCCACCGAGTCATACCTGGCGACGGATATCTCGCCGGCGATGATCCAGATCGCAAACGACAAGAACACAGCATCTCCGGTCCCGGGCCTATCATTCCGGGTGGCAAGCGCCGAGACACTGGCGACCGAGAAGACGCGGTTCAGCGCCGTACTGGGATTCAACTACCTGCATCTTGTGCGCGACCTGCCCGAGACACTACGGAGTGTGCATTCCATGCTTGAGGATGGTGGTCTGTTGATCACGAAGACCGTGTGTGTGGGACAGATGAATTTCCTCATAAAGCTGGCTTTGCCTGCCATGAAGGCTCTCAGTCTGGCGCCGAACGTGTTGTCGTTTCGCGAGGCGGATTTGGTTGAACAGATCAAGGGAGCGGGGTTTGAGATTGTCGAGAATGAGTTCCATGCGACGAAGGGCAACGATTGTCGCCCTTTTATTGTGGCCCGCAAGGTTTAGATGGTGAAGGGCGGTTTAAGGGATATTATGTTGGTGGACGAAAGCACGGCAGCATAGTGCAGGCATTCGACAATCTCAGCTAAATAGTGAATTTAATATACGAAGCGGGTCAATCTAGTTATCTCCAATGTACTGGGGAGCAACGACTAATAAAGCAGCCATGCTTGGCCCCGAAGCATCTAGACTCTGGTAGTGGCCTTCGACGGCAACCAGGCTCGTAATTGACTTAGTCCTATAATGCCGGCCGACATCTAAAGAACATACTCATAACGGCAACAAAGAGGCTGTTACTTAGATTTACAACACCTCGCGTCCAACGTCTATTGACGGGATAGTTAGGAATCTAGTATCGAATCTAGTAGCAAACAAAGTGACCCTAGAAACTCCCTCAATAACCGTCTTCGATGCTCTTCGATCTGACATAACATCAGGTCTACCAAAACAGGCACCGGGGCTGCCTCTCCGAGGCTCTCGATCCCCTCGCACACTAAGACTTGCCTGAAACACGGACCCATAGAGAGACTAGGGTATCGTACATTCTCGAAAGTCTTCAAGAACTGCATTGAACTATTCGGGTATTAGACGTCGCCAATTAATCGTCAATTGCCGTTACTCGCTACATGCCAAGCTTCTTCCTTTGCTTGCTGATCATCCTCTGCTCCATGTCGATTTCTATCCGCCGAGATCATAACAGTGCCACGCATAGGGGATCTACGCCCCGGCCACAGATTATACTTCTCTCTTCAAGTCATCAATACTCCTTGGCTAGACACCTAATGATGTTCACCGCGCCAGGTGTCTCATCCCACGAGACGAAATTGAAGCTAAGCACCAAACAAGCCTCCTCCCGCGTTTGATGAGCATAAGGTTCGTTAGGCCTAGCCGCCATGGCAGCGTAGCCGTCCTCCAGCATCGCTGGCCAGAAGGACGGATTATAGGTCCTGATCCCTCGGAAAATCTGTTTCAGTTGGGCCTTGATGGTTTTGATATGGCGCGAAACCTCGTTCGTGTCGGCCCTGAGGAATCGGGCAGATACTGCACGGCTTATAACGTGACTGCGAATGATGTCGATGATCTCAGGCGGTAGACTGCTGCCCCGGAGAGCTCTGGTGACATTTTGCATGGCTACCAAGTCGAGCAGGACGTGGATTTTGATGAGGCTCACACACATGGCGTGGCTGAGGCTGAGGTACTTGCTCGTCCATCTCTTCACCGGGGCCTCGAGAACATCGGCATCCTTGACATCTAGAAACGGCAGGTCTATATTTGACCAGTCATAATCCATCTCCTCACCAGTAGTCCCATACCATTTCATAAAATCATACGCGTCCTGATCCCTGCCGAGGCGGATGTATAGGGCGGGAATAGAATCCCGCACACCCATATTGTCGGAGCGGCAGAGTCGGATCATGTCTAATAGGTGGTCGAGGCAAGTCTGGACAACCTCGACGGGGGCTCCGGCACCGCCAAAGTTCATGAGGAGCTTATCGACCAAGCCATAGCGCGCCCGCATGTAGGGACGCGTCTCCATGTAGCCCCAAAAATGGCCGACGGCATTCTCAAAGAGGTTAGGCGGCGTGAGAAAGTCGCTGGGTAACTCTCGCAGGTTCGTCTCCTCCTGGTCAAGTTTGGCGCGGGCCTTCTTGACTATTGTGCATGCCTTCTTGTGGGAAGGGCGGTCAGAAGTCTGGTGGTCACGACCGCAGTAGTGGACCGCCTGGCAGGCGGAGCAGCGCATGAGGCCATCTTTCTTGTGGCAGACGGCGCAAGCCCGGGGTCTTGGCCCGGAGATCTCTGGTGGTGACATGAGTGGCGACATGGTATGTTTGATTGATGGGGCTTTCTCTGGAGAGATCAACGGAGAAATTGTCGGTGAACTGCCGGTCAGCTTCGAGACAGTCCCAAAATCGGGAGGCGGCACTGTGGCCCCTGTCGCGTGCTGATTCAGGGCAAGCGCTACCAAGAGGGGGGAAGCCGGTAGATGCCGCCCCACCAAAACCTCAAGTGAGGGCTCTTGTTGGGCCGGAGTTTATCTTGACAGTGCCAGGACCACGGATCGAGATGCATCAGTCTAATGATATTCCACAACTTCAATAATACTTGGTACTAAAAGAAAGATGCTAAAAAAAAAATAACAAATCGACAAATGAAAAAGGACAAAAAGAAAAGAAAGGAAAGGGGAAATGAGAAAAATATCGTGAATATATAAATATATATATATATAGAAAGAAAGAGAGAGAGAGAGAGAGAGAAAGAAAAAAATTGAGAGCACATCCGCACCTTCCCAGTCAGAAGAGACACCCAAAAATACAAAATTACAACCCATGATGCTCCAGGCCGGATCTCATGATCTATCTTGTATTACTCCGAGGTTCGGTCATACCACCTAGAAAATGCTGATGACAATTTTACTTATAGAACCAGTATAGCAAATATTTCTCCATGAAAACGTGTTTCTCAGAAGGTAGTGTGATTGGAATGTTGTGATCCCGAGATGCCACCATTGTTGAAAAATGCCCTCCTCGAAACTAAGAATAACAGGACAGGCCTAACGAGACATCTAACAGTTTCGTGACCCAATAGTGAAACAGAACTAAGAGCAATAAAACGAAGGATCTGTGGAGTCGAACTTGGAGGAACATCCTCTCCTACCGTTCACCACTTTGCCGCAATTCTAAAACCCCTTTCTTGCCCCTCCTCAACCCATCAATGAGATCGTTCCTGGCCTCCCCTTCCATTTTACTACAGACGTACGCTTTGCCAATAAGTTTGTAGTAAGGACTTGGGACTGGCTCGATCTCCCACGGGATGACAGGCACGCTACTGTTATATTAGAGAATACAGACGTAGTCCCCCGCCTCAACGTCTGGCGGACCGAGTCCGAAGAGGTCCTCATAGTTATGGGTCATATTTGACTCTCGCGTTCCCTCGCTTTCTTCCTTTCTTCACCGTTTTCGTCGTCTTGTTCCTAGTCCCCGTTGTCGCCCTTGGAGCTGTCAGGGTGGGTATCGTCACCGTCACACTCATCATTGTCTCCGGAGCTGCCTCTCTCAGATACACCAGCTTGGGACTGGCTCGTATGGCTGGTCTTCTCGTCTTGCGCTGCGCCGTCGGGTGTGTCAACCATTTTCTCGGGGTCCAAAGCTAGGTCCTTGGCCGTCTGATGGCCGTCTGAATCTTCGCTCTCGTCCAGCTTCTGGGCGTCGGTATCCCCGTTCTTGTTCGATTTCTGATTCATCGTCGCAGCGAAGAATCTCCGGTTCCATGTCACGTTGCGCACTCGGGTGAGATCCTCGCATGGCATCTCGGAATGGCCTCGGAGAATCTCGCAAACATTGAGATCGCCATTGTTAATAAAAGTGTCAGGGATCTCCAAGCATCGCAAGCAAGCTAGCCGGGGCCAGGTTGGATGTAATTGACCCGAGAGCTGCGCAGGGAGGAAGGAGGAGGAGACATTTAAGATCAATGATGTCTTATTCAGCAAAACAAGCTCAAGACTGGAGACTACGCGATAGACTGTAGCGACCTGCCATTCCGGCCGTTCATCCGGCGTCGAAACCAAGGTAGATCTACTAACCAGAGGACTATCGACGTTAGAGAGTGTAGCAGGTGAAGCATCGCTATGAAGCTGAAGTCTTCTCGTGTCCTGGCCTTTGAAACTTGACTAATTAGTAGATTCGCGGTCAGTTTACATTTTGAGAAAGATTGCAATGATATGAACCGCCTACCGTAGAAAGCCTTGCTGAACCAACTTGTCTCCTTCTCGACCCTCACATCCTTCTGCTTGGCACCAGTGATGATACTACCGGTCATTTTTCCTTCATCGCTTCGTTTGGCAATCCGAGAATTGACGTACTCCAAGCTGTCCCTGCCTTCGCTTTTCTCGAAGTTACAGCGTTGGTTGAGCCCGGTACTCTCCCTAGGCCTTCCGGCATGCCCATTGGGACTGTAGTCACCTGGTGGTCGGCGTGTTGTTATACACAAGATATACCAAACCGACGCTTTTCCATTAATAATACTTGAACTAGATCCCCTGAGGGTCGGTTTTCCAGCACACTGGGGCGCCCACCATAGTTCCTTTCATGCCATCGGGGGCCCGCTTTCCCAAGCGTTTTCTTCATCACCCTAAGAAAAATATATTCGGACTTCTATTCCCATTATCGATTATCCGAGGCATTTCATACCTCGAGTCGTTCCCTTCGGGCACTTCGAGAGCTATGCCATCAATGGGGCTGAGCCGGAGCTAACCCAATGTTTCACATTGACCATTCTGATTGGTTTAGGTCAAAACATTGACCACTCTGATTGGTCTAGGCCAAAATCTGGGAATGAGGTACATAGATACACAAGATGACTGCGAGAGAGATGCATTTCTGCGCCTCGGGAGACGTCAGTGCAAGCTTGGGCACTTTGCTCCTTGTTTGGTTGGTCAATGCCGGAATCCGAGAGACCAGCCTGAGTCTCCAAGCGTATCTGTACACACGATTCGTGGAAGCCAGAATCCGAGAAATAATGCTTGCTCATCTGTTGACAAGGTCCAGGATCCTGCATGTGCAAGCTGGGCGGATAAATATCCTTCTGCTTCATTGCCACGCAATGTTGTTCTCATCGCTATCCGGGAACCTGTCTTCAGTATTTACGGTTCTCTGTCCTCAACGACGGGACGTACATATCCCTTTCACCCGCCCGTACAATTATTAGTGATATCAGGCATCTTCAATTTGCGTTTCGCTTGTCAAGTCACAGCCCTTCCTGCATCAACATATCAATAGAGCCTTCCTCCTCCTTGGCTATGGAGCTTTCAGTCGAGGCTATTGTTGCTATCATCACACTCGCGGTTGGACTTCCGCCCACTCTCGTCATCATCTGCACCTACTCTCGGCACCTCCGACGGAAGAAGCTCATGTGTAAGTCACATCTATCCGTTTGAAGGAATAGCCCCTGATTCGAGACATCATCAGGCCAGCGGCCATCCCCGATCCCTCACGGCTCGTCCCCTATCCATTGGTCCTGTATTACGATCACTACTGTACATATCGGGCTGGAGAACGGGAATCTCCTGCCGCCGGTATAAGTAGAGAGTCGCTCTTGTGTTCTGCTCTTGGTCAGATGCCAAAAGCAAACTTTGTTCCGGGTCGCAAAGGAATCTGGGCTACGCGAGTTATGATGGGCCGTTGGCCCTACGGGAGTGAGCAAGCCGGCACAATCATTCTCGCTCCTGCGTCCTTCTTTTCCTGTGCCTTTGAGATAATGTGCATTTTGTTGGCTGGGGGAGTCCTGCTAGCATTTGCATTTAGACTTGTATAATGTTCGGCGCCGCACGAGCAAAGGCAGGGATCAAGATATGGAGGAGGATACGACACGGGACAAGAGAATGGTAGGACGTCCCGGCGGGAAGGCAAGGAAACATGTACTGCTGACGTAAAAACGATCTTTTGCGGGATCGAGAGGTTGACTGATGCCATCCAGGCTACAAACGAGATGTTACTACTAGCCGTCGAAAAAGTGATAGGAGGATTTTGAATATTTTGAATCTCCGATAGATAACTTGGATCGTCTTTACTATCATTTTCTGCCCCACATCGCACCAAATCGCCTCAACGCAGCGTTTGTTTGCCTGCGAGAAGAAGATCGCAGGTTTGTTGAGAGCTGATTTGTGTCGACGACATTTCCGACCTTGCAGCCCTGCGTCATCTGCGGGAGGACGGCGGCTGATGGGTTTACCACAAAAATAGGGCGTGCGGAAAAGGGCCCCTCCTTGAGCTGAGGGGGAGAGTTAGGGATTTTGGAATGAGCCACACGGGCTGCAAAGGATGCGGTGTGGCTGAGAGGTGCTTGGACTCGACCAGTCAGAGCGAGCCAAGCTTGCAAGCAAATGCTACACAACGAGGACTTCGGATTTTGGTAAGAGCCAATCAAGTTGACCAAGTTGTGGCGGCCAGGCAGGATGCTGTGTCCCTACATTTCTTTAGAAATTCCATTCGTCTGCTATTTCCCCTCATCCAACTTTGTTTCCCTTTCTTCTTTACTAATCTGATAGATTTGCTGGTTTTACTGATATTCCTGTGCTACTACTCCTCGTTCAAATATCGAGAGGAACCATGACCCGATCAAAGGCGGTGGCTGAGGAAGACTGGCAGTGTCGAAAGGCTCTGATCCGCCGCCGAGTCCTTACGGATAATGTACCGTCCCAGCAGCTCCTAGGTGAACTTGCCGATTCCGGTCTTCACGCAACGTATGTCGAAGGAAAATTCCAACCGAAGTTTCCTCTTTGCTAATATGAACCGCAGGAAGAAGCAGCTCGAATATCGATTGAAAAAATGGGGATTCATGCGCAATATCCCCAGACGAGGATGGATCTATATTGATCACAAAATTGCCAAAAGGAGGCGAGCAGGAAAACCGAGCGCGGTTTTCTATTGTTCCGCTGAAGTGCAGGCTCCCAAGATCGAGAAAGAGACCTATCGGAATCGAGATACTTCGGTCCTCGCGCGGTTTCAAAACGGTTTGTGTACGGCCACCCTAATTCTTCGCGACCAACGCTAAGGACTAGAAGCTCCAAGTCCGAAAACACCGCCAGACCTCGATATCATCGTGTGCACTCCTCCATCGCAGGAAGCAGTAATTGGCCGGTTTCCGCCAAATCTGCCATGGCTCAAATTCCAGCGTAATTGGTCGGATGGTATGCTTAGGACGCCAAGCTGTCTTCTCGGACTCACTTAACTTACACAATATGGTTAGCATTCCCGAAACTCCAATTCTATCCAAGCCCTATTGTCGGAGTCAAGCATGATAGCATTGAGCTTACTTCGCTCTTTGCAGATTTGAGTCTCGAGTTTGGTGATAGATTACAATTCGACTGCACAGGAACTGCCGCCATTCGAGGACTACCCAACGCCCTGTGGGATATGGCGATGAGACTTGTCTTCGTATTCTCGAATAACGGAGGTGGATTACAGCTTCAGAACAGGCATACATCCGTGTTTCGGCGTGAATGGACAGCCTTGTCAACTTGCTTGCGAAAATCTGGAATGCTAGATACTGCTCCGAACTTCGCTTGTCTCGGGGACTTGACAATGTCTGCTTTTGCCGAAAAACTATTCCGGCTCTATATTTGGAGAGCAACCAGAGACGAACAGTACCAAGGTCACCATTACTACACCAGCAACTTCAAAGACGACAATTCCGAAACCAAGAGGATTTTGAGGTGGATGCTTTCTTGTGGATACCCTCCAAATAGCCCCGTCATCATGCCTTTGAGCGATGGACTGATGACCCCGCTTCAGACAGCTTGCTGTTATGGGGTCGTCGATCTTGCAAATATGCTCATTGATGCTGGGGCAGACCCAAATAGTACTGTTGGGTTTTGTCGGCAGACCAGTCCACCCCTATGCCTCCTGCTGTCTTATATGGCGCGGAAGGAAGTGCAAGATCCACTAAAATTGCTGTTAGTCGAGAGGCTTCTTGAAATCGGAGCCGAGGTCAACCCAACGCCCAAAGGTCCCTTCCTGGGGGATGAGTGGTTTCCCTTAGTGTTAGCGACTAAGATGGGGAGCATACCGCTTATGGAGCTTCTCATCTGCAACGGCGCTGATTTGCGGGATCCGGTGAAACAAACTGGATATCCGGTACGGATGTTCAACGATATGTCTGCACTAGGTTCTGCGGCAGAGTTCCAAAGATCTGGACAACTTGGTACAAATGCAGCTACCTTAGTTTCATATCTGCTAAGAAAATCGAGCCAACTATTCCCTGACCTACCCGCACAAGATTTCATCATCGCGGAACATGTCATGAGAGCTGCAAGAGTAGGAAACGTCGACGTCCTACAACTTTTTTACAGTGTCTTTGGCAGGCTAGACCTAGTGGACGAGTACGGAATTACCGCACTCCATGCTGCCGCTAGTGATGGCCAACTGGAGGCCTGCGAGTTCCTCGTTCGTCACGGAGTTTCGGTTGATACCGGCAAAACTGACGTCCCTTCTCCGCTTCATGTGGCATGTATGTCAGGCCGTGTTGACATGGCCAAATTTCTATGCGAACACGGTGCCCAACTTGAAAGTATTTGGGAAATAGGCCCTTATCCCCGTCTCCCAACGTGGGCAAGTAGGCGCGGCTGGCTATTGGGATTGACAACCAAAAGAAAACTAACACCTTTTGGAGCTACCATTACGTCCGTAGGGTCCGCATTCAACCAAGGAGAGGAACGATGTGCGCTCTTCCTCCTTGAACAGGGTGCGGCCTTTACGCCAGGTGATCTTTACCATGCGGTAGAGTGGCGCAAGTTTGATTTGGCGCTCGCTTTGCTGAAGGCTGAAGATAACCCACACCAGGATATAAATGAAAAGCCCCTTCTCGAGCTGGCCGTGGAAATGCTTCCCCAGGCTGGGGAGAGCCGAGGTGTTAGCGACCTTGAACGGCTTGTTGGCGCTCTCCTCCAATGCAGTGTTCAACCAGGCAGAAAGGCGATCTTCCTCGCTGCTAAGATCGGAAGCTGGAACCTAATAACCCGATTGATTGAAAGTGGGGCTTCTTGGAATACTCGATCTACAACAGGAGAAAGCGCCCTGGAGGCTGTTATACTCACAGGGCAATCTGACTTGATCGCGAAGTCCTTCGACATAGATCAATCCTTTTACGAAGCTGGGGCGCTTTGCGCAGCTGTAGCTTTCGCCATGAAATACAACGATTGGACCTGGACTGCACGCCTTCTCAAAAACCGACCAAGGGAGCGCGCCGTAAACAAATTAGAAGGGACTGCGTTAGCGATGGCGATTGCTAGTAAAAAGCTCGCGTTGGTCGATCTTCTTTTAGAACACATCGCTACTCCTGAAACTGCTATTCTCCCAAATGACGTTTGGAAGCTGCCTCTACATGGAGAATTGGCTACCAGTTTTCTGAATCCTCTTACTCGAAATAATTTCCTACCTTTTTGGAGGGACAACGACACTCGGGTGGAGGGTTCACCGATGGTTGCTGCCGCCGCTGCAGGCAACGCAGACCTCCTGCAAGACCTCCTCGCACGTGGACTCCACCCCGATTACTTGACTCTGACCACAGCAGCTCTGTGCAATTCAGAAGTCATGGTTGGCATCGTCACTAGGCATTTAGCCCTGGGCTGTAGGTCGCACGGGCCGCTTTTGGCCTGAACTCCATTGTATTGGGCGATATATCATAAGAACTTGGCGCTATTCCAAACACTCGTGGATTTTGGAGAGAGAGTGGACAACATTTGTCCCTGCTACTTTGACGATGATTATGATTATGATTATGAATATGGTCAGGTTACTCCTCGATCGTGTCTTCAGATGGCAGTCGAATGCAATTTTTCAGAGGTTATCGACAAACTCCTTGAGCTAGGAGCAGAAGTTAACGAGCCACCAGCACCTCGGGGTGGCGCGACAAGCCTCCAGCTCGCCGCTATCACAGGTAACCTGGCAACTGCAAAAAAGTTAATTGACCTGGGAGCAGACATCAATGCTCCCGGGGCAAGGCATGCAGGAAGGACGGCTTTAGAAGGTGCTGCTGAACATGGCCGGATTGACATGGTCCAACTACTTCTTAGCGAAGGGGCAGACACCACCGGGCCTGGCAGAGCCCAGTACCTGAGAGGAGTGTTGCGGGCCATAAATGAAGGCCATGGCACGGTTGCTAGGATCTTGCGAGAACACTGTGGATGGGACGAGAGAGACCAGGAGTTAATGGAGGGATACGGTCTCTTAAGCCTAGAGAGCATCGTAGGGAACGACGACGGTGAAGGCAGCTTTTCTTTAAGCAAAAAGGAGCGACATGAAGAGGGAGGCACAGTCCAAGTGGAACTAGTGACTGTAGAAGCTTCTTCCACGAGATCAGGGGATACAGGGATGACCAGGGTTACGAGTATGGATGACCTTGAGGATTGGGAGGATCTTGTGAACTGGGATTGGGTCGGAGATAGTTAGATATCATGAGAAGCCTGCTGAAACTCAGTAATTGATGTCCCTTTCCTCTTCGTCGACTTCTTTTCGAGCCCTTTGGAAGGTTGTGTGCCATCTTTCTGAGAATGTTCGACCGGCCGCCCGTCGTCCTGTGTCGTTCATGTTGGATTTGGTGGCTGGCCGATGTGGTTACACTCGGCCAGGTCGTCGCTAAGAATCGACTATAATTTCTTACGAGAAGCCATGATGCGACGCTGCAAAACGTATTGAGCAGGTCCTCATTTTAGTATGGTGGTTGCAGCTTGCGAATTCCGCCAACCCAGTGGTATGACACTATTTGATATCTTAGGCATCAAGTACGAGTAATTAATAAGAGTTAAGTTAAGAGTGATGCTTCTTCATTTCTGTCTTCCGTCACTGCTCTCTAAACCCATTCTTCCAAGTGTAAGTTCTAGACCTTCCAGTCAACCGAAATGCCAGCGAAGAAAAAAAGCTAGTTTATCTAATGCAGATAGCCTTAGAGTTTCCTTGCGCGGTGGGTGAACGATAGAAGCTTGCGGGGCAACGCTTTCCAGGATGGGGCATCAACGGTCTGGCATCCAAGTCAACGATTAGGAACCGAGAAGACAAAGAGGGAGAAAGAGAAAGCAGAGAAATCCATGGGACGAGCGCATCCACGGAGGTCAACAAACATCGTCCCTCAACAGTCCTTCCATCTCAAAGCTTGCAAAATGGCACCCTCTCCAAGGTGACATGATATTTTTCCCGCTATACAACGCACTGTCATCTTTCCGACGTATCCATCTAACATGAGGAAATGTGTTGGTCTTTTCGTTCTTTTTGTATCATACCTTGGTGAGTTCAATTGGGGGGACGCCACCGTCGTGAGCCCAAGAAAGCTTGGAAATCTTGCCGTTGTCGCCCAGCTCGAAGTTGACCTTCCAGAATGTCGCTTCCTGGTCGGAGCCCACCCATCGACCCCGTCGAGACAGCTCGTTGCGAGGCAGGAGCCACGTAAAAGTATTGTTGGCGTAGTACGCGAGTGGGAACTTCTCCGACTGGAGGCCCTGGATGAGCCAGTACAGTTGGCCGTCCTCGAGGGTCACGTCAATCTTAACGACGTGGAGGTGGTCCCAGTATGTGCCCGTGTACTCCTCCAGAGGTCTAGGAGGGGCACCGCCCTTCCTACCTTCATCAAGTTCCTTCGTCAGGGCCGGGTACCATTTCAGGTTCTCCTTGACAGCGGCCTCGGCTAGGCTGGGATAGTCGTTCCTCTGGTGGCCGGGCACGCTAAGGAGCTCTTCGATAACGAGGTGGCCGACCCAGTCGGCAGCATCGTTGAGAGCTAGCGAGTTGGTGAGGACGACAACCGCTGTCTCGCTCTCGGGTAGGAGCCCTACGAAGGCGAGGGCGCCCGGAAGGCTTCCTTGGTGGAAGATGAGGAGCTGCGAGGCGCCCCCCTGGCCAATAAGGGGCATTCCCTGCGGGAGAAGGCCGGGGTTGAGACCAATCTGGCCGAGCTTTCCGGGGAGCTGTACCCTAGCCCACCCGAGCGCGTAGGAAGATTCAAGCTTGGACGGCTGATCCAGGGGAATCTTGGCCGACAGGAGGTGAGCAACCTGCTTGAGGGGGTTTCCCTCAGTCGAGGTCTGGCCTGTGTGGAACTGGTCATTGAAGGCTGAAATGAAAGAGGTGTAGAGCTTGCCGAGGTCGCTTGCCGTCGACCTCAGCCCGCCGCTGGGGGCGCCGTACCAGTCGTCACCGAGCTTGGGGCAAGTGATGGGCGCGACGGTAGCGTCGTCGAGGGCATTGTAGCACAAGCTGACGGCGTCATTGTTCGCAGACGGGGTCCTCAAGAACGTCCGGTGCATGCCCAGAGGGTCCAGGATACGGGCCTTGACGAAGTCGTAGTAGGACTGGCCGCTCACGGCCTCGATGATACGACCGGCGATCTCGTAGTGCAGATTGTTGTAGGCGAACTGGCCGCGGAAAGGGAGCTGGCGTGGGCGGTCGTTTACGTACTTTACCATGTCTTTGGAGGAGATGAGAATGTTGGCGTCAGTGCCGATGATGAGGTTATCGGCCCAGCCCATGCCGGTGCGGTGGCTAAGGATATCGGTTATGGTGGCGTTGTTCTGCAAAGTATCATCACGAGACTTGAAGTCGGGCAGCGCATCTTTGACAAGAGTGTCCCAGGTCACCTTTTTCTCGTCGACGAGTAGCCCCAATGCCGCGGCGGTAAGTGCCTTGGTGAGGGAACAGACAGGGAAGACGGTGTCCTCGGTGACCTTGAGCTGCTTCTCCACGTCACGGAAGCCATAGTTGGCGTAATATGGAGCATTGTTCTTCGTGAACACGCCGAGGGAGAGGCCGGGGGTTCCCCCGATGGCCATGATGCGCTCGATTGTCGGGCCGAGCCGACCGAGTCTAGCGGGGAGGTCCACCATTTTGGATGGAGGCGGATCTTGGGAGGATGAGACGAGATTAGCGAGTCTTTTCTTCTACAGAATGCAGAACTGCAGCAAGGAGGAGACTTCTTTTTCTCCATCCAATGGAAAAGAGGAAATAAAAGAAGACAGAAGAAATTATTTTCTTTCTTGCGTATTTTATTTTATTTTATTTTATTTCCTCCCCAAGGGTTTGTTCCTTCCATCTTTTTACTCACAAATTCTCGCGGGTTGGTCCGAGTTGCGGAATGCGAAATTCCAGATAAAGGCTAAGGCGACGATAAAGACGGCAAGTGCAATAGTCAGCTTTCGCCTCGGGGGCATCCGCTTCTGCTGAGGGGGAAGAAGAGGGGAAGAAGATGATTCGGTGGACAGTTCAAGTTCAGAGTCAGAATGATCTTCCGCCATGGACGTCTTAACAAGAAGAAGAGGGGAGAGATCAATGGCTTTTGTTCCTTTCTCGAGAAGAAATCGATAGAGGAATTGTCTAGACGAGAAAGAGGAAAAAGGGTCGGTTAGGCGAGGAAAGAGAAAACGTGCGACCTACTGTTTTGTTCTTTGAGCCTGGAGACTGCCTACGATGCTGCATGCGTTGTCTGTATGGAAGCCTAAAGGTAAGAGAGCGCTCATGGGTAAATGGTAGAAGGTAGAAAGTAGGGCGAGCTCGTACAATTCAACCGATGTGTGACTACAGGCCAGGCCAGCCACAGAAGACAGTTGTCGCTGGCTGCTTGTGTTTGTGTTCAATCATCCGAGCCAGACTGCAGCTCCAGCGCGAGGCAGTGTCATCCTGTCATTGTTGTCCTTTTGATGTACCTCTACCTTTTGGCGTTTGCCAGGCTGCCCTCTCCTCAATACAACTCCCAAATGCAACCCTTAAGTCAGCTCGCAGCATCGGATCGACGACCAGTTGGAATCGTCGAAAATGTCACTCTACTTCGTATGCACGTTGATGGGGGTAGTCAGCTTCCCCTCCGAAACATCGATGCAATACGAAGCATACCTATGGAGGTTTCGGGCCGCGGGGGCCTCAGTCCTCCCTGGGCCTGTCCTGAAATCAGCCCTGTTTCGCTGTGTCTTAATCTATTTCGTCACACCGGGTTCGATAAATCTTCGTTCTTATTGGTGCCGTCTAAACACCCATCAAGCAACCCCTGGTCAGGCTCTGGGTTCTGCAGTCCGCCAGAATCGCTCATGCCACCCCTTCGCCGTGGCTTTATCACCGCCCCCCACACTCAAAACGAGATGGCAATGAATTGTTGATGAGTGCTTTTGGTAACGGTCTCGGCGGGCCGACCCAGGAGTCAGTTTTGCCTTGTCTTTGCAACCTACCTGGGAGTTGGAGCGAGATATGGCTTTGATCCTCAGGAAGGCGCCCCCTCTACGGTGTGGGCTGAAGTGCCTGCTTGCCATCTTGGCCACTGATCAGCCTCTTTTTCACTTCGTGGAAGGAGGCGCTCTGAGGCGGACCGTACCAATGTTCATGAGGGAAATATGGCGAAAGGGGGAGGGGGAGGGAAGAGCGTCCAGCCCCGTCGTCCAAGGGATGGCGCGCCTGCACGAAGAGATTATTGTTGAAGAGCCCAAGCATCGATTATGATCAAGACTCCTTCGTCATGGATAACTGTCGACACGACCGAGCGTTGTAGAAAGCTGTGCGAGTAGTTCTTTCACAGCCAACCTGAAACCCGATCTCGTCTATACTCTCCTTGACCGTTTCCCTTTCCTCCTACTCGACGAGCACTGCGTGACGGACCACACTCACCCCCCTTTTCCCTGCCCAATGGCTCCGACAACCCGGCTGTTTAACGGCGTTACGTCCGGTGTCGCTCCTCGACGCATGAACGCGAAGGCACATGCGGTCGGGGAACTCCCCCTCACCGCTCCACCGAACCCCGAGTCGGCGGGCCCCGTCAGGCGAACAAGAACGCCGGGCAGCAGCGACGATGGACAGTCAACGCAGGACTCCGAAAGCACCTTTCCGCTCTCTTCACAGACGGCGCGCACCTCGATCCCTACCTCTCCTTCTTCATTGGCCGCTCCCCATCCCCAGAGACATGATAGCGGTCGACTACAATCTCCTGCAGTTGGCACGCCGCCGGCTGCCGCGCCCGACGGCTTCCTCCCACCTCCGCTGGAAGACGACGACGACTTCGACAATCTGCCTGATGTCTGGACGGACTACTTTGACAAGAAGAGGGAGAACTGTATCGAGTTCATGAAGGAGTTACAGAAGCAGCAGAAGCCAGGCCGGGTTAAAGTCGCTGTATATGGACTTGCTGGGCGGAAGCCCGACGAGCCCATCAGAGACATCGACGAAGTTGTTAATCTCATTACTGATCATGAGACGTTCCGCACCGAGGTCTCCAAGCTCATCGAACAGTTTTCCAAAAGACAAGCTAAAGATCCAGGATGGCTGAAGCGAAAAGTTCAACGTTTCGTCAAGGCGGCATACTGGGTCCGCCAATTCCAAGCTGGCGTTTCCACAGCTATCCAGGTTGTACCCGACGGATTTGGATGTCTAGGCTGGGGCATTCTACTGATCGTCATCGAGGTACGCCACCTTTCTCATATGTGTCAGATGTAAATCGAAAGAAATATCCAGTTTCGTTATTCCGGTCATTCGTTTTCCCCAGCCAACGTTTGGTTCTTGGGCATTAGCTAAGTTGCCGGAACCCCCATTTCCCAAATTTAGGTCTCGTGTATCTACGCCGAATCCGCCGAAATCCTCGATCGAATTGTCGAAACAATGGCGGATATCAACGAGCTACTTCCGATGTTCGAAAAAGACGTGAGCCTGTACAACTGGAGCGATGTCATGCGGAAAAGACTTCTTAAAATATATGATATTTATGTTGACATTTGTTTCGCCGCAATCCGATACTCGACCAGGTTCAATCATGCATTCAGTTTCTCTCGAAGTACGTTCTTCAGCAGCATTCCACGGCAGTGAAGAACATTCGTGTAGGAAATATGTATGTGCTAACTACTCCTTCTATTAGCTTTCGCGTCCCCCGATAAGGATATCAAGGACCTCGAAGAGAAATTGAAGCGCCAAATAATGAAATTCGACCGCGAGACGGACTTTGTCTTTCAGTCCACCGTCATGGAGCGCCAATCGGCAATCATGGCCAAAGTGGATAACCACGCAGCGGCTTCGGCGAGGCGTGACGATACCCTCCTCAGGGTCATGGATAAGACCCACCGGGCCGTCAGCAGCATAACCCAAGAATCCAAGCCAGTGTCGTCGGTTCTGGAACTCCCAGTTGACCTACCCGTTATGTCCCTTACCATGGAGCCTAACGAAGACTTTGTTGGCCGCGAGAACGAGCTCGAGCAGCTTCACAGGTATCTCATCGATGAGAGCAGCGACAGCGGGCAGCCCAAGTCGTGCGTGCTCCTCGGCATCGGTGGCATTGGTAAGACCGAGATTGCCCTTGAATTTGCCTACAAGTATAAGGACCACTGGGACGCTGGAGTCTTTTGGGTCACGGCGGATACCACTCAGGAGACTGAGCTCGAGAGAACGTTTTGCGACATCGGTCGGACGCTAGGCATCGTCGATGCAAGCGAAAACGATGAACGTCAGGTGGCCAGAGTCAAGTACTGGCTTGAGAATAAGAGCAAGCATGCACCTGGTTCGCTAGCCCCTCCCTTCCCTTCCTTCACATTTCTCGGCTAACAAAGGTGATTCTTCTGTACAGACCGCCGTTGGCTCCTCATTTTTGACACCTTCGTGGGCGGGGACGATGCGACCTCGCGCCGAAACATCGACCGCGTCTGGCCCTCGAAGGCACGCTCCCCAGGCTGCGCCATTATCGTGACATCTCAGGTTTCGGTACCTCGGAAGTACGCCAAGAAGGAGATTCCCATCGAGCCCCTCAGTGACGAAGAAGGAATCCAGCTCCTGCTCGCCAACACTGACATCGATGTGGCCGGCCCCAAAGCGTTGGATAATAAATCATTGGCGGCGGACATCTCCAAAGAGTTGGGCGGGTCCCCCCTCTACCTGTGGCTCGCCCGTCAGTATATCCGCGACAGCGCTCTAGATCTTCAGGAGTACCTTGATTGTATCCGTAGCAGTTACACTGTCCCCATGGCTGAGCAGAAGGGCTTGGAGGCTGGCAATTCGAGGTACCTCAGAGCAGCCTCGGCGGCCCTCGATCTCACCCTGGACCGAGTCAAGCGGAACAGCATTTCGGCAAGAGAACTCTTGAATATTCTTGCCTTCATGAATCACGAAGATATAAGCGAGGTTTTAATACTTCATGAGGAGGAGTAAGTTGAATTAACCAAGACGGGACTTCCTTCCCCGGTAGCCACTGCCCCGAAACAGGGCGAGATTTACTAACAAAGGGCTTTCTTAATTCAGGGAGTCCGGACAGGGGCAGGCTCAACGGCGCCACAACGACGACATCGTCATTCTAGTAAGAGCCGGCCTTATCAAGCTCAACAAATTCAAGACCCTACGGAGCCTCCGAATCCACCACGCCATTCAAGTTGCGCTCTTGATGAACATGGGAGAAGCTGAACGGGACGAGAGCTTTAATCGAGTCATAAAGAATTTGCGCCGCCGATACCCGGAACCCTCGTGTCGCCAAATCGCCAACGCCGATGTGTCGACTGCGCTGTCTCTTGTGCTACCGCACGTACTCAGCGCCCTGACGTGCTTCGAGAGGGCCCACCCGAGGATGACAGGCGACATTTTCCTGGCTCGGCTCCTGCGTGACGTCGGCGGCATGGACTGCTACGACCGCGGCCGCATTAAAGAGGCGTACAGGCTCACCGAGGCCGTGAAGACAATCCTGAAATCCCTCGGAAATCACGAGACGCACCCCCTTCTCAGCGATGTCCTCGTCATTCAGGGCCTTTGTACTGATTTTATGGCGCTGAGCAAGCGGGATGAAGGTCTCAGGGTGCGGCGCGAGTGCCTCAAGATTCGCAAGAATATCTTCGACTCCCTCAAGAAGGTCAAGACCGATGACACGATTCGTCTCTACAACTGTCATACCGATCTCGTCTGCAGTCTACAACAAATCAACGACTTTGATAGCGTGCTCCACCATCTCAACATCTGCCTCGAGCAGTACAAGGACATTGGCAGTGAGGACAAGGAGCCCTATGAGTATTCCAAGTACTACAACCAGATGGCTTATGTGCTGCTCTACAATAACGAGCCTGATAAAGCTGTCGAACACGCCAAGAAGGGATACGAGCTCGCAGAGAAGGCCTGTCCCGATACTAATTACCCTTGGCTGTACAAATTCGACTACGTCAACATCCTCTTCCAGCACGGCAGCCGCAAAGAAGAGGCCTTTAACCTTCTTCAGAGAATTATCAAGAGCCACTCCGAGGGTCGATCCATCGTCTACTCCGAGATACTAGCGCTTAGTATGGAGCAGAATCTCGGGATCATGGCCTACCTTCTGGGTAAATTTGAATTTGCCGAGTAAGTCAACCTCCACGCACTTCTTTTCCCTATGTAGCCCTTTGTTTTGCATTATTATTAGAAGTACTCGCCGATGCAGTCTACGTTCCTTTCGTTACGATATAATTAACGCAATCCAAAAACCATAGGAAGCAAATGCGAGCCGTAGCATCGAGGAAGCTGCAGTGCGACGCGTGGCCCGAGGAAAACGTAGTCCGCGGTGACTACTATTTGTCCCAGATCCTCAAAGCGAGGGATCCGGACAGTGAAGAGGCTCTCCAGATGGAGGAGAAGGCGAAGAGCGACCTCCAAGCACTGCTTCAAAATGACACGCTGGGAAAAGCGGAGGAGTATGCTGGGAATTTCCCGCTGCTCTTCGATTATCTTGTGCATTGGGAGTTCCGCCTCGTCACGCCACGCAGGCCACCTCCCCAAGAACCGGAGAGCTTACAGAATGGGATATTGGGTACTTCAGCCGAATCGCCAGACACCCGTCCGGAGGAGGCGGAGGCTCCTGTCTCTCCTCCCCACACTTCAACGGAGACGCCAAGGAGAGGATCCCCATTTCCTCCCTCCAGAAGTCGCACCTCTACCCCAGCAAGACACCAACCTCCTGATGTCCCCCCTGCGCCCCAAAATTCATCTCCTGGCAAGAACCATTCACCCTCTCGGGAGCCTGGTGTGCAGAAAACTAAGTGGTACGAAGACTGTTGTTGCTGTCAGTGAGGTGTCTCCCGCGGTGAGGGTGGGGGCCCAACCGGTCCTATTGATTTTCTAGCTCTCCTATAGGAGAGCCGGCGGCGAACGTGCTTTAGCGAACTTGGGATTAGAGACGGGATGAGGAGGCTATGTTTATTGAGTAATTAATCCCGCAGCCATGTTTTGATAATGTGTTTCTTTATACCCCCTGTTGTGATACCCTCCCTTTCATTTAGATCCAGTTTTGTCTTGTACTTGTAAAGTATCAAACACATCAATCTTGATTATCGAGATGGCAGTCATTGTAGTACATGTCGGTATTTGGTCGGCGATCTGCCCTTCATGGAATACACTGCAAGCGAGCAGGTTCGTCACCCTCCCAGCACATTTCGAGTCACTGCTGGTAAATTTCGGCAGCCGTCATGATGCGTCGTGAAAGTGGTCATCATGCATCGGAGAAGGCTCCCAGGGTGCATGTGCGCGTGATTCCTTCAGGAAGATGCTGGGATCTAGTGGAATCAACGATGAAGATAATGGAGAAATCATAAAACGAAGAAGTATTGCTGGTAATCTATATAATACACCTGGGTAATCCTTTCAAGAAGACGTGGATAGCCTCTCAACTCCTCTCATTTCTCATAGCTCCCTTCTCCCCAACCCTGCCCAAGTGATATAATTTCCATTATCTTGAACCACTGATCTATTTGAAGCCACTCCATCGGGACCTCAAAGATGAGCAACATAGAGAGCCCCCAAAACACTCAGCTGCCGGAGAACCCCATTCAGATTCCGGTCGAGCCAATCTCTGAGGAACCCAAGTCGTTGGACCAGCCATGGAAAGCCTTCATTGACGAAATCAAAAAGGAGGCGATCGCGAAGGGTGACCCGTTTACCCCGAGCGAGGGGTTCAACGATCACTCCCTTGCAGGCTAGGTACGTAGGTGTGTGCTCTCAACATCAACTGATGACGCACTAATCGTCTCTTTCGCATATCAGACGCGCCTCTCGTCATATCATCTCTATTTTTGGATGCCGTTGGCTTTCTTTAAGGCTTCAAGAGCGGGCAAAGGACACTGAGGGCTGGGCAGAGTGGGCAGACTACTGCACGCTACATTCTTGCCAGTGCCTCGCTGGCCCAATGACGTTGAATGTATCCGTTTCGTCTTGTATTGCTGCTTGTAAATTTTGAATCAAATTCAATTTTGAGCTTGAATTATGCTGGCCTACGTGTCTCGCCACAGCGTCCGTACCGCGAGAGCAGTTTCGAGTAAGATGATGGACGCCTCACATTCTCTACCTGTGCACATCACTGTCCCATGCATACTCTGCTACCCATCTCTTCGCCTTGTCCGGGCCTTCGCTCGACGAGCCAACTTCTCGAGAGCTCATGCTTGTTTAATTCCGTCACAAGCGGGGTAGATAACGCGCAACTGTGCACTCCCGCTCCTACGACCAGCAGCGGCGGTAAGCGAGAAGCTTATGGGGCTGGCTCATAGCCTATCCGCGGTCGAACGGGCCTCAAGAAGACCCGAGCCGTCCCGTTGTTGGATGTGACGAGAGAACTTACTCGCACACCCCTCGGGGTGCGTGCTGGAGATTGGTTGCGTGATATGGCGTCGTCGTCACCATTCTCGACCAGGCTCTGGACTCACAGGTTTGTACAAGATTGTACCAGGTACGGGACTTTTATCGATCAAGATGCATGAGTATTTCGAACGCCGCAGCCCCGCGGCCCAAGACTCTCCGCAATCTTGCGAGAACCGGAACAAGGGCTCAGTGTCTCCGAGTTAGGTAGCTCTACCCGCCACACAGAGAATCCTCATTCAGGCATTAACCGAGACCAAGCGTTCGCTGAAACAAAACCCCATGAAAACGGTATACAATACTTCGTAGAGTGATATAATATAGATAACTTTATAAATTAAAATTATTTATATACCTTTTTATTAAGATAAATATTCTTTTAAAAGTAAAAAACAAGTTAAATAGTAAAATATTTTTTTAAGTTAAAAATACTATTAGAATATCATTAATCCTTCTATGTAGATCATTATAAAATTTAAACTTTTTAACTAATTAAATAATATTATATATTATATATTCCTAGTTATACGGCTAGGCGAATTACACGAGAAACCTCGTTAAGAGGGTAGAATATCGAGATCGAGGAGATCTTCTCTCTCCAAAATTGCGGAGAGGAACTCATAACCCTTCTCTGATCAGACAACATGGCCCAAGTCCAACTCCCCAGCGGTGCAGTCTCAGGGCCCCGCCCTGGAGTCTTCTCGTACTTCCGCTTCAATCCCGACGTTCACACCCGCGAAAAGCCCTATGAGATTCTCGTCAACCTACCTCCAGGCCGACAGCGCCATAACCAAGAGTTCGAGGACTGCAAGACGACGGTGACGGACGTGAGAGGGCGGGAGACCGACTTCTCGCTCGATGTCAACGGCTTCTGCTGGCGAAAATGGGCTGGCCCCGAGGCGTGGCGCGGAATCGACGCCGAGGCCGTCAAAGCGCTGGGTCACGACCGTATCATGAGCGGGTATGTCGCCCAGGCGGAGGAATTTCTCAGGTCCGAGCTTGCGGTATCAGGGGAGAGTGAAGTTGACATTGTCAAAGTGTTTGATTATAGGGTAGGAGGCTAAGCCACACTCTCACCTCCCTCTCATGCCCCTTCACATCCATTGTTAGGATTGGTAAAATTTCTACTGCTGATATGGCAAAGCTTCGTGTTAACACAGATGCGAAAGCCTTCGAAGCCAGGACGCTCGACCTTGACGATGGACTGGACCCCCTTCTTCCAGTTCCACACCCACACGTTGGTAAGAGGAAATTAGATAGGGCCGCAGCGGAATTGGAGTTGACAATGAAAACGCTGCTGATTTCTTCCAGACCAGAGCTTCAATGGCGCGATCCTTAGAGTCAAGGAGCACATGAAGGACGACGCAGATGAACTTTTAAAACGACGGTTCAGGATCATCAAGTACATTTCCCCTAATTCCTTGCCGCCAATTCACACTTCGTGTACTCTTCTTCTCTCTATTTGCTAATGATAAATCCTACTTCACGAACAGTATCTGGAAGCCCCTCAAGCGCGTTTCTGACTGGCCATTGGCGGTGTGCGACTCGACCACCGTCCCTCGCCGGGACCTGATAGCCAACGACTTGGTCCGCCGCCGATACATTGGCGAGTCGTTCTACTCCACCTACAACCCCGAGCATCGTTGGTATTATCTTTCCAATCAAGAGCCCGACGAGGTCACCCTCCTCAAAATCCACGACTCGGATGAGAGCGCGGCCGTGAGGTGTAAGAGGCTTCTCCAATTCTGTTTGATATCCTGTTCCCGGGAAGGATAGGACTGTTATCAAGCTAATAGGAAAACAGACTCGCTGCATTCTGCGTTTCATCTCGGCCTGTCAGATGATTCTCGTGAGAGTTTCGAAGTTAGGGCCCTAGTATTTGACGCCCCTCGGTAGATCGGTAGAAGAGCACCTGAGTGGTGCAGAAGGAATTTCGTCCCATATCACATTAAGCCCAAGGACAGGTTGACATTGTTATCGATATTCTCGCAGGAAGTTATTTCCTGTATACGGGCCATTGCAGCATTGAGGTCACTGCCCTCGTCTTACTGTCAGCTTTCCTGAAGGTTTCTGAAGGTGTATTTATGAAGATTGATTAATACGACTCTCTACGATGACTCATTTCGACGTGCTGTTGAGGCCTTCCAGTACCTCTCTGAGGGATGGCCTGTTGAGAAATCCAAGAAACTCAATATCCTCGTTGCCACAAGAGCCAGACAGCCATCTTAGCTCCGCTTGCACATAGCTCTCCATGATGCCCAGACGATGCTTCCATAGCCTCTTGTATGCCGCTAATATGCTTACGGGGGATTCATGGGTCTTCCACTCACCCGACACGTCACGTACCGCGGCCGAAAGCGTAGACCCTTCCCTGACGACCTTGACGCTCTCAGCTCTCCAGTGGGGAGCCCCGAGAGTGCAGCGACGTATCAAATTACGTAGTTCCTCGGGTGTATCCTTGAAAGCGGGAAATTCCATGCTGATTCTCCTAGCATCCCTTTCACCGAGGGAGCGGGTTGTATGGCTACACCCCTCGAAAATGCACCACAACAATTTCCCAACGGCGAAGACCATAGCGGCCTCTCGATTCTCCGGCCGTAGGTTTGACCACTCCTTGTAGTACCCTAGTGGCGGGTTGGAGTACCGTTTGGTCGGCGATGGACGATGGGGCAGAATGACCTTGAGTAGCTCTTCGTAAGCGCTCCGCTTCTCCCAAGGGACGAGCTTGTTTTCCGAAAGCCTCTGCATGCGCGACACGTAGAGGATCTCGGGGGCGCAAAACGTGTCCCAGTTGCCACCTTGCTCTAGGTCGATGAATACGAGGTTTTTCTCACTGCTGGACTCGTCGATGAGGATATTGTCGGGTTTGAGATCAGAATGGAACTGGAGAGGTGAGCTCATGATGTACTTCAGAGTGGTGACTAGTTGCCTTGACCACTTGTACTTTAGCTCATCCGGAACTGTGGGGTAAGACGCAAGCGCATCTCCCAGAGTGCGTCCTTTAATATAGTCTATAACGAACCCCAAGACCTTGGAAGATGACGGTTCATCGTCAGCGGCTGCTGTGATGACGTAGTGGGGTTTTCTAATGATATTGGGATGCGGTCCAATCGTCAAGAGTCCCCTCAGCTCGTGGTATAAGCGGTGAATGGCGCCCGTGTTCGTTTTGAAGATGAAGTATCCGGTCAAGCCAGACTTTGGCAATTCCACCACAGAAACGGTCTCGCTCAGATGGGAGACGAGCCGTAGGGCACTGATAGGGAGCGCAGGTGGCCAGGCGGAAGAGCCTAACTTCCACATGGCCTGAAGCTCCGAGACGGTAGCCAGCTCATTACCAAGGCGCAGGTTTGGGAAGAAACGGAGTTTTGCTGACCTCGGATCGGGCGACACCTCCTCGAGAATAATGGACGAGCCGAAAGAGATGTTTCTGTATATCTCATCAAAGTACGGTAGTCGTAGAGACCATGACTCGAGGGCCTGGTTAACGTATTGGCCCAGTTCCAAATTACCAAGCTCCCTCCCGGCGACGAATAGCGCATCGGGTGATCGGAGTTGACGCCTCAGGGCTGGGGGTTGCATGGACTGGCAGGGCACGATCACATCGATCCGCCTCACTGGGCAGTCCGGACACATGTAGACCGGGACGGCAAAGAGTCGGCGGCCCATGGCCGCGCAGCCATCGATCCTCCATTGATTCCTGGTGCCTCCGGGGCCATGACCTGCTTCGTCTTGGCAAGGGCCTAGAGCCTCCAGACGATTCCGCGGGTTAAGCAGCGAGTTAGTCCACACCCACTCCGAGATGTTGGCGTCGCGTGAGAGTTCCTCGTACTCTGATTGGCAGAAGCGCACGTAATCGCAACCGAGCGGATCGCCGAGAAACGGGGTGAGCGGGCTTGTGAAGGGCTCAATGGCCGCAACGAAATCCATTTCTCAAGTGGTGGCCATTAAAGCGTTAAGGATGGCGCGCAAAGGACAGGGCTCGAAGAAATCCAATAAACCTAGAAATTTTGAGCAATGGTTGTCAGAAATGGAGAAGAGTCGCCTTATTCCATGGACAAACCAAAGGGCGCCACGACGAAGGAGACAGGGTCCGGCTGGAAGAGCTATTTAGACTGGAAAACACAAAGTGTAAAAACTACCCGGGGCAGGCTGGGCGCTGCGGGTGCAGATGTGCTCAACTCGGGCCCATTGTTCGAGGTACTACTCCCGTCAACCCCTCCCGCTCTGGTTGATGTACCAGTACCACTGCTCCTTGGCAGCCCGAAAGGTGATAATGCGGTGCGACGCGAGAGCCTGGTGGGCACCCACGGCAGCACCATCGAGAGGGGTTTCAATGACAGAGGGGGGGAACTTATTCAGATTCACAAGGTCGTCGATATACGTGAAATCCGCGGGAAAGCCACGACCTCAAAGTGTTAGCTTGATTAATTGACATTGGGCTCTTTGTGTCGGGCTGGCTGTTTTGAGGCGCTCGCATATAAGGCTTGGTCACTCAACGACTCTGTTCCGTAACGGATTGTTTTTCACGCCAATCCCCAGAGTTCTTCTAGTCCCTATTTACTGTCGCTGGCATCAGTAATTTTTTTCTTCTTTCTTTTTTTTTTGTTTAGCAAATCAGGTGTTCTTTTCTTAGTAGGATTGGTTCTGGTATGCGCCTACTATCAGTAAAGAAATTAAGTCCTCTATTATGCGAGGACGTCATTACGGATGAAGATTGAATAATCATGGCTTCGGACAAGAGAGACTTTGTCGTTATGGTGACTGGCGGAGGTGTAAGTGGTTTGCTTGTCTTAAACCCTACTATGAAGTCCTTCTAGTAGTGTGCTGCCACTAATCGGACTAGGCGTACGGCGAGTACGACTTCAACACCGCCGCGATGATCCGTGACGAGTTACCACAGAGGGTAGATCGGCCCGGGAAGCGATGCATCAGAATCCTTCGCCACCCTGTCGACACACCGTGTACATACGACTGGGGTATCGAAGCCATGGACGAGATCTGGAGCGGCAAGGCCATCGCGGTGGGAGAGGAGGCTCCTGTCGAAATCGATCTCGCCCTCCACATGGGCATGAGGCCGAGATATCCCGGCTACTGCTTCGAGACGGGCGCGCGGAGGGAGGGGTATAAGCACCCCGGCGAGGATGGCAAGTACTACCCCCGGGAGCTCGTCGACGGTAATGGACCGTGGGCTCAGCTTCCGGAATACCTCTACTCCGGCTTCAATATAGAACAGATCATTTCTTCCGTTGGAGACCGACTGCCGGTAAGCTCTTGCACGTACGTATATGCGGAGTAATTATGCTGATGTAGCGATAAACACAGGGCCTCGACCTCAAAATTTCGCATGATGCCGGTTGGTATTTTTGCGAGTTTGAATTCTTCTCATCACTGGCAAACGCAAAACTGAAGCGAAACTCCAGCAATGTGCTCTATCTGCACGTTCCCCTCCACCGGTCCAAGGATGCAATTGCTACCGGGGCTCGAGTTGCTACCGAGTTCATCACAGCTGCAGTTGAGCAGATTGAAGCTCACCAACAAGGCGTCAGGCTATAAATGAATTTACTTTACATATCCTTCTATCTATCCTCGTGACAAACGTGCGTCGTATCTCGAACTCTCTGAAGGGGCACTGCGGGCACCTTCACAGCGCATCGGCCTATCTCTACCATGGCATGTCACTGTTGCAACAAGTGTTGTAAACATCTCCATGATTGAAGACAGTTTCCTTCACCGCCGACTTTCCCAACAGCTAAGTTGCTCCGGAAACGGCTTCCGTAAAGCCTGGAGGTGGAAGGACGAAGCCATCTACACCTGTCACTTCTGCGGTGAGCCTTTGAAGTTAAGGAAAGGGTATGGTTACTGATGAATCCGTCTGTGTTTGCATTGGCAATGTGGGCATAGGCATCACATTCCCCGGGAGAGACATGGGCTGCTAGCCTCGATAAGGGCATCCGGCATTCTTCCTCAATGCTGTCCAACGAGACGCCGCGGGTGCGTTCTGTCTTGACAAAAGTGCGGCCCTTGTTATCCTCTCTGTCGTCTAAGTGATATCTCACCACTGTGGCTACCTTAAAAAATACAACCTCATTCTGCGGCTGCAACTTTCGCCGGTAATGAGCTTGACAAGAAGGTGCTGCATTCCCTAAGGACCCGCCAAGTGGATTTTGCAAATATGCCGTCCAGCCATGCGTTGCTAGCCAGATTTGTACCCTCTCACGTAACATTTGTCTTTGTGGTGGCTGTAAGCTCTAATAGCCAGGTCGCCTCGGGAGATATAGCCGAGTCTACATCATAGTAATTGAAAGGAGAATACTGGTCTAGAAGAGTAAAACCCTAGTTGCATGCTGCATGTTGGCAATTGGTAAAGGATTTCGGAACATGGAAATATGAGAACTTGGAAGGCATCAATGGGTTTCGCATCTTGTTGGTGTGTATGAGACTGCCGAACCAGGAGTTTTGAGATCCACCTGCCACTCCACAGTCCACACCAGTACTCCTTCTCAGTAACTTCGGCTTACTTTGTAGTTTATATTGTATTGTAGTATTTCCAATATTGGAGTCTTATGTACATGCGACCAGAATCTCCTTTTTAAGAGCTTAACTAGGTCTTAGAAAATTATATAGGCATTGGGGTCTGTCTGCAATGAAGAAGTCCTGGGGTTGGATTAAGTTATAGAAGGATGTCACCCAGAACAGTTCTTTAGCATTACTACATAAACCCTATAATCCTATCTCAGGACCCCTCCTCCTGTTTTTCCTTGGGCCATAACAGGGAAGGGGAAGCGCAGGGGAAGGGGGCCATGAGCTCGCCTCCACTCGCTTCCACATTATGTTGTATATGGAGAGTTTGGAGGGTTCGAATTTGTATCGGCTGTTGATGGTGTCATGTATGATAATGGTGTATCATCTTCATCCCCAGCAGGATCTCCCTTCACATCCACTCCCTTCTGCAGATTTGGCTAGTGGAATTTCGATGGAGGTGTCGAGCATGCCATTTTCTGATTCCTCCAAATTTCGTCACATGCAGAGGCTGGTGACCCTACCACATCCCATTTTCAGCGTGAGGCAGAGGTCCTCTTTCGATAAATATTAAGTTCCACTTCCCTCCTCAAATATGTCTTCGATTCCATGTCGATACAACTCATCCCTATTTATCTTCGATACTGTTACTGCCCTCAATCTCGGAAATGCTATATCCGAACCAATTGCGGAAATGCCGTAACCAGGAGGACGTCAACAAAGCACAGCATTGATGGGTGTCCCAACTTTGGTGGCGATAAACATTTTAAGCAGTGATGCCCCTATCGAGCTTCCAGGTTGTGCTGATCTGAGGGGAGAGAGGAAGGGATGGGAAGGATGATAGCAATACGAGGTACACTAGATGCATTATCTAAATGAGCTTTTTGTAAATATTGAAATTGTAAGTCATATACAGCATTATCGCTACGATTTTCCTTCCCATCAAGCTCTTATGCACAGAGCATTCAGCATCTAGGAGTGATGAGAATTGATAATAGCTATGTGGAGTAGCTTACCTGGAGGTTAGGTTGAAGAGTGAGGGAATGATGGTGAATACTTGCCTAGGTCGACACTCCTGCTATATCGAACCCGATGCTTCTGCGCATTCTCGACACCCTCTTCCTGTTAAGTGAAATGCCTCACTGATACAGCCTTTCTACAAGAAAGCATGCCAACCATGCGGACCAGGATCGTACGCCAGGTGTTGCAGGAGCTGAGCTCCACTTGTCCCTGCCCACCTCCGGGACAGCAGGCAGACAGATGCTGAAAATGGAAACAGGAGGATTTATCTGGTTCGAATACGAGCCAACATATCACATTCCAGAGGATTCGGGCCAAACGTTATCTCTCGAAGAGACACGACTAAGATTAACTCGGTTGGGGGGATCTGTCACAGTCGTGCTGCGCTCTCGGAGGTGTTGGACGTATGGGGGTAGACAGCTGCGTGAGGAGATCATGTCGACCAGATAAGGCGAACTCGTCCAGGACCAAGGCTCTCAACCGTGGTACTCTAGTAACTCAAGGATCCTACGGCCAAACTTATCTCTACTTCCCATAGGTGTTAACCCCCCCCCCCCCCCCCCCCCCCTTTTTCGCTTCGAGCGTGCCACTCTCGGGAGCGGCAAGGAGGTTCCAACATTTATGCAGAGGGAGTGCATGATGGTGACCCACTGCTCGAGAACCGGCCTACCCAAGCCCAATCAGACTCAAGAAGCTACCTTGTGTTGGTGTCAGCAGGGCAGACAGGAGGGCATCTTCGGACGTCCCGCAGTTTTGCCTTTTTCAATATCTCGGTGATTACCCGTCCAAGCTTTATGATGCCGAAGCATTAGGACCAACGCGGGCAGGCTTCCTGTTTCGGGAATGCCGTGTGGCCTTATGCACGTTTCTCTGACTGGGAGTGATCGTCAAAGAGAGTAACAGGATTACGAGTCGCCGAGAATGCTATATAGGATCAAAAGGGCCTATGAGCCAATAGAGTACGGAGGAACCATAGGCATCTAGCACTCTCCGGCCCAAGCTAGAGAGGGGGGTTTCGCCTAAGGCATGGTTCGAGGGGGTCCAGAGCGACCATGCGGAGATGAGCGCGGAGGAAGTGTGGATGACCTCCCAGTGGCGGGTCTCTGGACCTTTCCTCCTCATCCAGCGGTTCGAACGGTTTCATGCGCTTAAGTATACCGACAAGCGATCGACTAGTCTGGCCTCGATGGGGATTGGCCGATTCGACAATCCGTTCAAGTAGCGCGCTCCCCTGCTGCTGGGCGTTGGCCGTAGGTGTGCCGAACAACGATAGCTGGGGCTAATGGGTCTGCGTCCTAGGTAACAGCGGAGAATTTGAACAAGATTATTCTCCTCCTACCTCTGCAGCCTACGACTCTCCAAGCCTAGGAAAAACCTTGTCGGCGACCAAGGCACCGTCACCAGGCTCAAGTCATGTGCACACATACATCTCCTCGACGCAGGGATCATCTTAGTGGGATCAAGGATTAGGAAAAGCAAGCCATCGGAAGACCGGGTGGGAAGATGGAGCCCTAAAGAAGAGCCCTAAAGAACACTCACGACTTCCAAGCTGCCAAACCTCGATGCACATCAATCCGTTGGATAATTGGTGATGCTCGTCTGACTTTGACCATATATCCGCTTTATGTGCAGTACATGTTACCCATGACACTAATAGGCGTGGAGACTATTGAGGAAATTATCTAGAAGACGCTAGAATATTATCTGGTTACTATATATCCGTTCATCCTCCTTGACCCATCCTGTGTCACGCTATGATAGAAATTAGAAATTATAAGGCAACTTGCAGCAGCTTGACGACCGCCTCGTGCCCATTCTCTGGCGCCGAGCACAGCGGCGTCTGTCCGTCCTTGTCTTTAGCGTCGGGGTCGACCTTGCCCGTGCCGAGGATCAGCTTGACGACAGCCTCGTGCCTATTCCTTGCGGCCCAGGACAGCGGTGTCCGTCTGTAGTTGCCTTTAGCGTTGGGGTTGACCTTTGCCTGTGTCGAGGAGCAGCTTGACGACCGCCTTGTGCCCATTCCTTGCCGCACACCATAGCGGCGTCCGTCTGTCCTTGTCTTTAGCGTCGACATCAACTAGATCCACTTTGACCGTAGCAAGGAACAATTGAGCGGTTTCCGCTTCACCCTGCTTTGCAAGCTTCACCCAGCTTGAATATTTAGAAGGGCGGAAATCGCGACCCAGTTTTGGGATTTGTTTCGGGTTCTCTAAGTAGCTTTGACAAAGTCTCTGAAATGGGGTGAAGGAGTCCATGGTTTGATATAACTGGAGCTCGGCGAGCGCCCGGACAGCGTCGGCGCTTCCAGTAGCAAGCGCTGCAAAGAGCGGGCTCTCATAGCGCTCCGAAGACGCTTCTAAGAGAGAAGACGTGGCGAAGTGGGCTTTAATCAGGCGAGCCAGGTTTCGCTCGGCAAGAATGTAAAGAAGGCTCGCCTCAGAACTGTGGCCGCGTACTGGATACTGCTCGAAGAAGTTGTCCATGTTGATCCATCTTTGTAAGGGAAAGCTGCGTAAGAAGTGGCTTTGGCCAATCCCTTCAGATTTTCGCCTGAGCCAGGCAAACTGGGCAAGCGGAGATGACCGCAAGTCCTATGGTGTGGGCGGATCGCAAGGATACCTACTGAGGTAGTCAGACGCTTGGAGACTGGAAATGGGAGACACTTCGCGAAAAAAAAAAAAAAACATCATATCCTGGAGTGAGGAGTGAGGAGATGGAAATGCCAATGCCATGCTCTGCTTGAGTCAACTACGGCACGGGTGTGGTGTTCTCCCGGGCTACCAAACATTATTTTCTTTTCATCGCTCCATGTTGTTATTACTTGCTACCTGACTGTTAAAGAATTTCGATATCATCAGTGTCCCTACGAAGTTTGTCCCTTACCAGACCCAACGCCAAAGAGAGTCTGAATGTAGTTTGTTAGTACAGGCAGCCGCCGATGCAACCAAGTCATCACCGCGCCGAAGAAGGCTGTGCCTACCATGATATTTTGCAGTCTTTCTTGCACAAATCCATTGTCAATCAGCTGCAACTTTCGCTTTTGCCTTTCCAGAACTTGGTCCTACATTGAAAAGCAATGGTCAGAATGAACTGGGCTCGGTCCTCGCCTATCGACTCAACTCCTGAAAAGACTCACATCCTCGACGCTCTTCTCCGTAATGTAGCGGATGATTGTGACTTGCTCGTTCTGTCCAATCCTGAGCGCTCGCCCAATCGCCTGCTCCTCAATGGCAGGATTCCACTGCGGTTCTAGTAGGTAGACACACTCCGCGACGGCCAGGTTGAGGCTACCATTGTGCTTAGGTCAGCTCGTATGGAATGAGAGAAGGGTTAACCTTAACGTACCCTACTGCGCCAGTTCCTAGAGTCATTAGAAGAACATCTGCCCCAAGCGGTGACTTGAATTCCTTCAGCACCCGTTGTCTCTCGGAAAACGAGAGAGATCCATGAATAAAGAGATGCTTTATCCCCTGACTTGTGAGGAGGTCGCTCACGAGCTTTAACGTCTTCTTCCACGCCGAGAAGGTGATGCTTTCGAGGTGTCAGCAGCATGCCGTCATGAACCTCACTTTGCATAATGGATATTTCTCACCTTTTGCGCCTGGATATGCCACGAGTGGTTTGCTGAATGTCGCGAAGATACTCTTGAAGCTTGGTGGGATACTTTTCGACAGGCCAAGCAGTAGAAGGGCTCACAGTGGCTAAGCCAGGTGGCTTTGGGGTACTATCAGCCTCTTCTGAAACTTCCAGGCTTGGTTCAGCACTTGGAGGAGTTTCCGGGGACGGCGCGCGACAGTCTGTGCGTGGACACTTTCGCTTATCGGCGTTAAACTGGTGCAGACAGCTCCTGCACACCAGATGTGAGCATCTGGGTATGAGAATGCCGCCGTCGGTGTCGCGCGCCGAGCTGATGCAGTAAATCGTGTTGGAGCAGTACACACAGGTCGCCTCGCCTCTGGCCTCGAGGTATGTGAGCGCTTCGTCTGGATCCAACGGTATGCCATTCTTGTAGGAAACTTCCGTCAAGATCCCGTTGTTGCAAAACAAGCGAAGCTTGAGCACTGACTGCAGAGCCGTTGTGCTTATGGTGCTGTGCTTCCGTCTTCCGGACACGGCGATCTCAAGCCGCCTCCTGCCTTCACTCAAGATGCCAAGATAACTTTCTCTCTCCGAGTCGCTCATCACGACACCACGCCTCTGAACTACAGGTTCTGGAAGCTGGAGTATATTGCGTGTTCTGCGGAGGCAGATGCACCGGAGCAGAGTGCGCAGACCGTTAAACCGCACGTTGGAGCTGGATCTTGCTTGGCTTGTGATGTATTTGCGAAATGTCTTGGGGTTCTCCATGATTGGCACGCGGAGAAATCGGACCAGTGCGCTGAGATCTTCGAGTGAGTTCTGGATTGGAGTGCCTGTCAAACACCACCTGTGGTGGGCGGTTAACTTCGTGATGGCCTTGAACTGCTTTGTAAGAGCATTTCGAATATCATGTGCTGCAGAGCATCAGCGGTTTGATATCTGGCGGTAGCCAGAGACAAAGTAGAGTACGCACCCTCATCCAGTACAATGCGGTACCAATGAATATCGGCGAGGATGCTTTTGTCACTTCGGGCCTCAGAGGCAATAGTGGCGTACGTGGTTAGGACAATATCCGAGTTGTACAGCCTCTTGGAGTATTCGGCGGTGTTTCGCCCTGTCCCATGGTGCTTGTGGAAAGTCATGGAGCCAATGTATGTGTGTCTAAGAATAATATTAGCGGGAACGAAGCCATGAAAACAAGACAATGGCCTGGTACTTGTTGATCTCTTCTATCCAGCTAGCGATGACAACTAGGCTCAGTTAGCTCGAAGTGACTAGATTCGTTGGGGAGAAGATTCGTACGGGCCGAAGGGGCAACGATAAGAGTAGCTCGGCATGCAGTCTTGCCCTGTTGCGACGGGTTCTGTGCAAGCAATTTGCCCGCTTCTTGCACAAAGTCGCCAGCTTGGGCAAGAGTCACCGCAATAGTGGCCAGGATCACGAGCGTTTTCCCCAAGCCCATCTCGTCAGCAATGATTCCACCTTTTGGCTCTGGGCCTGTCGAGCGTGTGTCTCTCGTGATGCGATGCTGGTAACTGGTTGAGGCCATGAGATGAGTCCCGACAACATTTTCGATACACTCACCATTCTTCATCTTCAGAATCTTTTTGCCAGAGACGCAGATCACTCAACAAGTCTCCCGCCTCGCGCCGCAGGATAAAGTCTATGGCAACTTTCTGGTGTCTGGCATTGGTTAGACCTGCTTTGACCGGTTGACGCCATGGGATTGAAGAACAAACCCTTACCGAAGGACATTACTTCTTATTACTCTCGAGTCGATACGCCGCTCCCTAAGACAGGCCATCTGATCCAAGGAGTCAAGGATACATCCAACTTCCTCGGACGTATCCATAGTATCCCTTTGGGTCGGACACCTCACTCCGGCGGCTTGCATCGCCAGCATGTTTCTGCCTTCCACAATGTCATTGGCCGAGGACAAGCGGAGGGGCAGAAAATGAGGATTCTCGTATGGGACTTCGGGGCGGGCTTGGGGAAACAATGGCGCTTGAAGGAATGTCTCAAATTCCTCGGACAAAATCTGTCCAATTGATTCTTTGACCTCGCGAGGTCCGTAAATGATGACATCGATCACAATCGTAACTCCTGACGAAATGTTGCTATTCCATTCTTTGTTGGCTTTGGAACACTGCTGCAGAGTCGCCGTGGCGTCGAAATGGACCTGGTGTTCTTCACGTAATCTGTGCAGCTCGTTGCACGTCTTCTTGTTGACAATTGCCAGGGGCTGGCGCTGTTCGGCTGGCACGCTTCCCCCTTGGAGAGGAAGCAGACCGAAATAGTGGGCATTTGGAAAAGACAAAACCCTGCAGTGCAGGTACTGTAGGCGAAATACATCTGGCGGTATTGGTCTCTTCAGCAGTGTGTGAACGTCGATAATCTAAGTCAAAGGCACAGTTAGGAAGTACGTCGCGAACGGAGCATTCTTCATTCGGTATGGCCCTACGCTTCCGAAGCATACCAAGTCGGGCTGGTGAGCACCCGAGTTTGCGGCCACCTGCCGACTACGAGACACGACCGCGTTGTCGATGGGGGGTGCGCTGGGTTGGATTGACCCGACAAGGGCCGTTTGGAGCAGGTCGCGTACTTCCATTATGCGCAGTTGAGGGTCCAACCATTCAACTAGACTTCCGTCTTGGGGAATTTTGCTCCTTATCAAGGTTCGATTGCCAGGACCTGACCAGACTTGAGTTGAACCGGGATCTGCACCAGGTGCCACCGAGCACGCAGCCTGGCGGAGGCGGGAGCCTCGATCTTAGTGGTCAAGACGAGGCGCACCGCCCCTGTGCATACAGTTGCACTTCTGTCCGCATCGCTGAGATGAGCCGCCTGTGGCTTTTTCCACTTCGTGTGGGCGACCGAGCCAAAAGAATGCAGCAGACTGCCAATACTGCAGGTCACTCAAAAGCGCAGCAGGCTGCACCCCATGATGCTGGAAATTCGCGCAAAGGCTAATTTCAGGTATTGCGTGACTTGAATTAATCCAGCCGCAAACCGTTCAAACTCAGAAACATCGTGCGGGTTGAATTCATGCCTACCTAGCACCCCAGATCCGAAGCAGAAACTCGAAATGGATCGACAGAACCACCATGAACTGGCAAACGCCATGCCCATCCAGGAACAGGTCGCCGATATCTCCACAGGTTCTTCAATTTCAAGGAGACCCTTTCAAGAGGCTTTGGATGAATTCAGAGCGAGCCTGAGTGAGTCGGAAAGACGGAAGTTCTCCATTTCTTCGCGACAGACTCTGGAGCAGGCCCTGGACGAAATTCAGAGCGAACAGCATACAGGGAGGAAATTAAAGAACATGACCAGACTCCGCGGGTTTCTCGAAGGTATGGACGTATTCGGCAAGGTGATCAATGTCTACTGCCAGGCATCCGAATTCGTTGCGTTTCTTTGGGTAAGGACTTCCCCACCCCCATCACCCAACCCCTCTCTTTGAAACCTGAAAAAAGTTGACGGACTTCAATTAATTGCTGAATGACTCTGAAGGGACCTGTAAGATTCGTTCTGCTTGTGGCCAAGTCTGTGTCTGATGTGTATCACGAACTTCTCGGGGTGTATGAAGTGCTAGGAGAGACTCTGAAGCTCTTTGTACGGGGCGAGAATCTGTATCGCCTAGACGATAATCTAGTCGACTTGCTCGCCGTTGCGTACAAATTAGTGCTTGAGTTTCACCACTGCGCGGTCAAGTATTTCAAAAAGCGTTGTAAGTTTCCCTCAATTGCTCCATGGGGTCTTGATGTTGTCTCAGCTAAGATTCACTACAAGGGTGGGCCAAGATCTTCGCTGCGACGTGGAGCACGTACAAGACAAAGCTCTTGGGGTATGCCTCTTCCATCTCTCTCTATAGAGGGTTATTCATCGACAACGCTCAGCTCACAGAAATCCACCGACGGCGAAATGAAGAGAGCGAGAAAGCCAAGCAGGCTGCATTTGAGCGCGACCGTCAATTACGCAAGGAGCTGTACCAGTGGCTTCAACCTTCAGACATGGGATTTCACTACAATGAACACCGAAAAGCGAGAGAAGCTTACCCGGGCACTGGGAAGTGGCTCTTTGAGACAGAAGAGGTGAAGGAATGGTTTGAAGAGGAGTCCAGTGTCACCCAACCTTTGCTCTGGATTTCTGGACGCCCCGGGGTTGGGAAATCGGTCTTGGCGTCTCGCGTCATCGAGGAAGCAAGGCGGCTTGAGAGCAAGCCAGTGGTTCTCTACTTTTACTTCCGACAGAATGACGCCAAACGAGACAACTTCATGGATGCTGGAAGATCCGTTCTGGGGCAACTGCTGGAGCAAATGCCAGATCTTGTCGAATATGTCTACGACAAGTATAAATCGCAGACCTCGCTAGCTCCGACGCTCATGGACGAAGCACTACTGGAAGAGGTGCTGGAAGTGGCCATCAGAAACTGCCATCTAGTGTACATTATTCTGGATGGCATCGATGAGTGTGTCCAAAAGGAGACGAAGAATAAGGTGTGCGAATGGTTTCGGACGCTGGTGGAGCAGTCGGAGCCGCCACACGAGAACCAGATCCGATGTCTTTTCGTGAGCCAGGATGATAAAGTTCTGCAGAAGGCCCTCCGCTACGTGACGAGGTTCGAGATCCTACAGCCCCACAACAAAGGCGATATCGAGGAGTTTTGCCAGGTGTGGAGCACAAAAGTACAAGACAAATTTAAACGACTCAGTGGCAAGGAAAAGGACGACCTAGCCCACAAGATATCCGGGGCAAGTGGTGGTGGGTCAACTCAATCCTAAGACTTGTATCCACAGGATTTCTAAACATCAATATGCACTCCAGGATCGTTCCTTCTGTCCAAGCTTATTGCGCAGAACTTGCTCGCGCAAAGGACACTCGCAGATTTGAAGGAAGAGTTGCAACCTCACGCCTTTCCGTCAGAGATCAACGACGCGTAAGTTGTATAGGAACCCCGGGCAGCTCCCTCTGCCGCCTTTCTTTAGCTCGTTCACTTTCACGGAGATTGATCTTGTGCTCAATGCGTCTAAAATCTCCATCTGCAGGTATGAGCGAATTCTAGAGCGCCTGAAACGCGAGACCAACTTTGACCGATCAGAGCCACTGAGGCAGCACTGCTCCGAGCTATTCACATGGCTCGTATTCGCAAAGCGGCCGTTGAAGTGGAGGGAGATCCAAGCAGCAAAGTCTATAGACGTGGATAGACAAACGGTAGACTTCTCGGAGCGACAACTCATGGACACGGCCAAAGAAATTTGCGGCGCCTTTGTAGAGGAGCACCCTGATGGAACAGTTGATTTTATTCATCTCACGGCGAAGTAGTGCGTGTTGTTCCTCGGCTCGTCACCTTCACGATTTTATCTGGGGTAGTAAACTAACGACTTCGCGCTTAACCGTACAGCTTTCTGTTGGGAAAGGGGCATGTAAAACGAGCCGGGGGGGAGCTTGAGTTTGCTTGGAAATGCATCACATATCTGAGCATGAGAGGATTCTGCTTGCCTCCCCAGGAACAACGCCTGACAGACGACATCATGCAAGGCTACTACGGATTCATGGACTACGCCATTCTCTATTGGGCTCGACACCTAGAGACTGGGTTACTGCTGGCGAGAGACGATCCGGAGAGTCCAGATGTGCTGGAAAAGCTTGGACAGGAGCTGGAGGTATTCTTGGACAACCATTCCCGCATATCAGAAACCTCAATCGTGGTTTCCAAACGGGACGAGGACCGCATCTCGGTGTTCTCAACCCAACCGTACTTCAGAGAGCTAGCCCAAGCCCTCGTCTCGACTCGCAAACACCTCAAGCACCACGAAGAGATGGACGACGCTGAGATTGTCCTCGATCTATTTGAGGTGGTCCAAGTCGTTCGGGAAGCCATGGAAGCCACCTGGAACTCGTCGAACGCGGAAACGAGGCTTCTGCTTCAGAGTAAATACGGATCCAGCATTTTCAAGTGCCCGCGGCCCAGCTGCGACAGCTTCACAAGCGGCTTTGCTTCTTCGGAGCTTCGAGATGCGCACGTTCAGAAGCACAAGCGCGCCTTCCGCTGCAAGTATGAAGGCTGCCAATTTGCCGTCCTGGGGTTGCCGACAGCCAAGGACCTAGAACGACACATGGAAAGTACGCATGTAGGCTTGGACATGCAGTTTCCAGACGACGAGGAATTATATCGGCCTCCTGAGGTGAAGCGACCGCGCCAACCGGAGCCTGAAAATTTGCCCATGATCAAGGAAACTCGTGTGGAGGAGACGCCAGCTGTTGCAAATCCGGCAAGCGAGACTACCACCAGCCGACCTGTCGAACGGAGATCCGAAACGCCGGAGCGCGACCCAATCATCATTCGAGAGCACCGCTTCAAGCGTCGAAAGACGGAGCATACTTGCCAGGTCTGCCAAAAGGTGTTCACTCGTCACTTTAACCTCCAATCGCACATGCACTCGCACTCGACGGAGAGGCCTTGGAAGTGCCAGGTATGCGACTGGAGCTTTGCGAGGGAGAGCGATTGCAAGAGGCATGTCAAAGGGCACGGTGATGCGCTATTCCGATGCGGCAGCACGCTGGCGGATGGGATGGCGTGGGGTTGCGGAAAGGCCTTCGCGAGACAAGACACGTTGAGGAATCATCATAAGTCGAGGATGGGGAGGAAGTGCTTGGAGAAGATGCTGGCCGAAAGGGGCGGTGGGCCTTCTGCATCAGCCGACAATGGTGAGCCGATGGAGCTGGATCCTTCGGAATGAGAAGCCTGATCCTGTTGTATAACTATAGAGTCGTTCCCGGGTGTTTTCTAGACTAGAACGAAGTTGAATCGATGGACCTGGTGGACTCGGACCTCGTTCCAAAGGCATTGGTCGGTTCTCGTCGTTTTCAAGCAAGTCAGCGTTACGCAACTCCTCACACGGGACGTCTTTCTACACCTTGAAGATGAATCGACCAAGGTATCATCATTGTCAGTCAAGCTCCTCAACAAGCCCTTCTGCCTTTTCTCTTTTGAACAAAGACATTTGATAGACCAACTTGAGTGACTCAGAGAAAGTTTTGAAAAGATGACAATAAAAAAACGGCAAAAAGAGCAGTACCCACGGGAGAAAGCAAACCCGCTAACCGCACACGTAGTTTACAAGTGCCAGATGAGTACTTTTTATGCTGGCAGCTGGGATGATGAAGATGAAGCTCCAGGCCCTGCGAGTTTTGACCGGGCGACATAAAATCATCGCTCAGAGGGTTCTTTTAACTCACCGAAGATATTTCTTGGCAAGCAAATTTTCTGCCTCAGCAAGGCCAGCGTCTTGGAAGGTCATTGGCTGTGGACTGTCACCACCACGATGCGCAGGCCCTGCAGGGAGCTGCGGGAAAAGGTCCCGTGCGTCCTCGGGTCCATTTTCTCCTTCTCCCAGCGAGAAAATGTGAAAACACTCAAGTAAAACATGGTGCCTGCCGCCGCCTTGTAGGTTCGCCTCGTTTTTTCCCGACTGCATGCAGCTCGGTCTACAGAAGTCCCTGCGCCCACCCTCTAGTTGCCCCGCTGAATCACGGCCTCCCATTGTCAAGCCTCGCTGTCGGTTGAGACGTTTTTCGGCAAATGTAGTATTCCCGTCCGAAATAGTATGAGAGACGGGTTACTTTCCTAGTCGCTGAGCCGTAATTTCTTGAGAAGGAGCTGGTGCCACCTACCTTCAAGTTGTTTTGCTTCCTTTCCATCAGAGCAGCTACCTGTCTTGCAGATCATCATCATCACGCGTCCAGACACTTTGCAACATCTCCACCCAGCAAACTTTTCGCCAGCAAGCCCGACAAGTTTCATTGCCCCTCGGTTGGTTGTCACACTCGGACTCGAGGTTCTGTGAAGTTTCAGCAAGTCAGGCGATATCAAAGCATTTTTTCGTGTGGCACAGGTCTGCGTGGCAGCTGATGAGCCATGACTGCCGGCTCTCATCTCCCGAGTTTTTGGGATTTGAAATGGCATAAACCCTGGCTGCACCGGCGAATCAGAAGCTCCCATTTTTAACCGTCTCGAAGGGTTTTACTGCCTCTCCGCGGAGAAACTGAATGAGAGTTTCTCAAGCAGCTGAGCCGTGATTTCTTCAAGCTTTGAAGTTCCCTCGCAGGCAATAATGTCGGTGGTACTTAGCCTCGGGGCCCTCCCGGTACCCAATCAGTTGACATGATGCTGTCCAGGTTGGAGCTGTCTTTCTGCCTTTCGCCAAAGGCGCCAGACGTACTTCGTAATTTGCAAATCAGGCAGCGGGTGCTGTTGTCGTCTCATTAATCTAGAGAACCCAATACCCTACTCGTACGACAGCCTTGCCCTGGCGAATCACAAGCCCCCATTTTACACGACCTCCCCATTTTCTGACTTGCCTACTTCACATTGATGCCCAAACGATCGCCAAACGTTGTCAGCCAACCGATTTCGCTGAGCCGTAAATTCCTTCTCTCCTTCATCGGCGGCATCTTGCTGCAGTTCGCTACTTTGGAAAGACTTTTAGCCTGCAGGCTTCGGGAAGCGGGGGCTGGGAGCCAGCGAGGCACTGCCATCTGGCTTACTAGTGTAGGTACCACCTGGTATATCAGCTGCCCGCAGTTGTCTGGTTGACTTGCCAGTAAGCAGATGTGGGTCTCTCTAGCCAATGAAATTGCAAGTTAGTCGACTTTTTTTTTTTGCCGAAAAATACCTAACTTATACAACTTTCTATATTGCAAGCTCTATGTAAGCGGAAGTATTTTGTAAGTATAATTTGGAAGAACGTCTTAAACCTTGCCAGATGACATCGCTGTCTTCTGCCTGCCGAGGCCCTGTCTTGAAAGAGATCAGAGGTATCAAACAAAGAGATGCGTCAGCCACAACACTGCCTGGTTTAACAAACCGTCCCCTGAAAAAGCCCTTGACGCTACGCTTGCTGCTTGCCTCTGTCAATTATACTATAATGCGGAGAGACGACAGGTTCGTCTACGTGTGGTCACTACGACGACCTCGGATTTGGTTTGTCACGTCGCGCTTGCCATCTCCCAGACCTGCTGTCAGATCTGTGCACTCTGATCCTGGCTTTTGAAATTCAGGCCTCGCATTCCGAACGGAAAGATTCTTACATAAGCTCTGCATTCACGGCACCCTGCTCAGTTAAAATGAATGAATGCAACTTCGGGTTCTCACGCCTGAATTCGACGACTCTCGGCAAGTACCGCACTCCACAAACAGAGGAACCTACGTGGATTCCTCAGCCAGAAGACTCTCCCATCTTCCCTCCTCCATCTCCCAAGGAGACCATTAAAATCTCTCCCGAATATGGAATTGAAATATCAAAGCGGAAAATTTATAGTTCGTACAAACCTGAAGGCCCCCGAAACTTCGCCGAGATTAAGAGGACTCCGGAGTTTCAACGTGGTCTCTCTTTCCCGGCATTTTACCTAGCTGTCCGGGCGGTAATGACCCTATCTGGCTAGGGCGCCGGTCTTGGGCGCCCCATCCTTTGCATCTTTCCACTAATGGCACCATTTATTCTCTTGCCGAGCGAGATTCTCCTGGAAATCCTCCGAAATCTGCACTACGTTGACAATAACTTTTGTCCATGTAGCGAAAAGAAGGACGTTCTATCTACCCGCCTCGTCTGTAGGCGACTGGCAAGGATCGGAGAAGTCGTGGCATTTGAACACATCCTATTCTTATGAGATGAAGAGGGAATTAGGAGATTTCTTGAGTTATCTATGTCTCCCCTATACAAGCGTGTTTGGAGAATGTCGTGTTATTTTGAAGTATTTAGTAATGAACAAACTCCGACGGTTGATGTATTCACGCCCAATCCGAGACTGGACGAGGTTGTGCCGTTCGGCGCCTGGGAGAGGTTTGTGGAGTACAGCCGTAAGAGTCAGTTCCAAGGTATCCTAAACTCTATGGGGGCAGATATGGCTGCTGCTATGTGTTAGTTTCAATCCCTTCACGCTGTGGAGATTGCGGGTGTCGTGTGTTGCTGGGGGTTTTTTGTATATTATAATGAAGAATACAGTCTTTTTGCCTCTCCCAATGGATACCGATTTTTCGAGACTATTATAGGTTCCCTCACTAAGGCCAAGATTAGGATCGAGGACCTTACTCTTGGGGAATTTCATTACAGCGATCTGGACAATCTATACAATTTATCCGACGTTCCGATGCTTGGTATCATACAGGGTCTGAGTTGTGCATGTCCTGTATACCAGCAAGCCTTGGGAGGGCTGAAGTGCTTGAAGATAATACTGCCTGCGACCCTAGAAGCTGGGCCAGTGCTAAGATTAGACTTCTGTGAGCTGTCCGCCTTTATATAATCAACTATCTCGCTTGAGGAACTATAGCTGTTGTCTAATATAAACTTAGATACTTTGCCTATACCTTCTCGGTTTCTATACTCCCTCAAACTTCTACACCTACAGACTCTGGTCTTGAATGGTGTGATGGCCGTGCATCTGCTCTACTTACACTACTCAAGAGGCATGCAGCCACTCTGAAGAGTATTCAGCTCCCTTATGTCGTTCTGCAGCGTGGTTCTTGGGAAGATCTCTGCTTGAGAATGAGGGATACTTTGACCTTGGAGTCCAGTTGTATTAATGGATTTTATTATTATGATGAAATTGTAGATGTTGATGATGATGTGGTGGAACCAGTGTCCGAGGTTCAATTTCGCAGAATCTTGGAAGACTTTGTTTAATGAAAGGCAGACATGAATCTGTTCGACTTGCTGAGATAAATTGCTACATCATGAAGGGCTCTCCAAGTTATACCTGTGCTCTGGCATCCTAAACCAAGAGACCTTTATGCATTGGATGCATTGGATGCATATCCAGAACAGGTCCCTAGAGAATGACCCTAGATTATATATGATGAATGCTGCTTACCTAGAAGTACTCCAATTACCACAAAAGCCCTCATGCCAATCTCTCCATATCCCCCCCCCCCCCAAAAAAAAAAAAGTGAATTCTTGTTGCACTTTGATAGTAAGGTTAAATGCCAAGAATAAAGGCTAGGAGGGATCCTTGTCGTCTTGGGAAGTGGAGGCAGGATACCTGATTGCAGGACAATTAGTTTGTTTGAGGGTGAAGGCAAATAGGAGAGATTGACTTCATAAGAGAGTTACACCACAGTCTATAGTTAACAGTGACATTATCCTCTCTTCCCTAAGGATACCAGGAATTATATTTATTCTAATAGTTAGAACAAATGAGCATTATCTTCATTGATAGTATCTCCTTCATCTTTACATAACATCTCCCCAATCTCCCAGCTTTCCTCCAAACACTCCCTAGAGCAGGTTACACCAACAGTTTATCCTAATAGGTAGCACGAGAGCGTTGACAACACATTCAATTCTAGATCTTAAGTCATAGTACAGCTATTCTGTTAAAATTGCTATTGTCAACCATGCTCTATAACTAGTATAAAGGATACTTAAGGAGAATTATTATAGTTAGAAGTAAGTTAGTAAGTAGAATAAAGTGAAGAGTTTCCTTTTTAATTCCTCTAAATTTACAGTCTTACTAATTAAATTTATTGAAAATGGGTATATAAGGTCAACAGGAAACTGCTCCTCTTTACCTGCCCTCACAGGAAAAGAACTCTGTTCTATTGATAAATAAATAGCCCATAGTTACCACAGAGACTATAGGATATCACTGCACAGGAGCTGGGGGCTGAGACAAGTGCAGAGCATCTGCTTTATATTCATATTGGGATAATGAGTTGAAGCCTTTGCAGTTAATTAAGTCTCCTCTCAGCAAAAAGGCGGGATAGAAAGAGCAGGGAGAGACTGCTATTGATATAGAAAGTAAGGATGCTACTATATCCACCCTTACACTCTATTCCAAGAGTGTTAATGATAACCTGTAAAAGATATTTGATATTCCCACATGGCACTAGCTCTATTATCCTACATGCTCTGGAGTTTCGGAGTTCTTTGTGTATAATATGCTTAAGTGCTTTGGTGGGTTTAATACCCTAATGTTCCTTTAATTTGATTAAATGTATAGTATAATTAAGGAACTGGAGCCCTCCTTCGCTTCCTTGTAGTGTAATTATGGTAGGGCTTTCTGACTTGTCGATGCTGTCGATGTTATCGATATTGTTAATATTATTGATTTGGCTCAAGGTCCGCCTGTATTGTTCGCAAGCCATGAGGCTGTTGAGTAGAACGTTGTCTTCGCTTGCTGTAGTAACCATGGCTTTTGACACCTCAGCGGGGTCCTCAATCCTCCACTTAGATAAATAAGTGGAAAGAGACATGGCGCTAAGTGCTTCGTTTCGCTCGAGAAATAATAGCTGGCCGTCTTGTCAGACCTGTGCCGTTCCTGCCTTGCCACACGGGAGAATATACCTGTATACCGACATCCTCCGCTCAACCCACGCTCATCTATTCAAAGTCTAGAAGCGGCTTCTCGCTTCTCGCCCAGGACACATGATGGGCTTTGCTCCGAGCTAGATCCGTAGTCCCTCACCAACCAGGGAAAACCTTGTAGCCAATACTCTAAACGACTTGACATTCGGGAGGTGGCGTTAGCCAGTTCTTCCTCTATCTCCAGGAGAATGCCATCTAAGAACTTAGCTGTGCAGCCAAGTTTAGCTTGGTGCCTCTTCAGTCGTTTGATGGTCGTCCTGCACCGGGACAGACCCTTGACTGCCGCCTGCCGTACCGATGAATGCTCGCTTTGAAGTGATAGACGTTGGATACGCGTCTCTTGGATCACAGTCACAACGCTTGTCGCTATTAGGAAGCCCTGTTCTTGCAGATGCTTCATCTTGATCGATACGGCTGAGACATAATCGCCGAAGGAATTGAGGGTGTTGGCATTGGTGGTGGGCAGGACTGTGGCCCTGGGGCATGTAATTCGGAATTCTGGCTGGCAATCGGCTGTGAAGTTTGGGGCCGCGGAGCGGTAGGTAGGCTGAAACCCGGCTGTTTTGAGTTGACGTTGACGGTCAGGTGTGATCGGTTCGAAGGATTGTTTCGGGCATTTGTTACAGGCAGTTGTATTATCAAGGGCGTTCGGTCTGTAATCAAACACGCTCATGTTAGAACATAGATCTCGCGGTGGTTTACAGGACCTGAATTTCGGCACACTCACTTTCCACTGGGTTAGAAGACGTGGCAGGCGACTTCACAACCCTTACAGTTGGAACAAAGTCCAGTTCTCGGGGCATTGCAGCGTACCTTTCGGCGCCGGCACACAGGGCAAGCCTTCGGGGTCTGGACCCGACGTTTCGACCGCCCTGTTCGGCCCGTAGTTGTCTTTGGTGGGTTCGCCAGCAACGCGTCCAATCTATCCCTATCAGCACTGTCGAGACTGGAGCTGGGACTTTCATCTTGGGAGCGCCGCGGCTCTTGCAGAAGAGGCGCAGTCATCGTTGATTTCTGTTCGATCGACTTCGAGTTGTGAAGATGGGGAAATATAGGGACGATTCAAGAAGCTGCTTGGTTCCGGTTCGTCTTCCAATTAGTATGAAGCCGTCTGTATATCGTCCCCCAGCGAGTCCTGAATTTCTCTATGGGGTATCTGGGGATGGGACGGAGCGCTTAGATTGATAAGAATTACACGGACTTCCCCTCAAGTGGACTTGAGCCGTGACTCCCCCGCCTTTCCCCTGTCCTGGGTCCTGGGTCCCGGTCTTTCGGTCATCTCCCACAGAATTTGTGGACGGCATTCCAATATTTTTTTCTTTTTTCTTATTCTTTCTTACCTTGTTTGTGTTTTTACCAACCCTGGAAGAATGACACTTCCTCGAAGCCTAACTTTGCAGGAAGAGAGGTGGGAATACCTTCCCTTATTGTTTACTATATGCAAGTTGCCTCACTTTCAACACATGCATATATTAAGATCCTGTCCAAGCCGAGTTCAATAATAAAAGTAGGCATCAATAGAAGGCTATCCCAGTATCTCTACAGAAGCTCCTAACTACCTCGAGTACACGATCCACATGCTCTTGAGTATGTGTAAGGTTTAATGCGAAGAAGCCCACGTGTCCGATGTATATGCGGTTGTTAAGCAGATAGAAGTAGAATACATCCTCCACTTGTCCCCTTCGGGGACCTTGAATTTCACGCCGACGACGCTGTCGAATCCAGCCAATATGACTAGATCGCTGTCTCCGGGACCGAAGATGTTACGGAGGCCGTCTCGTAGAGCACCGCCGAGCTTATTTGTCCTATCTAGTGCTTCACTGGATAAGAGCTTGGTTGCCACAACGCCGGCCAACATGCTGAAGGCATTATTGTTCCATGTACCTGAGTGATACAGGCTCCGTGGGACGCCGGGAGTGAAGAGATCCATGATGGCCCGGCGACCACCAAAAGCGCCAAAAGAGAATCCGCCACTATAGTGCTTGCCGAGAGTTGTCATATCGGGTATTATGCCGTAGTACTCCTACATGCCCCCATACCACAACCTCGACGTAACAACCTCGTCAAAGATGAGGACTGCGCCAATCCTCCTGGTCTCGTCGCGGAGGTATGGTAGGAAGTCTTTGGATGACACCCCCAAGCCACCGGCGAATTGCATTGGCTCGACAATGATCACGCCTACTTCTGGGTCGATTTTTGCGCCAGTCCGCTCGATGTCGTTGAAGATGCCGTACGTGAACTGGTGCGGGAGCATCATTGGATTTGCGCGTGAGAAGGACAAAGTGCCGCCATGATAGCCGTTCTCAAAAACCATAACCTGGTTTGCACAGAGGGGTGTCAGATTCCAGTTCGCAAGTTTTGAAAGGGGCTGTATAGAACATCCATAGTGATGGGAGGCTTCCCTTCCTGCTTCTTGCCGGGGGGAGGGGGGGGGGGGGGGGGGTTTGCAGGTTTATTGCCCCGTCTGTGCCAAGTACGGAAGCTTATTCAATAGGGATTAACGCAAGCTGGCTTTGACCAGCCTCCTTCAGTAATTTTGTTTCACTTAGTTGTATCCTATTTATTCACTTGTCTGGCTCGACGGTCGGATTAGACCCCAGGTTAGTTCTGACTGACCCTACGTATCTCTGGTGTGTCAAACCCCTCTTTCCCCCCACCCCCTTCTTTTTTTGCGAGGGGGGAAGCCGTCAACTATAATACGAGATCCCCACTATCCGCCGGCGAGAGTATTCAAACCTATGGATATCGATAGCAAACGTAACGGGGGTCGGTCTAGCACGCCCGAGGCAAGATTGGCGGTGATGGAGGCCCTAACCAATATTATTGCCAGAGCGACTCCGACTGGTGTGCAACTATCGGAGAATGATACGGCACCTTATGCACCTCGACGAAACTTTCCTAACAAGGCAAGTGGAGAACCATTTACAGTCGGCGAGCTGATCTTATTCATCGGAAACTGTGCGACGCTCATCAGATATTTAACAGAGCGTTGCCTCTTTTTCCTCTTTCTATTTGCCTTTCTAAACCTTCCTGTTCTTCAACCTTCGCCGTTAGTCTGGAAGAATCGGTCCATCTATTATCATCATGTCTCTTACCGGAAAAGTTGCCATCGTTACCGGCGCGGCCCGTGGTATCGGTGCAGGCATTGCCCTGAGGCTAGCACAGGAAGGAGCAAGAGTGAGTCTCGTATCCCATCCTTTCCGTCATAGAATACGGGTCATTGACTCAGACTATCTAGGTTGCTATCACCTACGCCACTCCCTCCTCGGGCCCCAAGGCAGTAGCGCTGGTTTCTCGGATTTCCGAACTCGGCAGCTCGGCGATCGCAATCCTAGCTGACCTCGCCAACGCAACCGCACCAGGAGAGATCGTTGGCAAAACTCTATCTGGATTTGGGGTTGACCACATTGACATCCTCGTCAACAATGCCGGCGTGGCAGATGTCCATCCCGTCGAAGAGGTCACTCGAGACATGTATGATCATGTATTCGACATTAATACTCGCCCCGTTTTCTTCATGACGCAGGCTGTCCTACCGAACATCTCCAAAGGGGGGAGGATCATCCATGTGTCATCGACAAATGCTAGGACTGGTATGCCTGGCACTGCAGTGTATGCCGCTAGCAAGGTTGCCGTCGAGGCTTTCACACGGGTCATGGCTGCTGAATTCGGCCCCAAGTATGGGGTGACAGTCACCGCAGTGAATCCCGGTCCCGTCGCCACAGACATGTATCTATCGGCCCCTGATTCGCTGCGGGACGCCATGCATGAGATGGTTAAGAATGTGCCTGCTGGAGGACGCATGGGAACACCCGAGGATATCGCCGATATCGTGGCCTTCTTGGCGAGCGAAAAGTCGAGGTGGGTAAGCGGGAATGTGGTCACGGCCAATGGCGGTATGGTAATGATGTAGTTAACACTTCGGTTGCCTCTTGCGTTGCCATTCTGAAATATATTTCTCTTCCTCACACTTCACCTTTAAAAACAGAACGTAATCGGAACACCCGAGTGCAAATAAGCCCTAGCCGCAAGTTAAATGTTCCAGGGGTTTCCATATCCCAAACACCTCCAACTGATCCAGAGCCGATGAAGCAGAGAAGGTGCCCGCAATGGCCGCTGATAAGGGCTCTCCAAATGTTCCCAGGCTTTTGAGAGCACAGTAAATAACGCCGACTGGCGCGAGCGCGATGAAATTTATTGGGTTATTGCATCTCAACTCGGCTGCTATGTAGGCACACTGCTGAACGGCCTCCAGAGCTGGTTGGTACGAGAGCTTTAGGCTGTCCGGCAAAAGGAGCGGCGAAGGCCGTTCCCCGTCAAGGAGCTGATTGTTGATGTGGTGCATGTCTTCTTGCGTCGGGAGACAGCCTCGAGGCTGTTCTTCGAACCTCAGGAGCTCCTTCAATCGGTATAAGTACACAAGGGCACTATTGTAGCTGAATATCTCGAGTGATTGATCCAGGTTTTCGAATCGGATGTCTCTGGCCAGGAGGCGTCTGACTAATGCGCATTCTTGCGAAGTTGAAGAGGATATTTTTGAAGGGTCATATGCGGCAAATACCTTCGCTGCTCTGGGGTTTTCCCGTTCCCAATCGTACCGCCAGATTCGGAGCTCTTGGTATATGAGGTCGGCTTGAGTAGCGATCCTTACCGCGTGTTCCGGATGCCTATGTTGCGCGGCCATTAGGAGATCCTCTGCCAGCCCCGGAAGACTCGCCGTAATGTCATAGAGTCTGTCCATAAAAGTTTTCTTGAAGTGTAGAAAAGGCGTCAACTTCCACCCGTCTTCTTCCAGGAACGTTCGACGCCGCTTTGAGAAGGCCGTGCAAATCTCCCGAGCTCGTTAGTTTTGTTTTTCTGATAACTTGGGAACTCCTCAGTTCTTACAAGCATCGCTCTGCATGATCTGAAAATGTTCAGAGTTTTGTCGTCTTGGCTTCCTCTTGGACCGCAATGCCTTGTGACAAGCCCTAAGCCAACGTCATGCTCTAACTTGACGGATTTCTCCATAACGTACTATCATGACCGGTGTTAATAGCCATTGCCACCTGACAAACGAGACCTTTTTTTACTCACGGGATACATTCCTAGAATCATAACCGGTAGAATTAAATCAGCGAGGGGGATGTTGGCGTGCACATCCAGTCCCAGGGAGACAAGTCGCATGCTACCTCCATACAGTCTCATACTACGATGTCGTAGAGTCATGTCGGAATGCCCAATACCGAGATATCCCATCAGCAAAGATCCGCAGGCTAAGTAGCTTGCTGAAGTGGTGTCATCCTGTAAACCGGCGATCACGATTGATTTCCACCAATGGGCCCAGGGGTAGTTAGAAAGAAAGTAATTGAGGGATACCTGATCCTTGAAAGCTACGAGACTTAGTTCAGATGCATAGTTAAGACTCGGCGTCCTATGCGGCAATGATTGGTCGGACAAATCAGGTTGACCGCGGAGAGGTGTCGATGAGGATGTCTGGGAGACTCGGGCAAGATTGGTATTGATCATCCGCAATGGCATATCATATCCCTGGCAGGTGTGTCCGGACCTAAGGCACCTTTGACAAGACGGTACGCCTCGGTCTTGAAGATGATCAGCCGCTGGAATCAGGAACGCGGCGAAGATTAAAAATGTCAGCACAGACGCATAACTAGAGGCTACTGACCGCATTTCACGCGTCTCCTTCTGCAAGTATGGCAATAGCCGCTTGTCGGGGCTCGACCCATGATGAACAGTGATTAAAGCACACTTCGATATCTGCAGGACTCCAGTATTCACAAGGCAACACGTATGCTCCAAGTTCAGCATAGAGATGTTGATTATGGAACAAAACGGCGCTTTCTGAGCCCGGCCCTTAATTCGTTTGATAAAATGTCGCTTCTCCGGCTGCATTTGTGTTTGCAATGCGGGGTTTTACCTCAAAGTGCGCAAGCTGCTGAGCAGAATGTCCCCGCCTCGGTCAATAAATTTCGGGTCTTTCAGTGCTTCAACCTATATGAAATCGTTGAGCTATATTAAGAGCTGCATTAAACCTAGTCGCACTCCAGCCCCTACCCATGTGTACTTGAAAGCCTCAATCATTCGATCTTGGGCCTTCCTTCCTGCGAAATAACTACTACTGCTTGTCGCTAAAAGGTAACCCAACCCAGCCGCGAACGCCCTATATTTCAGGAAGAAGGAAGTTAAGGTAGGCAACTTGGGGAAGCGCCTTTGGACTACCCAGTCTCAAACCTACAATAAACCCCGCATCATCTTATCACGCGAAAAGCTCGAATTCTTCGAGCCCTGTTGGGATTGGTCAGCGAGGGTGGAAGACCGGGGGCTATTGCGTTAAAAGAGAAAAAAAAAGGGGGCGTGAGATTGATCATGCGAAGTAGGTCGGCAGCATCTAGGTCCCTCCACTCATCCATCTTGTACTTTGGTATATTCGTCACACGACTCGATTGCCATAGATATATATAATCATTATAATCAGTATTCGAGTATATGCAGACATGGCTCCCGGCCCAACTGAAGAGGTTAAGGTTTGCACAGTGTTCAGGTGTCACGACCACAAATGACCAGGAACCAGGAACGTGGAGGGGGGAATGTCAGCGCGGTGCGGCGAACGGCGATTGCTTCCCACGCCAGAGAAGCGTCGCGACATATCTGCTCTTGCCAAGATTCGTGTATGGTTAGACAAGCCAACCTTTTGATGAGAGTCAGCTTGTGGGCAAGGATAACACACATCCGTTCCGAGAATGAGATTGTACAAGCTTGAGCCCGTGCTACATTTTTACAACTTTCGGGTCCCTGCTAGCTTCGCGAAGGATTTGCTTCATCCAGGAATACAGATCTGGATCCAGCCTCTTCAACCTCTCTCCATTGGGAAACACCTGCCTTCTTAGCCTATTGATCCACGGGATCAATAGCGGGTAGTATCCCGTGAAGTTCTCTTCTGCATTTTTCAGGAAATCTCCTTCATCGAAAACTTGTCCTTTCTCCAGAAGGGCCAGCTCCTCCGTATCCACATAATTCCAGTTATCAAATCTGCGAACAATTCTCCCCTTCTCTGGCCCTTCGTGGTGAACGCATATCCAGAACAGTACCCAAAAGAATGACTCGAGGTCGTGCATGAAGGAATGCTGCTCGCCAAGAAGGGTTCCAATTGCCATAAAAGCCCTCGTTCCAGTCTTTCCCTTCGATCCCGAGGCGCCTTCTCGCTGCTCCTTAACGGCAAGGTCCAGGATGCATCCGCTGCGACCTTTCCGTGCACCAGCTAAATTCGCGCTCGACAGCATCGAACGGCCCGGCCGGTAATTCTCCGCCCTCGTGATATCCCCACCCCCCCGGGGGAACATTGCTTCGAGCGTCGCCATCTGTACCAGACATCTGAACAGTTTCGTGGTGGTAATATCGCGGTACGTTGACCACACCTCGGTCGGTCGCCTCCCGGAGCAGCTCCCCCTCCTCATCGCGTTCTGCATACTGCCAGGCGTCCTTGACGGCAAGCGGCGTTTGAGCGTCTCCCTCACGGTGTTTAGCTAGCGTGAGAGGCCCTTTTTGGGTCCCTTCTCTCCGAGGTCAACTTCAATTCAGCCTTATCTCAGTCCTCATCGGTCCTGTCAGTCCTGCTTAGCTTCTCTACTTGCCCAATTAACCAAGCAGACCACCTCTAGCCTGTTAAGGTAAATCCTAGGTTTTCTTTTAGATCATCCCTTGTTTCTATGTATATTATCAAAGCTTTGATTAAGAGATCACTGTTAGGGCCTTCTATAATAAGAGTAACAGACGTTCTAGTCTTAGACCAACACATACAGCTCCGGCAAGAGGGCTAACGCCGTCACCAGTAGTCTCGAGGTCATTCGCACCCAGTGCCTAACAAAACAAGACAACAACTCCTTCATCTACCTCTTCCACTTGAACTAAGAGCGAATGAAGTCGCCTACCAACGCTAATCAGCAGGTCACCCAAGAACACCAAGGCCACTATCTTAGACCACTTCAACTACAATAAAGAAGTACAAACCTACTATATTGACTGCAGACATTCTGGGGTTGTGACGAAAAGGGGACTGTTGGGTTTTTCGGACCCGGCGAAGTAGCCGGGGCATACGAGCAACCCCGGGAAGGGGAGAGGGGGGGAGAGGTGGACCGAAGAATTCATCATGGGTCGGCGCAGCATCAACAGAGCCTATTGTATATATAACTTATTATACTGTAACTTTCCAACGCGTCCAGTGCAGAGCCGTGCCTTTAACTGAGATGATGATTGTGATACTTGAGTTGCCCTATGTCGAAAATAGAAGCTCCCCGATTCCCTTCAAGATTGCGCCGTCCAGTTTCTTGTGAATTGCCCACGCCGAGAGAGCGGTCAAGACCAGCATCTCAAAATGAATCCCATCAAATTGGCTGAAGAGTTCAATCTTCTTCTGTCCCTTCCCCACTCTGTCGATCCGCGCGATCTGTTGCCCCTCGCCCTCCCCATGCATCACAAATAGATCCAGCGCCTCGCTTCCCATCTTCTCCTCCTGCCTGTATTTGAACCTGCCTAAGTGGCCCCCCTCCACCATGCAACTCGAAGACCATGGGTTCATCTTCATGTGTATGGGGAACCCCCGTAGGGATATCTCTGCTGACGACTTTCCGGGAAAAGTGACATGACCGATAGTGCTGTTGGGATCTGGACTGTTGGGGAACAACGTAATGTGTGGGGGCGTAGTCTTCGATGTCCTGATCACGAGTATTGGCGCCTCGACGCCCTGTGTCGACCAATGTAGGACGGAGACATTTGCATCGTGCCACGACTGGGTGAGGAGGAGAGTGTTTACTGAGAATGGGGTAAATGACATGTTTTCCAGAGGTAATATTTCGGTCTAGAGGTGATGCTGTTGCAATCATCCCGAGATTCATTCCCCTCCTCGTTTTTTCCCCAATTCCATCATTTATAGGTGGGCCATGCCACCTTTTGGACACGGGCGTCATCCAAGAGGGGCTCAATGATGTCTGACCTCAAGTTGGCTGAGAAATGCAAGCCAAGTCTGCGCCCTGTATTACTAGTGCCACGAAGCCCTGCCACAATTAAACTAGTCCCAATATGGCGACGTGTTGCGCTCCGTCAGGCTCGGGGCGAATCGGGAGCGGGCCGACATTGTTGGCGAATTTCCAATGCTTACACTACGATTATTTGCAGGCTTTTAATTATTAAGGTACCTCGAATATCAAGGACCAGACACACATTCAGGTATTAGGAAGAGCCGCCCTAGAGATTTTATCATCTATACCTATACGAAGTACTTTATAATCTGACGGCATTCTCCGAGTCGTCCGATCACCAGCGACTAGGGCTCGGAATACCCGCCCACCACCCGCCCGCCGCCCGTTACAACATTGCCCGCGGGTAGGCTGGGAGCCCACCAACCCATGGCAGGCTACCCATCTGACCCATAAACCCACTACAACATTACATACGGGTCCTCGAGGGTACCCATACTTAAGGGCGGGTTACCCAAATAGCCCATAACCCATCTAATTCTATATATAGATTCTACTATACTAGGATTCCTTCTATGATTTCTTCTAGTTGGATTCCAGTTGGAATGCCTTCCATGATTTCTTCCAGTTGGAGTTCCTTCCATGATTCCAACCGGAAGGAATCATGGAAGGAATCTGTATATAGAAACTATATACGACTTGTTATAGTAGATAAGTAGATAATGGGTAATGGGTAGTAGGTGAATAGAACCCGCGGGTGGGTTGCTTTGATTGATAATGGATTCTAACCCACCACTGCCTACCCATACATTCCCTAGACAGCCCGGGGGTTTCATCTACTACCCTACTACCCATTTTCGAGACCCGTGGGCCCGATGGGTCACGTAACCCACGGGTTACCCATGGGCTTTCCGAGCCCTACCAGCGACCTCTTGGCGCTGTCTTTATTTGTTCCGCAACTATTTTGCTAATACCCTGGCATAAGACTAATATCCCTCGTGTGTCGCAGCGATATATTGTACCTCAAGGTCTGGAATGACCCCCTCATCTCCGTGGACCAAACCTCCCAGCTCATCTGCATCGGGCTAGAACTGTACGTCTTCATCGCCTCGGTCATCTGGGCTAGGTGCGCCTGGTTGGTGGTCGATACGCATCCGACCAGCAAGCAGACGGGGATGAACCCGGCTCCGAGAGGCCGGTACTGGTCCACGACCCTTCCCAAGCCGACCAGCTCGTCTGGAAACCCGGCCACCTGCTCCTGCAGCTCGCGGTTGTCGAAGGCGACGGCTCCAAGCACACTGTTCACCAGCATCCCCATGGCTAGTAGCATCGCCAGCTGCGCCACACAGAGCATATGCACCCTCTCCCTCTCGCCACCCGTGGTGGCCGGCAAGATAGGGCGGCCGCCCCCCTCACTGATTAGTTTCCCACTCGTGTCGGGGAATAGTCGGACGAGGGTCTTCCGGGCCTGGGCCACTTCGCGCATGATGCCCTCGTACGCCGCTTCAATCTCCGTAGCGTCGCCGGTGCCGCCGGAATCCCGTACGAACTCGATGAGCCTGGCAAAGGTGAGCATACTCAAAGCGGGGCCTGGGCCCCCGTTCTTCATGGATGTTGTCTTGTGCGGAATGAAATCGTCGACCATTTTCTTGAACCAGGGTCCCAGATTGATCTTCGGGTTATAGATGCTCTCCGGCAACTGTTAATAATGCGAAGTAAATTTAGTAGACGGCCTCGCATAATTTCCCGTAGGAGGCTGTGTCTTACAATTGACATGCACAAGGTGACGAAAAGCTGTGTTTCGAATTTACCCGTCCAGTTATTCGTTGCGATGCAGTTCAACACATGCACCACCACTTCCGAATGGGCCACATACTGGTCGTCGGGGTTGCCGATCCAGGCCTGAGGTGAGCTAGGGCGTTAGAAACATATGCGTCTTTGTCTGTATTGCAAAGTGAAGCCGATTTTGGAGGATATGGAGGACCCGACTAACTTGACATATCATGACGAGGTAAATGGCGCAGAGGGTCTCCGGTGTCTGAGCCGTCTCGGAAGTTTCCATGACCATTCTCAGACACCTTAGAGCATTGGCGTAAGCGGAAAATACTTCCGGCGACTTGGTCTGTGTGCGGAGAGCCGTATACGCATTGGCCAGGGCGTCGATCGAGGCATCCAGAGCTGGGTTTCGGCCCATGCGTTGGGGCAACTCTTGGAGAAAGTTGCCACAGCTCGATATGTCATATCGCAGGTCCGAGATGCTCAAAATACTGACCAAGGCACCTCTACGCCGACCATGCTCGTTACTCGGAACCAGCTTGATCGCGAGTGCTGCCGCGGGAGCGGGACGATCAGCCGATATCGGGGATGTAGATCCAGAGGCAGTAAGTAGCTCGGCACGGAACGCAGGAGAGACAGGTCTTTCCTGCTTGAACTTGAAGCGCTTCGTCCCACAGCCGACGCAGGGTATCCTGAGTCGCTGGCATCTTCCACACGCCGGCTGGGCAAGGTCGCACTGCGCAACTCCAGTTAGTCACTGCGTAATGCTGATAACGCTGGTGGTTTCTCGGGCTAGCCCGTATTATCTTGGTAGGGTACATTTTCCGGCCTGACCTTTTTCTTCTGTTTGCGACATGCATCGCAGCCGCGGCTAGTCGGAACCCCAGCCATCGAGTTCGCCGATCGTCGATCGATTAGCGACGCGCGCACAGTTTAGCCAAAAACAGGAAACAAGGAATGTGACGGCCAATCTAGATTTCGGGCAAAAGAAAGAGTGCAAAGGTGGAAAGCTCGGGACACCAAGTCCGAGTCGAAAGGCGCAGACTCTATTATAAGGTCGGGTGGCGACCGATCGTCTCCGTTCCAACCCCGTCAGCCAGTCATGTCGTGTCCAAGGAAGCAGCCACTTCGGCGCCCCCAATTGGGGCTTACAGTCTTGGCGAACTTGGCGAACCTGCAGTCAGCTCGTGCCTACGCGGGTTTGATGACGTCGCCTGGAAGCGCATCGTTTCGCCAAAAGGGAACTAGCGTCAAAGTTGTCCGCCCAAAAAGACAGAACTCGATTCTCGATGAATCCTTCACGGTTCCTGGCTGGGTGTGGGCCGGGGTGTGAGCATATTGGTGTTGACGATCCACACACACATAGAAATCTCAGCAATTAATATTACTGTCTACCTAGCTGAACAATCCGCTCCGCCAACATGATCACGGAGGCCTTTCAGGGGGTCCTGGTCGAGTCAACCATGACCTTTGTCGTATTTAACGGTGACGACTGCCCATCTCAATCGGCTCCCCCCATCTCCCAAGTTCTCAACAATCAGTTTCTCTTTTAATCCATCCCCCCGTCTTCCTTCCAACAATGAAGGTAGCTCTCTTGTTCTCTCTTATCTTGACGACAGCTTGGGGCAGGCCCCCGAACCCGCGCCATCACCAATTCGATCGTCGCAACAACCAGATCCATTGGGGATCATGCGCCCACCTCGGCGTCAACGACACCGACTACCTGTTCTGTGGTAAATTGGCTGTCCCACTCGACTATACTGATGACTCCGCGGCCGAAATGCTCGATATCCAGCTCATGAGAATTCCTGCCGCCGAGACCCCGAAGAGGGGGAGCGTGTTTATGAACTTTGGCGGTCCCGGCGGCAGTGGAATATTGGAAATGGCCTACTATGGCCGTCTTTTCAGAATGCATGTAACGTAATACCATAGAAGAGAATGGGCATTCCTTTTCGGCTTACACAAGTTTCGGTAGTCTCTCCGGGGGTTCTTACGATATCATCAATGTCGTTCCTCGGTATGTCCCACCACCCTGCCTAAGGGACTGAAGAGACTGACTTTCTCTCGTGGCATAGTGGAACTGGAAATACCTTACCCTTCTCCTGCTACGCAACCCAGGATGAAAGGACGGCGGCCGAAAGTACAGCTCTGTTTTCTACAAACGCCTCGGACGTCGCTCTCGGAAGGGTCTGGGCTGAGGCTGAGCTCCGGGCGGAGGCATGTCGACAGGTCCAAAACGCGGCCGGATCGCTCATCGGAACCGCATTCACTGCACGAGACATCATGTCAGCGGTGGACGTACTTGAAGAAGACGGCAAGCTGAGATACTGGGGTGAGTACATGATCAAGCTCTCCCAGCGCACCTACCCTTATTGACGAACGATTGCCCCCTCCCAGGAATGTCGTATGGCTCGGTGCTGGGCGCCACCTTGATTTCCATGTGGCCCGATAGGGTCGACCGAGTCTTGCTGGATGACGTCATGAATTCACACGAGTATTACCGAGAGTAAGACCACCCCCAAATGATTCCGCTATCGGGCGGGAAAACAGCTGACCAAGTTTGAAAGGGACTTGGAACAAGTCACGGACGTGGATAGCGCATTCTCTGGGTTCTGCTCCCAGTGCGTTGTTGCGGGTGACCGCTGCCCTATAGCAGGTAACCGCACTGCAGGTCAGCTCGAGGAAGACATCTACGCCGCTCTCGATAAGCTCAAGTACAATCCGATTCCACTAACCCTCCCTAGTGGAGCGGGGATTATGGTCGACTACCCGACCCTGAAGGGCATGATCTACAGTGATATGTACTTTCCAATACGCTGGCCCCGCTTGGCCCAGGCTCTTGAGGTTTTGATAACCGGGAATGCCACCGGGATCCTCACTCAACTAGGCAGTGCAGCTACCGGGTTGGCTGGTGAGAGCCCACTTGATGCGGATGCTGTCCTTGGAATCAAATGCGGCGACAAGCAAATACGCTCAGAGCGTATCGACGACGTCATGCCTGGAGTCGATACCAGGTGGGCACTGAGCAGACTTGGCGGCGACGTTTCCGACATTAGTGCTATCCAATGCTCACGATGGAAAATGGACGCCAAAGAGCGATACGCCGGCGACTTTCGCGTAGATCCAGCCTACCCTGTGCTCCTCATCAGCACGCAGCACGACCCCGTCTCACCGCTTGTATCGGCGAAAAACATGAGCTCTAGTTGGAAGGGAAGCGTTGTACTTGAGCAGGAAGGTTACGGGGTAAGTTTCCTCCTGTTTAACTCCTGTTTGCAGGGCACCCCGTTCGTACTGACCTGGGAAATCAGCATACCATCTTGCCGCAGGCCTCGAAATGCACGGCAGAGAGGACGATTGCGTATTTTGAGCGCGGGGAACTCCCGGAGCCGGGGACGGTTTGCCCTGTCGACTCGCTGCCCTTCTCTGACTACGACGGGTGGGCCACCGTCCTCCAAGAGTTGCACGCGCTCTAGGCGACATTTCATAATAGTGTTTTTAGACGGTGGATCATGTACACTGGTTTCTTTGCCTTTTCCTCAGGTTTAGACTGTAGACTGCGTGGATTTGCGGCGCGGCGTCGACCTCAACCCCCCCTGGGTCATTGTTGAATGATGTACTTGCCTAATATGTCATCTCCAGGGCTCAACCAATGCATCTATCTTTTGTGAATTATTGTTATGCCTTCTCCTGTGCTTTTTCCCTGCGAGGAAGAGTAGGAATGACAGTCTGGTATGAAAATGCTTCCAAATAGATCTCCTAAGGGTGTGACTGCAAGTAGTGAAGTTTGTCTTCATAATAGTAGGGTCATGAGAAGCCTTGATGTTAGTTTTTACTCAAGCCTAAATCTCAACATGCTCCACGCGAGCCTGCCGTATCTTGACTCCTGGGTCTGGGCAACCAACCCTAGGCTGTCCGTGAGACGTGATGTTCTATGGCGCCATTCTCCAAGGGGTAAACACCACTGCTTTAGGCAACTCCTTTATGCCCAAAGCCTCTTGCCTAGTTCGAAGCCTTCTAGAGTTTAAAAACGTTAGAGAATTTAGTATTCAAGGTCTTTTGCAGCACCTTTTTGGGGCCAGTTAACCGTCCACATGGGCTATCTGACAAGTGCCGCTGGTCAAGGTCTACATTGATGCCTATCGAATCTCACGTAGGAAGTATGCTCGCAACTATTCGCTGGCTATTTCTATTATCTATGTCTCCTATTCACCGGTCTCGCTGTTTCTTTTTAGATATACAAGGACAGTACCGGTCGGGACTAAGTTGTGCAAGATCAGCATAAGTGGGATAGATTTGAACTGATTGCTAGATGTTTCATGGTTCGTGCACCGCTAAGACATATTATGTTGGATGCCGAACAAAACCAGACCGTCCCGTTCTCTCTAGATTTGTGATCTTTTACTTAGTTTGATTTTGATTCTTGAAGACATGGAGCATAATATGGATCAAGTGTCTGACCCCATTCATAGACATTGAGAAAGACAACAAAGAGCCGATAACACCAGGTTAACTCTTGTTCCCTACTCCACCAAGGGAGATCCCGAAACCCCAATACGGCCACGAGTTTTATTGGAAAGTTTACAGTGGGCTCTTCCTGCTTCCGGATGCCACTTTGTCCATCCCTGTCTGTGGGATACCATCATAAAGTGCTGAAGACTGAAGCCCTGCAAATGTTTCTAGTGGTGCCCGTTCGTCCTGTTGATCTGGGAAGACTTGACCCAACAAGATGATCGTCGAAGGTTTGACGTAGATACTCGAACACTTCTCGTCGGAAGTGCTTCGTTGGGAAATATTCTATTAGCAAAGCCCGCCTACGTCAGTCCGCTAACGGGGCAGCATAATCTAGGTGATGAGCCCGACTTTAGCTCGGCTATCCATCAAATCGTTTTGTCGTGTGCGTACTAGGTTGCATTTACGCCTGCCCATTATATCTACAACACGACTCCCCGCACAAGCACGTCTTGTCCAAGCCACGCCAATAACTCTGCGAATAATCTACAGTAATCTCCGTGCCCGCCTCAATGCCTTTGCTGACCAGAATAATCCTCTGCGTGCCGAGCCATACGAACGGTTGGAATTGGGCATTCGCCTTGCAGCTATGATTGATGAATCGGGTGAAGTTCCCTTGACGGCCTTGCCAGATCTGGTAGTCTTGGCCTCCGGCCGAGCTGACCATTACGTCGGAGCCCTCGATACCTTTTGTAACGAGGCCGACAAATTCCCCAATTGCTGCGCCTCGGGCGAACGGTACAAGGGCCTGGACGCCATTTCGCTTGCCATTCGTGGTGTGGAAGACCTGAATTGGTGGCCTAGATCGAGGGCCTCCAAACAGTGAAGGGAAGCAGTAGCAATTATTCACCTTGAGGTCGTCTGACTGTTCCATCCCGCAAATGGTGCACCGGTCGATAGCAACCACGGGGCCCGATCCACCTGAGGGACCGGAAGTGGGAAAGGCTGGGGGTATCCACCTTGGATCGTCAGCACTCCATGCATTGGTATCGATGACGGATTCGTCAAGGTGGTCGAAATGGAAATAGGGTTCCCGGTCAACATAAGTGGACGAGAGATGTGCAGGCTCGGAGCCGTCCTGGTAGACCACCCAATCGTGAGGATGGCCCGTAAACTGGGCCTGGCATTGTCGCTCGCCGACAATGGCAAGCAGCTGCCGCCAATGGGGATGTAAAGTATCTGCGGCCACCTCGAATCGTGGCCTGAATGCCATGAGCTGGCGGAGGCAGTCGGTATTGAAGCCGATGCGATATTTACACAGTCGGTAAATCCCCATTCCAGAGAACACGAGCGCTGCCCACCCGCCCGCCTCCTTGATTTCCTTATACCCGCGCCAGATTGCCATCTTGTTCCGGAGCTCCTTCTCAGACCACCCGAAATCGGTGCAGGCTTTTATTAGGGCCGCTTTGCGGCACTTGGTCGGGGATATGTCCGGGTGCATGATGCGCAAAAATTCCACGTATGCGTCAAAGTGCTCTATCCACCTCGCCTGTACGATAACTTCGACAGACCTGCATGTTCGGCTCGCTTGGGTAACTCTCCTACAAAACTCGCTACTCCGACGGAAAGCACTGTTTCCGTCCTCAGGGGGGCTAGAACAGCAATTCACGGTGGACGACGGCGGTGTGAGGGGAACCTGCGTGGGTGGGTAGAAGAGCGCATCATGGCTCAAGGGCCCCGTGCTGCTCATAGACGTGTTGGCAACGATGGCGGTGAGCTTCCACTGCTCCACGAGGCTCCGCGGCTCGAGGTCTAGGCCGCCATGTATCTGCTCCCAGATACTGACAATAAACCTCCCAAAAGACGATTCCTGCGGAACTGGTACTGCACTCTGTGCCTTGATCCTCTTCGGAAAGTTCCGGTCATCGATTTTGATTTGCCTGTGGCTATCCTCACAGTCTTGGATGGAGGCGTGTCCTCGGGATGGCCGCAAGAGGCTTAGTGTGTTGCGGCGGCTTTCGTCGCCAGGATATGGTGTGTTATGCTCTGTCGCCTCTCGGAAGTGAGTAGGTAGTGCTGGGTCTTCCGTGTCACTAGATGTTGCGGTAGTGGTCGCTTCCTGCCGTAGAGGCATCGAAACTAGCGAAGGGCCTGAAGGTTGATGTGGGGTGGGAGCGGTAGAAGCCCGATCTGAAGAATCTAGACGGTCTGGGGATGGAAGGATCCCTGTAAGATCCATTGACCGCTACAGGATAGGCTTAGAAAACATCCTAACATGTTGAAATAGAACCATGGAGCTTACAGATACTATCGGGCGCCGTGACGGTAAATTGCTGCCCGGGGTGGCGCCACCGTCCTCGTCGCCATCCTCTAGGAACGCCTCGAAACGTAAAATGGGAACTTGAAGTTGGTTTATCGATCGGCAATTTAGCAAGGCATCAGTGAGCTGGTCCAGAAGGGCCCGGCTCAGGCTCTCCCGCAGAGTGGTTGCCCTTTCCGGTGCGGGCATCATGTTGGTATCGAAATTGTTCAGCAATTCGCAGAGGGCGGGCGAGACAGAATTCACGAGACATGCGGATAGTCATCCCTTTGCAAGGCAGATAAATTCCGCTTCAAAAGAAGGCTGAGATGTCGAGTTTCTCTCGGTGCAAACGCGGTGTTCGTCAGTTGCCTGCAAGCCCTCGTTGAGGGTTCTGCGGCCGGCCTTGCTTTGTGGGAGGCGATTGATGGAAACTTGTAACAAGCCAGGGCGTGGGCATGGCGCTTCTCGGTGACCTGTCGCGTTATGAGTATTTTCAAGCACTGTACGAGTTGTGCCGCCAAGGGTTCCCGTCCGAGCAAATGACGAGCAAATGAGTGCCTGTGGGGTGTGTGGGGGTTCGAGAGAAGCTAGAAGTATGGAGACGGGGCATGCCTGAGATACAAATCATGTCAAATCAGGACAGACCTACGACATGATCTTCTGAAAGCTTCTCCGAAGAGATACTGAGTTATTTAACTCTCAGGTCTGACATGCGGCTGAGGCACCGAACGAGCTTGGCGGAATTTGTTGCCAGGTGACGTCAATGTCTGGCCAATGGGCAAAAATTTCTGCCTGGGCAGAATTCCTTTCTTATTGTCCAGGTACTCTGGAACGTCGGCCCGTCATTGGATGGTCCTATCTCGCGTTCATGCTCACCGCCACCGTCTACTACACTCAACAGTGACGTCTGAGGTTAGCTGAAGCTTCCGTCCGTCACGGAACTCGGGGGAACCCTTGTGATATACGGGACAACCAACGTCAAGGCTTGGCGATGACTGCAGAACTTGCATTGGAACCACCCAGCCCAACGAGCCTCGGCTTTTAAGCAGCATTCTAAATCACATCGGCAAGGACTTTTGCGGTCTAGAATAGACTAATGCCGCTTTCGCTCCTCAGTGACAGGCGTAACATGTTCAGAGACGGGAGAGTAGAATGTGCGAAAAGCGGTGTATATAGCTCTGGTCGGAGAAGCGGACCCACCTCCTGGCGCCCCCCCAAAAGGGGGCTGGCTCAGTGCACCACTGTTGGTCGTTACTGTGGATGTATAAGAGAAGGAGTTGCCCCCAGTTGAGATTATTTCCTCAATCTTGCTTCAACTACGGGACCATCCTTTGGCTGTAAGCTAGAGAGTCTTTTCTCAGATCCAAATTTCCGCAGTCCCGAACTCGTTCCCTTCTCGCTCCTAGTTCAGTTCGGCGCAATTCCTATTAGAACACAATGCCCGAACGGCCCGACGGCAGGATGTCAAGTTCTTCGGCGCCTGATCTGACCCTGGCCCCCTTGAGTTGCGATGACGGTCATCTCGAACGGCTTGACAGGGAGAACACTAGGGAGTCGACTTATGGATACGACAGTGAACGAGGATGGCGTCGGTGGAGGGTGTTACGGCCAGGTCGGGGGATATATCACGATATCAAGCGGCGACTCCCATACTACAAGAGCGATATACTCGATGCCTTAACCTATCGTACCGTGGCGAGCACAATTCGGATATATTTCGTCAAGTTAGTTAGCCCCATCCATCGAGCTTCGTTCCGTGTCCCTCCAAGCCGTCTTGAGCCCAGCATCTGCATATAAATGTCCTGACCGCCGGACACGACCTGGCGTTTATACCCTGTCAAAGGCGCATTCCCCTTGCTAACACTGTCTTTATAGTCTCCTCCCCGCCATCGCATACACCTTGGACATGTACCGGCGAACTGGCGAGTTTTTTGGCGTCAACGAAGCTCTGTTCTCTTCTGCGCTGGCCGCGATGGTGTTCAGCATCCTAGGCGCCCAGCCTATTACCATCGTCGGCGTCACTGGCCTTATTTCACTCTTCAACTTCACCATCTACGACATCATCGAGATCTATGACGCCTCCATCTACCCAAAGTTCATGGCTTGGACCGGAATATGGGCTGCTATCTTCCACTGGCTGGTAGCAATAGCCAACGCATGTGACTATATGCGTTACGTTACCGACTTCTCTAGCGAATCCTTCGGCATGTATGTCGGTATCATATATATCAGTCTGTCTTCTCCACGCCTTCCTTTTCAGCTTCCCAAGACCTTTTCCCATTCTCAGGCATATTAATAACCCGAATAGTCAAAGGAGTCGAGGAGTTGGTAAATGAATTCGAGGTTGAAGGACTTAGCTCTGGCTATCTAGCATGCCTGATAGCTATACTCTACTTCGGTACGATTTATGCTCTCGAGAAGCTGGGATCCGGTACCGTGTGGAATCCGGTCGTTCGAGGCATCCTAGCCGACTACGCATACGTCGTAAGTTTATAATTCTTCTTCATTATCCTTAGGGTGCAATGAGTGCATCTCTCTAAAATGGGATCTTAGTTCGCCACCGTCTTTTGGGTGGGCTTCTCACATATTCATGGAAACATCCAAAATACACACCTGGCACGAGTCCCTGTCACACGGGCTTTCCACCCGACGCAGCCACGCAACTGGCTCATCGATTTCTGGAATCTTGAAGTGAAATGGGTGTTTCTTGCTGCGCCGTTTGGCTTCCTTGTCATGCTCCTCTTTTATTACGATCATGTAAGTTGGTCTGTTGGGCGGACGGCGAATAGAGCCTAACTCGGGATTACCAGAACGTTAGCAGCATCACAGCTCAGGCTCGCCAGTACCCCTTGAAAAAGCCCGGGGGATTTCACTGGGACTTCTTTCTGCTGGGTTGTACAACCTTCGTTTCGGGAATTCTCGGTCTACCCATGCCGAACGGGCTTGTACCCCAGGTACGAGAGGAACCATATCTCCTTAATCTGGCGGGCCTCGAAATACTAACAACCGAGCCAGGCACCTGTTCATACGGATTCTCTAACCATCTACGAAACCCAACTTAAGGTCATTCCCACCTTGGAAGGAGAAGGAACTGAGATCCGACGACCGTTTGTCAAAGCAACGGCCGTGGTTGAACAGCGCGTCACTCATTTTCTCATGGGATTGGCTCTTATCGGCACCATGACTGGCCCGCTACTCGCTGTCCTCCACACGATTCCCTCCGCCGTGTTTGCAGGTGTCTTCTTCGTCGTTGGGGTGAGTACTTGTCTCGCTGTAACCCTCGAAAAGACTCCCTCGGCTGATCATCTTCCGGTTCTAGTGGGGCTCTATCGAATCGAACGGGATCCTCGAGAAGCTCATCATCCTCCAATCCGAGAGGCGATTTATTCAAAAAACCGATCCCATGCTCACGGTGCGCCGCCGCAAAGCTTACCTTTACGTTGGGCTTCAGATGGCCGGGGTCCTCGCCTGCGTGGCTATCTCTCACACCTTGGGCGCTATCGGCTTTCCCATTCTGATCATCCTGCTCATCCCGCTGAGGGCTCTCCTCATGCCAAGGTGGTTCACCCTCAAAGAGCTACAGGTGCTTGACGAGTTCACGGCGACGAGTAGCGTGGTTCTATCAAGTCTAGGTGGAAAGCCGGTGCTGCCCAAGCATTCGAAGGAGGAGGGATGGGGCTTGGAGAGGAAAGTGACGGAGGAGAGATATGGGGTTCATAGACAGCGGATTGGAAGCATCCATCGGTAGGGCTTTACTCTGGAATTGGTCTTGATAGATTTAAGGCTATGAGGCCACTAGCCAGACTGCCCTCTACCGATACTGTCACGGCCTCGAAGCAAACAGTTCACGAGAGGAACGATCAAGAAAAAGATGGATTACACCGAGTCTAACGAAGACGTTTACGCCCGCATATATAGACTACTATAACAATCGATTTAAAAATTTATTTCACGCAAACGAGAATAGATGAAAGGGGAGGGCCAGAAAAGAAAAGATAGAAAAAAAAAAAAAAAAAAAATGGAAAAAAAAAACGAGGAGAGGAGGGAGAGAGAGGGAGAAAAGAAGATAATAGCTAGGAATGTAAGGAATGTAAGGTAAGTAAGGACCGTGAGTCAAGAAATATGTATATCCCTGCGAAAATTTGGGACATTCGGAATGAGGCGGGCGCGAAGTCAGAGTTAACAATGATGATAAGTCGACGAAGGAATGAGTCGACGAAGATGAATTTACATGTGTCACATTGATCAACAATGCAGTCGCTCGGTTTTCCTAGAACTGCAGAGTTCGGGAAACAGGTTACAGTTCTCCTGCGTCCCCGCGAAGCGCAGTGTAAAGCCGTCGTCGTCAACTCGGTCAGTTTCTAGGTAAAGCCGAGGCAGCCACCTAAGTTGTGCAAAAGGCGACGAGGGAAAAGGGGGCGAGGGAAGGGTTCCAACTTAACGAACTGTGGCTGCACAAAAGTTTGACACCATCCAACGTCTTGCTTTTCCCCCAATCCGCCCAAGACGAAGGATTTCTCAGAAACCCGTTCCTTGTTGGCTTCGCCCAGCCCATTCGCATTTTATGACGGGAATCCTGACGATACTCCTCGCTCGTACCTGCATCCAACGTATGCCGAGTCCGCCTTGAAAAACGCAAGGGCAAGTTCAACGATCCACTTGAGTATTTTCTCAGCGGCGTTGTACCACTCCTTCCTAAATACATGGGACAATAATACTGTGAAGGGGTTCGATGCTGCATTGAATGCGTTTTTGGAGATGCGCAAGGCACAATGGAACAGCGCCTACTCTGGTTCGCATACTAGCTACAGCCGCTCGCTGGACCATTCGATGATACGTGTGTCCATGTTCAAATAGAGAGGACAGCCAGCCCGCTGTATCCCAGCTGTAATGGAGTAGGCATAGGAAAGTGGATGAGGGGGTATCAAGTATGTCGAGTATGTCGAGTATGTCGAGTCATAAGAAATGCATGGTGAGTCACTAGCCAAACCAATTTCAGTAACTGCTGCGGGGGAAATATCAATGTGGTTTCTCATATCGCTAAACTTCTAGGACGATGGATCTAGAGTGTGTGTGTGTGTTCAGAGATGTTGATTTATGGAATGTATTGGTCTGAATTTGTCATCCAGTCTGACAAATCCCACAGATCTATCAGAGTCTTACAATTGTACCCGGCTACCAGCGGTCGTCGTGTTCGGCGCTACAAACGGTCCGCACCATGACGCTATCTACGTCGTCTTACTTCGTACCCTGCCCAAGGCCTTCGGTAGAGGTATAGAAGCTCGACATCCCCAGGTCGCAAAGAAAAGGAGGGAAAACCAAAACGCTGCAATCAATAAATCAAATCTTATTCTACACTTTTTTCCGTGACTCGCCCGTGATCTTCCATCCCACACCCCCCCTCAGATCCTCGTTCATAAACATGTCTCCCATCGAGTTCGCCATTGTCGATGTATTTTCGACCGAGGCTTATACGGGAAACCCTCTCGCAGTGGTAGATGCCCTGGCTGACAACCTTACCACCACCCAGATGCAACTCATAACTCGTCAATTCAACCTGTCCGAAACTACCTTCTTCCTACCCACCACCGTTCCCAACGCTGATTACCGATTCCGTTCGTTCTTGCCTGACGGCAGGGAAGTCTTTGGATCCGGACACAACATCCTGGGTGCTTGGTGGTATCTCGCGCACGCCGGTCTCCTCAACTTTTCGACGCCCCAATCTATCGAGCAGGATGTAGAGACTTTTGTGTTTCATCAGGAACTCGGAGGCGTTGTTTCGCCGGTGAAAGTTCTGAGGACTAAGGACGGCGAAATTTCCATTTCCCTCCGACAGGCTCCTCCTGGGACCCACGCTTACCATCCAGACGTGCCAGCACTTGCTGCTAGCTTCGGTTTCTCCGAGGCCGATATTGGTTTCCGCACTGAAGGGCGAGCGCTGAGACCTCAGATCGTGTCGACATCCACGACGCGACATCTCATCCTACCTCTCTCCTCAGTTGCTGTACTTAACAGCATCCAAGTACCACGCGATCTTCTTCTCAAGCAACTTCGTGCTGTAGACGACACGGCCCACGGCATCTATTTCGTGGCCCCGGACCCCGAGGCCTCTGACAAAACCACCTACCAGGCACGATTCTTTAACCCCGGGATGGCAGGGGAGGACCCGGCAACTGGTAGTGCTGCGGGACCCTTTGGCGCGTATCTGGCGAGGCATCGACATCTCAAATTTGAGGGAGGCAAGTCTCGAATTTTTGTTCGCCAGGGGCTGAGGGCTGGAAGGAAGTGCGTAATTAGGGTGGATATATCTCAATCCGCTGAGGAAGAGGGGAGACTAGACACAGATGTTGTCGGGGGAGGAGCGGAGGTTGGGAGTGGAAAGATTGTGATCCCGAGTGCGGCAACTGTTTTTTAGACAGCAGGAACCTCGAGATATCCCCCGAATCCCCAACTTCGGGAAAGATCCTTTCAACACTGGCGGGATGATCTTGTCGAAAGCTCCATTGGAACCTCGGAGATCGGGCAGATCTTTAGGACTAGGGGCTGGAATTCTCAGACATTTTCAATCGCATCGATGTTTTACATATCTCACATTTTTGACCATATTTGTGGTTCTCAATGATATGATATTTGCACAGATCTTGCTCAATTCGTCACATTCAGGTCTCAAATCTAGTTCTGTCGGCGACCCGGCTGACTTTCTACCAGTTGGCCCATTGCTTCCGAACTTCGAGCGGGCAGCTGAATCACTAGAACGGGTGACGTGAAGCTGAGGGCTTCCGACGGGTCACACCTGGCAAGGATACGGCGACCGCAAGGGAAGGAGCGGCTATATAAGCTAGACACTACACCATTGACCTAAGGCGTATTTTGTTGCCGAGATCCTAAAAGACTATGGCCGTTCTGGAGGAATGCTAGTATTTCCGTAGCTGTCTCTACAGGTGACGCGGTGGTTGATTCGACCGTCAGTCCGGGGCAGTCATCGAAGCGGAACAACTCGCACCTCGAGCGCAAGTCTCCGAGTACTTGGGCATCCGTCAGCTTTTTCGTCCCGCTGTTGACTCGGTCGAGGCTGGCGACGCGTTTAAGGTTCGTGAGGACATCGCAACTCAGGTATATAGGGACGAATGGTCGACCAGCTCTACTGGCCGCATCTTTGTACTCTGTGGCTACATCCCGGCCCAGGCCATTGTTGGATTGAAAGTCTTGGTTCGAATAAGCATTGGCTCTATCAACACCTCCTCGGGTAGAAAAGGAGTACTTTAACTGTGAAAATGACCAGCCGTGAGAGCATCGCCGCACCGCACGCGTATTCATCCAGTATCGCTTTACGATATGACTGACGCTCCCGTTGATAATCGGGATGGGTTCGCGAAATTCTTGCCTCGACGGGGTCGATCAGCTTGTGGTTGTCTAAAACAATCACTCCTTCGCGCAACATCGCTATCGCCGTGGCCACGGTGAGCTTTCCGGAGCCGGGAAGCCATTAATCCACACGAGAGGTGCCGCCTTCGTAGCTGCCATGACCGACAAGGTGGAGACATGACGCAGAAACAAGCTTAATTCAACGGCGGATTAAACGATGGATTTAATGATAGGCACGATATCACAATAGATGTGGAGATGGACGAGATGCTGGAATCATGGATTACGGTGCTAACAGGATCTGAAGTTGTGGAATATAGTGCAGGTGAGCGGGTAAATGAAAAAAACGCACGCTGCGCCCCTAGCATCCCCCGAATCTCAAACTTCACGAGATTCTTTTAACACTAGGATAATCTTAGTTCAACTCATCACATGTCACAGAGTGGAGGGGAACAATAGGGCATACAGTATCACTGACCACGAATTCCTCTCCTCTTATTTCCTTCCAGAGATCCCCCTTGTATACTACCCTATTTTAGCCATCTAGTAGTCCTCTTTAGGCTTTATTCGTAGAGGTTCTCTTTTCCTCTCTACCTAGCCCAACCTCACTATTCTGCTTCCATGGCTTGGCCCTTGATGAGCCCTGGGGCAGTCCCCCCACTTGTTCTGTCGCTTGCGGTCGTCGTACGGTTCGGTAATTTCCGTGTGTTCTGGATTTCGGCTTTCCTTAAGTCGGCCTGCTGGAGCTCCCCGGTCGCCCTGTCCCGTGATAATTCTATCCTGTATCAATGGATAAAAAAATAAAATAAAAAATTAAAAAAAAAAAAGAAACGTCCAGCTTCTTCCAAGAAATGGATCCTTCTCTTTCGTGACCAAGCTTGGCTAATCCTTCCCGCGGTCATCGCTCATCTAATTTCCACCAGTCTGCGTCGCGCTAAAGAGGTCTATGCTCTTCTCTTGTCACACCATGCTAAACGAGTCGTAAGCTTGAAGGCATTCGAGTCACCACTATGACCCATAGAAGTCCCACTCTTCCATGTCCGGGAACTGCTTTTTGATGGCTTCATGGATTGCCACGAGGCATTCCTCTTTCCGGTACTGTTGCATGTCGGGCCAGCCATGCTCGCGCAGAATCTTCTGCACCACAGGAATGCTGTCCTTCCCTGATGGACGGGAAAACAGAGTGTTGACGCTGCGCACGGTGCGACGGCCGAAAGGCACCATGTACATGGTACGGAACTGGTGTTTTAGTACCTCGAAGAAGTCGCCAATGGCCCACGCTGTCGAATCCGCGCGCCACTGTGCCTGCTCATCGTCGTCTTCTGTGTATTCCCAGGGGTCGTCCTGGATGGGTTCCCAAGGGGACTCTAGCCAGATCTCGGT